ATGCATGTATAAAAAAAACACTAAACTAGGCTCTTTAATTACTAGTCCTAACTAACTGCCTCTCTGTCTAGATAGAAGCATCTGTGGACTAGCTAGATCCTGTGTGTAAAGATGCTTTAGACTAACTAGACTAACAACACCTTTATATAAAGCCTATTTCTTTTTATTTTATTTTATTTTTTTTTTATATTATACATAATTATCTTTCTTATTATAAAGATCTGTTACTGCTAGTACTGTATAAAAAGAGAAAAGAGCTAGGGGGTTATACAGCAGAGCTTAGAAAGTAAAGGATAAAGAAGAGAAAAGCTATTTACATAGCGCAACTAGCCTATTCTAACATATAGCATTACTAAGGCAAGTCCTAATAAATAAGGTAAAGTAAAGGCAGAATGTAATTAGATAGACCTACACAGACAGAAGAGAGGTAACACGTATAAAAGGTAACTCTTTAGACAAAAAGAAAAGTTGCTAGTGTCTGTACGCAGCAGCAGCGTCACAGTCTAGATACAAGCGATCGCGCACAAGCAGGACCACGTATCTCTGTTACATAATGCTTGTGCGCGAACCTCTGTGCCCATTCAACACTAAGGAAAATAGCCTTATAAGAAGCTATTAGGCTCTTAACTCTACCTCTCTTATAGTATAGTGTATTAATTATTATAATGTACATTAATTGTACAGTACTACCTGTACAGATTATCTTAAACAGTGCGGTTACTGTACGTACAGCTGCCTCTCCTCCTCACGACCGTACGTAAGTATAGAGAATCTTGTCTGTACAGCCCTCACATTCTCCTAATCGTACAGTAATATGGCCTATTAGGCACGCTGGCTACATGCCTCTATTCAGGGGCCAAACGCGAGATATTAACAGGGAGGCATCTATTATCTTCGGGCTCTTTCATGCTGCGGAAGACTGAACCGGAGGGTACTGTAAAATAGTCGGGAAGGCTTATATAGTGGGAAATCATTTTGGGACGACTAAGATAGATTCCAAGGGGCTCTTTTGTTTAGAGAAGAAGATGCCATCTATCTTCGCTGAAGCACAAATCAGTACATGCAACGATATAGCGCCATCCAGAACTCCTCCCTCTCAAACACATCCCGCTCCCTCCTTTCTGGATGTAGCTAGAGAATAAATTCACGCCGCATATCGTGCGACTGAAGGCGATTGTAGCGAAGAGGACGTGAAGGACGAGTGAAGGGAGCCATATACACTCCGTCCATCACAGCGACTACGAATATAAGACGCCACTTTTAATATATTACTCAAGTCTCCGCATCCTCACAGCAAGATAATAACACACTCCAAACTCTTCAAACCCTCAGATATCCTAACCTAGGGGTACGAAACCAAACTTTTCTTGCAAGTGGCAACCTATCAAGCCCCAAGCTTAAGATATGCAAGGCCACGAGGCCGAGTTCTTACCGCTGTATTAGGCGGCAGCGAAGTAGTATTCTAAAACGCAGGACGTTGGGCAGTATTATGGAGAATTCAATAGTTAAAGTGGACTCCACAACTCGTCACTGCAAAACCAAAAGAGCAAGGGGAGAATAATATTGTGGGTAGTGATCGTAGCGGAACCGAAGACCCGTGACGCATACCAGTATTGGAACTTGCGGAAGGATTTCAGAAATCGAAGTTGGCCAGTGAAAAGAACGCGATGGACGAGTGAAGTGACAGCCACATATGGAGATATGAGTGTACAAATAGGACTTAGAGGGAATGTGTGTAGTAGTTCACAGTGACACGTTGGCGAATCCGTTTGAAGAATAATAAGCGTGTTGTTGGTGAACATCGTCACACCCACAATTCGCCGCCAAGGGCAATGTTTGCGGTGTAAAATTTGGAAAGACAACGCTCAATGCCAACGAACTAGTATAATAAAATATTAAGCCTAAAATATTCATATTCGAAGCTTTCACACCTTTACACTCCTACTACATATCAAGGTCCAAGTCGCCAATCACCCAAGAGTAGCCACCAACATCCACTGCACCACCCACAACCTTTGCGATGTTCCGTCATAGCCAAAAACGCAAGAAAGACCGCAGAGATGGTAAAAACCATGACGAGTGTCCTGCAACGCCAATATCTCAATCAACAGGCACCACATCCCAACCCATCACACCGAAGCGTTTTGGCGGCTACTTTGGCACACCGAAAACAGGATATCAATCCTCTTCATCAACATCGAGCACGTTAAATGGCAGCACCCACACCTACGCAGGAACACACCGGAATTCTGAATCCTCCACCGCACCCAGCTCTCTCAGAATAAGCCAGACAACCACAAATAGCTACATAGACAAACCCCTGCCACCAACCCCTAGAATAAACAGCCCTCAACGGAGCGCTCACACCTCCGATTCGTCGAGTCACCGCTCTATACGCGCAGGCACAGGCATAGACACAGGCACAGGCTCACTATTCACACATTCCTCATCCATAGACCCAGCATTCACTTTCCCGCTGCCACCAAAATCCGCATCAACACCCAATAAACCGCTCTACCCCTACACCTTCACACGCACCTACCTTTGCGGCCATCCCACGGAAATTATCACCGTAGATAAACTCCCCTCAGGATTTCTCTGCCACAGCATTCTCCCTCCGTCCACCAATGTCCGCGGTTTAGGGTACAATCTGCAGTATACATTGCGGAAATGCCAGGCATGCGCAACTGAGCATCTCGCGCAGCCGATTCGCGAAGTTGTGAGGAATCAAATGATTGTGAGACGAGAGGTCGGGGCTGAGGGGCGTATTGATGGAGTTACAGAAGCGTTGGAGCGGTTTCGGGAGAGTAAGTTTGGGTTTTTAGGGTTTAGGGTGGGGCATGGCAGGATTGATGAGGAGGAATTTAGTGGTGGGGAGGTGTTGAAGCCGTCGGTGGGCGTGGGTAGTGGAGGCGGGTTTTATGAGAGAGCGACTAGGTTCTATGTGGAGGATCTCAGGGCAGAGAGAGTGGAGGAGGTTGCGGGAACAGAAGTTGGCGTTTGGGTTGGGGGTTGAGAGGGAGTGGCCTGTGAAAGATTAATTTTGGACGAAATATGGTATGAGCAGCAATCGCGAATATGAAGTAGTAGGAATGAGAAAATAGAAATTCGCAGCAAAAACTCTGATTTAAACCGTGCGAAATTCTCGAGACAAACAAGATCTGTGATATCTTAGGAGCGGAACTGCACAGGATAATTGCCGGCCTACACAATGCAGAAACTCTTAAAAGACTGTGAGGACAAATGCAATGGTATATTTTTGAATCCGAAGAAACCCATCAAGCGAAAACGCCATGCGCTGATGCAACCATGTCTTCTACCCACCCTTCTAAACACCATATACCTTAATTTGAGTGGAAGACTAGTACCTCTTTCTCGCAAATCTCTCCAATGCGGGTCCATATTCCTCCTTCAACTTCTTCACCCGCTCCATCTCTCTCCTGTCCATACTTCTCAAAGTCTCCCTTGCTCTCGTCTTCTCCTCATCAATAACATTCTTCTGTCCACTCTTCCTCAAATGTCTCCTCAAGGCACTATTCCTGCCTCTCCCTTTCTTCTTCAGCTTGGCCACCTTATCCTCCGGCTTCGTGTCCAAATCCCTCTCCTTCTTGCGCTGTTCTTCAGACGCCAAGTCAATGTTCCCAATGAAGTGTGGATCGAGAGATATCATTTCGGGCTGCAATTTCTGGAGCAGGGCGTGGACCTCCGTCTCACGTCGCTGTTTGCTGGTTTCGAAGGGATTAGTTCCGGGTTCGAGGGCGTCAGGGTTTGGTTCTCCGGAGCCAGGGACTATGATGGAACTGAAGCCGTGATTATGTGATATCCCTAGTATGTCTTCAAAGGGACAGAATTTTGCTTTGGAGACCATTTGACCTTCGCCTCCCCATGCCATGTATGGTGCGGGAACTTTGATGTCTGAGTCAGGCGAGTGGGTGAAAATGTCGGATTTGAAGATTGAGACTTGGGTGCCCCAACCTACGGCCGTAAGATTTCGGCCGGAGATGGAAATGGAGGACCCGGGTTGTCGGAGGTGGTGGGTGTGGAGCTCTTTGAAGGTACGGATGTCCCAGATGGACATACGGCGATCCTGGCCGGTGGAAACCATATAGCGACCGGAGCGGTCAACGGAGAGCGCGCGAACCGGACCATGGTGTGGAAGAAGCTTTACAAGGGGCGTTGATGTATTTGGAGACCAGAGTGTTACTGTTCCATTCTGGTGGCCGACGTGGAGTATTGCGTTATAAGGGTTTTGGCAAAGAGAAGTAGGTGGGCCCAACCGGGTCGGTAGTTCGCAAACCATCTGCCCGGTGGATGTATCTGTGTATCGTAGTATGCCTGCCATCGACACGGATGCTAACAGAAAGTGATATGGTAGGAACTCCAGATGCGTGGCCTCGACGTGCTTCTTCAGCTGATGTATCTCAACGCCATCCCGTGCATATATGTAGACGTTCTTCTTCTGCGCCACTGCAAAGCTTTGGTTGTTGTGCAGCCACTTTCCGTCTCTTATAGTTTCATTGAGCTGCAACTCGCATCCCAGCTTCCCATCCCTCCAGTCCATGCATGCGACATGCCCTTTCCTCCCCGCAATGAGAAGATCCCGCCCATTTCTAGTATATTCACATACATCGTACGGCCCAAGTCCTTCTAGCCTTAACTCAAACCTCTTCTTCGCTGTCTCAATGCCAACATCCTCCCGAATCTCGTCCTGCCGTACTTTGTACGTCCTCTCCAGCTCATGTTCGGGCTCGAGGAAGCCAGCTGTATGATCGAGAAGAGTCTCAGCACCCTTCGCTTGCAGTGTCGCATCTTTGTACTTTGATTCGAGGCTACGGAGGTTTGCGCGGAGCTTCTTGTCTTTTACTGATTTAGTGCGGATTTTGGCGCCGCGGCCGTAGGTTTTCGTGGCGGAATCGACATGTTGGGCAAGGGCAAGGGCATCGGCATCGGCATTGATAGGGGTCATATTCAGCTTTCGGCGGGCCTTTGGAGGCTTTGTGGCAATATCTGAAGCCATTGTAGTTGAGGACGCTAAGCCAAAGATGAGGTCGATGGGTTCAAGAAATTTGGATTCTGACGCTCTTCACCGCCTTGGCCGTGCCAATATTTTCGCTAAATCACGTGAACGCACCAGTGGTGCACTTCGCATATAGCAAATGCGGAGTCCAGGCTCAAAGTCGTTCCTAATATAATATTTAATCATGTCAAAAGACTCTTCGCCGAGAGAGCTGCCCATCGAAGCTTTACCTCAGTGATAAGCCATATATGGTTATTTACTCGTCCTCATCGTCCCCATCGTGCTGCCGATATCTATAATTCCCCACCAACCGAAGGCACAAACTCGTGTTGTCAAGAAAGAGGTTGACTTTAGGCGTGTCTAGTTGATTCCGTGTTTTCGACAACCCAGCCGACGCAGTCGTGATCCGAGACTTCGATAGCAATATTCGTACAATACTCGCCACAAATGAGGTGGGACGTAGCCGAACTGTTCAACGACCGGCGACAGCTACGATGGCTTCGGATGTCGTTGCGACTGTTGTCGAGATTGCTCATTTGACAGGACGCAAGCCCCTCTTCTGTAGTTAGAGACTTGAGAATTTTTGATGTTTGAGTTGGTTTGTTAAAGTGAAAGATGATGAACTTTAATGGGAGAGAACATAATTTCAAAAGGTTCATGTGCCTAGCAGCACCTAGCGCTGATATATGCTAACTTAATGGCGGTGGAGCTACAATTGCTTATGTTAATGAAATGCGTTGTTTCCAGGGGAAATGCAACTATTTCGTAAGAAATTATCACGGAGAGCAATATTCTAAGATACACCATGTGTCTATCTATGCGCTTTCGAAACCAAATTCTGCTGTTTCGGTGGATAGACAGGGATTTTGGGTGAGGCATGTCGATTTCGTATGGCTGAGTCGCTGGTGTGCTGACTTACTAAGCCAAGGGCGTCAACTTCAGCCTTGTCGGACAGACTACTCCAGCATCATTTTATCACAAATATAGGACCCGAGGTTGGGTTCCTCTGGGATTTGTCTTCTATGTAAGCCAGACAACTTAAGATTTCTTTCACTCTCTAAGAGCCTTGCTCATGCGCTGGTTCTAATGGTCTACTAGGGCAACTGTGCCACAAGACCCCATACATTCTTGGCTGCCCCAACATACCATTATCAATGCCCGATGTCCATCGCTGTGAAGGAGAACAGGAAAGGTTATGAACTTAAGCGCCGTTCACGTTCGGAGCTGCACCAGACCAGACACTTCCACCTGGAGCAACATACTCAACTTGGCCTGCATTAACCTGCCAGAGCTGAACTAGTACCTGACGAAGAAGGCAACAATTAGTGGAGTGAATCACGAATCCTACGTTGGAGTAGGTTCACTTACACCTTTAGTATCGTCAGGATTATATGCCCCCGGCAAAGCAACACCAGACGGGAGCTGTTGAGTTCCACTCCCAGACACTGTCAATTGAGAACAGGATCTTCGGGCGCGTATCAGCTATTTGCTCCTTTACCTCTTCGAAAGGACACTACTGGGAGCTAGACTTACGGGTAAAATTGTGCACCCATTCTTTGCCCTGCGACATGCAAGCCTAATATTTCGTGCCGAAGCACGTACTCTCCCGGTGCAAGATTACGGGGCACAGTAATCGTCCAAGAAGCTCCTTGCTTGGCGAGCATATCAGATCCCCACGGCGGGTTCTTCGACTTGTCATATGCCATCTGATCGATCTTTACCCAGACATTGCCGCTGTCACCTTTGAAAGACTTGCAGCTACCTGTGCATTTCGCAAGGTAGTTCATAACGGGACCAGAATGACTGGAACCCCACTGATCCCACTGAAGTTTACTGCGAGAAGTCAGCATAGAGAAGGAGAGGAACTCGGGTGATAAGAGGCACATCTTATCTCCCGGTTGTACCGGAATATTGGGAACTATGCTGCCATCGTTCGACCCGACGTTACAACTAAGAGCCTCGGTCAGTTTGATCATTTACACAAGAGAGAGCGCATGAAGGAGTAGCTCACGTGATGTTCTTGGTCGTAAAGTCAGGAACTGGTCCGTTGTTTTGATAACGTCGGGTATATCTTGTTGGAATAGGGGTAACGAATGGGTCGGAAAAAACCTGCCACCCTGTATAGTTGATGCCGTTGACTATTACTGTCTGTAAGAATCCATGTGCTGAGGCGACATTAGTGAGGGCGCTGATTGCGAGCGTAGAATACAAGAAGTTGACCATTGTTAGTTCTAAAATCTCGACATGCGGTATTGTAGAATCAATCAAGAAAGCCAGTAGTTCAAGAATACTGCAAAGAAAAACGTATATGCTATGGAAGGAATATTTCTAGAGGTTACAGAAGCCCACAACCTAGTAATTGATTGATCGAATGCATGGATGCTCCATCATTTGCACAATGATCTCGTGGAGAGACGCCTTGCCGCATGCGAAACGGAGAGCATGCAAACTACCTAAGTTAGTTGCTCATTCCACCAATCATCCACGAGACAATTACCTAGCTTCTGGAAACCCGGCGGCCGAAGCCGTTAGATACGATTTCATTTCTATCACACCCTTGCGGAATTTTTTCAAATGTTCGTGGGATTGGGAATTTCCTGGCATGCACGAGTCACGGCTCCCATTTAAGTATAAGAGTGTACTCGAAGCCGAGGCTGATGCGGAGAAAAACATTCTCTTCATCAACTTCGCCGCACACCTTGACCCTTCATTAAATCCACGTGTCATCTTCAACTGTGCTCCAAGGATACAAGCGACCTGGTTCTCCGAATCAAATCTCAACCCTAGAACGCGCGATTGCGTTCGTAATGGGAGATTTGTGCTCGACATATCGGACAATGTCTAAGAGAGCCTAGCTGAGTGCTGTCGTCTAGAAATGGCTAGTTCAAGAATACACTGAGAGTAAGAAAGAAAAAGCCAGCGGGCTCCCGTCACAATCACGAGAGCTTGCTTTGTTTCCAATCTTGGGAGTTACCACAGTCGATTTTTCTAGACTTCCATAACAATTGCCAAATGGTTCCCAAAGAACGAGCGCTCTCCCTCCCAAAGCTTTTGTATGCAAGAGTAGAATTTCGCCTACAAAGAAGACTAGACCTCAGAAGTAAAGATGGGAAAGTAGGTAGCACGGATAGCACTGAGAGCAAGGTCTTAAAGTGATAGGAGTGTATTGTAAGAGAGGCGAATCGCTGCTAAGCCTCGCTTGTTAGGATTTGTGCTTATATACAGAGCATAGGTCATGTGACCTACAAACAGGCCAGGTGAGGCCATACTGGCCCGTTCTGGGACATCCGGCCTTACATTATCCCCCTTCATAGTAGTCCTACAACCTAGAGGGTAGAAGAGATGATAATAGGCTAAGGTAGCACAATAAATTGTTATATGATGCCCTAAGAACTTGCTCCTGCCTATTTTAGTTAATTTAATACAAGTTTAGTTAAAAGCGACCTAGGGTTATTAGGTAAAGGTGAAGTACAAGTACAGGGTAGAAGTAAAGGTAAAAGCGAGATGGCAGTTAGGATAGTATATATAGGGTCTAACTGTTCTAGAAGTCTATCTCTTTTACACCTTTGCTCTTTCTATGGGTTAGAATTTAGAAGATTCTAAACTTTTTAAAATAAGTACATTCTAAGCTATTCTAGCGCAGGCTAGCGCAAAGGGTGCTAATAAGCCTTAATAGTTCTATTCTATCTTACTTACACCTACTTTTTAGCTAACATATTTCGCAAGTAAGCGGTCTACATAAGCAAACAGTCTACCCTAACAAATCTTAGCACTTTATGCTTTAATTAATAATGTATCTACTAATTATATTTTAACATACTAATAAAAAAGTTGAATACTTTTAACCTTTTAAGTAATCTAAAAACACTACATTTTAAGCATTTAAGCTATTAACTATAGTAATTTATAAAGTCTTTAAAACTATACATACTTAAAATGTAATAGTACACTTTATAGCATAACTATAACATATATTATAAGTAAGCAGTCTATATAAGTGAATAGTCTACTCTAATAATATTTTATACTTAGATTACATTTTCTTTTATAACAGCTACATTAATTAATTAAATAATAAAAAAATATTTTATAATATTTACTTTATAAATAGTATAAGTTCCGGGTGCTTTGGAATATTTCGAAAAATTCAGAGACTTATCCGGTAGAGGCTTAAGATCTGAAAGATGATTCTTGATAGACTCCAAAATATACCGAAACACCCTAGGTATTGCTAGCTGACTCACTTCCTAGCACTGCGTGTCGCCGTTCATCCCATATGCGAAGCTAATTCCCCACAGAGGTGTTCCTAGGAACTCCCCACCGAGGAAGCGGCAAAATTACCCTTGGTCACCTGGCTGCCAACGCTGCCAAACTGGCTTTACAACGCCCCAACGACAAGTTGATAAAACTGCTAGAAGAGGAGCCGGACATCCTGGAAAGGCAGCGCAGGTCATTTAGCTCCATCAGTAGCACCATATCGATTGCTTGCATTTCGGAAGAGAAACTAGCAGCGATTGGAATAGTCAGTTTTAGAAACTTCAATAATTGGCCCGACTCACAATACAACAAATAATTCCGCAGTATTCAGCAGAGTTGGGTGGGTTTCTTGTGCGAACTAGTACAGTACCGGAGGACCACATGAACATGTGCAAATTTGGAGACCGCAAAAGCATTGGTTACCAGCGAGTTTCAGATCATATCCTCGATTTTACTCGCCAGGCCGCCAGGGAGGTAGCCCAAGGTAAGCAGCCTATTAGAAACGATGACCGGCAGATCGGAATTCAATATCCTCCCCTCATGACGCAGGCCAGCTCTAGTCAAAGTGCACACTTTGAATCCACATCTCCGCAAGCCTCAAGTTCAGGGGGATATTTTGAAGTTGAGGAGGCATGAGAGTAGATTCCCTGTCGAAGAGGCTTTGCGGTCTCGTAGCAACGACTATCAAACGTATACTGTACTAGAATATCAGTCTGTTTGCACTTATATGCCACTGCTTCAGGGTTCTTCGATGCATTATAAAGTCCTTTCGAAACTGTCGATATGACAGCCTTACCGCTCAAAACAGCAACAACCTGGCAGAGATGATACACTGACATCTGGTCCAAAATTTGAAAATTTACAGAGGCGCCTCAAGTAGTGGTAAGACAAGTGTATACACTATTGATATCCTGGGACAGTATCTGCAATGTGTCAAAACAAATTTTCAGGGCTAACGTACCTGTAATAGAACAATATGGAACTCTTCTTGACAGTCTTGCGTTCCCGGAAATGTACGACCGAGAAGAGAATATTGACAAGACTCATGCTAAGACATTCGAGTGGCTTCTTCCGCCGATTCCTAACTATGGTGGGGGCTCTCGTCCATCGCCCTTTGTTGAATGTCTTCAAAACAATGAGAAGATTTTTTAGTTAATGTACGCCATGTACGCAACCGAAGAAGTCAACGCTCACACCCTTAGTGAAAATGCTGGCTCTGGCAAGTCAACACTTATGAAATTCCTATCCAATCACCCGCACCTCCGAGAGCACCTCTATATTTGGGCAAACGGGATACCGTACCTAACTATGGGGTTCTATTTCTTCGAACGTGGGCTATCGGTGCTCCAGAAGTCACAAGAGGGATTGTTAAGATCAATCTTGCATCAAGCTATTCGAAACAAACCGGACCTAGCGCCCATAATTACCGGCAAAAGTATGGGCGCAACTCCTGGGTGGTATAGGTCAAGGATGAAGGATGGTTGGACATGGCCTGACTTGACTACCGCATTCAAGAACTTACTAGAGAGAAAGCCTGCTGACCTAAAGCTGTGCCTGTTTGTAGACAGGCCAGATGAATATCGCACCCTTCGCCAGTCTCTTCAAGTCAGCATACTTGAGCAACAGGGACCGAGCCCCGCGAGCTCCAAGATGATCGAGGAAGGGCATGAAGAGATTGCCGCCCTAATTGAGAAAGCCGCTAAAGCATCCAATGTAAAACTATGCATATCAAGTCGGCCACTGCTGATTTTCCAAGACGCATTCGAAACTTTCCCACATATTAAACTGCCACAGCTCACGTATCAGGATATACTAGTATACATGAATGTTCGGTTGGGTAATGACAAAAAGATGATTCGGCTTAAGAATGCCCATCCTGATGGGGGGCTCGCATTAGGCAAAGAGATAGTTGACAAAGCATCTGGGGTTTTCCTATGGGTTAAAATCATCGCCAACATCCTCCTTCGAGGTATTCTGAAGCGCGATAGAGTCAAAGATCTGCAGCGAAAATTAAGAGATATTCCAGAGGAACTTGGAGGCAATGATGGACTCTACATGCGAATGCTCCAAGATCTCGATATGTCGGACCTCGAACAAGGAAACCGTCTTTTCAAGATTTTCCTTGCTGCGAGAAGCAAAATAGATGCGTATTATCTGTCACTCGGAGAAGGAGAAGACCTAGACACAGTCTTCAAGTCACCTATTATGAGACTGTCTCAGTCTGAAATCGAATGGCGAATTTGAGACATGGAAGATCGCCTAGTGAGCCGATGCGCGGGGCTTCTAGAACCACAACGCCCTAAGTCAGTTGAGTCAGAGGAAGATGAACCCCTGAAGAAATCGGCTACAGCCTGGAGTGGCCATGGCAGAGTCATCCAATTCCTTCACCAGACTGCCAAAGACTTCGTGCTCCAAGAAGAAAACTGGAGCCTCCTCTTGCCCATACAAGACAGACCAAAATTTGATGCGAACAGGTCTATGTTGAGCGGTTGTCTCCTTAAGCTGAAATTTACTGGCTTTGTCTCAGACGTTACAGAGGTATGGAAGACGATTAAAGAGGCAATATATTTTGCCGGCCAAGCATAGAAAACCACCGGAACACCTCAGCCGGGGATTCTTGATAGTTTAAATTCAACTGTATGGACTCTCTGGTATGCGCGCGAAATCTCCAACAGAGCCACCTTTTCATGAAAGCGACTCTCCTAGGTGGAAGAAACAGGGCTACCATTGGTCAGTGTGGGAGCCACAAGAAAGTGGTGGCAAGAATTATGAATGGAGAACCGATTTCATGGCGCTTGCTGTGCAGGGGAGCCTGACAAGGTATCTGAAGCATAAGTTCGAAAACGAAGGCTACCAACTCGCACATAAAAAGGGAAGGGGGCTTCTTCCCTACATATTCGTCCCTGAATTGCTACACACAATGCTTCAATATACCTACAACAATTACCTTGGCGTTGATTAGTCAGACCCAGGGACGGCTGAGTTGCTGTTAAGGAGAGGAGCAGACCCAAACGAGGTGTATGAAGATGGTGAAGACTACTGGTATGCGCAGGCAGGCTCAAGCACCTGGCAGTGCTTCCTGGCATGGGGTCTCAAACAACTAGAACGTCGAGGTGATAGCCAAGGGATTACAGATGCAAGGGGGTGGACTGAGAACGCAAGACTTCTCCTCAATTATGGTGCCTATCCCAACATCAAGCCTACCGTTTTATGACGGCAATTATACCCACTTATGAAGGGATTTGTTAGTTGGGGGGACATTGTTATATGCAACATGTCTCTATATTCGCATACTCGAAGTTTTCTTTAACTGCTTATTTGCAGCAACCCAAACTCTTATCATAACCAGGCATAAGCTGTCGTAAGGCTTATTGATATCATCAAATTGCTCTCACCATCGCCTCAGGTGTGCGAAAGGAGAAATGAAATACTCTAGTAACATTATTAAGGTATTGATAAAACGCATGATTATTGCTGGCGGAGTTGTGAAGGTGGGAGCTTCCTCAGTCTAGAGAGGGCTGGGTAATTGTAAGGGCCTGCATTTTCAGCTCAAGGCTTCAGCCTCAGCCTTTCCGGGCAAGCTGCAGCTCGAGCGTCCATTGCAACATAACTTTATTTCCCAGGAGATATACAGGACTCGAGGTTGGGCTCATCTGTAATTTGTCTTACTATTCAGACTGACGATTCATTTATTCCTTTCATTGACCTTGACTCTAAACATGTGTTTGGCTCAATAGGTTCTTTATTCTAGAATTAGGAAGGTAGGATATAGAGAGTCCTCTCCTAGGCTAGATACCTTACTCATTAATATTTATTTATCAAATATAACTTCACTTCCACTTAAATTATGGAGTATGGGAGAGTGCTCTAAATCCCTCGATGAATAGACAAGCTTTGGCAAAAACGTATGAGAAAGCACTAGCTGCGGTTGCACGCCATACTAAAATCATATGCACCCATCTGGTACGGGTTGGAAAATTGATGTCCATGGTAAGACAAGCCATCAATAGTAAAGCATGCCGAATAAATGAAAAATATCCCAGATTGAGTACACTGAGACTTTTGGTAATCTAAAGCTCCTCAGAAGAAAGTCAACCGACCTCTCTATTGCGGTACAACCGGGTACTCTCCCTATTGAGCCTACCTCAAGATGCTCCCCTGATGTGAGCGAGAACTTTTCCCCGGCCTTGTGCTCACTCCATACGTCCGGTAGCATTAGAGGACGTACAAATGTGGGTTGGTAGACATCAAATGGGTTCTTCCACCATAATTTGTATATCAATACGGCGCATATAGAATGTGCGCAAGTGTTAAGCTGATTTTATAAGCCACATGCTCCTAAAGGCGGGTCTATTGCTTACCTCAAATAGACTGGTTGGGAGCGGCTGCGCCAAACAAGCTACACACGCCAAATAAAACTCACTAGATTGCCAAAGGATGAAGGTTTTCGCCAGATCGTCTGGCTTGGTCTTGTCTTCTATCTGGGACTCTGGGATATTCAGAAAAAAGCCGGGTCTCCTTTCTATAATACTCCCGAATTCTTGGAAGGTTAGGATCTCTGTGTCGTGTCCGGAAGGAAGGCGACGATGGCTTGGGAACCGTCTGTGCGGATGCGAAAACTGCCCATGATGAGAAAGTCCGCATGTACGATCATCATCAATCTTTCATTACTATATGCTGATAAGGACTCTCTTCATAATGTGGAGCTTATTGTAATAGAGTGTGACCTACATTAGAAGCTTTAACTATCACCAAGCTTTTTAAGAATGCTCAGGTCCCCTAGAGTTGGTACCAGACGGTGAAAGCGACAATATTTCGCGCAAGAAGACCAAGAAAGAGCCATCCAAGTTTCTTTAGCAGTCGATGCAACCACTCACCAAATTAAGTGTAAGTTCATTCATTTAACCTAGGAAAGATTAGGTGGACCACTCTCCATACCCACAACAAGGCCGTAGTGAAGCAGATAGAAAGGAGACCCATGTGTCACGACTAGTCGGCTCCAAATATCACTTTCTGGTGACTTCCAATTCGTCACTAAGGATGAGTTGCAGCATAGAGAGCTGCAACAAGAGCCTCCGACAGACACCATATAGGAAGGTGAGAATGTCGTAGATCTGATGTTCGTGCCAACAGGACTTTAGACAACAACCTGGTGGTTAAAGAGGCTCATTTGGAGATAATTTAAGTAAAGATCTTGCAATGAATGACTTAGGCCGCGAGATGCCTAATGCTCTTCAGCAACTCCTCAAACCTCCATCCACGCTTCTAAATATTCGCCGCAATGGACATGGCAATAGCCACCAAGGAAATTCATAGCGACTAATCGGCAGGATACTCTTCCAAAGGATGAATTACTATCATATTCCTTCTTTGGTTGAGTTCTTCATGGCCTTTAAATTATAGTAGAGCGCGTGAAAAGTGCCCGGTTTTCATTCCCCATAGAGACAATTGCCTTCAATTAATGAGTTGGGTATCATTCAGAAGAAACGAAATGAGAAGAACTAGGCGTTTCCTGCCTGCAACCACCACCGACGGCAACTCAATCCGCACAGACCTGTCCTCCTAACCAGAATCCGCTCATCCACAGCAGACCCCAAGTCGGCTGTGCGAAACTCCGAAGTACCGCAGGACCAGGACACGTCCCCGTCAATCCCCAACCTAAACCGAAGATGGCCGCGCCTAGAACGAACTTCCAGTCGGTATCCTTAAGTGTCTTCTTTGGCAACTCGAACTTCTCATTGAAGCACGGAGGTTGGGTAAACCCTTTTGCTTGAATTTCGATCAAATTGGGCAAGATGCCAAAAATTATGACTAGGCCCATTGAGGGATCCCAAGCCTTGAGGTTGGGGAAGGAGAGGAAGGAAAGCACTTTGCCGGGAGATGCCATTCCAGTGATGTGTAAGCCAAGTGCGAACTCCAGACCAGAGAAGAATTGGGTCGCGAGACGTGCCGGTGCGTCTGGATTGAATTTGCAGTCTGTCTCTGAAAAGCTGTCGATGAGCGGCGGTAGAAATTGAGCAGCTAAGATGGTTCCCGCAGTCAAGACAACGAGCGATATTATAGTTGCAGTAGACGGATAGGTCGGGGTGTAGCAAGGCACTCCAGCCTCACAGACGTCTGTGAGAAGAGATGGATGTGCAAGATGGTGTGTAATCATGGCAACTGGGAAGAAAGTTGAAACGGCGACAATCGAGCGGCCACTGAGGCGAGATAGACCACAGAGCATATGGCCAGAGGTGCAGCCATTGGAAGCCTTTCATTCATCAGTGCCTACATTTAGGTTACTTTAGAGAGTGCTTACTTTAGTCCCCCACCCAACAAGTGCGCCAACGCCTACGGTCACTAAAGCGGCTTGTATTGTGGTTGGGACTGGAGGATATGCTCGGAGTAGTTCAGGGAGGAACATTTTTAACGGCAAAAGACTTATTGCCATTCCAGCAAAGAACGAAGCCATTCCTTTTGTCGGCGCAGAGAGTATCCGGCGCAGGAATCCCGATGCTCCCAGCACACAGCCATTCTGGAAGAGAAGAACGCTCGTGGCTTGGTGGAGCAGGACTGCTCCTAGGCTCGTTTCAACAGGAGTAAACATGGAAGGGTTGAGACTAAGATAGTCAAAGCAGACAATATGATTTACAGTAAACAGTTGATGGTGATGGTATTGCGACTTCAAGACATTTAAGAACGTCATTCACACGGACAGGAGATACGGAAAGCCATAGCGAGATCAACAACACTGATTACATAGTGGTGCTGGGCAAAACATGGGTCGCTGAACCGAATCCTCAGGCGACCTTGACAAAAGCAAGCAGCCGGCGACCCTGCATGCCGAGGGGCAGCCATGGCCCTGATGGCGCAGAAAAGGGTCTTGACACGACGGTGGCGAAGGAATGAATGATAAACAGCGAATCAGGTCCGTTGGGAATAGCGTATCCGGCATGCCGAGCAGTTGGACACGCGGTGGCGGAACCCGAGCTATCGGCAGCTGGGACGTTCCTCGCCGACAAAGGCACTCTCATCTCCACCTCTCCTCATTACCGCCATGCTTCTTTCATCTTCTGCGGTGCGGCTTCATGAGTGCTGTTTGTCCGTATCGTATTTGTTCTCAGTTTCACCATTTGCATACCCACTCTTTGCTGAGTAACGACTGAGCGCGCGCATGGAGGAGGCGTGCACATCATCCTTCGCCCGTGAAGGTCGGCGAGGTGGTGGAGGGTACGAGCTCCAGCACAGGAAGGGATCACTGACTGAAGTCGGTCCGCAAGTTATCAAGGATTCACCAAAACTGTAATCAGAATCTCTAGATTTCTAATTCGAGACTCGTAGGGACGGGCACGGAGCATCGAACTCTTCCAGAAAAGTGGCAACGGCCAATATTGTTCTCTTCAATCAGAGTCTAGCATGCATATTAACCTATTCTGTGACCTCTCTTCGACATTCTCGAGATGTGATGCTGCACCAACCTTTCCTAGTTCCTGTTCTAAGACTCGGTTCGACTTGCATGTTCAAGCTTCACCAGGTCGCCGACCTCACACATTAACGCCGGCATTGTCAAATGAAATGCAAATCCCCACGTATTCCTGTCGTTTATGCGTCCTTTTGTGCCACAATGCGCACTACGAAATTTGAGAACGCCTCCCCGTTTTTCCCATACGCCGCTGTCATCATGAACGATGATCCTTCTGGAAGCTGTCAGACGCCAGTAAAGAGGCAAAGATTGCCCATGCGTCGGCTTGGTGGACCTTGGAACATGTGAACCGGGTTGAGGGACTTCATCTCTCCGATGCTGAATGATATATAGGTGGGTATGACGCTCGCAGTTTTGTGTGCCTCTCACGTGATTCACCCCTGCAAGTGGTGGACATTATCTCTGCGATATGCAAGCCTCGAGCAACGCACATTCTCGTACCACCTCCCGAGATCCTGCCGGCGACATAAGCAAGCTTGCTGGCGAGGAAGTCGCCGACCTCCCCACCGTATCCTGCTGTCCACCTTTTACTTCTCACGGAGCCCCCTTGATTGGTAAAATCTAAACAGATCTCATTCCGAGAGGTTCAGGGGCGGGGAGAGGACTCATGGTCTCTCGGTATTCCACTCTCACCACCGGAAGTCGTCGAAGAATGGCTCACAAAATTCTCGCCGAAGCGATCAGTAATTACATTCTTCTGTCCAGGCTTATCCTCGGGGGATTTTGATAATTAAAATTCTAGGTGGGTAGTAGCCTTTCGTTACAAGGTCCTTCCTTCCCGCCCTTTTTCATACAAGACCTTTTTTTGCTCCGGCACCAAAAGCCTCCGGAACAGTTGAATCTATCGTCGGGTTCTCGGGCAATCGCAGTCTTCTTTCTTAGTCAGATGTTAGCTTAAGCTGTTACTTCGGCTTGTTCTAGAGCCGGAACGACCGCAGAAGTTGTGTTCACCGTTTATGTCCGGGTATTCGAGTCCCACATTCTCATTGGCTGTCTTACTCTAGGCATTCGTACGTCATATAGTTTTACGAAAGGAAATGTAACAGTTTACGCAAGGATGGTTCCTATTATGTTGTCACTTACCCCGGTTCTCAGTTTAACATTTGTATGGTACATGTTAACTATTACTATTCAAATCTTTCCTAATTTCTTCCTTCATTTCCCAATATGCGACTCCTAATCTACCATTGCCGAAAAACTTCAAAGCCATTAGTGAACGCGATCACCAAATAACCACGCCAGGCCTATGGAAGCCCACGAACCTAAACTCTACACCGATCACATATCCGGCTATTCTGCATCCCTTCTCCTCTCCTCCCAACCTCTCTAGCCTGTGTCCGAGTCCTCCATGAGCTTTCTCATCGCTACCAAATATGCCTCAAAGTTAGACATTTCCTTCCCAACTCTCCAATACGCGAAATCAATAGGTTTCCTCACTCCTATCCACCCATCTAGTGCCTGTGGCAGCTTCAGGTCAACTGAATACATTCCTACTCGAGTCTCGACGTGCGCTTCCGCGAATATTAGGGTAGATAGCTTGTCATACCGAGAAAGGCAGGATATGGGGTTGTGTGAGTTGATGTATTTAAGAGAGTATACGTGGAAGAACGCAGAATATGTTTTGAAGTCGGCGGGCTCATGGAGGTTTTCGATGACAGCACTGGGTGAGGCGTTGTTAGCGGAGGATGGAGGGATTGAAAAGTCTATAGAGGAAAGCCTACGGATTATTAGACTGTGGGTGGGAGAGGCAACAAGCGTTTATATGGATACATGTGCGATATTTTATGGGAAGGGGGGGTTTCAAGGCTTGAGAGGGTTCGTTCGGTGCTTGCCGGTGGCTGCATTTAGTGGTTGCTGCACTCTTGTTTTCTTCGTTCCCCCCCTTTCTTCTCGAATACATAAAGCAAGCTCGTTCATTCATCTTTGTAGTTGCTCCAATTCTTCAGTCTCTGCCTCAGGACATTGGAAATTGTTTGCTGGTTAAGGAATGCCCTATTATAAAAGAAGACATATCGCGGTTAATGTCTGGTCCTAAACTCGTCCTTCAAGAATTTTCTATGGAGCCGGGTAGCTAATTTGTGCCGAAATATGAGCAAAGGCGTTCATGATTACCAATGGCGGTTAGCATCACTAGTCCTCATAGGCAATTACGCGTTTCCTGTGCTAAGGCTCTTCACATTTTCACCCCCGGGACAGCCTGCGAATCTCTTAGAACTGGGTGGTGGTGAACAGGTAAGAGTAGTCACAGTCTTGGCTGCGTCTTTGCAATTCCGTACTGCCCAACTTGATTTTTTTTTGAGTTTTGAAGGGGACTATAATGATTGAGTAATCACAGTTTTATTGCTCGATATAAGAAGTAAGCTATGTTTTTTTACCTGCCTGAGAGTAGCACTCGCAGGGGTAGTCCTGCGAAGGTTAGAGAAAGATGAGGGGTTTATATACACCACTGCGACATCGGGAGTAAATGAAAGGAGACACCATGTCATTGTTTGAGCACTTTTCCAACTTTTATTCACTCTGTCAATTATGTATCACGGGTAGGATGTATGAGTCTCCATTCACGAACTTTGTATCCATCGCTGCTCTCCTCTCTTGCTCTAACAAAGTGCTAAAGATGGCACAAATTCTATGATATGAGCAAACATTTTGAGATTGCACATACGAGATAAGGTTTCTATTTGTAGTCACCATGTTGCCTCAAGAACCCACAGTCTCGTAAACCACTCGCACCTGATCTGCATCCTTCTTCCGAAATATCATTAAGATGTCGCAATCATTCACAACGCTATGAACATACTTCTACATCCATGCCAAACTTTCTCCGTCTACTCTCATAGGACGTATTTGATGTCCCTGCAGCAACCTCACTAAAACGGCGACGAACTCCACCTGCGAGGAACTTCCGCTTGGGACTATTTTGCGGCCTGGGGGAAAATATATAATCTGTGCGCTGGTGTAGATATTGCTTCCTTGGGCTTGCCAGGTAATGAGCCAAGCGAATCACATGTGGCCCATCGCGAGGGCCACCATGCAAGGAGATCAAGCCAGTACGGGGATAGGTGTGCATCCTTAGCACGCTGCCGAAAATGCCAATCTGTCGAGCTAGTGCGATTGTTTTTCCATTCGCTTCGAACGTCTACGGCTATGCATTCTTCCATATCGGAAGAGACATGATAAGTGGGGAGAGTCTCAAGCTGTATTGACAATATGATCCGCAGATGTGTAGGCTGAAGGAATCTGGAACTTACCAAGACTGCGTGGTACCTGACTAACGCGAGCAGACTCCTAGGAAGCTTGAGGGCGCGGTGTCGAACGAATTCATCTACGGTTTTCACATACTTTCTCTTGTCAAGAGTGAGCACGTATTATTTCGGGGCGGCATAGAGGATCCGGTTCCTAACCCTATTTCCTCTCCCTGTTGGATTTTGGGACCTAAGCACCAAGTGAGAACTAAATGCAAGTAGTGGATATCCAGAGTAGAGTTCAAGCTAGTGGAAAACCGAGGATGAAAGCGAGAAGTTTGCTATAAAACCATCCCGATCGCGGGGTTCCCAGGCTTCACTACAGTTCCACCTCTCTCTTCCAAAACTAAACGTAAATCCTTCATCATCATATGAGAATTGCTAGAAAGGTAAATGTAGGCATGACGTGGTACTTCGTTAGAGCCCAACTTAAGCTCCTGCCAGCTCTCGTTCTCATGCGGTAGCATGGTTTCCGTTCTCCACCCCGTTAGCCAAAATAGGTGCAAGACCAAATGGTAGTGAAGAATCGTGGTAATAAGGATCATCGAATCGCATGCTGAGTACTTACGACCTAGCCTCCCTAGTCTCGTCTTCATCGTCCAAGTGCTTTTACGAGAGACTAAGCACCCCTCTCCCCCTGCCTCACCTAGAGGTATATAAACACCCTTACATTTCTACAATTCTTTCCCCACTACTGCGATATAGCTCAATCTGGCTTGAAGATAAAATCCTCTCTCATGAGATATAAAAATCACCTGACGATTGCGACAATGTTTCCTTGCCCCCGCTATTCCAAAACTAGGAAGACTTGCAATCTATGAAGCCTTGCGAAGCCATGACAGTAATTGGATGCTTAACACTGAGCTACTTTGCTGGTGACCAATTTACGGTGTGCCATGCTTCCTCCTGGTCGCGCGTATAGATCTACCAGACTTTCCACTTATGAAGGCTGTGGTTATTTCGCGGTCATTTTTCATAGCATAGTCAGCCGAAGATTGGTTTCGTATACATAGAAGTGAGGATTGAGCAATCACATATGACTGGAGCAAAGGGACTTTTGTACATGTCATCCCTACATTCGTCTGTTCGGATGAGGTTGTTGCAAGCGGCGGGAGCACGAGCCACGTATCTGTCCTCTTGGCTTTATTACAGTTATATTGCATGTCCATACTAAAGACGTAGTGTAACAAGTCAAAACTACTAGGAAGTTGAGGTCTTTATCTATTCACAAGGCAGCTAACGGGTCGATATGCCCACCATTAAAGCACTTGTACCCAGATACTTCTACGTTGTCTAAACTTACCCGGCTGGTTTTATTTCACCCCAAGACGCCTATACTGTGTCTATTGGCTATGTCTTCAGCGTACTCGCCGCCACCAGAATCGCCATTGCAGTCTTCTCAACATACTCCTGTGCAAGCGTAAGATTCCCCGCCGTTACCGCCTCCGTAACCCCTGGAAACGTAGCCGGTGCATATCCCGTATCCAAGCCCGGCGCAAAAATCAAATTCTGGAAGAACTCTCGTCCAGGAAGGCCTCCCTGGCTTGTAAACCCTCTGGAGAAGTCTCGCGCTTTATGATTGACGACGGTCAAAAGTTCGGAGTTCTGTGTAGTTAAGGCGAGGGAGCGGAGTGTATTGAATTGTTGTGCCGAGGCCTCGAAAACGGCCAAGGCGTATCTCAGGGGTCCGAGGTCGAGAGTACTGTTGGTGGAAGCGATGGCGGTGTTTAGATTTTTGAGGTAGGTTGTCATTTCTGGGGTGTAGTTGGCTGGTTCGAGAGGAAGCGAAGCATCACTAGCTATGTGGTAGAGCAATAGAGTCAGGTACTGGCCTATAGCTTTATGCGTAATAAATCCGGGGTCTCCAAATGTTGACATCCAATGAAAACTGTCATAGTTGGAATGATAGTGATAGACAGGATCAGTTGGACCTCTTCCCGCGCCTAAGTCAATGGATCCAACACCGCGGTGTAGGAATGACGTGTAATCACTCCCACTGCCGAGTACTCCTACTTCGCCGTCTTCTTCCATCCAGACGTCGTACATGGTACGGTTTGTAGTGCCGCGATAGGGCCAAACAATCTTTTTCATGAGTTCGGTGCTAATGGCATGGAGATCGGGACTAGCTGCTATGCCAGGTATGGGACCGGAAACGGCAATGTCGACATTTAGGTACGAGACAGCCGCAGCCTTGAGCCAGGGCATGTATTCTTCCACCCACTCTGTGCTTTTATTTGTCAGTGAATGATTATACGAGGCAACGCTATAGACTACTACCTACCTTCCAACAAGGCCATACTCTTCCGCGTCCCAGCTGCAAAGAACAATGGTTCGTGTTGGCTTCCAGCCAGTCTCCATGAGCTTGCCAAACGCTTTAGCTAGCTCAATCAAAACCGCTGATCCTGAATTTGGATCCGCTGCACATAGTAAGATACCATGTTTGATCAATGAAATCCTCTAAGGACGTTTGGTAAACTCACCAGCACCTCCCACAATCCACGCATCACGATGATTGCCGACAATGACAGCCTCGTCCTGGTTTGTGCCATTGATAATTCCAACAACATCCCAGATCCACGTCATTTTGTCCTCCATTTGGTTGCTCATTGTTAGGGTAGCAGAGGAGCCTTGTCCAGTATTATACTGAACTCCTGGAATTGCACCCACCCATCCCGTACGATTCACCAATGTTCCATTCGCCCCGTAGCCATTTAGTGCTTTGAGGATAGGCTGAGCATCTTTCCAAGATATTGGTAGAGAAGGAATACGAGGAACACTAAGGCTTATGTCTGCTCTCGGAGAATCCTCCTTGGATGTATACCCGGGGGTCGTCGGATCACCTGGGTAGATGCTAAGAAACTGTACGCTGCCTCTCTGAACGGTCGTCGGATTTCTTGCTGGGCCATTTGGATAGGCAGCAACTCCTTTCGCTTCTGTTACATTTCCATCGTCACTCGGGTCGGAAAAGATGACGCAGCCAATCATTCCGTGCTCTTGCGCATTTTTGACTTTGAGCCCTCGGAACGGACCACCATATTTCGCCAGTGCAATTTTCCTTCGAGCTCTACACCCAAGGCTTTGAGGCGGTTAAAATCCACCTGTTGTCCTCTTCCGACGTAAACGTATTCAGCAGACGCGTTTCCGGAGAAAGAATAGCCGTGAAACGTCGGGATCCGATTTGGGTAACTAGACACTTATTAAGTCCTGGTTTATGCTGCTCATTAGAGCTCTGTACCTTGTGGTATCATCCTCTGGAAGCACCGCTTCTTGCAACGATGGAGTGAAAACAGTTCCATTTGAATAAGTGAGTTGAAGAGAATGAGAAACGGGATAGTTCAAAAAGACATCTAGTAACCATTAGCTGCGAAAGGAAGCCGGAGCGAGCGCGAGCGCACAGTATTCGTCCAATTTCGAGGTGAACCCAAACTCGGCCCATCGATCCGCTGTCCACTGAGCCATAGTCCTATTCCGACCTGCAACGTGGTCCCCATGAGCTAGGATATTTTAGTACTTCCCCTCTACTCTTCAAAAAAAAAAATTTAATCTTGAACGCACTGTAGTAGTAGGACCACGTCGAGATTGAAGTATTGTCAAATGAGTCTATCAAAATCTGCTCATTCCGATCCAGGACTGGAGGGAAGGTGACATTATTAGCTTGTCGTTTTACATGCTTGTGAGGATAATTGAGTGTTCGCTCGCGTTGGCAGGCATGTGCACCAAATGTGGCAATTAAGACTAATATTAACTTCATTGTCGACACATTGAAGAACAGGAAGGAAACATGAATAAGGAAGTAGTGAGAGTGAGTGCGGTAACGAGGAAGAAATATGAGAGAAGCGGTAGAACAACATTGATAAGGTTAATGGGGCGAGTTACACTAGTGACGATTCATGCCGGCTATCTTGGAGTAACGGAAATGATGCCGTGGAAGTGGTCCTGCCAAAGTAGGTTGGCCTTTTGGGAATAAACAGCTTACCCTTGCCAACAGCTTCAGGCTCCATTCGGGAGGTTGCAAGGCCATTTACGCGGGGCTGGAGTATTAATGTGGCTTGGCATTCATCACGACAGTGATATGCAGAGGGGCAGGCGATAAACATCTCCCAAGGTCCAGATACCAGCCCATTCACCCCGCAGTGGACACGAGACGTACAGCGTCGGCAGATTCAGGAAATGCTTCTCGCATTTGCGTACTTTATTCAGGACCAGATCCTGGGAATGACAAGGATCGGCGGTGACAGGCTGAGCGACTGCACAGAGCCGGAAGACGGGATACGGAATACGTGCCGAATATCAAGAACAGGCTTGAATGGAAGGTCGCGCACATTTAGCGAGGAGATGAGGAAGTTAATGAAGCTGGGAGAGCAATGAGGGATGTGTGATGAGCGCGGTGAGGTTGAGCAGAGAGAGATGGTGGCGTTGCCTGTGGCTTGTTGAGCGATCCGACTATTCCCGTTCAGGCTGGCCAGCGGAAAAGCAAAGAACAGATCCCGGCCAACCATTCTGGCGGCCATGATGCAGCCAAAACACGTCAACAGCAGTCAGAGGCAGACTCAAAGGGAGTCTGTCACAAACAGTACTAACCACTAACAATCACAGCACCAGCTCTTCCCGCCGGCAATCACCACTCTCTCTCCTCTTCTCCGCCTTCTACATGCATATACAGCTCCTTCCATCCCATTGTCACCATGTCGGGCCTCTCAACCACACCGCGCTTCCTTCCCCCAATATCTCCCCGACGAGCCTCATCGCCTACAATGTCACCTGGCCGGCGGATCGGAAGAACGGCTGGGGGCTCTGAGGAGAGCAATCTTCGCGACATGTCCCCGAGCACCACCCTGCGAGCTTTTACCGAGAAACCAGTCCCATTCGATACCACGCGCGACGAGTACAAGATCTTCGCTTGCATCGAGAATCTCACGCCGGCAGAGAGAGACTTGGGTGCGAGGGTCGCAAAGGCAGCGCAACGACTGAAGAGCTGGTGTGAGGAGATCGACAAGTGGGGCTGGTCAGGCACCTTTGAGCAGCCCAGCGAGGCCTACCGAGAGACACGCAGGAGGAGCGTAGAGGCGCACATCCGGGAGCATGTGAAAGACTCGAATGGAGCTATTGGCAGTATTGGTCCGCTGGAGTACTGGGGTTCGCTCCTGTCCGTTGAGGTGGAAGCCCACGAGGCCCGCCTTGATGAGATATCAGAAGAGCTTTTAACGTTGGACATCGAGGAGTTGAAGGGCCACGTCCTGGATATTCATGGTCCAAACAAATCGAGACCTTCGTCGGCCGGATATGAGGCAGTGCGACAAAACTACACCCTCATGGACGACTTCTCAATCATACTCACCCAGACGCTCATTTCCGCACTACCGCATCATTATCAACTCGGGGAGCGACTCAATACATGGACCGCGCGTGTTTCCATCCTCCGCGAAGCGCCACACTTTCTATCCGATCTCCAAACCTCGCAGAAGGCGATGCGGCTCGGCTGGGAGGCACTCGAGCCACCAAAGGATCTCTCAGACACCTCGTTCAACAAGTGGAAGGAGGCTGTGGGCACCATTTCGGGCGTACTTCAAGGGAAGGTTGGAGATCTGGGCCAGCGTCTTGACCGCATGCTAGATACGCTCGAAGGACGAGATGACTGCTTGCCGGACGAATGGATTGACAACTTTGAAGGGCTCGAGGCAGATTATGGGCAATGGGCACACGTCTCGCGAAGGAGAATTATCGAATTTGACGTTCGGAGGAAGGTGGAACAGAATGGGGTTGAAACCAGAACTGGTGAGGCTTCCGAGAGGCTTCACGCACATGCCGATCACGGCAACACAATGGAGCCAAAGAAGGACGAACCCGCGGCGATAGAAACAACTGAAGAACCTGCACCGGAGCCAGTAGAAGCAAAATATATTAAGCTCCCGAATGTCGAACAACAACGGTCCGTCACTGCATTTAAGACGGCGATCCCTGAGGCACCTAGGCACCAGTGCCACGCAGAAGTTGACGAAATAATACAGGAAATAGCTTCAGACCATGTCCCATCGAGTCCTCTTGAAGAGTCGGTATTCGAAGAAGGGGACACGGTTGTGCACAATGATTTGCCGGAGAGCTCAGAAGATCCCCTTTCTTCCAGGTCCGAACTGATACACTTTCGACCCAGATCAATCAGCCCCGTGTCACTCCTTGTCATAACTACTGAAGAACAAGTCGATGCTATCGATCTACCAGACATACCTCTGACACCAAGATCTCGATGTGGCAGCATTGGCTCAATTTCCTCGAGCATCTCGTTCCCTTCCAGTCCCCCCGGCACAGTCGAAGAATCCCCTTCTGTGCGCAACGCAACAAACCGCCAAGCCAAACCACCGCCTCCCGCGCTCAATGCAGCAATGGGGAAACGCCGTCCTTTGAAGCACGTAAAGGAATCCGCAATCGACAACACCCCGCCCTGGCCGCCAACCCAATTCTCCAAGCACCTGGCTCCCAACAGCGCGGAAGACCTGGAACGCAAGATCTCCGATATTCTCACTACCATTCCCGCCCATATTCGCCTGACATCAGGACCAGAACCCGATGCGCCGGAGGTGAAGCCGGGAGGCAGAGTCACTAGCAAAGGAAGTAAGGGATATCTTCGTGCATCTCGCTCTGTCAGCGGCATGAAGTCCCCCCAACTTACCTTGTCCCCTGCAAAGCAAGACTTTGACTCTGCTAATGCTGCTTCAGGCCGAAGGTCCTCGGCGGCTTTGAGAGGCGACAACGATATCAAGCTTTATCACCTGACGCAGCCTGGTAAAGAGCATCCTGTCAAACTCTTTATCCGTCGAGTCGGCGAGAACGGAGAGCGCGTGATGGTGAGAGTCGGCGGCGGATGGGCTGATCTCGGCGAATATCTTCGGCAGTATGCTGAACATCATGGACGGCGCACTGTTAGCGAAGGGAAATTTGAGATTCTAGGTATCGAAGTCAAGAATCCGGAAGTCGCGCCACCCAGACCAGAAAGTGCGATGAGTAGGCGAGATAATAGTCGACGGTTTAGCGTTGGGAGTCCAAACTCCACACCTCAGAAATCTGCCGGCGTAGGCTTGTCTAGAGATGATGCGAGCTCCAACCTTCCAAACATCACAAACACTCCTGCTGGAATGAGCGCAGAGACTTCAGCCCCTTCCACAGGTTCTTCCAGGCACTCATGGACTGGAAATGAAGTTGGACTAGCTGGTCCGAAGTCAAAGAAATTAGATCTGAGTGGCGAGAAATTAGAATGGATCGAAGGAATGCTGAACAAGGCCCGCACAGCTAGCGGCAACATGACGAGTGCGCCGAGATCTGACCACACACCTAAAGACCCCCAGACCGACCGAGCAGAGAGTCGATCTGAGAGCAGGTCTGGAGCAAGACCTAAGCCTGGCTTTGGTGACTTGGGCAAGATCGGAGGAACCAAGCGCGTCTTCATGCGAGGTGGCGGGTTGGCTGAGCATTGAGGAAAGGTTGAGTATCTCATACTCCGAAGGACGTTATATTCGATTGCGTAGTTGCTTACGCTTTGTCCGTTGGAAAAATAGAAGGAGGGGTTGTATGGTGATATCATGGCATTGGCATCAGCGTGGAGTTTCATACCCTCGTCTCTTTTTTATCTAACACCTTGTAATGCTTGTTTCGTTCATCGTATTTTTTTTAGGCCTTTCTTTCTGCGAAATTGAGATCGAGGGCTTCTAGATTGGATTTCGTGGGATGAGTCATGATATGAGCATTTGTGGTTCTCAAACGCCTTAGATAAGCGGGCCTACAGGCATATATATAATAGGAATTCTATCTCGTCTCTCAATCAGGTCGTCTTTGCTGCTATTGGTGTCACTGCCGTTTGTTCTTCAGCATCTGAAGGTTGTTCCAATCTCAAAAGCTCCAATGCTCGAGACCACTCAAATATCCAATCACATGGCTCTCCATTGGACGACTGCTCGCACCTGTATAAACACCGCTTTTTGGCATTGCTTCATCTCAACACAACCCCCCAACTCAGCCCACCCAATAAAATAAACGATCCCTGATTTACGGATTACGCGGGCTACAGAGTTACAGTCCATGACATAAAACGTCTTCAGCTAGACGGTATATCGTAAACCCGAGCTCGTGAAACTATAAAAATAACTACAAGACGATCAATGTGCGTTGTCAAGCCTCTCGAGAATCAAAAAGTGGAACAGTCGTGAGACATGGTCGTGGTGGCCTTCGGGGAAGAAATACCACTGAAGTCGGATGACGTGTTTGTGGTGTTTCAGAGAGAAGGAAGTGATGTACAATAGTACATATGCGCGGAGGGTTATTCCTGGGAGCAGCTGCTTGGTGGTAAAAGAAATTTGCTGTTATTTGGTTGAAGACGAACACAAGAACCAGGATATGGAAGCGACCGCCAAATGGCGCCAACATCATTCGTCATCATGAGCCTTATTGGCTATCTTTGTTTGGGCACGAATACCCTCCCGAAATACTCATGGGCCTCTATCTCGATCGTGAAAGTTGCCGGGATTTGTAAGTTGGTGGCTCTGAGCCTCCTTGTGACTTTTACACTTGAACGTCTAGTAGATGCCAAGCTTTGTAGTTTAACAGTCCTAAACTAAGCCTTAGCATATTTGAGTAAATTTTAAGATAGATTCTTGTACTATACATATTACTTAGATGATAAGAGAGTAGTAATATGGAATGTACTTAACTGCCTCGCGCCTCTACCATAGATACTTTGCTGATGCCGTTGTTCCGCTAGTTCTTATAGCTTTGGGTCTATAAAACTGTACGTAAGCTAATACAAGAGCGCTCTACTAGTTTAGCTATTAGTTAAATTATATGCAGCTCTAATTTGAAATAGCTATTACTACCGCCCTAGCAGTTAGATTTATGCCAAACCGTTGCTAACTTAAGGACCTCTAATTACAAATTGAGATTTGCAATAAATATCTGCTTAAATTGTAACGAACGAATAAACAAAATTTTTACTGGATAGTTAGTACTTTGTCTAGGTACTACCGAAAATAAAAACTACACCAATGATATCTGCTAATAGAGAGTTTGTACGATACACACCTAGGTTGTGGGATCCGCTCTCAAGTGTCTATTTGGGGTCAGAGAAGATTGAACTTCTTTTAGCTGCATGGTTTGGCAGTGCTCACTGAGCTATGGACTAAATGCTCTCAAAAATCGACGCCGAAGATTTTGAAATCTAGTTCTACTTCTTCTTATGCTGGCTTCTCGTCTTTACTGTGGACAAAAAAAAGGCAAGCCTTCCTCATAGACTCCAAGACAGGAAGGCCACGGGTGGAAGCTCGATGGGTCGAGTCCCTAGTATGTATCCATATCGTTTGCTAGACGGCACAATACCATTACCGAGATGGGAAACAGTCCTTTGTTGAAAATTTAGAACTATGTGAGGGAGGGATTGTGATCTATAGACACCTGGAATTTGCAAGATGCCACTTTGGATATGCATAGCTCCCTTCTGCTGTTCGTCCTAGACTCCTTACGGAATCGCTTCCCCTTCGCTCTAAAACGAGAATGGTCTTCTTGGATGGTTAGAGTTGAATTGGGCATCTAAAAACAACTCCTCAACTATCATTATGCGATTTCTGGATCACCGCAGGGCGCAAAACCGTATACCCCCACACTACGGACCCCCGAGAATAAAGGAAACCTCAGGACATAGTATCTGGATTTTGGCGAGCTCCCGACCAAAAGCTCCCTATTCCTGGACCCCATGCTTTTCGATGGTGCGGAGCTTTTTAGAAATATACATGGCTGTTCGTCATGGAGAAAACGCGCGAGTGCTCGAATTTCATGGAGCGTCGGTTTTCTCGTCAGCGAGAATCTACGCTTAGTTCTTGAGCCTAATGACTCGAAAAATACATTCCTTAACAGCAGTAAGACGATAATAATATTGAAAGTTGGGAAAAGGATGCTAATGAGCGGGAATCGTAGGGTCCACATTCTGGATATATCTCTTTTATGCCCCGGCGCTAAATCCGCAGTTTATACCACATATTCACACTACCTCTGAGTGGGTAACCCTCGTGCGAAAACAAGGCAGAACGTACTAGCATACCAAATTCTGTCACTGAACATGCCTCGCCTACCCACAGCCCAAAAAGGATGCCAGAAATGTTGAACCCAAAACCACCTCAAAATGGATTTTGTGAAACTCCCGGTCTTTGTCACTTTTGGTCTTCCGACGAACCGGGAAAGAGCATACGTTTTGTTTGTTGACTAATATAGGGTGACTATCCAAGCTAGGCACAATAATGTGATTTAGTATCAGCTCGTTTGTAACCACCTACTAAGTCACCCGTCGCCTCCCCGCAACCTTACATCACCAAAAATGAAGGGACCTAAAGACACCATGTTTGATTGATGTGATTGAAATATTGGGAAAGTCAGGGACTTTTGGGGTTTATATGGCTATGAAGGGGATTTCGCTTCGGGACTGATGCGGTATTGTGGATTTTAAGTTTCTTCAACTGCTCTTAGATGGTTGCCTCTGGGGCGAAAGTCAAGTCACGTGGTAGTTCATTCACCACTTCCTACCTAAGTACTTTTGCGTAATGCCTTCATTTCAACCTTGCGACTGTCGCTCACCGCTCAATTGTGCGTGGATTAGAGTTGTTTGAGAGCAAGCACATTCGCAACAGCCCCAACCAGTTGAATCATTCTTGCTTGCTATCTTGATACTCACTTCTTTACCTGGGTCAGAGTGCCTTCCGTCACCAATGGAAACATTCCCCTAGGAAAGGAGAGCAACCGAAATGGGGAAGATGCGCTAAGCGAAATGCCTCAAGAAGGTGCCAAATGATGAACAGTACGCTTTACTAGTTCCTTCCCTTTGTCAACCAGTAAGGCTCAGTTGGGCTTTTGGGTCTGCTACGACGCATGTTAACATCTTTAACTTTTCATTCAGCCTTCTCACTACATCGCTAAGTGTGCGATTTTACTATTCTTTCTGACATCGTTTAAACCTTCTTACCAAGCTATTCATTTCAAACCGAGACGGCTGCGAAACTGACAGCGCGCCACCTTCACGATGTCCGATGATACCTTACACGGCGATGACCCCGAGCTCAAAGCGAAAAAGAAACGTAGAAGGGGGACGAAAGGGGGGAAGAAAAGGAAGAAAGGGGGTGATGGAACAAATAGAACAAACAGAATGAACGGAATGAACGGACTGAATGGAACGAGCGGCACGAATGTAACTCCAACCCTTCGGAATCCACCACCCACAACACCCACCAAGCTTCTGCCCGAAGGACACATCCCCATTTCTCAAGTTACCCTGCCTATTGTTCAATCGTTCGAGGATCGCCTTGAAGAGTACAGCCGAGAACTACGGAAGGATTTGGAGCAACGGCGGAAGATTGAAGAATACCTGGACGGAAATTATCGTCAAGGATTAATAGTGCGGATATACCGGGAGCAGCTGAATAAATTAACGGAACGTCTTAATACTAGGCTAGATGAGATCAATTCACTGCGACGGGAGTTGGAGGTGGCCAGTGGTGTGCTTCACGGTCTTACGCGGTCGTTTAAAGAGGCTCAAGGGGATACGGAGAAGGAGAAAGAGAAAGAAAGGGGGAAGCAGGTAGTGGTGGTCGATATTCGGGAGGAGGGGGATAGTTTGGGCGAGGGAGAGGAGGACGGAGAGTCTGATGGCGAAGATGCGGAAGGAGAAAAGGCAGAAAAGATGGGGACAGGCATAGTGACAAAAGAGGACACAGTAGGAAGGAAGGAAGAGGACCGAGTTATCGAGGAAGAGGACGATGAGCAGTATAGCGGAAGAAACCTTTCGGAGATGATAACGAGGCGCCTTGAATTAATTTGTACGATGGGGGGGCAAAATGGAGATCGCAGGCCCTGACCCCATGGCGGAAATGAATAGGTCAACCGGGATCTTAGAAAGGATAGCAACTTATTACTGTGTCTCTAGGTTGAAGAAATAAAGTTTTTCCCAAGTCTCCATTACCCTAGTACCGCGATTTGATATGCTACGCTGGTGAACACTTCTGGTGTGGTTGACAGGTGCTGATCTATCCGTAGGGAAATGCGATCAGATAGGTAGATAAACCCTTCTCCGTCGTCTTTTTGAGCTCTTAGCCTCGCAACATCCGATACCAGGCTGTGAAACATCAAGACTATGGTCGTATACGCGTAGAGTCTTATGGATACTTGTCTATGGGTCATCCAGCTTGTTTTCTTTGCGAAGGAATAAAATACTTCCTTGACTTACTCATGAGTGGAGGTTTCCAGACTGCCTCCAGTCCCTCCAGCATTCTCAAATGGACAAACAACAGTCTCATTCGTCTGGATTCAAAGCTCTGGCTCCAATCATAAATCTTTAGGCTAAAACTCCCTGGATAACGCCAAATATGTGTCGACTAGAGGACGGGAAATAACATTCGTTAAGACCGAGGACTGTGAAAGAAATGGTTTAGACAAGGACTGGTGAAAGCGACCCAGTCGCGGTGGCGTTAGGGCCTCCCCGATTGCCCAACCCTTGGATAGCTATGAAGAAGTCAAAGCATACGATGCACGAGCCTGGTAGCGTGCATAATTGGCTCGTAAGTGCACAGATCCAGTTCTCATACATTTCCATGCCTGATCCTTTTTGAACTGACGCATGGATCTGACGCATGGATCTGACGCATGGATCTATCGTGGCCTCACAGAACACTCTTCGTCCATAGCCTTTGATTTCCCAGTCTTTTTGGACTGCGGTTTGAAGTTGTGGAAGTAACGTTCTTGAGATGGGAGAATTGGAGGAAATAAGAACACCTTAAGGAGATAGAAGGTGGCCGGACACCTGTGCAGCTTAATAAGCTAACCAAAATTAATGATACCACTTTCCTGCCCTCAGATCTAATGGCATTTATACCACCCACGCCCGCTCTGATGTATGTTTCCCACTAGGTTCTCTAGGGCTGCTACAATGATACCTAAAAGATGAAAATTTAGACCTCCATGAAACCACGACAGACAATAAAATAATTGGTTGAGCGCTCAAGACTGTGGCCATGGCGGCATTGATGGAAGTTCCGAAAATCATAAACAGAGAGCCTCGAATAGGATTTGCAGCTGGATCGAACATCTTAAAATGATAATAACTGGCAATGTATGGTGTCTACCAGTGGCGAACTGCACATTAAAAGAAAGGGGGTATTCGATGGGCGATGACGGAGATAAGCATTCGGAGAAAAAGATACATGTGATTGACGAGGGAAGCTAAAAATTATGTGGGAGAGATACTTGAGATTGATAAAAGCCAGCAGGACGGACATAGTAACCATGAGAGAAGGCATGGATTTTCAATACAGGTAATTTATTCGTCGCTTAATTGATATTGGTTAACCTGGAAATCCCAATAATCTTTGCCTTCTTTGAATCTAGTCTCTGTAATCTCAACTACTTTGAAGAACTGCATTACTGAGAGCATGAAGCCTGGCACAGCGTACCTAAAAGCCGGAGATCACAGAAACGTATCGCGTTACAATTTATGAAGTAATCCACACCGGATTCATATCGAGAAATGTCTACGGAAATCGAAGACTCATATACCTTCTTTGATATAAGTGAGAGGTGCTTGATCACCGGAGCTAATCACGAGCACCAGCTAATTTATTCAACTTCGATTTTGTAGAGGAGGAATAACGCCTAATGCTGCAACTTCATCCAACCGCTGTCGGGGCCGAAAGCCATTTGTACCGAAAGTGAATGCAGTCCTACCTTAATTCGCGGGGGATCGTCAAGCAGATGAGAAAATCTCCTAGACGCATGAGGCAAGGCGCTGCAGACGCAGCTTTCTGCATCCTTCAAGCATGACGGTTGGAGGTCGGAGAAAGGCGAGTATTCAAACAGGGCGTTTGTTGGGGGAATGGCCTTCTGGTCGCATCTTCAGAGAATAGAGGTCAAACGACTGGGAATATTGATGCACGGCGTAAGAATGTGGCGTTGGGCAGCAGAGAGGATCTCGCGAGGCGGTTGTGACGAAGACCGCTTCAACAGCCAGATATTCCCATTGGTTATTGCTGCAGGATGAAATCGGGGAGACAGGGTAATAGGAGCCGGAGACGTCATCTCAGTGGATAATCAAATGTGACCTTCGTTCAGCACGCATGGCCGAAGTAATGCCATCTCTTTACGACAGGCATGGCGTGAGGTTCACTGGACGTGGAGGAAGGCTTTGACAGATAAGGAGAGACTATCCAACAGGAGGTCTCTGGCCAAGTGATGCCATCTGAGCGGTGAGAAACCGTTGGTAGGAGGCGAAGAAGGGTGATGAGACATGTGTCCGAGGAATAAACTTCGTGCCGCGATCCCTCCCAAATCCTCTCCAATCCCCGTTGTGCCCACCTTCCGCGCCCCCCCGGTTTTCCAACACAGAGAAGCATACCGTCTGACTTGGGATCGGGCCGCATCCGGAGGGTAGCGGAAAAGTGGGGTTGCGATGCCTTTTGCAGACTGCGTCAGACGGCTGATCAACGACGGAGCGTGCTGGTTTATTGAAAGGAAGCCTGGCCCACCAGCAAGAAGGGAGATAGGAGACGCTTATGTCATCCGCTTGGAGAACTCCGGACCCTTCCTGAAGAACGCCTTGGTGTTGGCTGAGCTAGAGAATAATGAGCTGACCTTGATTTTCGAAACAGCCTGAGAGGTTTACAGTGTCCCAGTATTTGTACCACCAACCTGGTATTAGCATTATTGCAAAATGAATATCAATAATCCTTGGACTAGTGAGGTCGTGCTCCGGCGCAGCGCTTCCCGTTCCCGTGTTGAAGATGGCCGAACTGGTAGCACAGCATGAAGCCCAACTCCGAAAGCTGAAATGAGATCGTGGACGGTTCACCACGATATCAATATGACACGAAGGACAATCGCGGCGTAAGCTTCAGCATCCTAGACATTCGAAAACAGAAATTGCCGCCTCTTACCTCGATGATTCTCTACCAATGATGCCCCTCCGACCAAGACGCACAAGCACTTCAGCGCCACCGCCGATTCCGATTCCTTCTGGCCCGAGCAGCGTCAGTGTCACTCACCTCAGCCTCACCAAAAACAAATAACGCCAAGGCTAGGCGGAAGCGGGGAGAACCGCTGTGCCCTAAAACCTCACGCTTCTCAAGAATCCAGAACTGGTCGATCTATCTTTGCAGAGAACATTTCGTCGCTGGATCGGTCGAGAGAATATGAGTCAAGTGAGCCTCAAGGTAAACGCCGGCGTCAATGAGGTCCGGGCAGCTGCAGGACACAACAGAGAGCAATGGGATAGGTTCTATGTGAGTACAAAGGGATAGGATGTCGATACGTGGAGTCAGAGTCTGACGATATGCAGTTCATAACCAAGGAGGAAGCCAGACAACTCTCGGAAGCACACCCAAATTGGACGAGGTGGATCCATATTCCAGCGAACGTGAAGGACTCCATGTTAGAGGGGATAAACAATAGGCTGGTTGCAGAAGGCATCCCGGCTGTGGAAATGATAATTTTGAAGTGGAGAGTCTCACAGCTCCTGAGAGATATTCAACGAAGATACAGTACGTAGGGCGTGTCGCCGTCTTTATATGCATACCCTGGCAGATTAGCATATATATGCATGTATAGGAGCTAATTATAACGAAAACTTAGCCGAAGGTAGTATGTTGCCCTCCGGGATGGCAGGCTCAAGTTCCGGGTCCCAAAGTCAAAGCCAAGCCCAGCCAGAGAGTAGCATACAGCAATTGCAAAGTACGCAGCCTACAGCCTCGCCGAGCGGCAGCATGCAGCAGTCGCAAACGCAGCAACTAGGACATTCTGCAGCTCACATCCAGAATCAAGCCCAGCTGGGGAGTGTGCAACAGCCACAAAGCAGAGAGGGGCCGGGAAAGGCTGCAAGCGAGCCGCGACCGCCGTATGATCCGGTAAGAGACATGTAATCCGTCGAGGATAGAGGCAAGACTATGGGGACAACGCGTTATTGGACACCCTCTGTCGAGAAAAAAGAGTTGAATCTGCTCCATTTGCGGAACACTCGAGTCAGATATCCAACGCAGCCGGAGATCGAGGGGTGGACACCATTAAGGATGAGCCACGAGGCGGAGGTAGGTAAGGTGTAGGCGGCACAGATGTCAGGCACTTCTGATATTCTGTAGACCAGGACCCCACAAGTCGTATATCCGCAAGACTGGTTGAATCTAGGTGTCAGAGCGATGGACCGTATTCAGAATGACAAGGGGTGGTCCGGCTGGCTGCAATTACGTGGAAGGGGCATAGTCGGACACAGCTCGAGCGGTTTTGGTATGCAGCGGCTTCTCTTGACCCAACTTTTAGATCCACCTCTTGTGTGCTCATAATCCTAACTTCCTTTTCTTAACTTCCTTTCTTCCCTATTTGATCGTTCTCGTTTTCCGCGGTTGCCCGATCGCCCGGTCGCAATCAGTAAAGTCAGTTTGGCGTTGGGTTGCCAGCTCTAATGCTTCTCGCTGTAGGGACATCAGTTCTTGTATGCTAGAGGCTTCTTCCTCTCCAGTTCATCCATTCTTGCAACACAGTTGTCATTTCGATGGCTTACCTTTCCCAAAGAACATTCCAGGAAACACAGACAGAAAGCTGTACTCTAAGGAAAGTGTCTAGTCATCCCCGAATAGAGAAGTCTCAGTGTGCGTAGCCATTCTACAAGAATGACTACGGTACTACGAAAACGATCTCTCGACACGTTTGAGTGTGGAAGGGAGCGGATTGCTCGAACTAACAGACTGGTTGCCGTTGCCTGGTTGAGGCATCTCCGATTCAGTAGGGGCTGGCTGAGTTACTGCGCGGTGGGCTGTTGATCAGGGACTCAGGTACTATGTTCCTAAGCAGGAGCTGTTGATACGAGGAACCTTTATTATCGATGGTGCTGAAGAGTGATAATAAAGATGGTGCGGAGGAGAAGGATGGAGGTTTATCGTGAAGTCCCAGCTGGCTCACCCAAGAAGCTAGCGTTTAGCTCCTCCTACAAATCGCATCTCAACCCCACAACAGCCAGCGACGCCATCATGCTGAAATCCCTCTCACTGAACTTCTCGCTCACCTGGAATCGACCTCATTTCGCTGTTTTCTGCAAATTATGCACGGTTTCTGATAGAACCTCAGAGGACGTAGTTGTCGACTCAGCGGTCCGTACAGCCCCCCGGTCAACGCCGACAAGTAGGAAGAAGCCCATTTATCTCTTCATTCTTTGGATAACGCTCTCTTCTATCGCACTCTGAGGTCACCGTCCTGGAGGGCCTTGAGCAGCGAACAAGTTGATCTCGGACTGCACACTCCAAAAGGGGGTTGGCAGGCGTGCTTCGTTCTCGGAAGCATGAAACCGCGACAAACTCTTCGACAATTCAATGGCTGCAAGGAGGTTCTTATACCCCTTCGACCCCTCGGGCCCCTTTCCTTCGAGAGCTGGACGCGGGTGCCGCACCTCCTGCCTCATGTCCAATCCACAAGGGATCTCAGGAGGGTAACCAGATGGAGCAAACACACTAGCCAGAGAAAGATCTCAGCTGCCTGTTCACCGCGGGCTCGGCCCTCCCGCGAGAACTATCGTTCGAGCCGTCAGCCGCCTCATACTCAATCTGGCACTCCAGAGTGGATACTTTACGGCAATGGAACCGCGAGTAGCGACCGAGGTCGGACCCTCAAGAGCTCCCGAGGCGCGTTATTTCCACTGCTAGCCCTTACCAGGGCGCATAAGCTGGTATAAGTAAAAAGCAAAGAGGTACGAATATGTACCTACCCTAAATGTCTGCTCTGGCCGTATTATCTTGATTTAGGAAAACGATTCCTTTGGCACCCACCGACCAAGCCCAACACCGTCCAAACAGAACGACCCCTAAACCCCCACACCAGACGACGTAATGAGTCCGCAGCCGTCGGAAGAGGACGTGTCTGGCAAGGTCACTTCATCCCTTGCAAAGACTGCAATGAAACGAAAGATCTCAACCGCCCCCCCCCTTTCCAAAGAGCCATGCTTCAGGCACACTATACCTCGGCTCTCAAGATTGTTAGGACCAGTGTGTGTCACGAGGGCCCCTCGCGATTACCATATGTTAATAACGATCTCCACTCCTCCTATTTAATGTTGGACCTTGTCTTCGGTTGGATGAGGACCTCGGGGGAACCTCCGTCCCCAAGGCTATACTTGAGCGTTGAATCCAGATAACGGTGGCTGGAGCTCTTCAACCTGAGTGAGAAGTTCGTCGGATCATGCTCAGGAAATCGAGGACTCACAAAGGGGGCTGTAGCCAGGCTGGAATCGAATCGTATCGTGCACGTCCAGACACCCGCAGGGAGATAAGACCGAGTCTGACGGGATCAACTCTTCTCCTATATTCAAACAACGACTGGCAATGGAGTTGACCAGTGATGTTCACCTCGCCTCGAAGGCTCGAACGTTGCGTTAAGTGAGGTTCTTCGTCGCCGAGCTGTTCGCAAATGCATTGCGATTAGATAAGCTACTCGGGAAGCCACAACCTTGCCATGTTGATTTCTACGTTTGCCACCTAAGATATCTTAGACGAATCTCTTTTCGTTCGTATCTCGCACACTGTACCTGCACTCTTCAGGAGTTGCTCTCTTTCTTTGCACCCCCTCTGTGCAAAGGCGTCTTATTGAAGTCCTTATTTGCATCTAAATCAGTACCCAACCCAATATGCTCAGATTATGTCACTGTAGACTTGACCAAAACATTGGGCAATCACCTCTGGGGCCTGTTAAACATCAAACCAGTCATAGATACATCTCGATAGCTAGTCACACTAATGAAGAATATGGTCTATCCACCCTTCCATAGCCCGGATAGTGACATGAATATATACCAGTAGCTTCGAGGTGAAATGTTAGCTCGAGATAGTCATACAATTCAACAAGATCCTGATGCATGCTCACCTTTGGAAGAACTGTTCGGCGATATGCTTATGAATTCACATCATCACTTATAAAAGTGTGTTCGAGGTTCTGATCAGGATGCATTTCGTAGCTCGTGAGTCTTCATGAAGTGAGACCACAGCAATCCATCATGAGAGAAAGCTAATCCCCGGTGGACATTGTTGTCCTGGTATCATTTAGTTTACCATAACAAACGTAGCCGCTCATGCTAGCGCCTAACATCAAGCTCATTCCACCATAATTAATTCGTATGTGAAATGCATCAATGCAGCTCCCTCCATACTCCAATGATCACTGCAAATCGAAACCCGGCTCGATCCCGGCCTTCCTAAGCTTCTTGGCCTGCTTCTCCTTCTCAACTTTCTTGGCAGCCTTCTGGGCAGTTGCCAATTCTTTGACGAGTTTCTCGGGACCAAACGCGCATTGTCTCGGGTCGTCCTCCCTGTCGAGATCAACGGTACCGGCGATCATGACATTCTCTCCTCGAACGATCTGCACGCCTGGCTGGCGAACGTCAGCAATGAGCCACTTTCGGAGGGTGTTGTCATTCTCCCATTCTGGGTTTGCAGCGCTCCAGCGTTGTACCACTTCAGTGAGGACGAGGTTTCCATATTGATCATAGGACCGGAGGATGCCGATGAATTCGGTCTCGTCACGGAGGAGAACCGTGATCTTCTCTATGAAGTTGTTAAACAATTTCTCTGCGTGTTCTTGTGTACGAACGCAGAGAGACATACTGTCAACCAGGTCGAGAAGCATAGCGGACGTCAAGAACGCTTGCGGCGGCAGATCAACTGGTAAGACGGCCTGGGACTGCGGCACTGAAGCTGGGCCAAGAGCGGCGTGGTATTGGCTCGGCGGGGGTGCATTGTACACTCCTCCATAGCCTATCGAGCATGGGTGAGCTCCCAGCGAGAGTTGTAGATTTGGCAAGTGCAACGATCTTACCAGCGGCAGGCGGTGGTGTGCTCGCAGCTTCGGCGATGGCACCCTCCGCCTGGGGAGGCTGCATTGAGCGTGCGAGCATGGCACTGAAGTTCGAGGCCATGTCTTGAGCTCCCGCGGGGTTGCCGTGGGGTGGATTCGGGTTGTACGACATGACTGGGGCTCTCCGAATTAGTATTGGTTGAGAGGTGGAGAGAAGGTTCAGCGGTGTCGGGAGTGGTGAGGGAAGGGCGAGGTCATGGCGAGCGCGGCGGCGGGTTTTTCATCGACTGGTCTTTCACAGCTGTTGACGACGAGTTCCCGGATTAACATCGGAATTTCACCAGCATGGAACATTAGCTGTTCCGGCACCGACGCTAGCCCTTTGCGGTAGTGGAGCTTTGGTCTCTATGTGATGTTCCACAGAAATCCCTCTCATCTTGCATTTGCATCCTCGAAGTCGTAAAGCTTCAATCAAGTCTTCAATCGATTCTTCGTATTCCGTCTATTTCAGTAGTCAAGGGCTCTGCAAGACGACTTAAAAGTTGCTTTCAGAAGGTTGTCGGATGAGAGGTTGTGGTTCGTCCCCCAGATCCGAGAAGCTTCACGAGGTCTGGGCAACTTTTGTGGAAACCCGGCCAAACCAAGCCTGGGGGTGTTCGAAGGGCAGATCATTTAAAGAGACTGCTCTCTTCACACGAACTTCCCTATACAAATATCGATTCCCTTTCAAAACTGGCATCTGTCCGCTCCTTCTATTGTTGTTGTCCTTACGTCTCATATCTATTCCAAATAGCTCCACTAACAGGGCTCACGCTCGCAGAGCATTGAGAACACATTTACTGTTGCCATTCGCCGTCAACCGCCAACGCATTTCATCGCCCATTGAGAGCGAAACAAGGGCGCGAATTTCCATTCCCCTTCTTGCAAATACCACATTTAGCTCGTGCTGTAGTGACTGTCAGCATGGCGCTTCTCTTCCGCATGTTCTCAAACAAGTGGATCAACCCACCGAAGGACACCACTGGGGAGTCGTTTTCTGGAAAGAATGTCATCGTTACCGGCGCGAACACGGGAATAGGAATCGAAGCAGCCGCAAAGTTTGCCGCATTGGGTGCAGCCAAGGTCATTCTGGCTGTGCGAGATCTGAAGAAGGGAGACGCGGCCAAAGCGATTATCGAATCCCGAACCAGCAAGAAGGACCAACTGGAGGTCTGGCAACTCGACTTGAACTCTTATGATAGTGTGGTCGCTTTCGCTGAGCGGGTGAATACGCTTGACCACTTGGACGTCGCCGTCCTCAATGCAGGTGTACGTAAAATCCGCTTTGTGCAGTCAACGCAAGGCTGGGAAGAGACCCTTCAAGTGAACACTATTTCGACAGCCCTTCTCGGAATCCTCCTCCTCCCCAAGCTTCAGGAGTCAAAACGAATCACTGGCAAGATCCCAGTCCTAGAGTTCGTGAACTCAGGCCTTCACCAAAACGCCAAGATTGACTCTAAAATACTGAAAGGCGACAACATCCTCAAGGCCTACAATGCTCCAGAAAACTTTGGCGGCGGAAAACAATACTCGCTCTCCAAGCTCTTTCTCATGTTCGTTGCGAGCACACTCGCTGCAGAGGTTTCTTGTGAGAATGTCCTCATCACTTCAATATGTCCTGGTGCCGTAAAGACGGAGATCGGGCGAGACTTCAACTTCCCTGGTGTTGCAATTGGCCTCGCCATCTTCGCGGCAGTCTTCATGCGCACCCCGGAACAGGGCTCGAGAATGATTGTAAGTGGAACAACGCAAGGTGAAGGCGTTCACGGAAGGTTTTGGCAACACGATCAGATCCAGCCGATTGCTCCAAGCCTTGGTGGTGAAGAGAATAAAAAGATTGCCGCGCGGGTCTGGACGGAAATTATCCAAGTTCTGGGTGAAGATGTACCCCCTGTGAAAGAGGCTTTGGAGGGGATATTGAAGAAGTGACTCTGCACTCGAAGGGAGGGGCAGACTGCTTTTATTTGGAAGGAATTCTGCTCCGAGCTGTGGCGCAATTCAATACGCACCTCAAGGGGGGTTTGGTCTGTTTTCTAAACCTGCAGTATCAATATATCATTTCCGTATTCAACTGGAACTGTGCCCTACCGAGATAGTATCTTTAGGTAGCGGCCAAAGCCCTGTTCAACACGTAGTGATTTGGAGTTACTGTATGGAATGTAGACGTGTGTTTGCTAAGATAATTCATAACCACACGACTCAAAGTACTAGTTCGTAGATGTTCCAAGGTCGGATTGGATGTGGATAGTCCGTGGCCATGGTTTTCGGCCGGGGAGGTCAGGATGACGTCCGGGCTGTCAGAGCGGGAATCTCACATTTCGATGCATTTTGGCCGCAATGCCATCCCCTCCGCCCCTAAAAGTCCCCCCTTCGCACCCCCACAAACAAGAAACGGAGTTTGCTCCAGGCCTGGATGCCCACACCTCCTTTCCGCCGCAAGCCCACCGCCCACGGCACCGCATCGTTCCTGCGATACCTGTTCCCGCACACGAGACAGCGGGCACGCGCACGCCTTTCTAAGTTCCGCCACGAGACCCTGCCTTCCCTCCAACACCGGACTCAGTCACGCATATACAGATACATTCTGTACAGGCAGGCGCTCAAACTTAAGAGGAAACCGGGGATCCTGCAGAGATTGCGCGGCCATACGAGAAAGCTTCTAGGCTCCGATTACCTTGAAAATGAGGTTCGGCTGCGACGGCAGAAGTTGATGCAACAGCCGTACGGCTCAGACTCATCGAGGAGAAGTGCAATGAGTTACCCGGAGAGCTATGGGGCCCGCGAGCCTGGTGCTAGGAGGAAGAAGTTGGCGGGGTACTTGAAGGCGGCGAATGAGTTGAGACAGTCGTACCAGCAGCAGTATGCCCCCGGCTTCAGCAGGAACCAGTCGGCGTACGAGTATGAGGATGATACGCCGGGGAGCTTCCCAGATGCGGCGGTTGTGAGGAACGGGGATGAGGATATGGTTTTGTTTCCGAGTTATGCGAGGAAGCATGTTAAGAGCAAGGCAAGTCGAAGTCATGACGGATGTTTGGAGCCAGACTGACCACCGACAGCCCCAAGCAGAGCCTGGCACCATCCAAGACACCCCGGGAGACGGCCGCGACGTGCGAGACTTGACCGGCGCTGGAGATGCAGAGTTTTGGAAACAGCAATGGGATGCCTATGAGGATGACAATGCTCTCGTGGATGTCGATGTTCGAGGGTGGATTTACTCCCCGCACAAAGGGCAAATGTCGAGGAAGCAAAGGCTCTTCATTGGCCTAGCCCGCCAGCTTGTAGGAATACAGGCACCACCCGCTGGCACAAGACCTCCAAGCGCCAACATGAGTCCTGCCAGCAGCAGGGAACCAAGCCCGGGGAATATAGGTCACAGCGAACGAGCACGGGTAAGGCAGGCGCAGCGTGATGATATTCTGACCGCGAGGGAGGCCGAAGAGATTCTTAGGAAAGGTGAAAAAGAGGCAGAAGCAGCCTCTCAGGGAGCCTACAGCGAGAGGCCAACCCCTGACGACTCTGACAATACTTATCTATACCGTGCGCAAAGTAGAGATAGTGTTCGATCATCAGATTCAAGGGGTCATCTGCGCCCGCAAAAGGTCTCGCCAACCCCGTCCTCCAGTTCCTTCAAAGACGAGGAGAAGATCAAACCAATACAAAAGCGAGAGTCGTGGAGACAACCTGCGAATATGAGCCCGGCAGAGCTTGCGGAAGCGAATGCGCATCTGATGGCCAGACTTCGGCATTTCCTTGCTATTCCCATGGCGAATACACCGATAAGCGTCTTCTTCTACAATGACGAAATATCCAAGCAGAGGACTGTGTATACCAATCCTTCGGGCCACTTCAATGTTCGAGCAGCATTAGATTTCATTCCCACACATGTCCGGATCCTAGCATCAGATAAACTGTCCGCAACGGAGGAAATCATAGTCACGGAACCGCGCGGTGTCAGCTTGATCAGCGATATCGATGATACAATCAAACACTCTGCAATCAGTAGCGGCGCTCGAGAAATCTTCCGGAATGCATTCATCCGAGAACTAGGTGATCTTACAATTGAGGGCGTCAAGGAGTGGTATACTAAGATGGCGGAAATGGGAGTGAAATTCCACTATGTATCCAATTCTCCTTGGCAACTGTATCCTGTCATCTCGAAGTTCTTCTCAATGGCCGGCCTTCCACCTGGATCTTTTCATTTGAAGCAGTACAGTGGAATGCTTCAAGGGATCTTCGAACCCGTGGCAGAGCGGAAGAAGAGCACGCTCGATAAGATTGCTCGGGACTTCCCCGAGAGAAGCTTCATACTAGTCGGCGATAGCGGTGAAGCCGACCTCGAGGTCTACACCGATTTCGTCCTCGAAAATCCCGGGCGAGTTCTTGCTGTCTTCATCAGAGATGTTACAACGCCGGTTGGTGGAGGGTTCTTTGACCCTTCGGTAGGTCCTATCCCAGGGGACCGGTCGTCTTCACCTTCCCAGCGTGGAAGCGGAAGCACGCCGAGCCGTTACACCACGTCGTCTAGCGGCTTTGGAGAAGACGAAGACCCGGAGCTTAGAGCAGCTATTGAAGCTTCCCTTCGCGACATGGATAATGACAACGGACGAAAATCGAGATCCATATTCCCACAGATAGATGAAGACCACCCTGAGCTCCGACCCAAACTCCCTGCCCGCAAGACTACGCAGCCGCCACCTCCACAGCCAGTGGAGAAGCTCATTAACCTATCTGATGACGAGCCAGAATCTACGCCAGCCCTTCGCCGGTTGGCTACAGACACACTCGCCGAGAAGTCTGCGCATCGTGGCTCTGTATCGTCTACAAGCAGCGCAAAATCAGCACCACCCATGCGTCCAAGAAAACCCATTGCCCTCCGTAGTTCATCAGGCGAAGCCCAACTCGCAACCGGATCATCCATATCAAAAGCCCCACCACCGCCCCAGCCGAGGCGCCCATCATCTACCGTCCACCAATCCAGCCCGCTATCCCAGCCAATCCCTCCGACGCAATCAGAACCTCCTATCGCACCCAAACCCTCAATCCCACCTTCCCAACAAACATACGCCGGCATGGCAAGAGACAAGCTCCTGTCCGCTTATAACAACCTTCCTTCCGCATCTTCCTACCTACAGCCTTCCAATCCGACACTAAAACAAGCTCAAGCCTCCAACCCTTCCTCTGAACAGGGCGAAGGAGTCAAGAAAACCCCACCTCCGCCGCCTCCTCCCAGGAAAGGCGTGACATCCTATCCAGCAGTCGCATCCTCATATGTCGGAACAAAAGCTGCCAGCGCATGGAACTATGCCCCCAACTTGCCTCACCCCTCGACTCGCCCTACAGTGACGCAACATGCGAATTCCTACTCTACAACGACATCCACGCAATATCCAAACGCGAATTTGAATCGCACGAACACTGGCTCTACACTTGGCATGAATGGAAACAACACTACGAATGGAAACGGTATCAACAATGGAAATGGGAGTGGAAATGGAAATGGCAATGGATACAATGATCTCGCACAAGCCGGTATGAACAAACGCGAAATACTCTGGAGACAGAGATGGGCTAGAGCAGAACAAGTGTTTGCAGAAAAAGGCGTGGTGCTCAGGACGTGGCGGGTTGGGACTGATGTCTTGGCCGACGCGGAGCGGTTGGTTAAGGAGGCTGGGGAGAGGGAGAAGAGGGAGGGAGGTGGGGTTGGGGGGAAAGTAGGATTATGATAGTAAGGAAGCGGTGGTGGTGGTGGAGGTGGTGTGCAGCTCGCGAGCATTATCAGCACCTTTTGATTTGTATATTTTCACATAAGATATGTCAGTCTCAGGCTCCTCAGTACGGCCATTTCCTAAACGTAGCAGTGATACAGTATTAAAACAAAAAGAGTTTTCCCCCAGTATACATATATCGTATCACTTTTTTTCTATCACACCCCAACTAGAATACGAAAACTAAGAACTCATGCCTCAGCCCTACGACCTAAGCAACACCCCTCCTCCCACCAACCCTCTTCATTCCCTCTCTCACAACGTCACCAATTTCCAACCTCGGCAGCACCTTCTCTCCGCTCTTCTCCGGCTTTGGCATAAACCCTAGCTCGATCAAATACGCCACATACACACCAACAGTATCTTCCATCACAGCCGCGCCCTTACTCAAATCCTCGCCCGTCCAAATTGCATCGCTCTTCAGCGCCTGCGCCGCGTTCCTATCATCTAGTTCCGGTGCTCTCGTATCGGCAGGAAGATCGCCTGTGACGAAATGATACAACGGCAAGAGCGCGTGTTCATCCTTCGCGTCTGCGAATTCGCCTTGACCCGCGACGTATAACTCCATGTTCTTGCGCCAGACGTCGTAAGTGACTTGCGGGACGTTGTAGCCAAATTTCTCGAGAGCGCCCGTGAAAGCATTCATGGTTATGCGGGGATGGGATGTGATTTGCGCGACGCCGAGGGGGGATGTGGGTGGGGAGAAAGTGGAGGCGACGACAATGCGAGAGACGTGGGTTACGGGGACCATGTTTATGGTGTTTGTGACGGCAGGTCGAGAGTGGAGTTGGACGCAGCCTTTTAGCAAGCGGATCAGGAAGTCGTCAGTGTTTGTTGCTGTTTGGTTTTGGTTAGCATCATGGTCTCTTATGAGGGTTGGAGTAATAGGGCAAAATATATACTTACTTCCAGACACAGGATCGCCGGTTACATATCCTGGCCGCACTACAACACCCCTCAACCCCTTCTTCCCGGCTTGCCTTGCCAAGTACTCCGCCGCCCATTTGCTCTGTCCATAGCCCGTTCCTAAACCCTTGCGTGACCCTTCCAGGTCATCCGCTTCAAGGACACCGTTTCCACCTTCAGCCAGACTCTTATCAGACAGCTTGACATAGTGCTCAGAATCCAGCACAGACGTCGAGCTCACAAGACCAAAATTCTTCGCTCTACCTACTGCACAAAGCGCAAGCGCAGTCATCGTGCTAAGTACATTCGGTGCGCGGAGACGCGAGTAGGGCAGGACCCAGTGAACTAACGCTCCGTTGTGGATCACGACATCGACTTCATCAGCAAGGCGATTCCAGGTCTCGGGTGGCTGGCCAAAATTAGGTTTCTCAAGATCGCCGACCACGCATTCGAGTCGAGACGTCCAGCTGTCGACCCAGATACCATAAGCTTGGCATGTTTCCCTGATGCGACCAAGAGCGGCGTCTGCGTCTTTTGCCCGGACCAGAACGGTGACTTTCCCGGGTCGTGACAAAAGATCTCGGAGGATGTATGCGCCAAGGAAACCCGTAGCACCGGTTAGGAAAGTATGTACTTCTTGTCCGGGATTCAGTAGCTCTTTGGTCTTGAAGTCACGCAATTGTTTCGCGAGATCACGGGCATCAGCGGAGTAATCTTCATCCTCGACATCGTCCTCGATGGCTTCTCCGGTATCTAGACGAAGACCGATAGGATCTAGGGCCTGGTCGATACTGGCGGAGAAGCCGCGCAGGGTGGGATGCTGGAAAATGGTGTTCATAGGGACATCGACGTCTTTCCATTGTTGCCGGATCTTGAGAAGTAGTTGCTGTGCAATGATGCTATGGCCTCCAAGATCGAAGAAAGAATCAGAACCGCTAATACTATCAGCAGCGACGCTGTGAAGTAGGCCTGCCCAGATCTCCGCTACATGCTTTTCTGTGGGCGTTAGAGCTTTACCAAGCTGGGATGGTCGCCTCGCGCCTGCTGCTGCTAGTTGCTGGGGTTCTGGGAAGGGCAAGGCCGGACGATCGACTTTACCGTTAGGGTTTAGGGGGAATCGACTGAGTGGGACGAGCACAGAGGGCACTGCGTACGCCGGGAGTTTTTTTTTAAGATGCTCTCGCACATCGTCTCGGAGGTATTTAAAGCGCTTGAGCATGCCGACCATGCTCGTGTCTGTGGGGTTATCTTTCGCGCCCCTCTCTTCGAGCCACTGGTACCATCGCTTCATTTCTGGAACAATGTAGCTGACGAGAGTCGGTTCTTCGTATGCGTCACGTTTCAGCAAGGTGACATTCTCGCGAACTAGGGGATGAGCAGCGAGATGAGAGTCGATTTCGCCAAGTTCGATACGGAATCCTCGAATCTTGACTTGCGAATCAACTCGTCCCGTGCAGTGTACATTTCCATCTGGTCCATAGTGGCCTAGATCACCAGATCGATACAACCGGTCTCGTGGTCCTTTCCAGAACTGCCGCCACGGTTCGGGCTCTGTTTGGCTCTCCACTCTCTTTTTGTCTTCTTCTACCCACCTCTGTGGGTCAACGAACCAATTCTCAACGAACTTGGTAGCTGTGAGATCAGGCAGTCCCAAGTATTCTTCTGCAAGGCCGCCGGCGCGGACGTATATTTCACCGCTCTGTCCAGGTGCGCAGACCTTGTTCCGATCCTCGCGATCTACAACAAGTAGCTGGACGTTCTTCATTCCTCGGCCTGCAGGGATCACTTCTCCAAGGCCATCGAGAAATTCTGGGGCTTCACTCCGACTTGGCACTTCGTAGTAGCTCACTGCTCTCTGCGTCTCTGTGGTGCCGTACATGTTTACGATGCGAACGTTAGGCGCAAGATCTTGCAGCCTTCTGCAGTCTCGTTTAATCAACAGGTCACCAACGAAGAAGGAGTGATGCAGGGCAGGGAAAATTGCCGAAGCACCTCCGACCAGGATCTGACCCATAGCTGGGGTAAGATGAGTCACTGTTGCGCCGTATTTGCGCATCCACTCCGCCAATTTCTCATGCTGGATATCCTCCTTGCTCGGGACCAGTAATTGGGCACCGAGGAACAGAGGTGTGAAAATATCGCGCTGGATAGGGTCGTGAGCAATTCCAGACAACATGGTGAACTTATCATTTTCTGAGAGTCCAAAAGTTTCTGACATCCAAGGAAAGTAGTGTGTCAACGAGAAGTGCCGGCCTTTGACGCCCTTTGGCCTCCCTTCCGATCCGGACGTGAAGGACAGAGTTGGAGTAGAGTCTGGTCCTACCAAAACGCCTGGCAAGTCTGTCTTAAGTTTTTGCTGGTCGTCTAGGCAGTCCTTGCCGTCTTTGGGGCCCCCCACAAGCGAGCCATCGTCCTTCAGTTGCAAGGCCGGCACTTCGGCTCTTAGGTTCAGATTTTCTGCTACGTATGCACGAACTTGGTCCGAAAGGGGACCTGCTTCCTGAGTAGTCTTGTCGATTACGACGAGCGCCCGTGGTTGTGATACTTCTAGATAGATGCACTGTCTGTCTGGAGGGTATCTGGGCCAAGTATCAGAAAACGTTCCAGCGATAAGCCCGGACTTCTCACAGTGGATCTAGGACCGAGAATGTAGCTCCAGCAGCAAGTACAGCCATGATGGCCACCACCAAATCCACGCCCCGATGCGCGAAGATCATGACCACCTCCCCTCTTTGGACTCCATGTTGCACGAAGTGGTGTGCCAGAATCGAGGTGGCCTCGAAGATCTGCCTATATGTGAACCTCCGCTCTGGAGTGCTGCTTGTAGCTGTCTCGACGACACATGCTCGTGCGGGGTGTTTTCTAGCATTTGAGGCAAATATTTCGTGGATTGGACCCTTGAAATCAGACCAATGGAGGTCGGCAGTAGGGTCTGGGATGTCGAGAGAGGGGACTGAGCCCATTGTCGCGGTTAATTAGTTTTGTGAGAGTCTACTTGATGAGCAACGCCCCAGCCAACGATATGGAAGTTGAAGAAGTGGCTCAAGAGCAATTGACCCCAAACAAATAAAGCAGAAAAGTGCAACTGATGTGAGGCACAGCTTCTAACTACGAAATCAATAAATCGGAGGTCAGGCGGGGAGAAGAGGGATAAAAAGCGCGCATCGGGAATTTCTCTTGACTCATGCGACATCGGAACTGGACGCGCAGAGAGATTGTCCGGGAAATTGTGTGAAATCTGGGGTTACAGGAAGAACAGTTTCGCCGGCGCCCGAGATCAGCCCTAGAATTATTGGCAGCCTTCAGCCTCTTAGGAACACTGGCGAGAGCATCGTGCTGGGGGGTGTGCGACATGCTACGGGCAATATCTTCCTCCAATTCTTGACTACAATCTGCATTCTTGTATTGCTGTGACCTTCCTTCCCTTCCTTCCATCCTTCCTTCCTTTCCTTCTGTGGTTTCCCCTCTTCTGGCAACCGCCTGAGGCCGCTCCTGCCGCGCCGCGTCACCTAGGTGCTGTCGTATCTACGCTCATCTAAAAATTATAATCGCAGTCTCCACCGTCACTCTTTCACTGAGGACGTCTTCTAATGTCGTGATCGCCGTTCTCATTTCGCTGTATTCGTCGAAATGCCTGTCCAGCGATTGTGCTTCGGCCGCCCGCTACGGCTCCAAATGCCACCGCGACGCTTCCAGCTCCTCTTTGCCCTCAGTACGTTCTTCATTGTCACTCTTCGTCTGTTTGGTCCCTCCTCCTCTGAGATACCCTACGTCGACGAAGTCACGGAGCACCTGTCAAATTTCCCGCAGCCATTCGGACCCTCCGCCCACAAACCACCAGTACAACCCAACAGTACTGTCTCAAGCGCCTACCGCGCCATAGAGTGGCTCGCCGATTTTAAATGGCGAAATCCTTTCTCCTCTTCCACTACCCTTGACGAGAATCGCGCCGTGCTCCCGCCGCTTAAGGAACGGCCTCCTATCTACACATTCTATGATGCGCGTGGAAAGCAGGAGGAGGCTGTGTCAGAGGCCGAGCACAGGCTGATCCTGGCATGGAGAAGAGCGTGGTGGGCCCAGGGCTTCAAGCCGCAGGTGCTCTCTCGCGCAGAGGCTATGAAGCACCCCCAATACCAACTTGTACAACGGCTGAAGCTTGAGTCCAAGACCGAGCTCGAGCTGATGAAGTGGCTGGCCTGGGGACACATGGGAGGCGGTGTTCTCGCTAATTGGCTTGCCCTGCCCATGGCCGAGTACGACAACCCCATGCTGAGCTTCCTGAGGAGGAACGAATATCCCGTGTTGTCCCGTGTCGAATCATTGCAGAGTGGTGTCTTCTTCGGTGAGGCTGCTGCTGTCAATGCTGCTGTCAAGAAGGCCATCGACAACCCTCTGTTTAAGAACTTAACCGCAAACAAGGACAAAATTGCAGCATTGGGGAAGAAGGAAGGTGGGGTGATGGTCAGCCTCCTTCCGAAGAATGACATCGCGGTCGACTCAAAGGCCAATGGCATTGCCTACTATTCCACCAGCACAATTACCTCCACATACGAGACCCTCGCTAAGAAGATTACCGATAAGACCCGAGTTGAGGGGCTTGAGATGCTCGCAAGTCTCATCAACTCCCACCTTCACCTCACCTTCCAAAACATCTTCACCGAAGGTGTCTCCGTTCTGAAGCCTCTCCCAGAGCATACCACAGCACTGATGTATGAAGCTATCGACATTGCGCGCAACCTCACCCAGTGCCCAACGTCTCCTGTTCCCAAATCATGCCCTCCAAACAAGCCAAAATGCACGCCGTGCGATCCAAACAAACCCATGAAACTCGAACTCTCAACGTCGCACAAGAACAGCTCTGTGCTGTACACAATCAGCACGGTCCCGCACCCATATACTCTCAATCTTCTTCATTACACCCGCGACACGCTGGATAGCAACTTCATCCGCCGGCAAGCGGCCCGCAACCAATGGATCCTTGCCACAACCAAGGAACTTCTTGGCGACAAACGTAGTGGGCAAGACCGAGTCGTACATTTCAAAGAAGCCGTTGCTGCCCCACTCTCCGCCTCCAACTCCCTCTGGTTGACCGCCGAACGCGAATCCCAAGTCGACCTGGACTGGATCTTTGGATTCAACCTCCCACAAACCGCATCACCAAACAATGAACCCAGTTCTCCAGATAAAACATCCGAATTGATCATATTTCCACGGCCAAAACCACCAGCTCCCTTGCAAAATGTCGAAGTACCAGAGGAGAAGTGGATCAAAAAAGAGGAAGAACGCTTGAAAAAGGCAAGGGAAGCCCTCAAAAGCAAGAACAGACGGATGGTAGATATTGTCTTAATGGTAGAACAGTGGAATCTAGCTGATACCGAGGCCTGGAAATTTGCGCGTGCGTGGTCAGCGAGGAGAAGAGTCGAGCGCAGGAAGTGGGAGGACGAAGAGAAGAAGTATGCCGGAGCCGAGAGCAAGGCCGGCGTCCATTCCGGTGGCGGTGGAGGAGGAAGGTGGAGTGATAAGATATAGGAAGTTTGCCGTTGGATGGGTTTTGGATGCATGGGTGCTGGTGTTTGGACTTATGGTTTGGGTTTTGGCGTTCAGGTAGTTAGAGGAAGGGACTCTGATGTATTTTCTATCAGTGTGGAGTCAAGATCGGTGTAAATACCAATATATTGAGCGTTTTGTACTGCAGTCTACTATCTACATTATACCGTGACTATGCCCCAATTCAAGGCATAGGTTTATTTCTCCTGTACCTCAGTATTAGAGCTCTCTAGTGGAAGGGAGAAGACAATGCTTGTGATAGAATGTTCTCATCTTCTGTGAAGCTTTGGAGGGGCACCAAAGTCATGAGGAACCGAGTTCATGGCGAAAAGAGCGTATCCAAAGGCCTATATGCTCAAAGGAGTACTATGTTAACGACCGTACGGTGCGAGGAAGCGAAATAGTATTTCCGGGTATTGGAGCTAGGTGAAACAGTAGGGAGGCTAAACGCCCGCTCTTTCGAATTTGGTAATGCTGTCGTCGCACTTGAAGGCCTTTAGCGAGCCACTCTGTTGGAGCGGTGCGTAGAACTTTCTGGCTTTGTCACGGTACCGGTCGTGCACAAACAATACCAATGCTTTGCAAGATTTGATCGCGAGGATGAGAGTACAGACGAGTCTCACAGCTCAAGATTCTGGACCTGGAAGACTCTTTCCAAACAATCCTAACTGCTTTTTTGCTTCGACCTCAATTGATGCGTCCTTTGATGTCGATCTGTGTGGTGGGAGTATGCCCTGCACTCGGCGCTTGGAAGGTCCTAGGTTGACTCTCATGTGTTGTTGAAAGGATATAAGGATATATCAGTGAGAAATTTCACGTGGAATATATATAGTCATAGGAGGATAGTGTACTCGGCACCAAGTCCATTTACACGACATCCTGTGCGTGCTAGGGCCTGAATTAGTAGGTACGGTGTTGTCAGTCCGAAGCACTGACCTGGGAATTGAACTTATGACAGAACATGCTGCATTACGAGGTAGATAATTTATCTCCTGAGCCCATTCTCTGTTCCAGCAACATGTTAAACATACCAACTCCGATTAATATTCTCCATTGTGCACTACCATTCCGGTTTAACCCAGAGATAGACATATCACCTCCCCAACACCAAACCCCATTTACTCATAATCTCCATCATCATATACTGCGTTCCCAGAAAACAATGTCGCACTAGCTGCAACTAACAATCCCATTCCTTTCGCTATCCCACAGCAATTTTTCACAAGGTTCACTACGATCTTAGGTACAGAGTTCTCTTCCTTTTGCACGTCGATATTTCCCAGGTCGTAAGTTCTACGCTGGGCTTCGTAGGTCATGAATTGCGGTTCGAGGCCTTGGATACTGAGTCTTTCGAGAAGCGGTGTAGTTGGGGTAGCAGATGTGCCCAAGCAGGCAGCGTGATTGCACATTTTGTTGTGAGAGGAGATTTGACTTTTGGGTTGCATCGTGGAAGACAGATTCTAGAGCTGTGAGATTAGGGTTGAATGATAGATGAGCCACTTTCCTTAGTCCAAGATGATGCTTGCAGATGGTCGAGGTGCGCAATACGCGGTGAATTCAAATTGAGCGAAGGGCTTCCGGTTGGATTTAGTGTGCTGAGAGGCTAAAAGGAGACGACAGATTTCAGGGAGGGGAGGGTGCGTCTAAATAGAAAATCAAAAGACACGATTCATAACAGGAAAGCATTAATAGCCGTCTTTGATAACGTGGTAGGACAGGATCCACAGTTCACCTTGACCCTTACCAAATTTCATTTCCCCACAGTACCAATTCCCTCCCCTCCTAAGACTACGTGCCCCGGGCTCGGTGGCACATCACCCGTTTCCCACACACTCGCATTATTTCTCAAGGCAAATTCGATCGCTCCCCCGTTTACCATCATATGCTCATGCTCGAACTAGTTCCTATTCTAAGCCTGACCGTCGACTTTGACAGATTGCACATAATAGCTATCTTGGCTTAGCCCAGAAGCCGTGATACGTAGGGCCTTGATCGAGTTAATGGTCATGTTGATGTCAGAGAACCATGGCGATTCGAGGAGGTAGACTGGCTGCGTGACTATGGGATAGATGCTGAGCATTTGCTAAATGAGCTAACTGTTTAAGGCGCCGGCGTCTGAGTTGCCGGTGACGCCGTAATTCGCATTATGAAAGCTAGGCAATATCAGCATGAATAATAGGATAGAGTAAAAGTTTTTGGTATACTATTGATTCGCAAGAGCACGAGATCGCTGCACACTTTTCCACTGCTTGTTGATGTAGTTGTAAAGATACGGGGGTGGCGAAGTTAGGCTCGTTCCTCCGAGCACTATTTTAGTTTGGTATCAAAAGGGAAGCAAAGGGGGCGCACCCAATATTCATCAAGGTATTGATACCTGCACCGTTCGCTCCAAGATTTTGCTGGCTGGTGTTTGGCATGAACTAGAATTGGTGAGCAATGCATCTGTGGAAAGGAAGCAGACGCTCACAATGTAGTCAAGGTGAGACCCAAAACAGGAAGGCCCCCCCATAAACTCGATTAAGGTTTTAGCATTATGCCGTATTACAAAGGAATACTCTTCCACATGTTAGTTTCTATATCGACTATGATGAAATAGTATTCACCAAGTGGAGCTGCTTCATAGGAGATAGCCGACCATTCGCATTCTGCGCATAGCGCTAGATTGTATCCCGTCGAACTGAATGAGCTATTCGTAAATTTCGATGTCAAGAATCCGAAAAAAAAAATGGGCGTTGTGTTCACGCTTTGTACTTTGTAATCCCAGATGAGATGCTAGCCAGCAGACCGATTCAAATATTTCTGCACATCCCTAGGTTTCTCCCTTTTCGCGACTTAGCTTAATGCAAAGTCATTTAGTGAATACTCCACCGCAGAGGAGATGCGCCAGCCACTCCAGTTTAAGGAGATATATCCGACCTCGAGCCAGTCGTAGAGAGAGCCCCGGCCTTCCTTGACGCTGCCTGTTAGATTATCGAGGCTGTAGGCATTGTAAGAAATGACATCTGCTCTTTTACCATGGCAGCATATTTATTAGTCCAGTTAGTGGCTCCTCGTAGTCCCTTAACATAGGCGTCGGCGAGTACATTGTCGGCGTTGCTGCCACCTTGGACAACACCGCAACAATTCCCAAATCGTCCTTCAGGAATATAACCCTCATATCGCCAAATATCTATCAGCGCGCGGATTTTGTTTTCGTGCACTTCAGGCTGTATCAACAGGTGAAGAGAATATGTATTGCGAAATGGATCCCCTGAGGTAGATCAGGCGCTCACGACACTTACAAAAAGTGTAAAATTCACCCCAGCACGGTTTGTTAGATTCCCAGAGCGGATTCTCTCCTGTGTGGTCTCGAAGGCATCAGGTGCATGAAGTATAGTGAAGAGTAGAGAAGAATGGGATTTGTCTGGTTGACAGACTCGTCGGTATTCACTTCAATCTTACTGAATACATTGTTATTTTATTCTTCAACGGACGTGCTCACATTATCATTCAGATTCCAGGATCGAATATCCGGGTTCTTGTACGAACATGCCCTTTCTGCTGATATAAACGAGATTCCAACTCTTGTCCTAACCATGGATGCGCCACTGCTGTTCCAGCTGAACAAGGCACCGACGCGGTCGTTGAGAGACACTGCGGTTCGATTTTTGCCACCCAAAATAGCTAGGGGAATTGACTCACTGCCATCAGTGTGGTATCTTCTAATTGGATCCGTATTACGCCCATGGAAACCCTGAGCTTGGTCGGGTCCATTCTCAAATTCGCCACAGAAAAAGACCGTGAATGGCGCGCTTTCGTTCCATCCGCCGCCGTAGGTACTGTAGCCAGTATATGTGCTCCCATTCTCCGAAATGTTGATTTCTCCTCTTTGATAATTTTGAACGCTATAGTCTCCATTTTCATCGAGGAGATAGTGAGAGACATCAACAAGTACATGTTTCTCGCCGCTCGGAAAGGAATATTGCGTGATCACTGCATGTCTGGCACCGGACAGTTCAACCGTGACACTATTTGCCAATTACGTCTTGAAATATCCAACGTTTGCGGTATCATTCCAAACTCACGCTTGCCAACACGTTCGGTTATCCAGGATATTCACAGGTGCCTCTGCAGTCGTAAGAGGTATCTGGGGAATAATCCCGTATTTAGGAAATCCTCCAGTTCCTGACTCATGCATCATCGAGATGGCAGTAACATTTCCATGGGTGTGTATCCGCCATTAAGCGTTGAGATTGAGCGATTCGCTTCGTAGGTATCGATTCCGACCTTGACAACGCCGACTGGAACAGCTCCACCAACGAAGATGTCACCGTCACGGAATGCTTGTCCAGGTATTAGGCCTTCGGATCCAATGAAAGGATTCACATATTGCGAGTAATAAACCTGGGCCAGTACCTAATGTGAGAATGCTAACGTATATAAGAGGTTTATGAATCCCAGCATGTTAGTGGTCAATTGAGCTCCGCAATTTCGCATGCAGTTGATCTGGGGTAACATTCTTTCGATGGACAAGTTGATGTTCACCGACTTTCTCCGCAGTGCTCTACGCTCCCCAATTAGCGTCAGAGTAAGTTTACGATTAGACGGTCGACGATGCTTAAATCCTTCGGGAGGGTTGGGGGATTATCTGTGACGTCAGTGTTCCAGGTGTGGGCATGCTGCAAGCTTTTGCAGATTTCAGGGAAGCTTGGTGAATCTTGCTGTTGAGCTTCCTCGGCTCCTGTGTTAGTAGGGTATTGTGCAGGCAAGTAACAATATATTCCTGATATGGAGTACCCGCCTACGAACATCTCTCAAACTCACTGAACTCCTCGACAGCTAACAACCTCTCTTTAGGTATCTTTCAATAGACGCTCTTGGGCCAAAAATAGAGCATGAGACCTCTCTGATTGTAACTTGTATTGCGCATGCAGTTCAGCCCTCCACTTTTCTTGAGGGGCGCCTCTCTCCTTGTAAAGCACTATTTCTTCCACCAAGCGAGGATGCATACTCCAACGCCCAAGGTAGTTAGTCTGACTCAAATTCTAAAAATCGCTCTTATAGGCCGGCGTTTCTTGGCCGGGGTCGTTGTGTGACTTGAAGTCGTGATAGGAGACGGTGCTAGAGGCAGAGTGTTGAAAGCGAAGATGAACAATTGGTCGTGATAGGGAACGCATGTGCCGAACCTCCATCATCTGGATATGCCCGAAAGAGGCTGGATACCTGACAGCTGTAATTTCCACAAACACATGCCCCTGTAGAGACGCTCAGCCTAGCATATACTGATCGGATTCGAAGCTGGCTTCAGTTGGCAAGTAATATCATTGAAAAGTCGATATTAATCGATAGGTGGAAAGTGGAATATGGCAGGGTGGAATTCATTGTACGGTCTTTGGATCTGATCGTAAAGACAACACTCGTGTTTTGTTTCCGACGAGCGAAGCGCATGGTGGGATTGAGAAGGTACGGTTACGGATTCTCATCCCAAAGAAGGTGAAATATGTCCTTAAACACGTTGTAAATGTCGAGAGAGCGCCATATCTGCAGGATTGACCAGTCGATTGGAATGTGAAGAGCTGTGCTAGGATTCTCCCAATTGGCAATACACCCAGAAAAGGAAATAAAACCAAACCAACTACGTTTGCGTAGTCTAGCTTAGACACTACGTCAAATTGTATTGAGGTCTCCGGATCGAGTCTCGAAGTGTCATATCTGCCTAGTGTGAGGCTTGCAGACGTGTTTTCTTGCATCGACGGTGATTGCCTTTCCTCATCCATGAATTTGAGAATTGGAGAGGTAATTAGTACTAGAACTAGAAAAATGGCCTACTGTAGAGCTGAAAGATATCCTCGGAACCTGCGCGATGCTTTTCAAGTTGCCGATGTAGGGGGTAAACGGGGCCGCTAATGTCCACGGAACGACTTGACAGGACGAATAGAACCATGAAATGCCTTTCGAATTTATTTGGGTCATGAGTTGACTCGTAAGCTGAAGGTCTTTTACTGATTTGGCCAACTGTGAACACAACCATTTCGTGCTTCCGTTTGCTCCGTACGGTTTATTTTGGGTGAAGTTTAGAAGTCGATCTTATTTTGTACTTTGAATAATCCACCCCCTTCCATGATCAATGCGAATCCATTGAAGCTCGTGGTGGTCTCTTAGATGGTGTGCGCGGCATCTTCACACCAGCCGGGCTCCAAGGGAAAAGACGTCAAGAAAGCTTCGAAACGTTAGGACAGGAGTTCCAATGCCAAAGTCGAACGATAATTATGGCCCATCTGGTCTCTCCCTATTGCCTATTAGTGTCTTATTCATAGTTGATATACGTAGTGACTTAGCATTTCCTATTAGGTAGACTGCCAGAGGAGCTATTTGGCTAGTACAGTCGAGTGATGCATGTGCAGAGAAATATGGCAATAAGCACAAAATTATGGCCAGTTGCTATAGGAAAAGGGTCCAAGTTTCCAGCTTTAAGGACATTCTGACCACTCCAATATGTAACTGTCGCGATACAAAATGGTTCCAAAGGAAATATTGATTGACTGCAAAGGTACTTCGTCTGCTACGAATTTATTTCCGTGTGCTACGAGTTCATCTCTGAGTACAACATATATTCAAGTATTCATATAATGGCAGCACCTCTGTCTCACCGCTTCCGTCAAAGGCAATTCATTAATAGTTTAAATATGGACTTGAGATAAATGAAAGATCAGCACTCAACTCAACTCCAAGCAAAGCGGGAGCCCTCTTCACAAGCTCAAGCAAAGGTCATATCCTCGTCGCCGTCCCTGCCGAATATTCGCCAAGGAGAAAGGGCAAACTCGAAATTAAAGCCACCTCTTAAACCACTCAATCGCCTGCTCTTTTGCCGCATCTGCCCCTTTCGCGTCGGCCTCATACCCGGGCCTCGCTCTAACCGCAAATCCGTGTGGACAATTATCATAGTATGTGATCTGATAATTGATTCCATCCTCACCCTCGCCCTTCCCGATTGTCTGCCTCAAAATTGCCTCAGTCTCTTCGACCTTCCTGGTGGGAAGTGCAAAGTCATCTCGAGCCTGAGCAATAGCAACGGGCGATTTGAACCTCGTGATCGCATTTAGGATATCCGTGGGAACATTCAAACCTGAGGGATGCGCACAGAACTGGGCGTCAATGAGGCGCTCGGATCCGCCTTCAACGGCGGGCTGAGCGCAGAGATTGATGCTTTGGTATCCGCCCCAGCAGAATCCGGCTACGCCAAGTTTCGCTCCAGGAGGTAGATCTGCTTTGACCTTTCTGGCGTACTCCAAACATGGTTTGAAGGAAGCCGGACTAGAAGGGAAAGCCCGCCAGAAGAATGGCACAAAGTAGGTCATGGCTCTCGCTAATGCCATAACTCGTTTTATTTGGCCCCATATGTTGAAGAAGGACACTGGCTCTAGGACTTCGTCCATTATGGGCATCACATCCGGTGAACAAGCGCCTCCAGGGATGATATCAGGGACGAGCACTCGGAAGCCTGTTGCAGAGGCGTAGGCATCAGCGAGAAGTTTGTTATTGACGAGCTTGAGGCCGAAGGCATCTGTGAGGAATATGACGGTCGATGCAGAAGTTGTGGTTGATGGAGTCCCCGCGACGTAGGTGGAGAGACCATATTGTGCGGAAATTTCCCCTGTCGGGTCGCCGGTCGCTCGGCCACCTCGGAAACAATCTCGACAAGTCATTTTGACTGAATGCTAGGTCAATGAACTGTTTATGGATAGTATAGGAGGAAGAGGGTTAATGTTGGATTTAAAAGTGGTTCAAGTATGGAGCGTTGCTATTTAGCGGAACTTTCGGCTCCGAAATCCTTTGTCTGGAAGCAGGTCGGAGAACCTCATCCCGATGCAGGGCAACTTCGATCCCCTGACCGACAAAGTACATCCTCGAGAAGCTGGTACATTATGCGATGAACGAGGACCAACAAACGGAAATATTCAGGATTTAAGGCGTCCATTTGGCGCAGTGACGTCCCGTCTCCTCTTCCAGTGAGCAACGAAGACATCTCGACTTTCCTAAAAAGGGTTAGCAGTTTCCTTTTTAGATCGTGGCTACCTGCTAAATTCCAGTTGGCGATCTCGTTGTCGAATGGGAGCGAAGAAGAGAAATAGTGGCTTACTTGGAACTCTAGTGCAGTGGGGGTGCTGGATGGCCTTAGCAGTGCTTACTTCATTTCGAAATAGAAATGGGCATTTCCAGTCATGAACCACAGCACCATTCTCACCCGTTTGACAGCGGCTCGAAAATGGAGGAAACTCGAGCAATTCTGGCCCGTGATGAGATCATTGAGCGATCGTCATCAGACTATGATAAAGAGAGTAAAGTCTGGTCTGCGCACAAAAACAAACATCCGCAACTCGTAGCACGGCCGAAGTCAATCGAATCGCTGTCTCGCCTGTTAAAGCTTTTGAACAAGACTGATATCGACTTCGATGTACGGTGCGGTGGCTGCGGATCTGCTTCTGCTAGTGGGGTGCTGATCAGCATGTCTGCATTTGATGGATTCGAGTTCAGTAAGGAGGAGGAGACGGTTATTATTGGCGCAGGACAGTTATGGCGTCACGTGGACGCGAAAGTTGAAGAATTTGCCCCCGGGTACTCCGGTGAGTAGTGGTGAAGTGGATGAGATGAAAAATTAATAGTTTATAGTCCCTGGGGCGAGATGCCCCTATGTCGGCGTCGGTGGAGGTACGCTGCAAGGAGGAGTTTCGTGGATGTCTTCAGAATTCGGATTAACATCTGACCCTCAGAACATGCTGGATGCGCAGGTTGTCAAGATGAACGGGGACGTATTGTGGGCCTCACAGGATCCTGAGCTGCTATGGGCTCTTCGAGGTGGCGGTGGAAGGTTCGGAGTGGTGACAGCTCTGAAACTGAAAGCGTACAAGTACCCGAAAACAGTGTACAGCGGAATGATTCTTTATCCTCGAGAAGCACTTTCTGCACTGGCAAAAGCCGTCCCTGCGTTTGCGGATCGAAACACGGATCCAAAGATAGCAGTCCATTTCTACTGCCTCGACATGACGCAAGGCGCGTTTGTCGGGAAGCCTTCTGTCCCAGGACTAGGGCTTCTCGTGTACGATGCCCACGGAGAGGAACATGGTCGAAGCGAACAGGGATTCAAGTGGGCTCTCGACATTCCGGGTGCAACGGATACTACTGCAGCAATGAGTTATAGACAGGTGAATGCTCTTAGTGGTCAGTGAATCCCCTTCAAATGCTACGCATCAGTCTAACGAGTTAAAGATAGTATTGAAGCGATACGAGGAGAAACAAACCAGATGATGACCGGAGTTGTCGTTCCTATCGTAACGGAAGATCTGATTTTGCGAACCTGGAAGTGGTTCGATGAGACTCTGGTGTGGGAGCCGAAACTGAATGCGGGCACCTTTGTTCTGATCGAGATTATGCAGAGCGTAAGGCTTCTAATGTTTAGAAACGTGTTCATGTTCATGCTGACAGTCCTAGAATGCCTTCAATACTGTGAAGTCGCGCTCTGCTACAGGATGGCCACGTCCAGATGGCCGCCACATCTTGCAACTTGGTTGTGGAGCTCTCAACAGAGAGTGCACCGAAGAATTGCACAGGAAGGCGATTAAAGCACTCGCAGAGGGGGCGGAGCAGATTTTAGATCGATATTCCGTCAGCGATTGCCTTCCAAGGGATTTCGAAGAGTTTCATGATCCAGTCGAGGTATGCATTACGTGAGTGAGCTGTAGATAAATCTGACAACAGCAGATGTTTGGAGAGAATGTCGAGAAATTAAGGGCAATCAAGAAGCGTGTTGATCCGAAGAACAGACTGAAAGGGGCGTATTCAATCTAGAGAGACGGAGAATTGGGTGACACTATTACCTTTGCAGTTAAATTATTTAAGGGAAAACCTTCGCTACAGGTGCACGCGCGAACGGCCAATCGCCTGCCGACGTTGTATGTCGACAGCTCTTTACGGTAATTTACTTATGTCACGTTGCTAGCTAGCTTCTTCATCGCATTACCGTCGGATGATGGATGAAATATTAAAGGACCAAAGATTCAATCGGCTCTCCTACTATTCCGAATTGTTACATCTGGCTGCTTTCCCTCTCCACTCACCATATTCAGGAGTCGCGCTCCTCGAGTCTCGATGGCGTGTGAGGCCGGCTAGCAGGCTCCGCCATGATACGTGAGCATCGCTGCAAGCATTCGCGAGCAATGAAAGCAAAGCAGGTAGGAGAGACCTAATTCCCACCGCACTCATGTTCGAAGATCGACGAGGTATTTGGATTCATAAGGTCAAGAGAGTGCGTGATGACTGGCAAAGGAGATACACGATTCAAGTCCTTTGGGGTCTTCGTCGAGCTGATAAAGATGACAAATATCCAGCAAGAAAGGCTAGATGGAATGACAGCGGTCTTGAGACCGGAGTATTGAGTACAAGCTATCAGTGGGTGAACCTGTCGTTTCGTGGGTTTCTGCTATCTTAAATGCGCTATCTGTGATACTTCTGGCGCATGTATTTCATCATACTCAAGACCAGTACAGAAACAGCCGCTAAGTCATTTACTGTGTTTGAATTACATAATCACTGATTACTCTGCTCAGAGGCTAATATCACCAATGAATCGAACGTGAGGCTTGAAAAAAGCACAATTAAGCGAAACTTAGCTTCACTCCAGAGCCGGCCATCCAGTGGATGAAAATACGCCCCGAACTATGTGGCAACGTGTCATTGGTGATTCAACTGTGGAGGATCCGCTGAGGCTGAGAACAGAATGCGTGCACGTTCTTCCAGCCTCCTAACTTCACTAACAAGCTGATATCACCGTCCCTCTATTTGAAGCTGTTGGGATACTGCCCGAGTACCGAGAATAACGGCTGGAGCCCCCCGAAGTCAATACGCTATCATTTCGAGTTGTGTCCCCCGGGAATGCAAGGCTGAGATATCCAACGAATGGATGCCTTCACAGCCATTGGTCTGGCCGGCAATATCGTCCAATTCGTCGACTTCAGCTGGAAGTTGATCGCAGGGTGTCGAGTGATCTACAAGTCCTCGGAAGGAGCGAGCGATGAGACTCTCACGCTCGGCTCTATCGCCAACGATGTAGTCAGGCTCAGCAACGCTATCGGGGTTTCCTCTTATGATGACCAGCTGGAGCCTATGGCCAAAGAATGTACAGCCATTGCCAAGGAACTCTCAGATGCTCTCAATAAACTCACAGCCAAGAGTCAGCGGACAATGTGGATTAGCTTCTCGATCGCTTTGAAAGAAGTATGGAGGAAGGGTAAGATTGAAGGGATTTGTAACAGACTCGGGAAGGTTCAGGCTCAGCTGGCAGTTCATATTCAGTTCCTTATGCTGTGAGCCATGCATCAATTCCTTTTCCGATTGGGCTAATAAACAGACAGGGATGATACATCAAATCTCTTGGTAACTATCCGCGAAATGGAAGCGGTCAACAGGAGATTGGAAATTGAAAGAAAAGATGATTTCAACAAGCTCAGAGAAGACGTCATTCGTGCTATCACCAGTCTCTCATCAGCCAAGGGCTCTGCCAAGACATCGATGCAAGAGTGCTTCGATCAACAGCAGCGATCTGAGGAGGTGGACGCCGAAAAGGCTACAGAAGTAACGATAGGCCTGAAGAATCTCTCAGCTGCGATGAGCAATCTCACAGAGATGGGAAAGACAACGCAGGTGGAGCAACAGTTTCTCAAAAGCCTCCACTTCGCAAATCTCGTGACGCGGCATGAGAAAATCGAGAAGTCTCATGAGGAAACGTTCACTTGGATGTTTCGAAATTCTCTCGAACAAGGAAGGATGCCTTTACGATTTTCCGAATGGCTCCGCTCTCGGAGTGGTATTTACTGGATTGAAGGAAAAGCCGGCTCGGGAAAGTCAACCCTGATGAAATTCCTATGCAAAAATCCCATGACAATGAGTCATTTAGAATCCTGGGCTCAGGGGAAGAGGCTCGTTGTAGCGCAATTTTTCTTCTGGAACGCCGGAACTCGTCTACAAAAGTCTCGGGAAGGGCTCCTTCGCTCGCTACTTTTCGAGATCTTGCGGAAATGCCCGGATCTTCTCTCTAAAGTCATAGAAAATGTTGGCGTTCCTGAGTTTGCCGATGAAGAAGAATCATGGTGTGAAGATGATCTCCTACGAATCTACCGTGTCATTATGAGCCAAGAAACCCCGATTCGATTCTGCTTTTTTATCGATGGTTTAGATGAGTACGAAGACGACAATAAAGGGCCTGAAGAGCTTCTAGATACCCTAAGGAGTATCGACTGCTCATCTAACACAAAGTTGTGTGTCTCCAGCCGACCCTGGGTCATTTTTCGAGACGAGTTCGGCAAGACCCCCGAATGGCATATCAGGCTTGAGGATCTAACCAGAGACGATATTCGCTCCTTCGTCTCTTTTAAGTTCAATAAGAACGAGCAATTTCAAAAACTCAAAGAAAGGGATCCACGGTATCCGAAGCTGATTGAAGATGTTGTGGAGAGGGCCCGAGGTGTCTTTCTGTGGGTAAGACTTGTAGTTCGAAGCCTGCTAGAAGGACTTACCTACCATGACTCGGTAGCCACACTATCGCGGCGTCTAAACAGCTTCCCAGAAGATCTCGACGACTTCTTTCAACACATGATCGACTCGATACCAACCATATACCGAATTCAGACGGCAAGGACATTCAAGATCGCCACAGAGGCAAAGCAACCTCAGTTACTTATGACATATTCATTTGTTGATGGACTAGAGGAGGACCGGGAGTATTGCTTCAAATTACCAATCGCGCCTATGGCATTGCCTGAGATAGAAACAAGAGCAGAACAGATGGAACGGCGTCTAGATGGCAGGTGTAGGGGTCTTCTTGAAATAGTTGAGGATCGGGAATGCACGGCTTTTGACAAGTACAAAATCGATTTTCTTCATAGGACCGTTCGAGACTTTCTTCTGCAATCAGCAAGGACGCGCGAGTTGCTTCAAGAAGTGTCAGAAACTGACCACCAGACCTCTTCGTTGGTCGCCCAAGCTTGGCTAGGTGTGCTCAAAAGCACGCATTACGGAAACGAGGTTATGTGGGAATCTGTCGAAGGAACCCTAGAAGAGCTGATGTTTCACTCTCAGAAGGCGACCGTTGGCGAAACCAGTCTAGGTAGCATAGCCAAAGTCATCAATGATGCGAAGAAGACATGCCTCGGTCTGCGAGTCGTCGGAGCTAATATCGAGCACAAAGTCCTAGGGTTGGCAGCGCAAAGCAACTTCTTTCTGTATGTTCAAAGTCAATTGAGCGGGTCTGAGACTTTATTCATCGGTGGGAAGAAGAACGGCTGGCACGACTGGCCCGTACTTGCTGAGGCACTCTATCACAAGGATGAGAAGACCAGGATTTCGGCCGAGATTGTCAAAATTCTACTAGAGCATGGAGCCGATCCCAACTGTCCATTCAAAGGCTCAACACTATGGCAGCGCTTCATGGAAAGGCTTGCCACGTCCTTCGACGAACTGCAAATGTCAAAAGACGAGGTCTTTGAAATACTGTCGCTACTTGTCACTCATGGCGCGAGGCTATCGACACAAATTGACCCTTCTCGATCACCAGCGCTGGGACGCAGATTGACAGGTAGAACGAACGAAGGAGACAGCACCCGGGATAGGAGCGTTCTTAACGTTGTCAAAAAGCACTTCTCCGACGCGCAAGTCAAGAATCTCTTGGATCTTGAGACACTACCGTCGGCTAAGCGCTGGAAGGAAAGATTAAACCCGAGACAAATCTTTAATTTTCGTCCAAAAAAATCGGTGGGGAAATAGGGCCGACTATTTGTCTAAGAGCAGGGCGACAGCAGACCTAAAAGCCTTCATAAAAACTCCCTACTATGCGCAGACCGTCAAAGTGGCTGGGCAAGAATTATCATTTGAGTACCACAGGTGTCTGCTTGCGGTAAAACACGAGCTACGAGCCAATAGCTTCGGAGAATACGTGTGAACATCGACGACCACGTGCAGCTTCAGTCAACCTCACTTGTAAGCTGTTCCATTAACATATTTCGCTTCTCAGATCCTTTAGTTTGGGCGGTGAAGGAGCAAACGGGAAGCAGTGTTAAATTGACTGCAGAGAGTCTAGGGAAATGCGACCACAAGTGGTAGTCAGAGGGTTGGGCCTAGCGGCTCATAGTAGTAACGAGATTGCCAGTACAAACGAAGTCCTCCCAGCCCGAAGTGGTAAGGCTGATAGGCTCCACATGCTTAGGCGCGCCACCATGCAGCGCTTGTTGCAGCCAACTGAGCTGGAGGGGAGGGGTATGGACATGAGTTGCTAAGGCGAACGTCTGAGGGGAATTGGAGGATACATTCGTTATAATTAAGATATTTAGGGAGGGGGTGGATTGTACGAGCCCGGTTGTCCTAATGAAATTGGAGAAAATGCCTGTGGGAGTCTCTAGCGAGAGTGCACACCCTTCTTATGGGCTGACTGCAACCCTCTTTCCCCCTCCTGCTTGTCTTTTCCCACTCTCAAACTCAGTGTCCCATCGGCTGAGTCCGTAGTTGTGGAATCAGTATCTTTGGCTTGCTTAACATTCGAGCCTCTGCACATCCCGCCCTCTCTAACTATTTTTGGGCTAAAAGCGTCGCATTGTATGAATCACACCTCCTATTTACCGCAACTGTTGTTTATGCCACTTCATACCGGGTACCTTTGGGGACGATCACGACTCCATCGAGGCTTAGGTGGTTATGAATCCCACAGCACAAAAGATGCCGTACCTCCACCTTGGTGAAAAAGCTAGCATTAAGACGGCATTCATCCCTAAGTCTCTTCATCTAGTTTCGGCCGAGCAAGCTCTAGAAAAAGATCCTGCCATAGAGCAGCGAGGCAGGAACAGCAACTTCAAATAAACCAATTCCATCATTAGATATGTCGTGGTTATCTATACGGTTAGCCCGTGGCCTGTCTCAGTTAACAGGCGCGCAGCGGCTACACACCCCCGGTGTTACATTGATAGGTCATTATAATGCAGCGTGTAGGGACAATATGCGTCATGAAGGAACGCTACAGTACATCTAAGCCCTGCGCATACGGTATTTACTCCAGTAGCTCAAAGAAACTGGGCCCAGAATTACGGTAGAAATAGGGCCAGCTGGTTCGCCCAAATAGAAGCAGACGCCGGATGGGAGGTAGAGGACTCAGTAACTCCAAAATCCGGTATCAGGGAAAAACAGGAATCCATAGTAGAGCTCATCAGGTATTTTTCCAATTAGATAAGTCTCTATAGGTAACGACGCGTCCACTATCCAGGTCAAGCATTGTTGCAGCGTTATAGAGTCGCATGAAGGTCAGGATCTAGCAAGCCCTGGTTCAGCTAAACTGTTGCAACGTAGAATAAAATGCATTGATCCTAGTTAACTGCTAGTGGCATATATGTGACATGGCTCCTTATGTCACTGTTCAGAGCGGAGATATGAAAGTGGGTATAAGCTTTAAGCGAGTTCTGAAAGTAATAAGACTATAATCATCAGAGGCGATAGAGAGGAAGTAAGAAAGAAACAGTGCAATAAATATAACCCCAAGTAGCAGTTAAAGCAATCGTTGTTATATGAACATAAGCTTAAGGACAATGTGCGGGTTCACGTGCCCCTGTAATAACGCTGAGAAATGATGTGCAGAAGAGAACAAGGGTACCTAGTCTTTGCAAGGGTGTGGAAGCAGAAAAATAAAGAGTACGAAACTAGAGTTGGGTCAAAATAAAACAGGACGAGGAGACGCTTCCATTGCTATTGCTGGGAATGCCGCTTGCATAAAGATTTAGTCAGCGATATCTGATCGGGCTTACGTAGCTGTTTCTAAGAATCTAATTGAGTTGACTTACAGGCCTTCATTTCTAAAAGCAATAGATGCACAATCTAGAGGCTTTTAACCCAACACAATACGGTTTATGAGGAAAGTAATAACATTATGTTTAAGAACAAAAAGAAACCAGTGATTCCGTCGGGAAAGGAGAGCGGGAAAGTCCTCAGAGATACGGATACGAAGTCCGAGCTGCGGCAACCGGCTCGGTACCTGATTGGCCTGATATCACCGTTTCCATATTCGGCACTGCATATAAGAAGCACTTGCCCACTTTTGTGACACCAGAGTCTCAGTATTCAAAAATAAATCAGCCTGTTCAAATCCACATCACCCACACTCCAGAGACACATTAGTCTCTTCTAATCTACCCTACTTCTATAGAAATTGTAGAACAGAACTCCCTGGAATTTCCAGACCCCAGTACTCGGGCAACAGTTCCCCAGGAATCCTTCACTTCAATATGGCGAACCCAATAGCCTCAGCCAAAGCCCAAGAAGCAACCGAGCATTTCACCTTCCGCAACGCCACTCCCTCAGATATCCCATCCCTCTCTAGCATGATCTCCACCTCACTTCGTTCCTTATCCCAGACCCACTACACCCCCTCCGAACTTGACGGCTCAATCGGATTCCTCTTCGGCCCAGATACACTTCTCATCCACGACCAAACTTACTTCATTCTGCACCCCGTCAACTCCCCCTCTACCATCTGCGCATGTGGCGGATGGTCTTTCCGCCGTACGCTGTACGGCGCTGACACGGCACCTGGTCGCGTGCCCGAGAAGCGTGATCCCAAAGTTGAGAGAGCGAGTATTCGGGCCATTTTCACGCATCCGAAGTGGGCGAGGCAAGGACTGGGAACTATGATGATGCGGTATTGCGAGGCGAGGGCGAGGGAAGGCGGGTTTGAGAGGTTGGAAATGGGGAGTACGTTGACCGGTGTGGCGTTGTATGAGAGATGTGGGTATGTACGGAGTGGGAAGGAGGATGTGGTGGTCTGTCCGAATGGGGAAGGGATTCGGATTGTGCATATGGTTAAGAATGTAGAAACGGAGGGTGTGGATGGCGTGTGATTGATGGCCGGGAATGCAGTGCTTTCTCGGACAAGCTATCAAGATGTTCAGATTCATGATACCCCTCTCAATAATACACAGAGAATTCACCACTTTCCAAACCTCCTTCCAAACCGCCTTTTCCTCCTCCTCGACTTCTCAACTATCTTCTCTTGTATATCAAAAGTTCCCCCATTCTCGCGATTCCGCTCACATGTGTCCGTCGTCCCTTTCAAAACCTCATAATGCACCATATCCCTCCCTTTCTCTACATCCCCATTCATCCTTGCTGCAACCCTCTCCCCAACCTCCCTGCCCTCAAAATATGCACCTTGCAAGAAACCAAAATACTCGGCACTTGTTGCTTCTCCCGCAAACCAAAGCCTCCCCACATTCGCCCTGAGATTTTGATGACCCTCCAGCGTCATGCCCACCGGGAAATTCGAATAAGAGCCATATGACCAGGGCGTGGTGCTCCATCTCGGGTAGTAGAATGCCAGAGGTTCTGGGATCGGGACTTGGAACATTTGCGCGAGGACCGCAAGGACTTCGGCTTTAGTTTCTGAGTCAGTTTGCTGGTCGATGCGGATGGATTGATCGCCGACAACTGTGACGAACAGGATCCCACTTCCCGGATGGAAATTTTCGTGGTCAAGACTTTGCCATATGGGATAATATCCTCTGGTGCGTGAAGCGTAGAGGAAGAATTCCTTCGAGCGGTCCCAGAAGACTTTTTCTGGTGGGAATTGTAAAAAAATCTTAGTGTACACGCCCATCTGCATCTGAGCTATGGCTTTGAGTTTCCAGTCTGGTAAGAAAGGCGTGAATGTTAGAAATCTCTTGTACATTGACGTTTGAAGAACGCCGATGCTGAAGGTTATGATGGCTTGTTCGGCGGTTATGCAAGTGCCGTCACGGTTCGTGATGGTTACGCTGGAATCGTCGGATGCAATATTCGTAACTTCAGTATTAAGGAGGAGGCGACTGTCGTTTGTAGTTAGAATTTCAGATGCTTCACCTTGAATGAAGGTACTAAAGCCACGCTGGTCAAGGATGAAAAGGTTATCTTCTGAGAATTGGCCGAAGCTTGAGTTCTGTCATAGTGAGCAAACTTTTAATTTAGCCAAATTCAGTTGAGCTAGGAAACTCTTCCAGACTTACTCCACTCACGACAGCAAAGAGCTCGGATGAAACATCCTGCAAAGCTTAGCAACTAAGAGTAAAACTTTAAGAATTTGCTTACCGCTGTCTGTGCTAGTTCATACTCGATAAAGTAGAACTCGGCAGCAAGCATGTTTGGACTTGTAGGATACCAGCCTTGACTCTGCAACCCGGCACGAAGGCTTCGGTCTTGGATGTTCTCAGAGATAATGGAGCCAGCATTCTCCTCAACCTTGCTATATAGGATCTCAAAGTCGGCTAGCGTAGAAATAAATCCGTCGGATCCGGTTTCGCTAAATAGCTCCAAGGAAGTGAAGTCTGAAACGTGATTCGTGAGGTTATACTTTTGTGCCTTCTCTTGTCAATAACATGAAAATTGCAGCCTTAGATGATCGGCGCACAAGTGTGTATATTGGATTTTCTGGCCCGCCGTTGTGGCTAGTGCCATGCACCTTAGAGCATGTTAGCATATACACTCAGTATCTAGGTGAGGAGTTATGCACCCAATTCGCTCCCTGCTCGATTGTGTAAGGCTTCCAGTCGACACCCTTGCCAAATTTAGCAGGCAGCACCCGCCCTCCTACATAGTCGTTGTATTCAACAATAATGAAATCGGATATGCCGTTCCCGTTTAGCGTTTTCTTAGCGGAGAATCAGCAAAACTGGCCAACTCGAAGGGATGGAAGTGTTCACGGCCGCTGTGACTCCAGCCACTCCAGCGCCAAGCACGGCAACCTTTGTCTGACGGCATGGAGACTCATAACTTCTTACCACCGAATCTAGTGGTGTATAAATAGCTCCAACAAAGCAAATACCAAACAGGGCCAGCAGAGAAATATGGAGTCCCATCACGATGAAGGGATAGAGGTCTCCACCAGGTTAGAGGGGAGAAACGAGAGAAAGGCCGTGAACACGCCCGGACTGCCTATTTATATATTTGAGCCTTAAGTCAACCTTTGCCAATCATGTCTGGCTAAGGTCTACCGCGTTACGGTTATTATTCTTCAAGCAACCTGACCGTTACTGATGAGCTTGAACGGGACATTGGTAGAACGGCCTGAGAACCTCCAAAGCTACATGTATCCATTTGCGATACACGAGAGTGACATGTGGAAGGAGAGGATGAGATGTAAACGCGATTGGGGCCAAAATTTGCCGAAACCGTACGAGGGAGGTAAGCTCCTCATGGCCTTTGTAACGGTGGGACGCGGGTGATTGGGCTGTTTGGTTTAGTGTAGTAATCCCATGGTTGCAAGACTATCATGGAATGGGACAAGTGCGCCTAGCGTTGTACCTAGTTGTCGTGCGTTCAGAGTTGCTAGGGTCAAACTCATTCAACGCTGTTAAAGCCTACTATATACGTTCGATATCCCGCAAGTTTCAGAAAGCGCGTAAACAGTTGCTGCCACTTAAGCCAAGAGCACAACAAAATTCACTATTTCCAAGATTAGCACAGTGTACCAAAATGATTACTGGTCAATTCATTCGGTCTATCAACACATAATGCTGCCCCACTCAGTCTAAAATGAAATAAAGGAGTTAGAACTAGATGCTATTTCAGTGTCCACCTTTCTGCTCAAAAACTCCCCCAAAGCAAATTCCATCTATGCTATCACTATAGACATCGCAGAAGCAGTGTTATGCATCAAGAGTAAGCCGAGGATCTGATAGTTCGCATCGGGAACATCTGAAAGAGACTCCACAAAGTCCATCCTAGACTCCTAGGTTCGTCCTAGCGGGCCAAGTTCTTCGGTGGCTCAGTGGGGGCTCCCTCAGGGGTGACGTAGCATCTCGTCATGCCCCCGTCAACGACAAAGTCAGTACCGTTAACGAAACTACTCTCATCGCTAGCAAGGAAAAGGACAGCTTGTGCTTGCTCGATGGCTTCTCCAAATCGCCCAGTTGGAAAATGAACTTCACGGCGATGGCGCTTGGCCTGGTCGTCGCCGAGCCAGTCCTGCAGAAGAGGTGTACTGTTTGGATTCAGTATTTAATGTTCTTAAAATAGGGCGGACGAGACCAACTTTAATGGGGCTGGACAGAGGGCGTTGAACCTGAAGCCTTCCCTTGCATGACGCATCGCAAGTTCTCTCGTCATCGCCAATACTGCTCCCTTGCTCGCAGTGTACGCCAGCTGTGGGGTGGCACTTCCGACCAGGGCAACGACACTAGCAGTATTGATAATCGAGCCCTTCTTCTTTCCATGCTTCCTCATGCTAATCACAGCATGCTTGCTTCCAAACCACACACCTTTCACATTGATAGCTTGAGTGAGGTCCCAAATCTGCTCAGGCGTATCGATAGCATCCGCATCATCGCCGTGCATAATACCTGCGTTGTTGAAGATTACATCGACCCCGCCCCAGCTGTCCAAATGCTCTACCATGGCCTTGACGTTGGATTCGTTGGACACATCTGTGATCTTGGTTTCTACTTTCTCGGCCCTAGGAACTAGCTCTTTCACTTTTGCAAGGGCCCTTGCCAATGACGGGCCTGAGATGTCGGACATTAAGACATTGGCTCCTTCCCTCGCGAAGAGGACTGTGGTCTCTAGGCCGATACCCCTGTATGAGAGTCAGTGACAAATGGATAAACGGCATTGAAACGGGACAATAATCCTTCTTAGATTGCATGACTGTGCTGTACATATGAGGGTAGAGAAGAGAGGCAGGACGATGGAGAGAAGCAAGCTCTCGAGCATCGTCGGGAACCGTATACGCAAGAACTAGCAATAGGAATGAAAAGCGAGGCAATAATGCTTTCCAAAGGAAGAATAGGTGTGCTAGGAAAAAGAAATGGGAACCATGAACCTACCCAGCAGCTCCGGTGACGATGCAGTTCTTCCCTTCCAAACGTCCCATGTTGAATGAGTCCGATTTCGATATTCGGAAAGGCTGAGGTGAAGTTTCTGAGTTGTCGTTAGCCCGAAGTTTGAGTCAAAGTGGATATGTGAGGCAGGAGAGTAGTTGTGACTAATATAAAAGACCGGAAGCGCTGTAGAGATGCACGCTAGTCTTGAGATGCTCCAGGAAAGGATAAGATGAAAGACTCATCTAAACAGTAACTTACCCTCCTATAAGAACGAGGGGAGTATGGTCGACAAGCTTTGGTGTCGCAGGATCAAGCGGAGAAATTGATGTTGAAGGAGAAGACTGATACGGGTAGTGTCGGTGGAATAGCTCCCTCCCGATAATCGGCCCAATGCAGATTGCTGTTAGATAAGAGGATCACTGGGGGACCGGACGTGGGCGGACCGCCGTCGCTTGTTCGTTAGGTAACGCCGAGGGGGTTTGACAGCTCTTTCGCCATTGTTACGGTGAATAAAGGGTCATGAGGATGAATATCGAGCGCACGAGACGCGTGTGACGCCAGAATGTGCCCCACCAATTGAAGAGGGGACCGGCTCGCTCAGTGGATCACCTCGTTCGGGGTCCATCATAACAAATTCGGGTGAGATACTTGAGAACTATAGATTCGTCCATAAAAGCTAATAATAATAGTCTGGTGTAGTATTTTCGGCGCGTTCCCACGTACATATGTTGGTTCTCGAGATTGCTGAAGCATGATGTCGGACTGCATACTCGTATCGTCCGCTAAGCTCCTTCCGATGGTAGCCCCTCATTGGTCAAAGCTTGAACCTGCTGCTTCAGCCCTCGTCACCATCACCAGCTCAAACCTGCTTGCATTAGGCCTTCAACCGCCTCAAAGCAGCTCTCCCCTCTATTTCAACCTCCCCTCAGTCCTCTAGACACTTCAACAGTATCTTCCAACACTCTCCCGGCCACAATGTCCGATCAAGACCCCACGCATATAACCGTTGATAGCCTCCCCGAACTACTCAAGAACGACAATGCCGTCAAAGTAGCCGGCGTCGACGTTGATGGCTTACTGCGCGGCAAGCTCATGGCGAAGAAAAAATTCCTGTCCATAGCCAAGGAAGGCTTCGGCTTCTGCTCAGTTGTGTTCGGGTGGGACATGCACGACCAGACGTACTTCCGCGAGCTTAAGATAAGCAACAAGGAGAACGGATACCGGGATTTAATCGCAGTAGCAGACCTCAGTTCCTACCGGCGCATACCCTGGGAGAATAATGTCCCTTTTTTCCTTGTCAGCTTCTTCGACCCCGACACCCACGCCTCCCTCAGCGCATGTCCGCGCTCCCTGCTCAAACGGACCGTAGATAAGATTGCAGAACACGGTTATGGCGCAATGGCAGGAGGTAAGCCCCGCAACAACTACCATCTCCCGCGTGCCCCCTAGTCTGAGGATTCAGCCAGGTTGGTGTCGGCGGCCTTTCAGCTTCCCTTCGAGTCACTAACGTTGGCGTCCGAATCTCACAGCGGAATACGAATTCTTCCAATTTCGAGCACCCCAGACCCACGACGGATCTGAACGGAATTCTTCCTCAACTGCTGCATTTCTCAAAGATAATCCTGTGAATTCGCTGCCGAGTCTTACCGAGGGCATGTTTGGGTATAGCATCACGAGACCGGTGCATAACCAGGAATACTATTATGGCGTATTCGATGCATGTGACGCATTTAACTGCGCAATCGAAGGCTGGCATACAGAGAGCGGACCGGGTGTGTTCGAAGCTGTCAGTCCCCATCCTCTCCACTGCATCCTCTCCGAACCACAGCTAACGCACTCTTCCACAGGCTCTTCAATTCTGCGAAATAACTGCTATGGCCGATAAAGCCTCGCTATTTAAACTTGTCGTGAAATCTCTCGGCTCCAAATTCGGCATAACCCCATGCTTTATGGCAAAGCCCCGGGAAGGGCTCCCGGGCAACTCCGGCCACATGCACGTTTCCATTGTCGACTCATCTGGCCAAAACCTCTTCTTCCGCGAAACTGAAGATAAAGACCACAAATGGCAAGACGTGCGGTGGCTCTCTGATCTCGGACGACATTTCCTGGCGGGCTTGATTGATGGTCTACCGGATATCATGCCGATTCTCGCGCCGAATGTGAATAGTTATAAGAGATTAGTGGAGAATTTCTGGGCGCCTGTGACGGTGTCTTGGGGCCTGGAACATCGCGCTGCTTCCATACGTTTGATTAGTCCGCCCACTTCAAGTCCAAAGGCCACGAGATTCGAGGTCAGAGTGCCCGGCGCGGATACGAATCCGCATTTTGTGCTTGCTGCGATTTTAGCGCTCGGGTGGCGGGGAGTCAGTAAGAAGATGGAAATTCCCATTCCACCGCTTGGGAAGGGTGAAGATACTGGTGGGTCGTCGGATGAAGGGGTACGGCTTGCGAAGTCGTTGAAAGAGGCCACAGACCGGTTTATGGCGAAGGAGAGTGTAGCAAGAGAAGTCTTTGGTGATGATTTTGTGGATCACTTTGGTGGAACGAGACAACATGAAATAAGGCTATGGGATGAAGCTGTCACGGACTGGGAAGTTAGACGGTATATTGAGACGGTTTAGATAGGTTGAGAGGCGAAAAACCGCACAGTTTGAGGACTCGGATGCTTGATACTAGCCGAGATTACCCCTAGTCAAATTAACTATTACAATTACACACTGTACAAACCCTTTCAAGAAAATGCTGTAGGTATGAGGCCAGGTTCGAGGCTAGAACCACAACACCCTCTTGCAGCGCTCCTACAACCCAAGTAACCCCCTGATGCCCCTAACCTTCCCCCTCCAATCCCCATAACCCAACCAAACAATTCCCTCCGCAAACTTCCACGCGCGTTCCGTAGCCCCTTTCCCCTTACTCCCGAACGGTATATCCATCGGCGGCGGGATACTCGTCTTCACCCCAGGCCACCTATCCCTTGTAACCGCTTTCTGGTTGCACAAACTCCTTAATCCTTCCTTCCCGGCAAACCTGCCATACCCACTCCCTTTTACCCCGCCGAATGGCAGTTGCACCATGTAGGTGACAGCGAAGTCATTCACGGCCACCATCCCGGCGTGCACTTCACGAACTACGCGTTCCAGGTCGGACGAGTTGGAACCGTAGACAGAGGCGCCGAGGGCGTACGAAGTGCTGTTTGCGATGGCAATAGCATCGCCTACGGATTCCGCACGCATGAGTAGGAAGACGGGGGCGAATAGCTCAGTTTGCGCGATTTTCATAGTCGGTGTCACGTCGACTATGAACGTAGGGGTGAAATAGTGACCTTGGGGGAATTGCGGGTGGATGTAGCGTTTCCCGCCTGCGAGCAGCCGCGCACCTTGGTCTACGGCATCTTGGATCAGAGCTTCGAGGTTTGCGAAGTTTGCGGCGGATATGGAAGCGCCAACGTCGACGGGGTGGCTGGGGGAGGAATTGAGGATTGAGCCGGGCTGCAGGGCGCGGATGAGGGGTGTGAGGTGGTCAATGAGTTTCCGGTAGACGTTTGGCAGGGCGATGACGCGTTCTAGACCTATACAGTTTTGGCCAGCGGATTGAAAGGTTCCGCGCATGAGAATGCTGGCAACGCGCTTGAAATTGCTGGTGGATAGATCGTCTAGGATGATGGCGGGGTCTTTGCCGCCAAGCTCGACGCAGACGGGTGTTAGGGCTTTAGCGGCAGAGGCACAGACGTGGTGTGCTATTGGGCGGGAGCCGATGAAAGTGATGTGTGCGATTGAGGGGTGGGAGGTGAGGTGGTTGGCGATGTTCGGCCAGCAGATGACGGATTGAATGAGGTTGGGGGAATGGCCGCACGCGATCAGCGCGGAAGTTGCGATGCATGCAAAGTAGCTGCTAGACCAGGCAGTAGCTTCGGAGCCTTTGACGATGATGGCGTTGCCGGAGAAAATAGAAGCTATTATTGGGGAAATGAGGTTGTGGAACTATAGATTTCAGATCCTATGGTCGTTGAATGGGAGGTTCAGGTAGTCTTACAGGGTAACTAGATTCGTTAGAACCTGACTTCTCTAGGAGGGAGGAGTATGGAGATGACTTACTTCCAGCTCACACAAGCCGCAACAACACCCAATGGCTGCCACATAACCTCATTCCACTTATACATCATGAGGAAGTTGGTGGGCCTCCTCTCTGGCTTCAACGAAGCCTCTCCATGGTCAATCGTCCACTTCAGCTTCTCTGCCGTGACAAGAATCTCTCCTAGGCTCGCATCAACCATAGTCTTTCCAGAGTCCAAACAGGCGACGCGGGCAATTGTCTCCTGGTTCTCCAGCACGAACCTGACCTCCTGTTATCCCATGTCGCGATGCTTGTGTGGGGAATGCCTACTTCAACATAGTCTTGAGGACCTTTCTCCGTTGCGCAAATGTTGTCTTTGCCCATTCTACCTGCGCTTCCTTTGCTTTAGCTATCGCGCGATCGATGCCGTCTGCGGTGGATGGGTTGACGAGGCCCAGGGAGGCACCGGTTGCAGGAGCGTAGCATTGAATTACCGAGGAGCCGGATACCTGACACACAGTCAATAATAATCACCTGACGCATAGAAGCCTTCCCACTCACCTTCAACGAAGGCTCATCCAGAACCTCTCCCCTCCATCCTGGCTGGATCTGCGCTGGTGGAGCAACATCATAAGGGACAGGCGCCTCTAGATCCTTTCTCAGGACTAGATAGAAAAATAAAAGAGTTAGGAGACCGATTGCGCTAGCGACGTAAGCTTTAAGGTCCTCCAAGTTCTCCATCACGCGCAATTGCAGTCCGTGGTGGAGGTCCCTAAAGTTTTCCAATCGGGAAAAGCGTCTTGAAGGGTGGTTGCTCCGGAATATTAACACTCAGTGGTGACTGTTCCGTAGTAATTTTATAAACCTTCCTAATCGGGTAGTCTCGGAAAAGTGTGGATTGTGGCAGGAATCGATTCAGGCTCTCTCTAGAATTTGGAGAACGTCTAAAGGTTTCAAATTTCTGTCCTAAATTACCTCTATATTTCACGTTAGGCCACCAGCATTCCGTAGTTTAACCTTTATTTTTACTTAATTCAGAGCATTGTACCATGTTTTGCCAGAGCGGACGCTTCCCTCATGAGTGTCGACCAAAGGCGCAGGTGGACAGCGACCTTGATCTTCTCGACCCGACTTCAGTACTTAAGAGTCTCACAACAACATGCACGACTATTGAACGAGAGGGAAATCAATATGTACCGCTTGCATCGGATTCCGGATTCCGTCTTCTGCGCTGATGTAGTTTGACCTCACAAGATGTCATCAATATCAACCGTTTCGAATCCACTCTCTACAGTGAATAATTCCTAGTGTACGAGGCTTTATCTTACACATGGGATTACTAGCAACCAAGTTTGACTATTAAATGCAATGGAGGTGCTTTCTAGGTTACTCGAAATGTAGACAGAGTGCACCGAAGGCTACAGCAGGAGGATGAGGAACCCCTTCTGTGGATTGACTCAATATGCATTCATCAATCTTCTAGTTCCGGCAAGAGTGCTTAGATCTCTAGAATAGCGGTCGGTATACAGTCTGTTAGAAAGCGCAATCGTATGGGTGGGGGAGGAGTCAGTGGAGACAGACATTCTTTTCCTCTATTGCAATCTCGTTAAGAAAAACGAGGATACTAGACCAGCCACGTACCACTCTCGCTAGACCAGCCAGTACTATAGCCGATCTCACGAAGATATAAACCTCTCTTACTTCGTTAGTCGATTATTTTGCCGATCCTGGTTTCATCGCACCCAGACGGTGCAAGGGTTAATCCCAAAGAAAGCTAAGCTTATGTCCCGGAGGACAACGGTACCTTAAACGAGATCGGAGGCAAAGGTCAACCTATTCCATTCTCATGGCCAACCTCCCTTCCAGCTAATTCGGGTAAGCCGAACCTGCCACTATTCTTGAGCCTCTGTGATTCGCTTCTTCATCCGTGCTTATCTAAATTCAAGATTTTGCTTGGCAGGGACTGCTACGCAGAACCTAGGAATTTGATTCGCTCTGCAAGAGACACGTAGGAGTTCTACAAGGAGAGGAGCCATTCACGACAGTGATGAGGTCAGTGAGGAGGAAAGACTGCCCGAAGATTCTGGATAAGACTTACGGTGTTTATAGTATGCTCCAGATGATGGAGCATATTTTACATACCTCTCATCGATTACAACCAGGCCGCTGAGAACTTGTATCTTGAGATGACTAATCCGCCATCATTTGAGACAATTCTCCATCCCTTCTTTAGGAGGCTAGATTACTACGGCTGATAAAAACACTACCCTTTTGGGTGTCGGGCTAGAGCAGCACTGGTGGTAGTCCTAGTTTGGACTAGTGAAGGGCATCAAGAGAATACAAGTTAGAATTCAGTGTCAGAGATCGTGAGCGTCAAATACAAGGTATTCGGATCGACAGCTCTGATGAGACCGTACCTTCAATCCCCCAGATTGTTGGGCCGATAGGAACGCGTATACTTCCAATCTTATGCAAAAGTTTTCTTTCGGACCCTGCAAATGCGGCATGCTCGTTACCGGCAAACAATGGAGGCGACTATCCGGAAAGAAGTTTCTTACGTATGATCAGTGAGCACGAGAAGGCCAATGCCATAGATAGTGTAGACCAGTAGCTTGTCATTCTTAAATCGAATCCCTCAGGCTTTCTCCATTCCCGAGAGCGTCAAAGCAAAGCCAAAGTTCTTAGATAAATTTGATACGTTTCGGAGAGACATAGATTATCCAGAAGTCTACAGAGACTGAGATAACGACATGAAGATACACTTCGCTCTCACTTGTGAGTTGAGAGAGGGCCACCTTCGGGATTACGGGGCGGATTATTTCGGGAATTCAGCAAAGCACGTTTTCGCGACACCGATAGATGGGCCTTGGTGCGCGTTTTGTCGAGGCTGGAGATGTCGTAATTCTGATGTCAGGTGTTGAATGTCCTGTTATCTTAGGGAGAGATGAGGATTATTACCGCTTGCTCGGTCTGGATGTATTCATGGTTGTATGTGGGACGAAATATGGCTGGATGAGGTTGAAGTCTTGGGGACTATATCACGCTGATCTGAGAGTATCGAGTTTCATGCCTAGGAGTCTTCACTGGTAGCAACTTGGAAGGTGATCGTGAAACCTTGAACATGGAGGAGAATCAGGCACCAGCATGGCACAGCCCCAAATCCAAACCGCACGCCTCGAACATGGAAAATGACAAACGGCCCCACATTGCCACCATCCGTCTACACTGATCAGCGTTGTTCAGCGTTGTTCAAACTCTCCTCTTCCCCTACTTCGTCGCTGCAGCAACCACATCCCGCATCTCCCGCCTCATCATCAACACATCCTTGCCCAACGCCACAGATTTCTCTCTCCGCCTCACCCCAACTGAACCAGCACTAGGGCGCATCATGGACCACACTTCGCACAATACAAGCTCGCATGTAGATACTTCGCACGTTGACACCGCGATTCACTACGACACGATATGGCAGCCCCATGATACCGCGTCACACCACCATCACCCCCAGAATGTCCACAATAATGATCATGCCCTTCATGGCCATCATGGCCATCATGGCCACCACAGCCGACGCGACACCGACCCCCCTCCTCCTTACTATCCGTCGCCGAATACCGATCCAGCACACAATCCTCTTGTCCACAACTCTAGCCTCACGGTCTACTACAATACGTTTCCTACCCCACGATCAAGGCATATAAGGAGAGCAGAGTCTTGGACACCACAACTGTGCTTCGGGATTGGGGTCTGGATACTCGGGGGGGTGTTCTTCATCTGGTTTGTGTGGCTTCAAATCCAAGATCTAAATCGGTCGAACGATGGCTACCCGCCTGGGAACCGCGGCAACTGGCCATAACCCTTCATCATAATAAATGAATTAGCATGGCTTTCGAATCGAAGAGGGGTGGTAGAGACGGACTTTAATGGGATTTTCGATGACAGATGATACCTAGCAGGGCATGTTGGATACCCGGATTGGCGTTTGGGATGTTTCTTGGGCACATTTGGGGGAGTGTGACTATGAGCCTGGATATTAGGACATCAGTCGTCTGAGAGAAACGATATGGGACACTCGTGGACCCCCCTTTTTGCGGTCGGAAAAGGTGAGCACGTGACCTAGACCCCGCAGCAACGAGTACCTTTTAGTACCCGGAGACCTCAACATATCCGGGCTTTAAGTCAACCTTCAACTTACAGTCTCTCCATTATCACTCCTCCGACTCATTGAGTGCGTTCTTATTCCCACCGGAAAAGGTATTCCGCCTTATTTCCTACTTTTCCCCTTCTCTTTTAAGCGACATTGTCTCTTGTAGTTAAGCTATTAACCTATTGCCTCGATCCCAAAGCAGTGCATTGCCATTCCCAAGGCACCAAAGCCCTTGGCTGCAGCGTTTGATATGTTGGAATATACTTGCCGTCCGAGGGATTGACTATGCTTCACGCCATTTCATCACCACACGATGACTCGCATGTGCTTACATGTCCTTTCTCTCACGGTTGCATATCAGACACGAGTATATTACTCTGAGTTGCTCCACCAATGTCTTGGCTTATCTGATGTTTTTGGCTACTTCTGCGGCGAACCTGCCTAATACGTCTTGGTTGAGGAGTCGGCAACAACGACCGCTCAAACATCAAGGACGGGTATCACCGTACTTTGCAGAGAATCCGGGACCCCCGGAAATGACATGACCACTTTTTGCGGGGAAGTTCTGGGCCTTTTCATGTAGGGTCTTGGAATCTTTCATGTATCATTTTGTATGGCATGAGGTACTGCCACGCAGACAAGATATATATCTTGAGGTCGGCCTCTCTCAGATTGCTTCTCGCTTCTCTATAAATCGTCTCCCCCGCCATTCTCTTTGATTAAATATATCGCCTCTCCCTCCAGGATGGCGCCTTCCACTAAAAAAGAGCTCATTGAGCAAGTCGAAAACGTCGAAAAAGGCCTCGACCAAAGCCTCCACTCCCCGTCCAGCATCACCTCCCACGACTTTGACCCCGAACTCTCCGCAAAGCTGCGCCACAGAATTGACTGGCGACTAATTCCAGCTCTCGGGGCCATGTATGGCATCTCCCTAATGGACCGTAAGAACGTGTCCAATGCAGCCATTGCGGGGATGCTCGTCGACCTGCGTATGCGTACAGGTTACGGCTACAACCTCGTCAACATGTGCTTCTTCATTACATACATTCTCCTCCAACCTTTCATGATTGTCCTTTGCAGAAAGATTGGACCGAGATTTTTCTTACCGGGGATTTGCATCGTTTGGGGGGGTGTTATTATTGGTTTTGGGTTTGCGCAGAATTGGCACACGCTTGTGCCGCTGAGATTGATACTTGGAGGGTTGGAGAGTGGATATTTTCCAGGGTGCTTGTACTTGCTTTCGTGTTGGTATACGAAATGTAAGTACTTCTGAACCTTGCGTAGGTTCTGGGGCATTCTAACACAACATAGTCGAAGTTGCTCGTCGATATTCCGTCTTCTATTTAATTGGTAGTCTAGCTTCGGCGCTATCAGGCATTATGGCGTACGGTTTGCAGCAGATGGAAGGTGTCCGAAGTATTCGAGGCTGGCGCTGGTACGCTCAACCCATCATATCATTCACTCAACCCAACCTCAAATCTTCAGGATCTTCATCATGGAAGGCATAATCACCTGCGGAGTCGCTATTTTCGCCTTATCTTTCATTGTCAAATTTCCAGACGAGGAACGAAAAAAACCAAGCTGGGGATTCCTGAATCCCGACGAACTCAATCTTGTCATCGACCGTCTAAATGCCGACCGAGGCGACGTGGAACCCGAGAAATTCTCTTGGAAGAAGTTCCTCGAGCCAGCCACGGAATGGTACATTTATGGTTTTCCCTTCATCCTTTTGTAAGTCTAGGCCAATCCAACTCTTCATCTTATCCCTGCCCAAATACTAATCGCCTCCCAGCCTCGTGACCACAATCGCCTATGCCTTCGCCTTCTTCCTTCCCATAATCCTCAACACCAACCTCAAATTCAGCATGGCAATGTCCCAATGCCTTGGTGCCCCTCCCTACGTCTTCTCCGGCATCCTAATGTACGGCTCCGCGTGGTTCTCCGACAAATACAAAACCCGGGGTCCAGTGCTCTGTTTCCTTTGCCTCATTTCCCTCATCGGCATCCCCATCATGGGCTTCGTTAAAAACCCTTGGGGCCAGTACGTCGGCGTCTTTATCACGGTTGCTGGCACCAATTCCGCAATTCCGAGCGTGATGGCGTACCAAGCGAATAACATCCGCGGGCAGTGGAGACGCGCGTTTTGCTCGGCGAGTCTAACCGGCATAGGAGGTATTGGCGGGATCTCTGGGGCGCTGATTTTTAGGACTCAGGATGCGCCCAAGTATATCCCTGGATTTGCCGCGTGTATGACTTGTAATGTGTTAGTCATGATGACGGTCGGCATTTTGACGCTGTACTTTAGGAAGTGTAATAAGCAGGCGGATAGAGGCGAGAGAATTTTGTTGGGAGATCCGTCGTTTAGGTTTACGATTTGAGCGAGTGAGTTTGGGGGGGGGGCCACTTAATTTCAGAAGCCCTGCTGGAATGAGTAATAACTTAGGATGGGACTAGTTCATTAAGCCACTAGAATCCAAAAGGAAAATTTTTCATTCGATGTTCCTACTCCGAAGAATCTAATCGCACATTAAACAAACTAAGTCTCAAACTAGGTAGGTGCATTGAAGTCCATAAACACAATCCCAGCTCAGCAGTCCACCATACTTTACCTTCTTCAACTTAAATATCACTACCGTGATAGCATCTCGCCTTGAAACCCGAACAGAATATCCCTCAGACGAGATTGGTTGTCTCGAGCTCGGAGAGACCCTCTGGCTAGCGCTCTCCGATTATTACACTGTAGATGTCCTCGCATGTGTTCACGTTCAGCGTTCTGTATGTGCTCGAGGGTCCCTATGAACGCACGATGAACGCACGCCACGAAATAGTACTCATCACAAATAGCAGGATTAGAGACCTCTCAAACAAATTCTTAGACAGGCCACACATGACCCAACCGAAGACGTCAAGAAGGTGTGTATCTATTCCATCACCCATGCCGCATGATCCTGAAATGAGGTCTGTGCATTAGCCCTCATGTCTTCAAGAGCGTTCCCCACCCGTAGTTTAGTCTCAAATGGGGTTTTCCCGGGCTTCAGAGGAATATTCATCTCGAATGTTAGCCTGCTTTAAGAATTCAAGGTAAGGGTTAGTCTGTTGCGTGACAGTTTCCAAATGGCCACAAACTTGTTCCTCTTGTTTATAAGTGCTGCCCATCATTGGGACCAAGCAATTATTGGCGGGAATGGGACGTGGATTGAAACAAGGAGAATTCACTCACAGGATGTTCTTAGAGCTTATATTCCGACCTGTGAGGCCCATGCATTTGGAGTCTACATTCTGTAAGATGCGGAGTATCTCAATCACATTATGGGTGACGTTGGGGGATCTTCCATTGCAGATAATAGTCCCAGCTGCTAGTTACAGCACCGGAAAGTGGTCGGACGTTCCAATAACCAGAGGATGGAAAGCGTTTAGTTGAATAATGTAATAGATAGCTGCAAGTGTCGAATTTATTGAAGACTGATTCTTAATGTGGAACAACTGGAAGGACGTCGCCGACGGAAGCTCGCTATAGCGAAAGACTTCTCGCTCCATTGAGCCTTCGTTATCGAATCTCCATCGAAGCCGATATAATTCTGCCGGTAGGTAGCTTGGTCGTTTAAAAGGGTGGGAGGTTTTGTACCATTAGCGAGGTGACAACCGGGTGAGGGATGGAAGGTCGAAGGATCACGAGAGAGGCAATCGTATAGTCAAAGAAGCTTATGTAACTGCATACCATTTAACCAAATACAAAAAGGGAAGGGCGGGGATATCTATTTCTGAGATAAAGTGTGAGCATGCTGCGGCGCTCGCTTGGGTGCGGCGCTCGCATGAAACACGTTATAGTACAATGTATTATAAATACATTACCTTGCGTATTTACGTCTTAGGATAGAAAGGAAAGTAAAGAGACAAAAGTGAGCCTGCCTTTTAAGGAAAGTTTGCATGTGGTAGCTGAGCTGTAAGGTGCATTCCTGCTGTGGTTAAACCGATAACGCCATCATTTTTGGACGATACAGGAGTTAAAAATAGTAAAAATAGGTATCAGATAGTTATGAAAAAGCTCCTTTCCTACGAGCTCTCTCTTAAGGCTGGGGGACCTGTTGTGCATGATAGAAGGGGCAGGCGTTGTTTTGGCCATTTACCGGAGAGGCCATGAGGTCGCATGAGCCACCTCCAAGAACTCAAGCAATATTGAAAAGAAGTGGTGAATCATGGACAGAAATGGCTACGGAATACTATAAGACTAAAAATCAGCACCGGAGTGGTGTTTGGAGGGGGGCTTTGTAAAATGTACCTCTGCCATTTTGCGCCACGCAGGGGCATTCTCTTAACCAGGGAGGGAGGTTGGAAGATGCTGTTTGGAGAAGAGCATCCAGCCACACTAACAATCATAAGCAACCTAGCATTTACGATAGAGTCTAGCAGTCTCCAGAACGAGGATATTTCCCTTATGGAAGAATACGTCTAGTTGCGGAAGCGGGCCTCAGGCTTTGGCATTCTGATTTGATATTACTCCTTAAGGTTCTGAATGGTTGGAAAGAGAATATGGAGATACGATTTGGAAGCGTCTTTGTATTGAGGGTCACACTCTTTTAATTATTTTTAGGGTAGTCGAGAGGAAACCAATTTATCACGGTGAAGCCGTAGAAAACTAGTTAGTCCTGTGCTAGGAAACAAGTTCATACTGAAAATAGTGGAGATATATCCAATCAAGTTGCGTAAACATGGCTATGAGGGATATTTAACGGTAAATCCAACGACATTGCAAAGGATACTGCTAGTGCAAGGAGGGAGGGCGGCGAACCGGCGCCAGCCATCCCCGCACAAGTGTCTAAATTTTGAAGTTGAAGAGTAGAGAAAGCAGAGGAATATAGAAAACTGTAGCCAGTAGTTAACAGCAAGGACATAATATTTTTAAAGTATAAAATTATTGCCTTGCGTGCCTCTATTTCCGGGTGCAACCTCTTGCACGCTATGGAGACCTCGAAGTCAACCCAGCATTGTTTAGTAGGAAGACATGGCATTATGATGGGAGAGCATACGTTGCATTTAACTCAGTCGGAGGTTCTAGAAACTTCATTATCACGGAATTTGTGAAGAGCTTAAAGGCCCTAATATGATTTTTGCCATCTTGAGTTCGGTACGATTGCCTTACACCATGGTGAAGCACGTGCGCAAGTGCGAATATATGTTTTGAAAGTCGATGTATCCAGAAGCTGTAGGTTCAAGCCGTATAAATTCTCCATTTCAGAAACAAAGGGAAAAGAATCTAGCAGTGAACCAAAGCCTAGTAATCGCAGCCGCAGTTCATCCTTTAAGTATTAACCTCGCAACCCTTTCTCCGACGGTTGAGCTGCTCTGGGGTATCAAGATAAAGTCGACGTCTTAGCGCCTACCGAGTACGTATGCTGACGTCGGCGGCTTCAGGGCATATTCCTCGTCTGAACTGAGAAAGAGGTGGTTGGTGGGAGTTAGTCGCTTGTCCTAACAAGGTAAAGCGCGTATTTACTCGTCCATTGGTTGCATCAGGACAGATGGGCTGAAAGAAGAGGAACAGCTTTCATATAACAGAGGTATCAATAATATATTCCAGAATCCTTCACCAAAATATCCATCTAGGCCAACCACAAAACATATCCACCTCCAGACCCTTACTTCTTCAAAGCCGCAACATGATCCTTCTGAAACTGCTTGCAAAACTCAATCCACTCTTTCGCCCCTTTCTTCATAATCCTCCTAACATCATCCTTCGCCTCTCTAATTTGCCACTGCTCATCCTGCTCTGGTGTCAATGTCTCAATCCTGCCCTTATACTCCATTTCTAGGTCTCTCCCAGCTCTTCGTGTAGGCTGCCACCCAATGGCCTGTAACACAGCACCATCATCAACATCTCCAGCGAGTTCATCAAGTTGTGGAAACATAATGAATTCTTTCTTTAGACATGCGAGATCGAGATATCGACGTAGGACTTCAAGCTTGGGCGACTGCTGCATGCGGAGATTGATGCCCTGTCTCTTTGCCTTGCCCTTGCCCTTGCCCTTACCCTTGCCTTTATTGGAAACGGTGACAGAGTGTTGGCATCCGAATGTTTGTTCATGTAGACCGCATGTGCAGCCTACAATTTTAGTTTCTTCGTTTGCTTTCTCTTTCGCATATTCCTCGCCGCGAGCTAGGCCTTGCGTCATTTTCTTACTTGTCACAGCACCTTTGATGGACGTGTATGCCCATACGCCTGAAACTTCCATTAACCCTCCGAAGGTAATGAGAAGGGAAGCATCAATGGCAGCAGCGACGGGGAAGAGGGAGGACGCGACAACGGCGTCTCGGCGGGATTTGTCGCGTGTGCGGAGAAGGGAGTCGACGAATTCAGAGCGGATTCGTTCAGGGTCGAGGGGAAGAGTAGGAGGGTATATTAGGGTTAGTTCTTCCAGGGCCTTAGTCTTCTTGGTTTTTTCTATTGAAGTAGTTGATTCCGTTCGTAGAGGTGTCGAGGGGGTAGTTTCGACGCCATTAGGAGTGAGTGTTGGTGGTTGTTCTGTTGAAGGTGTTGTGATGGCGTCGGTCAGCTCTAGCGGATTTGTTTCATCCACTGTCGCCGTGATAGCTCCTTCTGAGACCCTATCCAGGAATTCGAGTTGTGTAGACTTGGTCAAATTCACTCCTTTGCCGATCAAAATGGTCGTTCTTGCTTTCAGGCCTTTCCAGGTGGCCTTGGATGCATTGCTCATCATCGCCTTCCGGACATCCTCTTGCCACTGTCTCTGAGTCTTGTGCCAATGGCTCTCTTTCTCACCAGGAGCCGGCTTTGAGAGTGGTGGGGGAGTTGGGGTATATACAAGAAAGCGATCGGGGATATCCTCTACCCTGACGCCCTTTAACCGTGGCTTGGGGAATGGAATCAGATACGCCGTCAGCTTCCCTGGTTCTCTAGTGTGTCTCAATGTCTCTGTCGACGACACCATAGTTATGCTAGGAAAACTAGAATTCGAATCGGTCCGATGCGGGGAGCGCGGGGGCAGGACCTCGAATCCAGCTTCGCGAGCCTTTGCAGAAGAGAACGTGGCACTTCTCTGCGCGAACTCCATTCCTGGCGTTTGGCCTCCATTGGCAGAACTTGGTCTTATCTGGAGTGGAGCTGGATATAATGTGTCATCGTCCGGGCTTCGTAGGACTCCTAGGGATATTGGTGGAAGACCGGAGAGGTCTCTACTTAGTCTTGCGGGATTTCGCGGAGGTGGTTCGAGAGCCTCTGGGAATTCGGATTGAGATGCTGCGAGTAACTGTGGACGGTTTTCGCAGCTGTATTCTACGGGCACGATTTGGGGTGGATTTGCATCGTGGATAGGCTCTTCGTAAGGCGGGGGAGGTTCATCTGGATGGCCATCGTGCGACCCAATATTTTCCAATAGGTTATCTGCTACCATATGACTAGGCGTATCCTGTACCGAAGAATTCGACGTGATCTCGAGGGGATTCTCTTCATTCTGCTCCGTAAATTCGTCTTCTTCCCTTGAATGGACAGAGGCACCCGAGCGTGCCACAATCGGCTCAGTCAGTGTTGTCGAAGCCATGGTAGAATTTTGCAATAAGAAATGAGATTATGAGACAAGACAGAAGACTCAAGAAACAAGACCTCGAATTACAGGCCGTGCTTATGTATTTCCCGAAGCTTTCTAAGCCCTGCTGATGCCCTCCGGTGCGCTGGTTGTGGTGCGTGCCCGCCAAAGAGCTTGCACCCATTCCACCGATCAACGTCCTCAAACGACTCCTAGGATGACGCATGCATCGTACCGAAGAACCCCAGAACAAAACCGAGGGGGGCTCACGTACTCGTTGAAGAGCAGCCTTGGTGTCTGCCTAGCATCTGCACAAAACGTGAACGAAACGGCCACTCAGATTCTGCGCTCGGAAGCATCAGGTGGGGGCGGAGCATGCGAGGCTCGCAAGCTCGGCCGTAAACGGTCAGTCAGTGCGACACAGCCAAATGGAAGTGCGAAAGCCTGCATGAAGCTCACGCTGATTTGTGATCCGTTGAGAACTGAAGCCACTCATCTTATAAGGCTGAGAGGGGATCTCCATGAAGTTTAGGATGCGCGATCAGGCCCAATTAGAATGCATCTTGGTCTGAGCGAAAGAAGCAGTGCTGTGTCTTCTAGGCAGACCAAGCGCTCGGAGGCGAAACTCATCTTGGGGTCCGATGGATCAGAAGGATCGATCGTTCTTGCAATCTGAGAATTCGAGAAGAGCACTTTGGAACTAGCCGGAAAGGGGAGGCCGTCCTCTAGGCGTCAACCTCTTGCCGAGAAGGAAAAATTGTTCAAGTCATAGTCAGATGAGATAATCAATATTCATTGCGACCACTGTTCCGTTTCCACTCCAAGCCTACATGCCTAGCTACTACGACATCCACAAAAGCACCACCCCGTTGAAGATATTCCTCTCTTGCGCGGTATCTCCGGGTGTACTCATTCTCTCAAGCTGATATAGTTGAGATGGGCATATTAGGCTGTTGCGTATGAGCCCCTCTGCAGAGTGAACGACGGTCATGACAATCTAAATACGTACTGCTGACTCTCTAGTCCTCATTCACCAATCATCGTTATCATCCTCGTCATCTGCAATAATTTCAGCACATCGTCTCTCTAACCATATATAAGATACAACTTACCACTATGACTAACTTTACTCTTCCTTGCCGCAAGGGCGCTAGCCAACGCTCCAGCCAGGCCAGCATCTGGTCCTGGAGTCGCACCACCGCCTCCTCCTGGCGAACCCGCTGGTGCTTCTTTCCCTGGCACAATAGCCGCACTCCGATCTCTCTTCTCTGTATCGCTGACCTTTCGTAATTTGGCACCACCACGAATATCTGAAAGTAAATTGTCTCGTCCACCGGCGGCTTGTTTGGGTAAGCCTACTCCGGGCATGGGAGGAGGGGGTGGGGGGCCACCTCCTGGAGGCATTGGTGGAGGTGGGGGAACTGCACTGTTTGGCATTGGCGGTGGAGGAGGAACTGCTCCGGGCGGCATAGGAGGAGGCGGGGGAACGGCGCTGTTTGGCATGGGAGGAGGTGGAGGGACGGCGCTGTTCGGCATTGGGGGAGGCGGCGGAACAGACTTTGTGGGCATTGGTGGAGGCGGAGGAATTGCGTTGTTTTGCGTAGGTGGTGGGGGTGGGGGTGGGGCATGGCTCGATGGTAATGGCGGAGGAGGTGGCGCGTTTGTCGAGGGCGGTAGGGGAGGTGGTGGAGCGCTTGTTGACGGAAGCGGCGGAGGGGGGGGTGCTATGCTCGTCGGCGCTGGAACAGGACGAGACACAGATGGGGGCAACGGAGGTGGCGCAGGTGGCGCATTGTTCGTTGGCGGTAACAGTGGAGGAGGGGCGGCGGCGCTCTTTGGTGGTAGCGGAGGAGGAGCGACATGGATCGAATGAGCCTCTCGAGCAGGCGGAGGTGGGGGTACAGGTCCTCGAATGGGAGGAGGGGGGGGACCCGGCGGTACACGATTTCCAGCGAACGGAGGTGGTACGCCAAATCTCGTTGGTGGTTCTTTCGTCTCCTCCTCAGCAGGAGTCTTTGGTGGACGCGGTGGAGGGGGAGGGCCGGGATTTGCTAGACTGTTCGAAGGAGCTCGTGCCCTCGACGGAGGTGCCGGTGGTTCATGGGCAAATCTTCCAGCATCTGCGATAGGCGGGGGGGCACGGAATCTTGGTACTAGAGGGCCAGGAGGGGGTGATGCTTGTCTCGGGGGAGATGGCACGGGGCTCGCGGAGGACGTTCGATTGATGCCCGAAGCAACGGCATCAGTGCGGGTTCTTCGAGCTGGTGGAGGGGCGGGTGGAGGACCTCTCCTCGAAGATGACGCACCCCCAGTATTCTGAGGGCTGATAGAGCTTGCCTTCACTGTTGGTGGAGCGCTGGGTGGGGGTGGGGGGGGTGGAGCCCGAGCTTTTCGATCGTCTGCAATTTTCTCCTCAATCTTCCGTTGCTCGATATACAACTTGATAAAGTCCGCATTTTCCTCGATCTGGTCCTCAGTAATTCCCATTGCTAACAATTCTTTCAACAAGGGCTGCCACGAGGGGTCCGTCGTATCAATTGCAGAGCTCCTTGTGCTAGATGCATTCGAATGGCTGTGGTGGGTGGGCGAGGTCACGGTCGGGGGGATAATAGATTGGGGCTTCTCATTGACTGAGGAGTGTCGGTGTCCAAACAGTCCACCGAGAATGCCGTGGTGGCCGTGACTCCTGCCGTGCGCGCCAGATGCACCGCCTATGGAGGCCCCAAATAGCTTGTTCTTAGTGTTCTTGTGTGCATTCTTCTCACGATCGTCCATTTTCTTCTTAAATGTCTTCGCCTCCTTCTCATCGCTAAAAGAGAGAGCAGCGAGGCAGTCCTCGAGCTCGAAGGTGTGGAAGAAGACCCGATCTTGGTTGTATGAGAAGGTATCGTATATTTCTTGGTCCCAGATGACACCACGATTCGCAGGCTGTCACTGTGTCAGTCTCCCAAAGCCTCGGACTTGCTCTTGTGCTTACTGAGACATCCACAAGCTTGATCCAGAAGGTGTTGCCCACCAAGTCGTTCGCCAGCACCGCAGCGCCCTGGAGGCCAGTGTAGGTCCATCGGTGCCTGTCGGGGTAGGCAATGTACAGCTTGGCTACAGCGACAGCATGGATCTTGTTTGACGCCTTGGGGACGGTCCGCTTGACCGTCTGCTTGTCCTCGTCGGTGAGTATCGAAGGCATTGCGGTGGGATTCGGAGGTCGCAGAAGTGCAAGGTGGACAAGTGCTGGCGGTTGGGCTTCGGGGGAGGCTCGGCGGGGTGTGAAGTTCACTCGGTGACTAGGCAGCACATGAGGGCGGCGCAATTCATTACGAGTACGTGTAAGAGCTGAAGAATATTATGAGGAGGGGAGCAGTTCAATCTGCGATGGTGGCCACAGCGGGAATAATAGCGGCTCAGTGATGGTGAATGCAGGCCAACGTAAGTGAAGGCGGTGCTGCGGCTCACCCTACTCCCGACCCAATGGCCCCGGTAGTACCTGTGCTTTGCCAAGCCGCAATTTGTTCATCCAAACATCTTTCATGTCGCGTCTCTTACAAACAAATAATGCACCAAAACTCTAGCAGCATTGAGATTTGATCATATTTTAAGCTCCAATAATAACATTTCTCCAGTTGTGATAGTTGCCGGGATGACCCGTTCAGGGCACGATCACGTGAGCGGCCTGAACTCGTTAGACCTCCCTCGAAGTACCAGAAGAGGTCTGTGTAATACCGCAACTACGGAGCGAACATTTCAGTGGCGATCATATTTCAACCCCCCATCCCATCGAGTTCCTTCTGACTCTTCGTCTAATCACCCCTCTTGCTGGTCATTCAGTGTCTTGGTTCAGCGCCATTTTGGCACATTGTATCGGGTATTCCCCGAGCATCCCTCAGCGGCCTGTCAGATGCATGCTTCCACCACAGTCCACACTACTGGGAAGGCTAGCTTGGCGGCTGGCTATGTTCTTGGATAGCCTGCTAACGTGGGGAACCTGGGCGGCGCATTGCTGACCATCAGAGTCGGCGTTCCCACATAGGAGTGTCTCTGTGCATGGCGCTCTCAGATCCAACCCCCAGGCCTAGCAAGATAGATACAGTATCGGCCTGTATCCTGAAGTTCCACCGTAGGACCTGGCTCGACGTAGAGTGTCCTTTTTCCGTCAAGAATTTCCTAGTCTCGTAATTCAGCCACCTGCACTCCAAGCTATACTCTTCATTGATGTTTCCATTCTGGGGTTCTTACCCTCCACGCCAGCACCTTCTCACCGAACGTGGAACATGGCTGGGGCAGAGTTGATCTGTTAAACACCTTGCTAGGATCAGGGAGAGTATCGATTGGATGAAGAACCCCCGTCTTGAATTAGGCTCTGTCATGTTCCACGTTCGGTGACAAGATCCGCTTTCTTGGCTTCGTGAGCGGGTTCGGCGCAATCAAATCGCGACGGCAGAAAATCTCTACGTCGTTCTTGTTGCAATCTTTGAAAAGGGCAACGGTTCTTTATACATATAAGGCTCGGCTTCTCTCTTTCTTAAACTTCTGGAGGTACCAAGGCTCCCAGCATCTCTCGTGTTCGCACTCGTCGCATTCTTTCCCCACCCCGATCCCGGCTGGCGGCCTCCAAGACAGCCAAGTCCGTGCGTGCGGCTGAACACCGAGGAACTCTCAGGCTGCAGGGTGACTCAGTGGAGCTATCTGATAATAAGCATTAGAGGTTCGCCGAAAACAGCTTCTGGAAAATGGGAACACAGTTCGAATCCCAACAAAGGACCATGATGTTCGCTGAGAACATCTTCGAAGGCTGGCTGTCCATGCCGTCCATGGAGGCTTTGCTTAATGATGGAACCGAGATGTCATCTGAACATTCAACCACGACCATCTCTCCCCAGTCGCAACGACAAGAAGACATAGCATTTGGGATAACGCAGGCAGACCCGCCCGCCAGAAATGAGTACGACCTACGCGAACGCCCACTTGGGTCTTGTGAGTAGGGAATGAATGTTAACCCCTCTAAAGAACTCCCAAGGCTTCCAAAAACACCCCTGTTGACGACGCCGCTGGACGCAAGAGACGCGGCCACACCAAATCTCGACTAGGGTGCATCAGCTGTAAGAAGCGGAAGATCAAGGTGAGCTACATTTCCCACCCAACGCGTCCGCCCGCTGAGCTTTGGTGATAGTGCCAAGAAATATGGCCTTCTTGTACCAATTGCGTGAAGCGTGGTTGTAAGTCTGAAGTCTCCAGCCAGTAGCCATAGCTCATCCATCTGCAGGTGCCTGTAGATACCCAACGGTATTCAAACATACGCAGCATGACCGTATCGTTTCCGAAGTGATGAGTAGTCCACGTCAATTCGTCAAGCTCTCAGAAACGCCAAAAATGTTTTCGGCGAATGATATGCGTCTCTTTCACCACTTCCTTATTGCTGCACATCCATGCATACCTATCAAGCATGAATCTGTTTGGATTCAAGATATGCCTACATTCAGTCACCACGTGAGAACCCCCCTCCAGATTTCTAGTATTTCACCTGACCGCCTGCAGTATGACTATCTCATGCATGCTATCCTCGCGTTAGCCGGCTCCCATCTCTCTATGTTCATTGACGACCCGAGAGGCAACATGGCTCTATCCCATCGCCAGACAGCCATCAAAGGGTTAGAAGAAGCATTCGCTAGATGGCCCCCGAAAGCCGATGAGGCTCATGTTATGCTTGCGACTTCATACCTCCTCGCATTTCAAGCAGGATACATGTAAGATCAAAAACTTCCGTCCAAATTGCTTTAAATACTAACCTACTATACATGCCTGACGGTTTCCTTGACAATATCCTCTCTCTACGCGGCTGTGCTTTCCTATCACAATTTATTCTTTCCAATCGCCTTGAAGGGGCATTCTCGGTCGAACCAAATCTTCACAGCACAGGACTCGAGCTCAAGCTTAGGAATTTCCCGTCTCTTGATCAAACTTTAGTCCGCAACGCACTTCGCTCCACTGTGCACTTCTCGCATCTTCTCGAAGCTGATACCACGCAAGATATTGAAAAGGCTCTATTTGCCCAGCTAGTGGAGTCTATTCGCCCCCTCTGCATTTATTTCCCCCCGTCCGAATCACCTGATCCGCCAGCTTCTTCCCGGTCATCAAGCACAGGTAGCTGGGAGTGCTCACTAGCGAGTAGACTTGCCACCCCCCTACCCTCTCCTACGAATATCAACAATCCGATTTTGCCTGGGGATCTACCTGTGACATTGAATGAAGTTATAGCTCGAGGCAGAGGTTTCATCGAAGACATCCCCCCTGGGCACGTGCCAGATCCCTTCCGAGCGTTGAACGCTTTAATGTCAACGCTCGTAATTCTTACCACCTGGCCTCAGGACGCTGTGCTTCATCTGATGTCTCCATCAAACAAACTTGGCATGATCACGATGGCGCACTTCGGCGCAATACGCATCATCGTCACTCCACTATCCGCTCCTGAATCCGCTTTGAATACTCCCGTCAAAGCAATGATCGAATGGTGTGAGAAGATTATCGATGCAGTGGAAGACGACGAAAACATCAAATGGAGTCAATACGTTGAATGGCCTGCTACCATCTTTCGCACCCTACGAGGTTATTTGAATCAGAAACACGGGCTGACGTTGGGCGACATCCATGAAAGGCTCGTGAAGGATGCAGCGGCGTTCCTTGAGGGACGGCCCGGGTGCATATTGCGATGACCCGAAGGCGAAGGCAATCCTGCTTTTTACAGATGTTGCTCGTTTTCCACTTCATTTTCTCTTCTCAAAAAGGGCGTCCCGGGTTCAGTCATTGTATTCCATTTCTTGTTTTGATTCACGGTCGTGGGAATCCTCCACTCTTCATAAAAGATAGACTAATATCACCTTTCCAGGATTAACGCATCTCGGATATTTTTACCGTTCAAATTTACACTCGACACAACTAGTCCAGTTAAGAGTAAGACTATGTTACGAGTCCCTAGACGATTCTCAAACAAAATAACTCCATGGCTTGAATCTCTCCGCACGTGCCTTATGACTACGTCCTTGAAAACTCAATCTCCATCTGCTGTACAACCCCATAACAGAATTATTTTAAACCCCTTTCAATGCCATTCGCCATACCCCTTAGACATTCCTTCCATCCGCCCACCCTTGCTGCTTTCCGCACGATCCTCTTCAGCACACGAAAAGATGTAATGACGTCTTTCGCGTGCCGGAAATATCAACGACCCACACACACAAGAAAATAACCAGATCTAGATCTTCATTCTCCTAAAAATACATGCCCACGATCCTGCATCGAGTTGAACCAAGATTTGTGTTTTTACCTAGATTCACCCTGAACCGAAGTCGTGCAAGCCGTCAGCAACGAACTACCGAACTGGGGACACGCTATCATATGGAAACCTTCAAAGCTGAGCGGAGGATCACACTTGCATCTTAGATCGCGGCCCTTTGTGCCTCATAGGGCTCGACTTGCGCACTCGGGCGTCAGCGGTACTTATGTCTTGTTCGCTTCAGACGAAAATATATATTACTCCGCATACGCGATGGGTACACTGCAGATTCTATTCCGGTACGAATCGATATGATTGGGCGGATGTTTCGAAACATTTCTCTTCCCGACCCTGAGTCGTACATTATTCATTGAAGGAACACTGAGTCTCACAGGTGGACATTGGGAACCCTTTTGGAAGCACTTTAGGGGAGTAAGTAGAAGAATGAGGTGTGGGGAAGATGAATACGGAATGCGGGAGTGAAGGTGAATTCGGGCTTCTGCTTTGGGACGATGGTTCTCAATGAGGACGCTGAGCGTCTATGATGGCAGAGTGTTCGGCGCTAAAAGATGCTGAAGCGGTACCACTTCAGCGGTGTTGCGCTTGTCACAACACTCGTGGCATGGCTTCACATTTGGACTTGCATCTCGTTACGCCCAACATGCACCGGACTTTTATCAACCCATCTGCCCTGCCAGGAACAAGCGACAGACCGCAAGGGCAGCCCCTGGCGTCGGGCTCATTCAGTAAGCGCTCGGAATAGAGAGCGAGATGTGCAGAAGGTTCAATTAGAGTTGCAGCCACCAACACGTCTACCAGCGGGAAGGAGAAGGGATGAGCGCGTAAGAGATACATGTTCCTGAACATCCGCGAGAATCCTGGGGTTCTGGGCGAACAGCAACGTGGACACACTGTGCAGCAGGTCGTAGGGCTGGCGGCAATATGGGAGACTGGCGGGTTTCTGGCGTGAATTTGGGTCTGCCTCAGCGCGTAGATATTCGGGTGTGTACCGAGAGTGTACATTCGACTATGTATGACCGTTTTGGAGACCGCTAAGGCTTGTGAAGATGCACACCATGCTGAGTGATGGTTTATTGAAAGCAGAGATTTCAAGGGTGGGCGTGTCGAAACATGCTCAGAGCAGGCCTTGAAACAGGCCGAGGGAGAGCAGTCGCTGGGAGGTTGATGCCGTCCACTCTGGCCCTTCATCAACGGTGTGCGGTGTGAATTCATGCGCATGTCTCCCCTCCATCTCCCTTACATCATGATTGCTTTTGTCGATGAGCCCGCACGCCCTCAACCCACGGGACCTGACTGGGACTAGCCAAAGCTTGTCAAGACTCTAGTCCTAATTAGGGTGGTCAGCGCTTACAGCAGCGCACGTCATCCAGTCAAAGCGTTTTCAACACCACCTCTGCTTTTTCTCTCCCTTGCATTTCTGCAAGTTCCGTTAGCTTGTGCGACCCGAGTTCCAGTCTTCGATTCGCCGGGAGAATGCCCCTCATGCGAACCAGGCAAGCCGCACACTTCCAGAGGCTCCACTGTGCGAGCAGATTTACAGGTGGATTGCCATTTGTGACCCTGATTTGACAATGCGTCCACGAGGTGGCTGATTATCAGTTCCAGTCCAGCCGGCCACCTCGTTGCATCCGAGGCAGGCTGTCGATAGTTGACATAACAGTCAAGACGATAGTCCTTGATTGTTCGTCGGGCTGACCTCAGATATGCCAGCGCAGAGAGATTATCCTGATGAAGCCCGATGAATCCTGCATGCGGTGCGACTTTTTGACTCGGTCGAAAGAGATCGCCTGGTGAGAAACGGCTCCTTCGGGTAGCGGGAGGTCGAATCCTTCTTTTACGCATCCGCTGCAATCGACGACGCCTCCCGCTTGTGATGTTCAGTCTAGGTCAGGCGCAATGTGCTCCCTGGCGTCTGCCCCATTCCCATTGGCGATGTGCAAGTCCGCCACTCGCATTCCAGGTGCTTGTCGACAAGAGCAGTGACTCCATCGGAGTCTTGGTTATATGACCCCGTCTGTTAACAAGCGACAGGGAGCTCGATAGACGGGAGGCCGGGCCTCTTCTTTCGTCGATTCCCAATACGTAGCCCCTGCTCAGGCTCGCTGCAGACGTTCATCACATCCTTGGCCCAATAGCGTGGGATAATGTGCTGCGTGAGCGGTTGAATGCCAGGTGCCGTTGGTTGTGCGATACGGAAGACCCTGGACCCTGCTCATCACCCTTCTCCACCTCCACAAGGAACAAAAGGTAGACGATGGCACCTCCTTCCGCACGGTTATCGTGGCGAACTTGAGTACAGTGTTCTGTAACTCCACTTGACGTCTTTTCTCTCTCTCCAATGTCTTGTGTTTCTCCGCCCCTTGTATTCGTTTAAGAGCATAAATTATTTTCTGTCACGAATGAGAGCTGGGTCTCCGCAAACGAACGCCATCATCCATCCACAGTCACACGAAATCTTGCGGTTAGCGAGTCGTTTGCAACACGATTTGCACGGGTAGAGTTCACGCTGCATTTACACACCGCATTATAACGCCTTTGTCCTTAAAACCCCATTCTTATCCCATGTAGAAAGGCTTTCTCGGTGGTCCTGTTGAGTTCACTTTTCCTCGCCCAAAAATCCACCGGCTTCGGCCAATCCGATCATCCGGATTAAGCTTCTGCTGGCAGAAGTGCTCCACGACATCCGATCCCCCCATCATTGCCAATCTGAATCGAAAATGCCAGCGGTTCCGGAGGCATTGGTGCACGGGACTGGCCTGGCTTTGGAGCACTTTGAATCTGCAGTATCGCTTGCTGAGCGAGAGGTAGTGGATGCCGTTTCTGGTCTCGTTCGACGCATCAACATTCCAGTCAACAGCACAAGTCCGTCTGGATTAATCGAAGCCAACACCCGGGATCCATGGAGCCAGAGCGGAAAATATGCATTGGCATACGTATGGTTTTGCATACCTCTACTTACCATCGCCGGACTACTGCGATACTACCGCCTCTTTACCGACAAGATTAGGACTGTGCTCCACCAAGAAGAGGTATTGAAATCCTCGGCAACCTCCTCTCCAGATACCGATTACGAGTTGGCGGTCATGTACACTGACAAGTCCACAAATAAGTTCTTTCCACGTGAAGGCCCTTTACCTGGCCCACCGAAAACGGAAGCATCGGTTTCCTCGATAGGACCTATCAACAATTGCATCGCTCTCTTCCGGTTCCTTTTCTATCGGCCAATTCGGCAATTCCAAGTTAAAAAGGGATGGAGGCCAATCATCTTCCCTTCCTTGAGCGTCAGCGTCATTGTGTCATTGGCATTCATCTTGGGCATCCTCTACTGTTTTATTCCGCAACCGTTATTCTGGCAGAGCATCGCTTTTGGATCCCCACCTCTTGCGATTCGGTCTGGTATGATGGCTGTGGCGCTGATGCCATGGGTGGTTGGGCTGAGCATGAAAGCCAACATCATCACACTTATCACCGGCATTGGCCACGAGCGACTGAACGTGTTGCATCGTTGGGCCGCTTACTTATGCCTCTTTCTCAGCATAATCCACACTGTCCCGTTCTATATTACCCCAGTATGGGATGAGGGAGGTCGAGCCGTCTTTTTGAGCCTCTTCGCACATGAGGGGTTCTACGCATATGGCACAGGTATGTTCCCCTAAGTGATTTGAGATGACCCTCGCTAATGAAATTTAGGAATTGCTGCGCTCGTCCCACTAGCCTTCCTTTGCATTCACTCTCTCTCTTTTCTCCGCCATTGGATGTATGAACTCTTCGTCACGCTTCACGTCCCTGTCGCCATCGTCTTCCTCGGAATGATATTCTGGCACTGCCACAACTACCTCACGTCCTGGAACTATCTTTTCGCAACCCTTGGTATCTGGCTAGCATCTTACCTAATGCGCCTCTTCTACCTGAACTGGACGAACCCATTTCGAATGTCATGGCTGATTGGCGACGAAGCTGCAGTAACAATCATGCCTGAAAACGCCATCAAGATTACTATCCCGACTCAAATGAAATGGAGGCCAGGACAGTACGTTTATCTTCGCATGCCCGGTATCTCGGTTTTCGAAAACCATCCTTTTACCATCGCTTCCCTGTGCAGCGATGACTTCCCCTCTGAATACGGCGAGGGGTATAGGGATATGGTCCTTGTTTTCCGCCCTTTTGGGGGTTTCACAAACAAAGTGCTCAGAAGTGCTATCGAGCATGGTCCCTGGCACACCTACCGAGCCTTTGTGGACGGCCCCTATGGCGGTATGCAGCGGCGCATCGAAGCCTTCGAAGACGTTGTGCTCATTGCTGGAGGAAGCGGTATCACGGCTATTATCAGCCAACTCCTGTCTCTCATCAAGAAGATGCGAGATGGCAAGGCTGTAACAAAAAACGTGCACGTCATCTGGGCTTTGAAACGTCCTGAGACCATGGAATGGTTCAAAGAAGAACTACGTATTTGCCGGGAATTCGCGCCCCCAGATTCAGTGACATGCCAGTTCTTCATCACGACGGCAAAGCGAATGGCCACGGGTCATCTTGTCAGTGCCAAAACTCCTACTCGACCTGTATCACTCTATTTCCACGACAAGGTTAACGATGCCTTCCAAAACATCGCTGAACACCGTGCCTCTGGAATCTCATCAAAGCGACACTCAGCACTCATCCGTGACGAAGCCCAGGGCGATCCAGAGCGCGAAAAGGAACTTCGCAGAGAAAATGAAGACGCCATCACTGCGCTCCCGCAAGCCCATCTCGTCCCCATGAACCGCGGCGGCCGCCTCGCCCCACCCAGCACCCACACCGGGGTAGACACTGACATAATCTCCCCCGCGCCGCGCTCCATTTCCGCCCGCCGTCAAGACCGTAATCTCTCCCTCGACATCTCACAAGCCGTAGAAGCCGGTACCGGCGCCATAAACCCCGACATCCTTAACCCGTCCTCCCCGACCACAGGCGCATCCAACATCCAAGCCTTCGATTTCGGCTTCCCCTCTACACCTACCGAATTCCAGAAGAACTTAATGCGCTTCGCCTTCCTGCCCGCCGCGGTCAAAAAGCGCGACGGCTGGTCCACCGAATACGGCCGCCCAGATATACCCTATACGCTCCGCGAACTGAGTAAAGGGTTTGGAAGGCGTACGTGTGTGTTTGTGTGTGGGCCACCGAGTATGCGTATGGATGTGAGTAATACGGTTGCGGATTTGCAGCGCTCGGTTTGGAGTGATAGTGGGAGGGATGAGATTTTTTTGCATGCGGAGAATTATGCTTTGTGAGTATCTGTGGTGAGCAAGTTTTTCTTATTTGGGTTGGGTTGTGCATAGCGTGATTGGTTGCTTAGGTTTCTTCTGGATCGGATCTATACCCCTCAGTCTCAGTCTTCCCTTAAATCTTTCTTTGTAATACTCATGATGGGTCATAACGATGCGCACCGCAGTATCGCGCGGTGGGTCGGAAAGACCTATGCTTCTTTTCTCTTTGTATATTTTCTTTGGGGACCGGAGAGTGAACCAATAGAAAGATAAGATGAGGAGAGATGTACTTCTTCGATCAGACTAGAGTTGCGAAACTCACAGACAGACATTCAATATATGTCAGTACTATACCACAAACTGTATTCAGAATCCGTGCATGTGTGTTTATGCTTTGAGGTTGTGTAGTGCAATCAAGTAAGACGCAGCATATTAGAGTTAGCATTTGTGCATTTCTGTCCATGATTCTAGATCACGAGAACCACCATCGAGGTAGGCGCTTAAGGGAATGTAAGTTATGTAAAGAGTGGATTTTAGCTACCTAACTAGTATATTAAAAGAAGAAAGGAGGGAAATTCTAGTTCCCTGCATACCCATCTTTCCGTACCGGTAAAGAGTAGAATTATATAAGGTGTCTAAGGGGAAGTGTTGGGCAGTTCGTATGGCATGTGTATGTTGAAGGCGTTGCAACAGAAGGAGAAAGTAAGCTACACTTTACAACTAATAATTCTCATCTGTTGTTTCCTCAACACCTGTGTTAAAATGCAGTTGTAAACGAGAGGGAAATAAATGTATTGTTATTTCTGTGCAGCATGGCAGTCCTCGCAACATCGTCATAGGAGCGTGAAAGATAGGGTTTCCAGCAAGAAACTGGTTCCATTTGTCAACACTAGGACTTATATTACCATCCAGTCTGTTTTTATACATCAGAACCCGTCCTAGTTACCTAACTATAGGGTCATTTTTGTTCTAACCTCATCCCTATTCGTGCTTAATCCCACCCATGGCTTCGCGAAAGGTCTCTATGCCCTTCTCGAGCATAGCCTTTCGATTCTCTAGATGATTCCGCTGCTGCGTCGTCTCAGGGGGCTCCGCAGCAATGAATTCGATCTCTTTATCAGTAAGTTGGTGAACCACAAGAGGAGAGAGTATCTTCTCTGGCAGTGTCTCAACGAGATGACGTTCGATGACATGCTTAGCGACGCAGTTGATGAAGAACTTCATCTCGTCCTTGTAGTATGCGCGACAGCTGTCTAGGGCTTCCTCGGACGAGAACTTGTCCATGTCCAGCTGGATCGAGGCTTCCAGGGCTTTCTCCATCATGTTCGGATCAATGACTTTGCGGGTCGTAATCGCGCCATTGACAGGGATGGAGATCAAGGACGCTTCGCGCGCCTTCTCATTAACCTTAGAATGCTTCATCTTGCGTTGCTTCTGCAAAGTTGTCGTGAAGTAATGATTATAGGTCATTGGGTGGCGCGACTTTGAGGTGAGGACCTTGGCCAACTCCTCTTTGCATTCCTGCAAGGACTGAGCGAGGGCAGCATCGACAATCAAGTTGGTAAGCCGGCCTTGAAACTCTGTAGGTGCGGTGTGCCGAAGAACCGTGTATATAAACTCCTTACAAACGCGGGCGACTTTGGCAATATGGTCCTCTGCAATCTCTTTCCAGGGGGCGGATTGCTCCCAGAACAACTGGCTGATTAGTTGCGGATTGAAGTTACCTGGCAGCTCGGATCCACGAGATCTCTCTAAAACGGTTTGGACCCAGGCAATTCCCTCTTTACGACTGAGTTTCTTGGGCGTTGGCAGCAAGATCGAATCTCCACCACCCTGAGCATCAAGATCCTCCTCTGCTTTCTCAGCCTCTGCAATATCGAAGTCTGCGTCACCAGGACCGGCTCCAATGGCGTGTTTATGACCTCGCAGGCGCATGTTCTCCGCAAATCGAAGATTCAGGTACTGAATGGCGGCGCGGAGACGGCGAAGATTCGTGGTCGAATCGACAGCAGCCTTCTTGTCCATGGCGCCGAAGAATTCGTTATCGTAATGGCCCTTTACGGCAGACTTCAAGATGTCGTTGATGCGCATACTCATCTTCATGAGCATCATCTTCTGTTCAGATAAAGTAGAACGCTTTTCGCCGAGATTGCTGATATCGTCTGTCGTGGTCTGCAGTTTCATACTCATCTCTTCTCTGAGAGACGGAAGCTCCTTGATCAGATGATTCAAGAGAAGCTTGCTAAGGCGCTCACGAAGAGAATCAATGCCGACGCACTCGCGTGGCAGATCAACATATCGGCCTCTGCTGAAGAAGACGGTCTCCGATTCATTACGCTGCGCGAAGGAGAATCCCATCTCATTGTCTGCACGATTCTTGAGCATGTGCCATCCGCGCTCGAGGTAGATATCCTTGTTTTGTACAAGATCGATCCAGCTTCCTTCATTGTCGGAGCCTGCACGGAGGAAGTCGGGCTTGGTGACTATGCCTAAAGTACGACGTCCTTTAGCATCAATCTGCTGGCAGTAGCTGAGGATGATCTGGTTTGCGTAGTCATTCTTGGCAGATATTACCGCTAGAATGATGGTACGCGGGTTTTTCATGTATTCCTTGACAATGTCCAAGATCAAATCCTTGTCGGCCTCTGTCTGAGCCTTGTTCGCAGCGTGAATGAGACCAGGAAGATCGACCAAGGTCCTACACAGTCATGAGCTTTTTTTTTTTACTTGCATGTTTAATGAGACTTACAACTGGGGACGGTCAGGTCCACAAATCTCAACAGACAAGACATCTCTAGAGAAGGCTCTTGAGTTGATTTGGCCAACCTTACCAAGTCCCATAACCTGAGTAGAATCTTCGATTATATCAGGAAGCTGCGAGAAGTCCTCAATAGACCTAGAGAAAGACCTCAGCTTGACCTGCTCTAGCTTGGGACGAAGCTTGTCTGGTGTGATCGTAATCCTGATTGTCGATGACGGAGAACGTCGCAAGACAATTTCAGTCGCAAACCTAGTGCAAAGGTTCTCTTTGCGGGGAAACGGGATTTCAGTAATAGCCTCGAGGACGGAGCTCTTTCCGGAACTCTGATCTCCGCAGACCACAATCTGAGGAAGCTCTACAATACCACTGAGGCCGGTACGGCGGAGCTTGCTACATCAACTATTTGCCTTAGGCCTAGGTGGAGGTGCCCAACTTACCTTATCCACAATATCCATGACTTTTCGCTGGTCATCGCTCTGAAGAGCCTTGAGTGAGTCAGTCATGACCGCATCTGGATCGATAGCGACTGGAGTAGCGGGAGTCTCCGCGCTATCGTACTCAGAATCGCTTCCTGTATCGGTAGCCATGTGGTTTGAGCAATGCAGATGTATAAGTGCACCCGCAGAGACAAAATAATATGTGATGGAAAAAGTGAGGAAAAGGCAGGCGGGGAGTCTGAATCGAGCGGGGAGGAGACTCAATTTATGTGCCAGAGATTTGTCAGTGAGCAGGTGAAAGAATGAGCAGGCAGCCGACGGAAACTCATAGAAACCTTCTCTTTTCTGTTTCCTGGGAAACTTGCTCAAAAGATCTTTTTACCGCCAAACGGCGAAGCAATAGTGTCTAGGGGCGGCAGCAGGAAGCGGTTAGGCACCCAATCAATCTTTAAAGAAGGTCGTTGTTGCCTCTAGAAGAAGCAGATAGGAGCCACTCGCATCGAAAGTGAAGGCGGTGCAGTCGAGCATACTGATAGAGAAGGTGGTGATGCCTCAGAATTCACGTGCAAAGCATCATTTCTGCGTTGGGCACTGATAACAATTCGGTAAAGCAAGGTTATTTGTGGCACTGTCTCTTGTGGTTGTGATCGAGTGGCGACTGTTTCTCTATTTCGATGCATCACCAACGAGGCATCAATCATCAAACCCTTCAGTGAAAGAGAAATATCACTCTGTGGCGCCGTATCTCTTCGTCAGAAACGAGTGGTGAGAGTTTCTCCATCTCGCTGCGCCGCCAGCGGCGCGTACATACCTCGCCGCACCAGCCTCTCTAAAATTGACGCCGAGCTTCTCCCATCGTCGAAGTAGGCGCAGTACTGAGTGGTTTCAAGACATGCAAATACTCTTGATCCCAGATCTCAGACCTCAAAGCGGGAACAGTGGCTTGCAGACTGCAGGCTGGCGCCATGCATACCGCCTGTCATACCACTCCGAAACTAGTGTCTGTCATTTCCCCAATCCGGATGCCAGAACGGAAAGAAACAACTAGGATTAGCTGCTGCTCTATCTTCACGCCTGAAGAGGATTGAGAGGCGTGGCGAGAATCCGCATAAACGAAGCGTGGAAGTCGTGGTTTGCTAACAATCTTCTTTCTAAGGAGTATATAGCACTGAGGAGGGTTAGCGGGCCGGATTTACAACTCTTGGCGACAGCCCACCATCGCTCCACTTCTCCACTGCAAGGTGTGTTAAAATGGCTTCCTTCCCCTTCCTTCCTCGATCTTCCTCTCCAGATTGTCAAATCACTTTTCGATTGTGGATTCCTATCCTAAATTCAGGTTATGCTGATTTGAATCAGAAGACTATAATCATTCACAGCTAGAATACTGGAAATATATATCTATCAAAGCAGCTCGCTCATTACGCTCTAAAACCACTTTCAAATCCGCTCCTAATTGGAGAAGAATCTATGCAAGCAACCCCTTCTAAGCCACTCATATTCGTGCCGTCTAGCTCTCTATAACTTTGGCACCGGAGCCGCCGCCCTTATTCCATCCCAATCCTCCATCTTGTATTCGACAAAACCCTCCTCGTCCTCCATACCTGGAACCTTGGGATGCCCAAGAGCGTAAGGACAGAAGTACATGGTATCGTATTTGACTTCCTCCCTGCTTAGCCCCTTCTCCGCGGCTTCTGCCTCCGCACGCTCTCGCATTTTCCTTAGGTCAATACCGTCGTTTCTTAGTGGCACTTTATTTTGCTTGTTGTTGTGCATGGTAGTTATGCTGATGAGGATGCGGAGGAAAACCGGGACTGCGTATTTGGGAAGCTTGGCTCGACAGTGTGAGAGCAGAGCGTTGTAGTCGAAGGTAGACTGATGCGCTGGGTCGATGTACAAAGCTGCACAACCCGCACGTCCATCATGGCCAGGGACCTCGACGCCGTAAACGTTGGCTTCCACGATGCCGGGATAGTGGCCGAGCACTTCCGACACCTCCGCAGTACTCACGTTCTCAGACTTCCAACGGAAGGTATCGCCTAATCGATCTAGGAAGAACCATCGACCATCCGGTGTCCGCCGTAGAGCATCGCCTGTCCGGTAGAACAGATCGCCCTTCTTGAAGACATTACGCTCGAACTTCTTATTCGTGGCCTCTGGATTTTTATAGTAGCCCACGAATGCTTCCTCATTCGGAATCTGCACGATAATCTCGCCGCCTTCTTCGTACGGTTTCCGCTTCGCAAAGCCCGTCTTAGGATCTCGCCAGATGGCATTCGTCTCGTGATCGATCTCAACCGGAACGAAGGTGTTGCGGAGAACGGTCCGTAGAATGAGGCCATGATGGCCAACGGACGTTGCCAGGAAGGGCCCGCGGCAGACGTTAATGAGACCGAACACACCCTCAGTGCTGTTGAAGAATTCAGCAACAGTCTTGATGCCAAAGCGGTCGACGAAGCGTTGCCAGACATCGGGCCGCATTCCGTTGCCAAACATAACGTGTACGCTATGTTTCTTGTCATTCTCGCTTGGTGGAGCAGCAAGGAGATATCGGGCCGTCTCTCCGACGTACACGAAGGCAGTTGCTTTGGAATCGCGGACATCACTCCAGAATCTGGAAGTGGAGAATTTCTTGCCGATGCAGAGGGTTACACCTGACAGCATGCAAGATACGGCAGTCGTGCATCCGGTTCCATGGTACATGGGCATGCAGATATACCATCGATCGCCGCTCGGCCCGGGTTCCAAGTCGAGGCTGCGAATACGACCGCCAGCGAGCGATCCGGCTCTCTGGATCTCAAAAGGACAAGCTTTGGGGTGACCAGTGGTCCCACTATTCCCGTCAGCTTCAATTCTCTGCGAGAGGGAGTACCGAGAGGATGGAAAACCCAAAGCACCAACCTCGTGTAAAACAAACACATAGGGAACGTTCCCTGGATACCATTACGGAGCTCATCCTCGGGACGCTTTGGCTCCATCCGACATATCTCGCCTTTCAACGACTTATCTAGGATCTTGATGGTCATACCAAGCTCGCCCTCGATTCGACCTCGGACCTCATTTATTCTCTCAATGGCATCGGACTGCTCATCTACAATCAACAGCTTCGCCTCACTAACTTTCAAGCAATGGATCAGAGAGTCGCCAGCAAGATGATGGTTGATCATTGCCGGTGCAGAGCCTATCGCCCACGATCCCATGTGTCCGAATATGAACTCTGGCTGATTGGTGAGGTAAAAGGCCACCAATTCGCCGGGCTTGACCCCATTCTGCAGGAAGTACTGTCCATATCGACAGGCTTGCGCGTAAGTCTCAGTCCACGTGTAGCATCCTTCTCGCGACCAAATGGCTTCTTCGGTCTCGGGGAGTCGCTGGACCTCAGCCTCGAACCAGTACCACAGACTGCCGCGATTGTTTGCACCTGGGGTTCGGGGGTGGTCAGCAACTCGTCAAGAGTTGCGGGGTATGGCGGATGAAGCTTACCGCGGGTGGCGAAATCTCGCTCGTTGGCACGTACGCTTCTAATAGAGGTGATGTCCTTGGAAATGTGGAATTTGGCATCCAAGTAGGCGGCGGCGGCGGCGGTACCTGCAACTGCTGCTGCTGCGACTGGCGCTGTCAATGTGTCACGTCAGTCTCAATCTGCATTTGTGGAGAAGATGTGGAGCAGGTCGCGCCACAGACGGTGCCACAGACTGTGCCACAGTACAGGAACTTCGGAGACAAACCAAAAGCCATGTTGCGTTCTCTTTACTGCTTCCGGGGCCAGAGCGACGGAATGGGAGAAGTGAGGAGTGGCCGGGGAACAGCAATCGAGGGGAGAGCTGGCAGCGCAGTCGGAGAGACACGGCAGTCGGAGGAGTTGACGCTGAGTCTGATAAATGAATGCGCTTTGCTCGCCAGGTGATGAGTTGCCGAAATGCCTCGGTCGGCCTGAGCTGGGATGGTCTACCCCACGCCCCACAACTGCCGTCCTGCAAGAGCCGCGACGCGAGCTCAACACCATCACGAACGCCGAGGAAGAGCTGCGATAGTTGCGAACAAAGCGCATCGGGATATCATTCTGGGCAAGCATCTAGCTGCTTCCGTTCCGTGCAATTGCCATTGTCACGACCACATCTACTAACGCCTAACTCCGTTATTATGCTCAAAACTCCCCGTCATCAGCCCATTAACACCGCTGCAGAAGCGATCAATGCAGCTACAAATACACATCTCGCTGTTACAATTGACACTGTCGACGCGTCTGACCCCGTCTGAAGAGCTGGTCTGTCCGTGCCTGTAGCGCTACCCGTCGCGCCAGCCACAACACTCGTAGCGAGGACTGTTGATGCTGGAGCCCCTGGCACATTCGGGACAACGCTGGACGCGGCGACCACGTTGGTGGTTTGCGCTGCACCGCCACTTGATGTCGGATTCGACGCTTCTTGCGTGCTTTCGGGGGAGCTAGGCTTGGCTGTGGTCTTCGAAGCGGCCGCTGATGAGGCTTGGTTTGCTGCCGACGAAGTCTTCGCTGGTGCACTTGACGCCGGGCCTGCGCTCGAAGCTGCGGATGGAGCATTCGAGCTTGAAGAGCCTCCTCCGTTCGATGGCGTTCCGCCGCAGTTTGATGCACCTCCCAACTTGACCACCATTCCCACACCTGCCACCGGGTCCTCGAATCCATTATCGTCCTGAAACTGCTTCACATCGAACGTTCCTCCCTCCGTCGGAAGCTTTAGAGTGCTGAGCTCATTGTTCTCCGGATTATCGTACATGATGAATGAGTACTTCCGGTCGTCACCCGTCTCCTTAAACGCCCCGGGCGCTTTGTAGTCCTGCAGTGCTTTGGCGCTGGTCTCAAGGTTGGTGATGTCGAAGTTGTATTTGAAATTGGTTTGCGCAAAGTGGAGCGTTCGCGCATCGTCGCACGTTGTATCCACGAGGAGGATTGTATAGAGTTTGTTCGCGACAATATTGGAGCTGTCTCCCAGAGCGAATGTAGGCGTGTTTGCAACATCTGAGCTTCTGTTAGGCTAGCCTCAAGAAAGTAAGTGAAGCGCGGCGTACCTTTTGAACCAAATGTCGTTCCATCGTTGAAGCCGTTTACCGCGTCTCCCGTGTACGATACTTGTATATCGATGCCGCTAGATGCAAACCCAACTGACAGGTCCTGCGGGACAATCTTTGAACTCTTCGCGCTCGCAAGCTTACACAAAGCTGCGGCATATGCTACATGCTGGAGGTACTTTGAAAGCATGTTGGGCTGTGGTACAACAAATTACAAAAGCCTGAAATAGAGGAGGTTTCGAAGGATAAGATCGCGAGGAAGAAAACGACACAATTAATGCAATTTCAGATCCCAAGAAACAGCAGCAAGAAAAATAGATCTCAATACTCTCTGACTTCCAAGGCATTTCTCAAACCTTACTACCTCAGGTCTTTATACAACCACCCCCCCCTTCCATCCCCAAACCCAAACGCCTCAGTCATCAACGCCACACTGTCACAGCGAACTTGCGCCTCCTGTGTGTGTAACGCTCGCCAAATTCAATTTCAGAATAAAGTCCTAGTTAAGCTTATTCTAAACAGCCTCTCAGCGTGCTGAATTCCAAGTCTAAAACCCTACGTTGCTGATTTTAGCTGCGTTGAGGACGGTCGAGTTTCAGGCATGTTTGGGGTCTGACGCTCGGAAGTTGAAGGCGCCGGGCGGCTCTTGTCCGCCTTCTCCAGATGTCTATTTCAATAAACTATGCCGCAGTGTTTGGGGGATTTCAGGGCATTTTATTTTTATTTTGCGAATTGGGGTCGCAACATTCGCACGCCGCAAAAGTACGATGGCGGAGGTTTGTCTGCGGCGTAGTAATGGCGTTGATGGGGCTAGCTTGGCAGGCAGCTGCCTGTCTGCCTCTCTGCGTGTGCCACAGTCCCACAAACACCGCGAAACCGGGCGGACGCCTTGACGTTCCGACCTGCTCCTGCGTTTGAAGATTCGCCTGTGCTGTGGGCTGATCTTTTCCCAGAGGCTTAACTTGTTAGAATACACGCCGATCTGCTTTCCCTCTCTCTTGGGTTTGTTTGTCCTTGCCCAGTCCAGTTTCAGGCATCTGAGCATCTGCAGTCTCCCCTTTCGTTCTCTTTCCCGTTCCAAACCAGCCCAGCTCTTCCCAAATCCTCGGTTCGCTTTCTCGTCATCGTCATAGCCCAAGGCTTCCCCTCGTTTCCCAGTCAAACCTGCCGGCTTGATAAAATGGATCCGTCTTCGTCCCAGCGGCGACAAAAAGAGTCTAGTCGCTTCATCACCTCACTGAATGATTATTTCCGCGTTAATCGCAAGCAGCCGGAAGAAACGCTGTATATGGAGGTCAACTACTCGCTTACTGTTGACGCGGATTTGTATCTTATGACGGAGAGTAAGACAACGGAGAGAAAGGAGAAGAAGAGTCCGCCGAAGGCTAGCCCGCCTCCGAGGAAGGTCAAGACGATGGGTCAGGGGACGATGTCTTCGGGGGGAAATACAGGACAGAGGAAACCAGAGCAAGGATGAGAGAGGGGAGGGGAGGGGAGGATAGGAGTGGCTGAAGGAGTAAATCTATGACAAGCTCGTGGAAACTTAGGCCTGCTACAACGTCGGGGTCTTTTGGCTTTTGAGAGTGTCGACGAGCGCTGGCCGACAGACTTGACTTGAAGTTATCTAGTCGTCGAGATACCTGGGGCCGATTGTCTCCAGCCTACTAGAGGAGAATCGAATCTGGCAAGTCCAAGCCTCTACCCAACGCCGTGTCTTCAAGAAGTCTCAACAGATCAAAGGCCCAACGCTCCGGAATATTCGCCTTACTAGTTTCTCGCACCCAGCCCGAATGATTATCTTCAAGCCGTCAGACCTCTGCTCACTAGGTATCTCGAAGAACCTTCAAACTACTTGCCTACGTTCTTCAAGAGGACATCCGTTTAGCGCTTTCAGTGATACGCGGAAAATCGCCACCCCTAGGCGGCCGTCACAACGCAACTCGGGGCCGCCGCACATTACGTCTCTGTACCACAGCTGCAAGGTCAGTGCGCCTGAAAATGGCCGAGGAAGCCGATAGCGTACAACACAGCACAACACAACACTCGATTACCAATTATATATATATATATATATATAAATCCGGAGAACTCCGCCCCCCTATCACACACGTGCGATGTCAGCCTAGGCCGCGCGCCCTCCTCTTCACTCCTATACTTGCCAAGCCTTCTATAATAAATGAATAAAGGTGCCGATATGCGCGTGGTACGAGTATCAGCCCAACGACCAATTTAATGCACGAGATTCGATAATTGCACACATGCTTCGGCTGTTTATCAAGGCTGTTTATCGATATCGAGAAGGCTGGGGTGCATGGAGTTTTAGGCACGTGCGTGTGTGGATGTGGACTTCCGTCTGTGTTGGAAGCTAGGGCATGCAGGGATGGGGGTGGAGATAGTGGATCCGGAGTAGTATTGCTCAAGGGTCTTGCTTGCGTGCTGACGGTGAGGAGGGGATGTGGTCTATGGAAATTGCGGTGTGTCCTCAGCTGAGCTAGACTTTTGGGGTTCGATGTGCGCATATGTTTACATATGCACATGCCATTATTCGAATAACTATGACCCTCTCTCTGTGGCCTGTCTGTGCAAACTCACCATATACTTGCGATAACATTGACTTTTTAAATTTTATACATTACCTTTAATTTTTACTGCTTAGATTACCTTTTAATATTTAAAACCACTTATTTCTATAATCTTTATTAGACGCATGTTCTTATGTATTAGGAAAAGTACGTTGCGACGTTGTGACCGTACAATGTCGTTCAACAATCGCTTAATAACCCTAATGTTTTAAAGCATTAAGAGCATTAAGCGAACATTAAATGTTCAGCTTAAACTTTTAAGGACTATCTTATAATTGCTACAAAATCTTAAAATTTCTAGGGAAAAGTACTTTTCCTGATATGCCCCTTAATTTTGTTAGGCTGGTATGCTATTTTTGGTGGTGAGAGTGCCAGCCCATCTACCAATCAGAAAATATAAGCAGGTTCGCCTTTTTCTGACTCCCGAGCTTAATTTAGATTTGCATTGCTTCAAAAATGGTATCCCTTCCCAACTGTAGCGTTTCAATCTGTAGTATTCCAAGATGTAGCACTACGAATTGTACTGCTCCAGGCTGTAGTATGACTTATTGTAGCCCTCTACGGTAACCTTCAGCATTGTAAACCGAAATGGCCGCCATCATTTGATATTTCACAATGTAAAATTTATACGGGTTTTTCGGAGCTCGTTGTGGGCTGCTTGGTACGGAGAATCGTCCCAAAAGTCTTTTTTAGCGTCAAAAGCACCTCTTGTTATCATTTCTGCTTCTGGACTAGCTCTCAGCCTCTTTTTCGAGAGATTAGGGAGTACTTATCTCAGCAAGCTCAGCCGACAGTCAAGAGCAGGGGGATGTCAACTAGACCAATATAGGGATAGCGGTGTTTCACACCTCAGTCAACATCTTTGCTCTTGGTTGCAGAGATTTGGCCTTTGACCAAGCTCTAACCCGACTGAGCTTGCTGAGATAAGGGAGTACTGAAACTGTGGCTACGCGCTAAGAGACTGCGGAATCAAAATAAAAGTCGCGTCCGTTAAAGCGCGTATTGCTTGCTTCGAAAGTCCTAATCAACCTTACTCCCTTAAGGATGGAGACTATACAAGACAACAGAAAGCACCGCAGGAGCGGCTCCGCTACCTTGTTTTCAACACACCAAATCCTGCTCGACCACTCGCCATCTTCTGCCAACGAACATATTTCTCAGAGAACAAGAGCAAAGTTGGCACAAAGAGATACTCGGCCCACTGTTCCACCTAAAGCAGATGTTAATAGCTATCGCACTACCTCACCTTGTCTACTATATTCTGAGTCTGCACATTCCAACATTTCCTTTCCTATCGCAAACCAGTCTCACATCAAGAAGGTCAAGGGCGTTTACGATTTGAATAACATCTCCTCGAGGCCACATGGTACATCAGTATTTGACGATGGCGGAGAGCCTAGGACGTTCGTCAAGCTTACAACGCCTAAATCACTTTCGGAGCTGAAGAAGATCAAAGGCATCGTGCAGTCAGACGCAGAGAGGCTGGAGACCGCAAGAACGCTATCACTGACCCAGCCCCAATGTGTCTTTTGTTTGATATACTTTCAGACAGACGTTGCTCTAGGCAACCATGTCAACATGAAACATCCCAATGGTCGCACGGCTGAATGCAACTGGAATGACTCCGGGTGTGACAAGAGGATTCGAGATCCAAAACTTCTAGACAACCATATAAAATACAAGCATAAAGACACACCACTTTCCATCTCAGGAAATAAGCACTGGAGCGCGCCCCGGAGTCAAGGCAGTGTCCTTCGTTGTTGCAAGAAGTGTGGGGATGACTACTTTTATCTCGCCACACACCAAAAAGGATGCGGAAAATATCATTAATGTTCAGTCTGCAATCTCAGGTTCAGTAGAAAGGAAGGGTTTGAGAGACATCTTAAGACGCATAATCCAAACTCTGAGAGATTTAAGTGCGCCTAGGATGACTGCTTCAAATCTTTTGCTGACAAGATTGGCTTACAGCAACACATCCGAGGCTTTCACAACGCTGAGAAGATTGCCTGCTGTGTCTGTGGTACGAAGTCTACCGTGTCCTCTGCTTGGGGACACTTACGCAAACACAGTAGACCACCTGGGGAGCCGAGATACAGGTGTAAATACGACGGATGTTCAGCGGCATTCCGCACCACTTACTTGGTAAACGCGCACATATTGTACAATCATCTAAAGATTGGAATCGAATGCGACATTGATGGCTGTGGTGTCAAGTTCAAAGAAGAGAGTGGATGGAGATTACACTTACAGCTGAACCACTCAGGAGTCGAGATTGAAGAGCATGTCCTCGCGTTGCGAAGTGCGTCGGCAGTGAAGAAGCTCTTGACCCAGAGGGAAAAGTTAAAAAAGGGCCTATGCACCGTACTTATGAGCTGTAAGAATGGAGCTATCGCCGATGAGAGAGGATTGATTCCAGCGTGTGATAAACACCTAAGACGCCATTATGAGCTTAAAGCAAGACAGGCACGGCACAGCGCATTTAAAATCAAGAGGATTGGTTTCGGGTCCCTTGTGCAGACTCCAGATGAAATGGCAGCTTGTCTATCAGCTGTTACTGTACCGCGTTGTGTGAGAAGATTGGCACGTCAAATTGAACGCCTGGGTAGGGTAGGGCGAGTGTTTTGCGTGGATACGGAATTTGCAAGAATCCCTGGAAAGGATGGGCGAATGTCGAAGCTTATTCCAGTCGAAATTGCGGTTTACGGCCTCGACGGAAAAGTTGTGATTGATACTCTTATTAAATACAATGAGCCAATTGAGGAGCTTTTAGGTGATACTCCTTGCTGTGGACAACACGCAAGATTTAATTAGAGTGTGTTCCGGAGGATTTATGGCCAAAGGCACGAAACATCTGGGATGACCATACGGAAGATTCAAGATGTGCTCCTCAACGCAGACATGAATTTACGGTCAACACTAGCTAAATGGTCAATAAGCGCAATTAATCGACGAATATTAGGAATGATACTTGAGGAGCAAACCCCGGAGAGGTCGATTCTAGTACCAAGACACTAGAGGAAGGTTCTGCCAGGATTTTTAACTATGTCATTATCTTATTTTCACCATCTCCTCTATCCCGCCTCCATGCTTTACCAACAGGCCCATCGAGCTGGTCCGGATACCCTCATGCTAATTGATATGATTAGAGCTCTTATCAATCTCTCTTGCCGATGCGAAGGATTGCAAGAATGTATTCACGACTTCTAGCGGAGACAGTTCAAGTTATATTCCAATCATCGAATCATGCATATCAAAGTCCTAGGCGTTCCTCAATTATACCGACAATTGACTGCCACTCACGCATCGCACCATTGCCCGTATCGCCACACATCAGCAGACGCTCTTGAGGCCGTAACACTTCAAACCAGCCGTTTTCTTCCTCACCCTTCTGGACACCCCAATCATCCTCGAGCATTCGGATTTGCTTCGCCGTAATAGGATGGTGCCACATCGCAGTATTCATCGCAGGAGCCACGATGATAGATTTCCTTTTCCCATCAACAGTCCCATCCGTATCCCAGGCCCGAACCACGCTGGTTAATAGATTATCACAAATGCCATTCACAATTTTTGCTAATGTGTTGGCATCTAAAGGACAAATAACGAGCAAGTCGGACCATTTACGCGCTTCTATATGAAGGATTGGGGCTCCTCGCCGCCATGGCTCTGGGCCCCATTCGGAAGCGTCGTCATATACAGCTTCGACACATGGAATATTCATCAGCGAGGATACAGAAGGCTGTTCCTCGGATTGGCCGGCCAGGAAGTTCTTGGCCGATTGGGTTAGGATAATCCTAATAGATAACTTGTCTTTATGACGTGAAAGGGAATTTGCAATTTCCGGGATTTTGATGGTGGCAACGGATCCGCTCGCAGCAAGGAGAAGGTGCGCTCTGCCATCCTCGCGGAACGTCGGTAACGTAGCTGCGGAGTTTGCGGCATTGCAGAGCGAGTCGTTGGTATCTGTAACAGCTAGGTCCATTTTGCTGGTTCAATTTGATGAGGCGTGTGGCATGGATTTTAAGTAACGAGAGCCTGGTAGCTTGGTAGTTGTTGATGAAGTTGGGAGAATTGTCCCACGCCCCCACTTTTCTGGTGATGCACATGACTTGCCTCCCGCCAAGTGCTCGTCTAAAATTAGCCAATCAGAGCAGCGCCAAAGAGAGCCACCATTTCTCAAAGCGGAAATGCCATCTAATTATTTACCAAAGTATGCCGTTGGGACTGCAAGAACGCCAGCCTAGTCAAAGCAGAACCATTCAACACTTTATTGCCATCTTCAAGTCCCTTGATACAACGTTCAGGTCGGAAATTAAACCTGGTTTTCCATGGACCAATGACTTCCAAGGAAAAGGCAATCCAGGATGACAGAGTTCTAAGGACAACAAATTTTCCAAGGATTGGGGAATCCGGGGATGACAGAGTTCCAAGGACGATAGATTTACATGAGAGATCCAATGACTCATGAGCTTGGGCATGAGATCATGAGCAAACCCGGGCAAAAGCCTGAGGAGGCTTGATTTAGACTAAGCCAAGGCTGAGCCGGGATTGAGCCGCGTGAAAGTTTGCTGATGTATTGCGCCAAAATTGGCTAACTAGAGTAGGTGCATCATTGACAGGGGCCCGAAAGTGGGACCAGTCAGTCTATGACACCTCACATGTCTACGAGCTGATTGGGGCCCAATTTCAGATCCTCTTCATGCTGCTCAAGGCGGTGATCTGACAACTGGATTTTGGACCTCCTCGGCGCCCGGGACTGCACCTGCGCCTCCAAATTAGGAAGGATGAAATCAGGCACAATCAAGAGGAGCTCAGGCTTGAATCAAGCAGATCACGCCGGCTCACTTGGCTCAGGGCGAGCTCATGAGCCTGTTGGATTTGCTCAGGGTGGGGCTCAATCTGGCTCAGCCACTGCATGAGGGGGGCCTGATTCAGGGGTCTCGTTGCATGAGCTCAAGGACTCTCAGATGAAAAGGCAGACGGTAAGGAAATATTAATACGTTTGTATTAAAAAGCTATATACGTTCTGCCGCCATTTTCGGCGGCATATGCCACCCTTTTCGTAGGGCGTTGTCGTCGGTGGTGAGTCTGTATAGTGCAATCCGTACCTCACTACAATGATGTTGACTTGCACCTCTAACCTCTCATCCCTAAGCCACGTACACTTTGTGTAGGACAATGGCGCCTTTTACAACACCCAGCGATCCCTAGTCTCCTGTGCATGCACGCCGTGATGCAGCCACTCTTAAGATGTCTGCCCTGTCCACTAACCAATAGAAATGCTATGTATGATAGATATGCAGTGCAAGAGAACATATGGAAGGAATGGTATCAAACTACACCGAGATACACTGTTTGGGGCTGCAAGATTGTCCTCAGGGTGGTCAAATTGATCACCAGCCAAACGTCTCAATCTCCAATTTCAACTCCCTCATCTCACCTCTCAGTACGCGATTCTGTAACCTCGCAACTGTGTTTGCAAGATCAGCGGATAGAGAGGGTGGACCACAACCTAGAGACCCATTCATTAGCAACCACTCTCACAAATCTTAGGACAGAAAGTAGACAAGACGTAGTAGACTCACCTAACACAATCGCCCGATCACCACTAACATACCCCTCCACTACATCCGCAACGACCGGCCTACAATAATGCATCGCAACACTGACACCCCTTTTCGCACTCTCTTCGCCCTTCTCACTGCCACTCCCACTCCCACTTTCAACCCCAAAATGCACTTCCTCGTCAAACAGGCCGATCCCGCCATTCAACCTCCTCAGCACGGGTCTTGGTTTCTCCGGCAGCCTATCTACCTCCCCATTCTCACTCACCCCAAGAGCTTCAAACACCTTATCCGAAAACGGCAAACTTCCCCTCCTCCCCCTCCCCGTCGGATCTACAGGACTCACACACGGACTCAACTCATCCTCGCTCGTGCTCGCACTCTCCGCAAGTGCCCTCTCCCTCGTAATGAAAATATCCACAGTAAAACTCGCATTATTCGGATTCGGATGATTTTGAATATTCTTAACAGCCTCGGTAAGTCCCTCTTCAATCCACTTCACCCACTCCGAATCGCGGATAACCCAGATGAGATGGATGCGCCGGGTTGCCAGGATCTTGTCTTTCTGTTGGTTGCGGAGATGGGTTGTTAGGGAAAGGATGTGCGGCATAGAGGCTGTGATACCTGAGCCGCCGGCGATGCAGATTACTGTATCGAAGAGTTTGTGGATGGGACGGCGGTGCGTGCCGTATGGGCCATCGATGATCGTTCGGAGGGGGGAGGACACCCCGGATTTACAAGCGATGGTGTGGAGTTTGTGGGTAGTTATTTCGTCGCGGAGAGGGAAGGAAGAGGAGGATGATCTCCGTTGGCGTTGTGGTTTTGGGGGTGAGATGATAGGAAAGGAGGATTGGGAAAGAGGAGAGAGGGGCGATTCGACTTCTTGCTCGGTTATGGTGATGGTATTTTCGATGCATTCGGTGTCGTGGCGATGTTTAGTTTTCTCACCGGTTACGCTGATGGCTTTGCCTTTTTCGAAATCGAAATTGAAGAATGGGGGCGAGGTTCGTCCAGTATCTTCTGGAGTTCCCTTGTCTGTCTCAAAGAGCTTCTTCGTGAAGCCTTTTTGTCGTCGTACGAGGAAGATCATCTCGTGGCTATTTCGCTCGAGAGCGGCCGAAGGGATGTTGGCGATGGTAAAGGGATGGTTACCGATCCAACTCAAACTCGGCATTCGAAGGAACGCATGTTGGCCGGGCTTCCATTTCATCGATGTCGGAACAGACACTGCTACTCTCGTCATGTTCCCCGAGAGATGCGTGATGGTCGTCGTCCAGCCATTCATATTTGCCACATATCGGAGGTTTCTATGTCGTTGCACCAAGCGCAGGATATTAGAGAAGAACAATACAGCAAGCGTAGCGTACAGGTAATTTGGCTAATGGTATTATCAGTTTAAAGTTGGAGGGACACGATTGATACACTTACGCTCATGTACTCCCCCCAGATGTGCCACCAGAAGAGACCAATGTATGCTACAGCAAGGAAAATATGCAAGTACTTGAACGCCTCATAGAACCTTTTGCGCACCAAAGGAATGGAGAAGAATGCGAGGCCAAAGGTGGCAAAGTACAAAGGGGTTCCTGATAGTTCGCGCCTCTCGTTCGCGTACAACGAGTTGAGCATGCTCCAGCCTCCATCTCTGACTGGGGAGACAAAGTGCGGTACCTGTTGAAGTCAGTTTGGAGTCGACGGAAATGCTGGGAGAGACGTACAGTGTGAATAGTTGCAAAAATGAATATTACATAGGCCACATATCGATGATATACATTGAACTTTTCGTATCCAACGCCAGTCATCCAGGTAATGACATTGACTTTCCCGGCCAACGCCACAGTTAGAGGCGTTAGTGCAGAGATGATGAACGCACATCGTACCGACAACGGTGGGGATCCATATCTGAACAGCGCACGGAGGTACGGTCGCTGCGGCCAAGGCAAGATTGTAAAGAAGATAGTTGCGAATGCGAGAAGCATAAGAACACCGTAAGAAACCTGTCGTAGTCCAATCGATCTTGTCAACCAGTTATCAGGTCGCCGGTATGTGCAAAACCGGAAAAGTGCAACCAGCTTGTCCCTCCAGGATGGTGAAATTTTTCTTGACCGCTCATTCCTTCGTGGTACTCGATCTTGTACCTGGTGATACACGTAGATCGCCGTAAAGAGTAGTATCCAGAACGAGTAGAACCATACGGTCCATTTCCCGTACTCCAGAAGTCCTAACAGCGGGGTGACTTTTTGGTCCTCAGCAAACCCCTCCCGAAATGCCCTGCAGGTATCGTTCGTACAGTGAGGATCAGAAATGGGGAGATCCTCGACCGAGACACCCGTTGGCAGAGGAGTACTTGGCCATCCTGGCGGTGCGTATATCTGATCCGTGGGGCTTGGCGGCATCACGTAGGCTTCCAAAGAACTGGGGGGTGTACGTAAGCTGGACGGCTCTGGATCGTAGGCCCCTGAGGGGAGGATTGGTAATGTCTGGGTGGCTAGACTGGAGGGACAGAAATCGTCCAGACTGCTGGTCCAGTACTTATCAGGGACCTACCGCCGCCATGCATTGTTGTGTCATTTGAAGCGGTCCCCTTCTCTGCGACTAATTTTCTGCTAACCATTCATCAACATAGTAATGCACTTCTCTTCCCACATTCCCCCAAAGCGAATCTGACGATGTGGAACGAGTGTGATAACAGACGCGCCATATCGACCCGTTGGTCCCGGCCACCCACCGTTCGAGCCTGAGTTTCTCTCATACGGACAGCGCGTCTCCGGACTCGGCTTGTGAGAAGCACTGCCCCACGGGGTATCTGAAAACCAGGAAAGGCTCGCAGCTGCCGGCACTTTGCACGCTCAATATTGGGGCCTCGACTTCGCACTCGGGTCCTTCAATCTCATCTGGACATATCTGGAGAAACTTCTCGTCCGACATAAAATCGTCAATATGCCAGTGGAACGACAATGGCGTCAGGTTGAAGCGGGAGGCTGTCACGCGGTAACCGTCGGAAGATTAGAAGAAAGTACAGAAGCTTCGATGGCCAGAAGTTCCGGCCCCACATGCGATCTGGTGTAACCAAGCAAATGAAGAAACGAAACAAAACGACCGGGATGACGATCTTAGATAGAGTGAAGCTTAAAACGTTCGGCTACATTCTGTGGGTGCATTCTGGGGGGCGTTAGCGAACACGAGATATCGTCATTTGTTCAGGACGGCCATTGCAAGAAAAAGACCAGTCTCTTAATCTACCTAGGACTCCGCGGGTAATAATTAATTTTTCACATAGAGATCGACGTATTGGTCAACGTCCATCGCGTCCAACGTCTTCCCGTCCTGGCCAAGCTTGACGAGCTTATCGACATGCTCTGCTGGGAAATGCGGTCCGAGATGCCTCTTGAACTTGGCGAGTATTTCAGGCTTCGCTTCCTCACGTCGCAGGCGGTGGCCCAAAGGAGCCTCGACGACTTCTTCTTCAAGGACGGTGCCGTCCTTTAGCTTCACGGTGAGAGCGTTGGAAATAGTGCGCTTCTCTGGGTCATGGTAATCCTTGGTGAACTGCGGGTCTTCCACGCAGGAGATACGCTGCCGTAGGGACTCGACGAGCTGCGAGGTGGCTGCCTCGCTGTCATCGGGGTAGTCCGTGGCCTCCAGACGGTTGAACACGAACATGGTAGCGACCATATACTATCGCATATTATCAGTCACGTCCGTCAGCCTGTCGGGGGTCACGCTTACCTGAACGCAGTGGTCACGATCAGCGAAATTCTCCATGGGCTTGAACTGCTTGTCAATGATCCGGATGCAGGCCTCGTGCGTCCGGTTAACGACGCTATCGATATCTGCAGCGGTCTTGCCCATCGCTTTCAGCTTCTTGTTGAGGCGCTGCGCAGCTTCAACGGCGGTCTGCGAGTGGAATTCGGCTGGAAGGAAAGGTTAGAGTATGTTCCACAAGAGATTAGACAGGGCTGCTGACCAGGATAAGACACCTTAAAGAGGACGTTCTCCATGACATAGCTGCCATACGGCCTCTGGAACTGGAAAGGCTTTCCACCAAAGTTCACGTCGTAGAATCCCCATGTGGGGGCAGAGAGGACAGTAGGCATGCCGCCCTCGCCCCTGAGGACCTTCAGGCAGAGGTTCACAGCCTTCTCGCAAGCATCACCAGCCGCCCAAGACTTGCGGGACATGGTGTTGGGCGAATGCCTGTAGGTTCGCATTGACTGGCCATCACACCACGCCTGAGAAACGGCATCGCGTGTCTGGGCCTCGTTCAGGCCCAACATCTTGGCCACGACAGCCGTGGAGGCGACCTTGACGAGCACGACGTGGTCGAGGCCAACCTTGTTGAACGAGTTCTCCAAGGCCATGCAGCCCTGGATCTCGTGTGCCCTGATCATAGCCTCAAGCACATCGCGCACTTTGAGGATCTTACCGTTGCCGAGCTTGCCACCAGCCCTATTTGTCCGCGAGATCCAGTCGGCAGTTGCGAGAATGGCGCCCAGGTTGTCCGAAGGATGACCCCACTCGGCAGCCAGCCAGCAGTCGTTGAAGTCCAGCCACCGGATCATGGCGCCGATGTTGAAGGCACCTAATACGGGGTCGAGCTGGTAGTTTGTGCCGGGCACTTTTGCGCCGTTCGGGACAACTGTACCTTCCACAACGGGCCCGAGGATGTTCCTGCATTGCTCGAACTCAAGTGCCTTAAGCCCACAGCCCAGGGTGTCGATGAAGACCCACCGGGCGGTGTCGAACTATATAGACCCCAGATTAGCTGCTGCTCCAGCTGAGAATAAGAATCGGCGTACCGCAAGCTCCGAGTCGATCGGCGTGCTGTGAACGTAGCTTGCTACATCCTTGATCTCTTGGTCGTACTCCCTTTTGCTAGCCACCGGCGGGGCAGCGCTCCTCAGCGAGGACATGGTAGAGAAGGGAGCCGTAACGGCAGCCCGGGTAGTAATAGGGGTAGTAGACACGGCTCGGAGAGCAATTGGCCTCACTGCTCTGCAGCTGATGGCTGAGCGCTGGCGTAGAGTTCGTGATGCGGTGCTGCACAAGTTGCGACTGAAGGCCGACATGATCAGATTAGCTCCCGTCGTGCCTGGACGAACTCAATGCGGCACTGGGCGAAGAAAATGAGTGTCGTACGCGTTTTTATGAAGCGGAAACGACCTGTGAGAAAATATCAGGTCAGTGAAGTGGTCGGCTTGGTTTTGAAGATCGGATGGGGGGGTGAGCCGCCATGAACCGAGGGAAAGCTCAACCGGCGCCGATCAACCGGCGCACCTACTGCAACACCAGGCCGACTCTGGGCTAAGGGGACTAGAAGAGCCACTTTTGTTCATGAGAGCCTCTTGACTAACATTAGTACGGGGTGGTGCCCAAATCCAGGGACTGATAGAGGGGTGCTTCAAGAACATTCAGACGTGGAGTGGAGGGGCCAACCCCGCACTCAGCCTTAGCGAAATCCTCACAAAGAGGACAGCCTTAAACACTCCCCTCTATCAAATTTCAAGACTTCATCATAGCCTGCAGCATTTCCTCGTTCTGAGTGATTGATATCATGTGATATGTGCTCGTTCCGCTCCCTCGAAACGCTCCGATTGTTGCCGACTTAAGTCCACAATAGGACATGTATCAAACTCCGCCCGCGGCCGGTAAGTAGTATTTGCTACCCAGGAACTTGGGAAAAAGGAGAACCGATTCGCCACAAGCAGAGCTGAATGTATGTTGCGCCGATGAAAATTTCTCCTTGTTGCCAACGGATTGGGCCAAATGTTATCAAGGTACTGCAAACGAGGATTGTTTTCATCCACGGAGTCTTTTGAAATTGGACTTGGAGGGGAGAATGGGACGTAAGTATTTCCCCATAACCATTGAGCCAGCTCTTCTATGCTCGCCTGGAGCAAAAACCCTAGATGATTAGTCGATTTTGACGAAGTAACGATATGGTCACAGCAAAAGGAGTGTCAGGAATTGATACTTTTGGCCGAATGTTCTTTCATTGTCTAGAAAGGAGCCAATAGTGTAATTCTGCCCCCCCCTCCCAGGATGACAATCATGCCATGGTTGAGGATGTCATGGTAGCCATGGTGTCTGGCATATCAGGTTGGAGGCTGATATCACAAGAAACTATTTTCTTCTTCCAACTCCATCAAGAAGACTCTATCCCTCAGAACTCCCATCGTGGGAACGTTTCATGCAGATATCATATTCGCACACTCAATCGAACTAAAATAATGTCAGCGCCTGACCACGGAAACCAAGGAGAAGGGAACGTGCCGGTGTAAGAAAAGACTCTGCCACAAAACGAGCTCTCGCATTCAGCTGAGGATATGTCAGTAGGGACTTTAATGGACGTAGCTCCAGCAAAGACTCACGAAAAGCTTCATCTCCGAAATCTCCTTGTCGACCTCCTCCATAAACTGAATGATGAAGTCGACTAGCTTATGCTTCAACATCTCTTCGGTGTGAAAGTTTGTGATCAGGAATGAGATATCATGGCCCTAAGCGTGTAAGTCCCCATGCCGCCTGCATCCCATGTTCAACACATACCTTCACCGGCTTTCTCCGCAGGATAAAGAAAGGCTCAGCTCGCTGGGTCAAGAAGCGCGTGAACTTGTGTACTAATATATTCTCGATCTCGTCGGCTTGTTTTATCTTTATGCTAATTCGCACGCTGTTGACGCTCGGCTCAATAAGGACCTTCTCGTGCTCATTTCGGGACACAGTCAAGGGGTTTAATAGAAGCTCCGGAGAGCTCGCGGCTTCGATCTCGGGTACATTGTGCCTCTCCGAAGCTTGCGACGCAAAGTTCGAGAGGGATAGGGCGGCTGTTAGAGAGGAGCGCACGCATTGAAGGTAGGGACGGAGAGATTGGGACTGCAGGCGTCAGCATTTCCGCAATCTACACTGGGGTGGGATGAAAGGAGAATCCACCATGGTGAAGAGTATTCAGGTACAGCTCCAAGCTGGAGCAGAAAGTGGCAATCGTGCACCCTGACTTATGCCATGTGAATATTCACTGAAGTCGCCGCCGTTGTAGTGGGGGGAGCGAAGCTGGGACGGATTCTAGGGCTTTAGCGGCTTGGCACTGTAGGCTCCCCGACGATTCTACGGCCAGGATTAGACCTCACTTTGTTGCCCCACGGTCCAGCATAAATTGTAAACACTCACCTTGTACTCAACCATCACGCTCCTTCAGCCCTTCCTCCTCAAAATCTTTGGCTATCTCCATCATGGATCCTATACCAGGTGCGAACGCCGTCTTTCTGACCTCCGCAGTTGCTGAGCTAATCCCCGATACGTTTAGTTATTGTCAAACATCAAGGCAACAAGTATGAAGTCGAGGTCGACCCGACTTCCAACGGCGAAACGTTCAAATACCAGCTCTTCTCCGTGACGGGAGTCGAGCCTGACCGCCAGAAGATTCTCGTCAAAGGCGGCCAGCTCAAGGATGATGCCGATATGTCCAAGCTAGGCTTGAAGCCTAATCAGACCATGATGATGATGGGGACACCTTCCGGCGATGCTTCCGGTGTCATCGAGAGACCGAAGGAGAAGATACGGTTCGTGGAGGATATGACCGAGGCCGAAGCAGCACAGATCGAAGGCGCCACACCCGCGGGTTTGCAGAATTTGGGCAACACGTGCTACATGAACTCGACACTTCAGACTCTGAAATCTATACCCGAGTTGCAAGAGGAGCTAGCTCGATACACCCCTAGGTAGGACATATAACGCGACAGCCAACCTCTCGTTTCTGTCCCGTTTCTAACAGCAAACAGCGAGGCGGGTCCTAGTTCTGCAAACCCACTCAGCCAGTTCGGTCTCGGCAGCCTCGGCTCGTCCTTGGATCTCACAGCTTCCCTCCGCGATCTGTTCAAACAGATGTCCGAAACCCAACAAGGCTTCCCTCCCCTCGTGTTCTTGAACGCACTCCGAACCGCTTTTCCCCAGTTCGCACAAAAGTCGAAAGATGGGCATGGATTCGCGCAGCAGGACGCCGAAGAGGCTTGGTCCCAGATAGTTTCCCAACTCCGAACAAAGCTCAAGATCAAAGACACTGCGGCGGAGTCCGAGGCCAACAAAGCCAAGGACTTGTCCTTCATTGACAAGTACATGGCAGGCAAATTCGAATCCGTTATGGAGTGCGATGAACCCGCTGCGAAAGAGGGCGGTGAAGATCCTGTCCACAGTAAAGACACGTTCTTCAAGCTCAACTGCCACATCAGCGTGGAGACGAACCATCTGCGAGACGGCCTGGCGGCTGGCTTGAAGGAGCAGATCGAGAAGCGCTCCGAGGTCCTTGGACGAGACGCTACGTACACAAAAACGTCGCGCATCGCGCGGCTTCCGAAGTATCTGCCCGTCCACTTCGTGCGGTTCGATTGGAGAAGGTCGACTAACAAGAAGGCCAAGATTATGAGAAAGGTCACTTTTCCTCAGGAGTTAGATGCTGTTGAGTTCTGCACCGACGATCTCAAGAAACTCCTCATTCCGGTGAGAGATAAGATCCGGGATATTAGGAAGGAAGAAGAAGATGTTGAGCGGGCTCGTAAGCGGCAAAAGCGAATGAAAGCCGGTGAAGAGAATGACGTAGAACCCAGCGCCAAAGAGCCTCTCCAGAAAAAGGCAGAGCAGAAGAAGGCGGCTGAGGTTAAGCCCTCCGAGGATACGGAGATGAAGGACATCGAGTTCAAAACTGAGGCACAGATCGAGGCCGAGCGCGCGGCATCGATTCTTGCTCTCAAAAAGGAACTCCTTGCGCTTGTGGATCCTAATCAGTCCGCAGACGAAGGCGCCAATCACACAGGGCTCTATGAACTGCGAGGGGTAATTACCCATCAGGGCGCGAGCGCTGACAGTGGCCATTACACCTCCTTCATCAAGAAGCTGGGTCCAAAAGATCCCGTCACTGGCAAACGGAAGGAGGAGGATGGCAAGTGGTGGTGGTTCAACGACGAAAAGGTCTCTGAAGTCGATGCGGAGAGGATTGACAGCTTGTCTGGCGGAGGTGAGTGTTCTGGGATAGCCACTGCTCACATGTATGCTGCTAACATATTTGCAGGGCAGAGCCATTCGGCCCTGATTCTCCTCTATCGGGCAGTCCCCTTATCCACCATCGACGAGGCAGAAAACAAACCATAGGCGTTGATACCCTCATCTGAACAGCCATGTTCTGCATGCATCCTCTTAGATTCATAAATGCTCACTGTAATTAGGCACATGGTGATGCATGGCGTTGGCATTGCATAGCTGGGCACACGACATGGGCACGAATTAGAACATGTATTCTATAGATGCAATGATAATGAGGTACTCCGCTAGCAGGTTTGCACCTTTCCTTTGAGTTATGGCGGGGCGCGACGCGTTTTTCATCGCGTGCCAAAACCGTCGAAACCGCGCTGCCAAGCATCGTCATTGCAATCAGACCCACCATCGCCTCCGCGCGAATTATTCCTTGTACTGTGCGCTCGACGCTATAACTTTCTCTGTATATCTCATTTTTGTTCTCACTCTCGTTCTGCCACGCACTCTTCACCATGTTCTACAGCCACGAGGGTGAGCACTGACCTTGGATTCACTCGCGCCTGCGCAGGCAACACGCTGATCTTTGCAGTCCTGACCTCACGCAAATACGGCGTGGCCACTGTCTGGTAGGCTACACTCTCCTGAGGTCAGCATGGCCCTGTTGGCGCAAGACTAACAAGAAGGGAAGGCTCGTTGCAACACTCGGCTCCAAGTCTAATCTTCGGAAAATCAACCGCAAGGCCATTCTCGACGTCGATGTCCCTAAGGCATGTCGGACTATAATCGACCCCGCGGCGCCCATGGCTCTGCGCCTTCAAGGGAACTTGTTGTAAGTCTCGCTGCGTTCACCGCTCTTGCTTTGCCCAGGCGCAGGGCTAACAGTTAAGCAGATACGGCGTGTCACGTGTGTACTTGCAGCAGTGTGGATATGTGCTGTCAGACGCGCAGAATGCGGAAAATTCCATGCGCATGATGTTGAAGGTCATGAAGAATGCCGGGCTAGACCCAGACGCTGGCAAAGCTAAGTAAGCATTCTCGTCTGGCGTGTAGGCTTCGTAAAGAGGAATTTCTGACTTCTATTCAGGCCCGATCAGCTCGTGCTCCAAGACGATCCATCGTTCCTACCTGAATTCGTGCTCCCTCCTCCAGAACTGCTCGCAGACCTCGACATTCCTCTCTTCCAGACCCCCCGGTCTGGCGAGTCGCAGTCATTGACCCCATTCGGCTCCCAGCAAGCGCATGCTACCCCAGAAGCTCAAATCGGTGGCCTTGTCCTTCCTTCTTCATCTTCTCGCGGTGCGGGTGGACTGGTCCTTGCCGGGGATGACGGCGATGGTGCTGGGACTATGGGCGGTCCAAGTGGCATAGTAGGGGAAGAAGGCATCATGGAACCACTTGAAGAACCCGACTTTGGTTTCGATGCTGATGGCAACTATATTGAATTCACTCCGGGTCCGGTCATTTCGGGTACACCAGCTGTTCCCGGAGCACCCACTGTGCCTAGCGATGCTGGAGCCAGTGCCCGGGTGAGAAGGGAACATGAGGAGGGTCATCGTGCTGGTGCAGAGGTGAGTCTGCCCCTACTATTGACACCAGAATTCTCACCTCGCTTCCTTCCTTCCTCCCCGTCTGCCTTCTTCTATCCATCACACACTTCCTCTTACACATTCGAACATCACTCTTACCCTCGTACAGCTACACGGCGACGAAATGGATATTGACCTGCCCGCGTTCGGCGATGACCTTTTAGAGAGTGAAGCATTTCCAACTTCTGCTCCGGTGCAAGTTGAGGAACGCATCGAACACATGGAATCTTCCTCTACGGCTGCAGCACCGATGCACCGTAAACAACGAACCGCACGTACCCTCCCTGTCGACTCCACTATGGAGCTTCGGAACAAGGACCTTGCCGACTGGAACACCAATTACCTGAGGAACATGGAAGAGGCCTCCCGGATCAAGAACAAACAATGGGTGGCCACGCAAGCGAAAAAGAACGCAGAGCACTGGGTCTGGGGTGCCGGCATTGGAGGCATTGGAAACCGCCTGGCTGGTGCAACGGGACCAACTCCTTTCGACCGATTCTACGGTGATGCACTATTCGAGCTTATAACTGGTCACACCCGCAAAGGTCCGGCCGGAAAGAAACACGACCGTGACAGTGGCATCGATGATGAGACCCAAAATCAATCACGACGTGTGCGCCACAGGACTGATGAAGACCAAGAGGAGATCGGGCATGTCGAGGACGAAGAAACAATGTTTGCTCCTGGCGGTGATGAAGAAGTCGAACTTCCGCGCGAAGCCCCCTCTGCGCTCGATGACCAGCAGGTCTTTTCTGCAATGCCATGGAACATCAGTGCTTCCATCCGTGGCTCCTCGGCTATCCCCCGTAGTGGTCGGGTTGGTATGCTAGGCTCGGTTGGCGGGCTATCCTCTTTGACTGGAGGCATACAAGGTTCTAAAGGCCACGGACGCGCAAGCCGCATGATCTCTGCATCCCCTCTCCACGGTCGTGGTCGATCTATTCCAGGCGGTCTCGAAGCTCTACGAAATCTTGAAGGCGAGGACGAATTCGGCAATCTCGGCTCTGATGACTTTGGATTTGCACCAGCGGGAGCAGGTCCGGATTCAGATGATGTGTCTGGCGAACAGCAACCCATCCAGACATCTACCCGTGTTCGTGAAGCGCTCTCTTCTGAAGGCGAGAACTTCCTGACTTTCGTCGCTGATGCTATCGTTATGAAGCGTCAGCGCATCAGGGCTGGGCTGGAACACAGATCAGATATCTTGCAAGCTGAGGCAGCCACAAACGTCGATGAGGTGCTCTTCGAGGAAGTGCTTCCGCCGGTCGAGAATACCAAGATAGTGGCTGCACAGGGGCTGATGATGGTACTTGCGCTGGGCACAAAAGGGCTCCTGCATGTTCGGCAAAATGATGGGTTCGAGGAAATCGGACTGAGTCTTACGGATAAGGCTTTGGGAATGCAAGCGGTTGTGGAGGACGCTCAAGAAGAATCCGAGGTAGAGGGTGGCGAGGGACACTTCGAAGAGCAACGCGTTGACAGTACTGAGTCTGAAGGCGAGTCTGGTGCAGAGTCGGAGAACGCCGACTCAGATGACGATCAAGACAGCCTCTATGACGGTTAATCAAAATGATGTGCAAGCTGAACTGGGGCAGGTGAGTCTTGCGCTAACCCGCCAGCCCGGCCGTTCATTCAGCAGAACAGAAGTCTGGCTTTTTCTCTCCTGCTTACAAGGAGATCACCTACGGATGATAACAACTCCTCACCTTTTAACGGACTAAACGTGTGGGAAGTTTCCTTTTTCCAAACCCTTTCTATTCCCAGGGTCTAACTCATTCCCTTCCTCCTTTCTTTTTATTTATGTTTCGAAAAGCGGGTATAGATACATTTACGGTTTCTCTCCATACTCCATACTGGGCATGTATCTCCCTACAGGCGGCCGTAGTACGACAGGCCGAAGGAGTTTAGTCTGGGTTTAATCGATAACCGATCTAGCTAATGCTATAGTCAGACTGTCACGAAATGAATGAGATATTTAGAAGATACTGACAGCGTTCTTTCGCGTGAGACTTTGCAAAGCATACATGATGTCACTCATAAGGTTCGTATTCTTTCCTTAGTCGAAATATGCATGTTGTTTTAGACATCATATATCAGATAAGGGGCTTATTAATAAATATACCAAATGTCTTAACTACGTTTCCCCCTGCCTGACTAATAGTGGAGGGAGGTCTTGGGATGAGTGGCTGCACACTGCTCTCAAAAGCTGATTACACATTCCTAGCTATCAGTATAAAACCCCTCCAAACCCCTTCTACCACAAGCTTCCAAGCCTCGAATTAAAAGCCTCGTCTAGGTAAACTATGCGTCGGTAAATACCACAAGCAAGAAGACTTTCATGGAGTGGCTCCTGGAGAGTGTCCAGCGCTCACCGAATTTATTTTTATTTTTATCAAAACCGCTATAGACGACAGTTTCAAAATCGGAGAGGCCGAGAATATGGATGCCGTTGTCCGAAGTGCTTTCGATAGCATGCATGCTTCGATCGAGCAGCCGAGCGGGATATAAACCCCTTTTGATCTTCTGGATATGACACTCTTCTTCCTCCTTTTAACTCAGGGTAATAAAAGCCACCAGAACCGAGAGAGATGAAGAGTTGGACGAGAAAAACGTGACCCGCGCATAAATTTACGCAAAATCTTGATACAAGATCACCTCGTTTCCCTCGATTCCGAAGGTCGGTCGTCTTGTCAGAGTTTCCGATTTCAGACTTCAACATTTGTTGAACCCCCAGATATGTGTCAAAAACTCCAATTGCTCAGTCCATACTCCGGCCCTTGGAACCGTTTCTATTATCAAAATCATATCTACGCCAGAATGTGAAGAAAAAAAGATAAAGTGGAAGAGAGCCATGTGTGAAAATTCAGCCACAGAGATTTTATGCTCCGATCGGCCTAACCGTTGATTTTACTGAAATCACCGTCAATAAATTCCATGAAAGGCATGTAGAAAGGCCTATTCTCGCAGTAATCAAAGCAAGGTCATTTAGAAGTCATGTCTTTCCTTGAGCCTTCCACGTTCCAGCAACCTTGTACACCTTAAAAGTTGGAATCTGCTACAGCTAGATGCTCAAATTCACGATATTTCTGGCGATGTTTCCAAAGGGAGGAGCATCGAGCTAATCCTCAGCCACCGGGTGTCATTTCTTAAAAGAAGAAGAAATGGCACTCAACAGCTTCTACATGTCTAATAGAAGTGGGAGTTGTCGCATTCCTTATACGGAAATCTTCCTTCCCTGGGCCACAACGGCTCCTACTGGCTTCACTATGGCACCTACTGGCTTTACTATAGCCCCTACTACCTTTACTATGGCCCCTCTGCCATTGCTATGGCCCATACTGCCTCTGCCGTCATAGGTGTAAATAAATACTCTACGGCAGAGCACTTAGACTAAGACAACACACTTCACAATACACTTCACTTCATCAGCTCCTACCATAGCTGCATGCTCACGCAACCTCTACTTGCATCAGGAGTCGGGTCACAATTCCTCTAGATTGCTGTCTCCAAAGTTCAGCCGTATTTCTAGGATTCTAGTCTCCGCTTAGAATATACAAACACCTCTTATCTTCCGCTACCAAGTGGACCACAGGCACAATACCCATGCCTTCGGTTCCAGAGAGATGATAACAGCGGCGGATGTCTAGAAATCAGTCAGCATCCACCCATGCCTTAGTCCCTGGAGCTGCCTCTTTTGAGGACTAACACCCTCGAACATCGTGTCGATACTTTTGGGATGAGAATTCCGTCGACTAGCTTGCTGGAAACCCTAACAGTACTTTGTATGTTCTGGCCCGGCCTCGCCCCGATGATATCATGCCAGACTGCGAGAATTTTACGTTTTCCCCGTCACTGCCACGAAATAACGAAAAGTATAAGATCAGTAGCAAACCTGTCTAGAATCCTGCAAAAGGCCCTTCCATGCTTGGGACCCAGATTCTTCCTATGGGAAAAGGAAATAAAATGCCCTAAAGCAAATCGCATCAGTGGGATTCGGGACGTGGAAATCGAGGCCTCGGAAGCAACCCTCCATCCCCATGTGGCCAAAATCACCCCGAGGTCGATAAAAGCGACGTTGAAGCAGCTAGCATGTTTCAGAGCATCCAACTTCGGACATTATAGATTCTATAGTTGAACAACGACTAGCGTACCGAATTGCGACGAGAATCGACTTTCTATAGAACCACAGGAAATTTCCACTGCCTAAATCAAATGGGTTTGAAATTGTATGGCGCTATTCTGGGGCGCCAATTTTATAAATCAATTTTACTCAAAAAAGGCAGATGTGATGAGGTATGTGAGCTTTGGGAACCGAGTGGAATCGAAAACATCCTAAGATATATCAGGTTTTTGGTGGAGCCCATCGTAGTTGCTTATTCAATACACTTTTCACCTCAAGGTGTCTAAAGTTGTATACCCGAAACGCAATGTTTGCCTTTAGGAGAAGCGGGAACCTGGAGTCCTCGCTCAACGCTAGAGAGGTTCCAAAGTCATGAAGAGAGGCCCCCAGGTCGACATCCGGTCTCTATCGTCCCAGTATACAACTCTTTTGCACGCTCTTCAAATGGACTCCACGATTCGGAACTCGCATGCCTGAGGTCTAAAAATCGTCGACAAAATGCGCTATATACTGAAACCCACCGCATCTCATATTGCTGGCAGGATTTGAGTCCTCCACATAAAGGCTAAGCAACAAACGATAAGCGGAGGTAGTATTAGCGAGAGGGGACTCAGGGTAGTGGAAATGTAGTAGGCAACCTACTGTGCTGCCAGAGTTTCCGAGTTCCGAGGGATATATCAACCCCTATAGTCCCCGCACATGGAGACTGGTGCTTCTACTATAGAGCATATGCTAGCCCTAAGATGGTTTCCTGGCGGAATTCTTTCGACCGAAGATGCGGAAAGAGGGGGTTAGGGAAACCTTTATTGGAACAGGCATATGAGTGAAAGTCGAAGACTGCGGTTGTTCCTTGATTGTACCGTTACTGCAACCGCCTCTAAAATCCTCCGGTCCACAAACTCATGGAACATTCTCTAGTATTTTCCTTCCTTCGATGACGTCCGGGGCCTTTAGCAAAAAAATCTTTTATGAAAAATAGAGCTATTTACATAGCTATGTCCTTGAAAAGCGCCTCCGGATTACTCAATTGTGTGGACCGGACCAGCGATAAAAACTAACTCCACACGAACCTGATGGCTGGTGGGAGGGGGTGACGTGAGCCCTTCTCAAGAATTTCAAAACACGCCTTTTTATGTTCTCCCCTGCCATGAAACCCCTGCGCGACCTTTTGATGACACGCTTTTGTCTTCCGCGTCCAGACAGATTTCCTCAACGACCTCGACCCTAGGATTAAAACCAATTGAGTCCGACCATATGTGGTAGTAATTGCTAAGTATCTTTATCATGCTTCCTTCCCTCGGATTGTGGTCGATTTGGATACATGTACAGCGACTACGAGTGGAGGTTGGGAACCCCTAGACTAGAATCAGGGGATGTAGAAAATCTGCCTTTTCTACTGTTATGGAACCCGCAAAGACATTGAATTTTCTGCTTGAAAACGCCTATTTCGATTCCTGGGACTTAAGTTCACAACCAAAACATTGCAAGTGGTCTAAAACACAAACCTCAGTGAATTTGGTGTGCGTGGAAAGATCCCACCAGCGCCAACTTGCTCGGCTAGGACTGCTTCAAAAATGCAAAGGAGACTTATTTCATGGAGCGGAAAGCTGGGGCAACTTGAAGAAAATAAGATTAGGCCACCTCTACGCGTTTTGTACTCCACCACAGCCAGAAGAGTTCTTACGTGGAGAAGACCTGCCATCTACTCTTGGTCCAGGTTCGACAAACGACTTTGATGGAAGGGAAGGTGCTGATGGGTCGCGAAGAAGCACTGTCAATCTATTCGCATGTTTCGTGCTTGTTTGATTAGTCCCAATGCTAAACCCGGGGGGTTTTTTTTTGTGACCATATCGCCCATGCATTCCGGAACGCTCAGAGATTTTCTCTCGCAAAAGTCGAACCCACATGCGTAGATCTGAATGGCCCGGAGATTGGTAGTGAAAAAAAAATTCGGAAGCTCTTGTTCACTGAGTATTCAAATGCTTCAAGAAGACTGCCATTAAAAAATTTCGTCAAGGCATTCATGCCCCGAGATCTATAAATGCAATATCACACCAAGGAAAATGCATTGCACACATACGAATGACTGGGAATTTGGTCTGCTATTCAGATTGTGAGGCCATAAAGATAATAGAAAGAGAAATATATACAACTCAGCGAGCAGTACTATGTCACAAGAGCCCGGATTCTAAGTTACAGTTAATTTGCCTCAAGGCCAGATGCTGTAGTCGTCTCTCATCATGTAGGCTAGTCATAGTGTCTTGTTGCCTGAAACCAAAAGCCTAAGCAGCGTTTCCATCAGGAAGTAGTACGATTCGACTCAGGCTTTCTAGACAAGTTACGTCTCACTTATCATATACTTTTGTTTGCTTCACCTGACAGCAGGGGTTAATATAATTAAGTTACAGTTTAATTAAAGCTGCTTGTACTTCTTAACTTTTTACTAAAAGTTACAACGTAACTGTTAAAGCTTTTAAAGTAGCAGGGTCTCCCTTACTCTTAATATAGCATGTAAGGTTATTTAATTTACTAAAAATAACTTTATAACGTAGCTAGTTCTTCTAGAGTTGCAAAGCTTTAATTATAGAGCCTAAAAGATAGTAACTGTTTTTTTCTTTCTGCTAAAGGCTCTCTTGCAGTTGCAGCTTGTAGAAATTAAGTGCTATCTTAAAGAGTACAGGATAGTTGCGCTGACTAACCTAGAGCCACTAATCTAGAGGTTCCCTATACAAGGGACTGTCATCTTTTGCTATAATAAGGTTGTCTAAAAGGTTGTTGTAGTACAGGGCAAGCTCTAAGGCTACACTGACATGTAAATAGTGGCACAAACACGCTCCCCTAGCCCTCACGCGCGTTAGAGAATGCAACCTTAAAAAATTCTACCTTAATTATATACTGCTTACTTTTAAGCCTTATTAATTAAATTATAATAGTTAAAAATGTAGTTACGTTTGTTTGCCTCACGTAATTGTAGGTGGAGCAAAAGTATCAATCGTACTACTTCCTGTTGGAAACGCTGAGCCTAAGAATCGCCATGGCTAGTCCGGAAATTTGCAGCTTTTAATGTGGCCAATATGAAGATATTATTTCCCAGTAATGATTTCCACCACTATGAACAGCATCCTTAAACCCCCAACCCTAGACTTCCATATTTCCTTCCCGGTCTTACCAATTGTATCAGAATTTTCCGTACCATATGTAACAGCTCCTAAAAACTCGTGGCCATGTATTTATTCCCATAATAACAACTCCCTCTCGTTTTTGTCATCTCGGCTTCTTCGAGTGGTTTAGTTCCATGGCACCAACCCTTGCCCATGTCGGTAGCGTCTGTGGAGGGGTTCCCAAACGTTGTGGTGTAGTTTAAGTGTTTTTTTTTACACATGATGAAATATCAAGAATTGTCTCTTGGATCACGTGCTTCTGTCAAGACCTACCTAGTGCATTTGGGTGATTTGTAAAGTCGCCTTCCTTGTCTTTAATTCCTCTCCGCCATGGCAAGATATTCGGCCGTAGAAGCTTCAGTAGCTGAATCGGAAGGGCAGGTTAGATTATAAAAGTTGCGTGCGAAACATGGTAGGTGGGATATCCACAAAAGTTGTGCCGTAAAGGGTGGCGGATTCCAATTCTACCTCCTGTCAATCATAAGACGCCAGACCTAGCGAGGGCCTATATTAGGAATGCTGCTCGAATCGAGGCTGATGTAATGAGTGTGGTCGGGACATGGCCCTGGGGCTAGATTTGTCAATAGGCAAAGAGAGTGAACCGGAGCATGGTGAGTCGTGGTGGAGACTGACACGTCTTCCACTCTAGTGGGTATTCCTGGAGTGGAATCGAGGAAGGGAAAGCGAAGGAATATCAGAGATCTAGCCGGGCTCGAAACATCATCATTGTTCAGACAAGTGACGCTTTAAGAAGGCTGATGTTGGGAACTTCGAGGAAATGCATTGGTCACAGAAAATAGAAATTATCGTTCAGTGACTTAAACTAAACAGCTCGCCGCATAAATTCGGATATAAGAGGTTGGTCAGTTTTAATCCGCTGGGGCAGAAGCGGTCTCATCCGGGAAGCCATTGTAGTGTGACGACGGCGCAGTTCGGTTCAAGGCATGTGAGCCGATCATATCGGGTCCTAGCAGGCTATGTCGAGTATCTATTTGGAAACAATTGCTACTTTTGTAAGTAAGTATGCAAGCGACGACAGGGTTACTCCAATGAATTGCTCTTGGCACCCGTAGGCTTGGTTGTGAGTTCTCAAGTGACGCCAAAGTGCCCGAAACGCCCGAATCGACCTTTATGATTAGAAATGGGGGAGTATCTCGCCAATCTGCCTCAAGGTGAAGCCGACTAGGTCTCACAGAAAATCCCCTTTGCAGCTGAGAAATCATCTACAACCGAGAAAGGAGTGGCATTGGTTGGAAAAGGCTCAGTCAGACTACCCACTAGCAATCATCGCATAGTGTGGTCCGCGTTCGGGTCACCACTCTATTCGTCGTGGAATTGCAAAGGCCCGAATTGAAATTGATCGTCGAGAGGCCGTGTCCGGAAGCGATGCGGTCATAGCGCAGCATTACATGCCTGAAAGTAAGCTGTCTTTCGAATCTCAATTCATGTTGTCCAAGATTTACCCACAACCTGGCTGAAACAAAGATGTCGTACCAGAGTTCGCGATCGGGTGGTTGCCGAATTTAACGCAATATGCGGAGTCCCAAAAGCGGTTGTCGTTGAACGAGGTTAAAGTGAGTGCCGCGTGGGGTGGTGTCAGCGGTTATCGCCTGACTTAGCGCCAAGAAACGTGGGATGGCTAGTGAACGGGCGATTTGGGGCAGAAGGAGGCTGTGTGGGATATCACGGAAAAGATCGCATATGGAGAGCAAATAGAAATTGCGATAATATATATGATGAGGAGCCAGCAATCTCAGGTTTGGAGTTTTTGGAAGATTGTATTCAAATGATATCACTAGAGACAGCACTGGCCGTGGAATCCATGTGTAGCTGGGGATAATCAGTTCTCGAGAGACAGCTGACGAGTGAAGCCGTAATAAACTCTGCACTAACATAAACACATCGGCCAGTACCCCTTGGCTTAAGATTGACCTCCGAGTGGCTTGGATTCGTCCTTGATTTTGACATGTGTCTCCCCTATTCTTGGTCATCGAATAGCATGTTCGGGACACCTTCCATCCTGATGCAACGGTCTGCTTCCAGAAAATGGATATAAATATACCCTGAAGCAGAATAATGGCTACCGAAGGATCCGAATTCTTAACAAGTAGTAGGATATATATGCGGGCAGTTGCAGCGCTCGCCTCTAAGATATGCATTGCACGAGGGTATTCAGAGGCGATGTGTATTGACGAGGAAACAGCCGTAACAAATTAATGCCAGGGTATTTGCATACAAGATCTTTCGAGGAACTTGGCACAGTCAGTAAATGATAGTCAAGTCAATTGAAAGGTAGAAAACAATGCTTACCAAAAGGGTATGGTAAGTTACAATTCATTCCATTGAGTGGTATGTTTACAGTCCAAGTATGGATCTCCAAGGGGACTGTAAGCGACCATGTCTGAGAATATTCCTACAGCAGATCTAGCGCAATTTAAACCAGGTCTCGCCAGCCAAGCCGGTATCATTCAGTACAAGATGCCCTGGACATGAACGCATCACTGCTCGTTCGGAAGGAGCTCCGGATCATGGGTTCGTTAGAACGGCTGGGTGCTTGGGGTCATATTGGAGTGCCGAGGTTCTTTATCTGACTCTTAGGGCGCGATATTATTTTGCACCTTCATTCGGTAGTCCTTTTGTCAGACGACGTGCGGCAACGCTGGCCATCTTGCGCTCCAACTCATTCTTTTTGGTGACTAGCTCAGAGCGTGCTACCTCTAGCTGGGCAATGCGTTCTTCAGGGGTAGCTTCAAGTACTCGTCTCTTCTCCTGTCGTGGGTGAAGAGTTAGAATGTGTATTTTAATTGGAAGGGAATGCGTGAATGTGTCCCACGGATGATGTTTTCTTCTAGAATGATTGAAGGTTCTTGAAGGCTTTTGTGCAATTATCAGGAGGCTCATGAATAGATGACGGACCTGTTTCAATTCCTGCCTGGTCTTTAGCCCAGCTCCGTAAATAGTACCAGTTACGGTAATTGCGGCGACAGCACCAGTCATGATCCAGCGGCGGACAGCCTGTTGGGTCGTCATTGCGGCGCGGACCTAGCAATTGTCGACTGGTAATGTGACAGCGTGATCCGAAGGGACAATGCTAGCCAAATGCTGGCCGTACGGGCTACGGAGTGAAGTGAAGATTAGCGGAAGGAGTAGGGCGGAAGTTTTTCTCTGGCGGAAGCGTTGCCAAGACTGACCTCCGCGGGCAAGCGCATCCCGCATCCCGCATCCCGACCTTCCTTGATCAACAAACAACACCACCACCACCATCAACTACGATCGCTCCTTCCCCCGACCACCCTCGACGCCTTCCAAATACATACCACAAGGCACTGGCCCCAATTTCACCTATGGTCCACCATGTCCAACCTACCACGTCCGAACACAAGCACATCGTCGCGACTTAGCACAATGCCCTCTCAAAAGCCCCGCCAATTATCGCACCTTCACGCCCAACTCGCGCAGTTGACCGCGAATGTGTCCGATTTGGAGAATCTGGTACGAATGACGGCTGTGCAAGCACAGAGTATGCGAGGCCTCGGTGGCTATTCTGGCGGAATGTAGGCTGTCCTATGAGCACGAGCTGGAGCAACTTGCAATTGCTTATTGAGGTATTATTTCTGATATCTTGAACAGGTTCATGGCGGCGAGTAAAGTCTTAGGAGAAGAGACTGTGAGGGGAGGAGGTACTGGCCCAGGGACAACGGGCGGACAAGCAGAGGGCCCACGCGACTAAGACAGGTCATGAAGGGGACTTATATCAATGCGAAGTGTAGTTTGGCATAGGGTTCTAGCATGCTCCGCCGTCACTGATATCTGGGCAAGAGAGCACAGGTATTCTAATCGAGGTTCCCACTGCGGGGAAGAGATAGGAAGGTACAGAAGAGGTGGATTGTTTAACGGAATCCAAGGATGACGAATTGGACCGGGGCCCCACTTATGATACCACAATTGGTCAAGGCATGCTGTTTAGAGGCACATATCAAGCGTCTTGCGTCCGCGTTAAAGCATATCTTTTGGGGATGGTGAGGAGAAGAGATGGATAATCGATTATCTTCACATACACAAGGCTGCAATATGATTCATGCGCGGTGCCTTTGATAGATGCGAAGAAGCTTGTGCCAGGCTCTGTGGCACTTTGATCTATTTCAGCCGTGAATCTTGCCAGATGAAGTGAGTCTCAATACATTTCGCCGACGGCCACCTACGTTCAAGTTACACAGCACAAGCTTTAGAACGAAATCCCAGAGTTCAGCTGCAGGGTCCGCGAGGCCTTATCTCAAGATGCGACCCATCCGTTGGCTCGGATCGAGGTGCTAATGGGATACGGATGCAAGTTATTATTCTAAGCAGCCTGATAAGATTGCTGGGAGAGCCGCGATAGGAAGCTTGATGGAAGCAAGAGAACCAAAAAGGCGGTGATATGATCGCTAACCCTGTACCCCCATGGGCTTGCTGCATCATTGAGATATCCAATGTTTGGCTGAGAGTGACAGGTATAGTACGCCCTATTGGTAGTGAAAAATTGAACCTTGAGACACCGTTATCAGTCTCGCAAAGATAAGCTATCAATGTCTCAGCGTGGAGCGCTAGGACAAGTCCTCCGCTCGCTGTATAAATTGGTGCCTGCCTCCCAGTTACTCGGATTGGTTTTGAGGACCCGCAACCCAGGACTTCCCCCAGGTTTTGATCGATCTTCCGCTCGTCCTCCGCTCCGCTCCACCTTTACTCTGTACCTGCATTTGGATGCCAAGTTCCAGCCTTAATTACGACTTCAACCGACGAGATTCTCGATGGCAGGAACATCGAGTTAAAGTAAGGTAGTGGTGACAACGTCTTGGGAGGATGGCTGGAGTTGTTTTTGGTCCCGGGTTATGGCCCTAGAATGGAGTTGACTTTGAGTTGGGCGAGCCTCAACCACAACGAAGTTCGCTTCAGCCAACCAACACCCCTTACAAAGGGGGTGTCGGCGTCGCCGCCAGAACAATCAGCCATTGGCGCCTTCCCTTCCATCATCACCCGCTGATCGGTGAAGACCACTGCCTGCTCGTTGGCATCCAGGACCAAAGCAAAGATGAATACGTACTGCGCCCCCACGTCATCCCACGCAATGCAAGGATCCCATCGGATTACGCACCACAGGGCCAAAGAAGGGTTCACCCTGCGAAGGGTGTCAATTCCCGCCTCGAAGCTGATTGTGTTGCGGCAGCGGCGGTTGGGTTCAGACTTTAGGTGGCCATGGACAACTCTCTTGCTTTCAATCCTACGTTTCAATTTCTCAGTGATTTGCAGGAAAGGCAAGAAGGATGATGGCGGACGTCGTTCCAGAATGAAATGATCCAGAAAACCTAGTCCCGAAAGGCTGTTCTTGCACTCAAAGCGCCCTTCGTAGGTGAGATGAAAAAGTCACTCCGGACACAGTCTGAGCGTAAAGACCCGCAAAATTAGCGGAATGCATCGGCATAGATGGAGGTCTGGGCTCGAGATCCTTGCTCGTGCGCTGACACGCAGATGGGCTTGCATCAGGCAGGGATGATGACCCCCACGCTGTTCGTGAAGCACGCATTTCGCCCTTTGACCATGAAACCCTTGCCTTCTTCGGGTCGGGATTATAGATCAGCATGGGAGTCAAGTAGAAGTCAAGCCCGCAATATTTACTCTAGAATTAGAGACAGCCGACAGTGGTGTGTATTGCAAGGCGAGTTGACGACCTACGGGATGCTTTCTCGAGTTCTGTTCTCAACTGGTTTCGAAGCCTGATGTTTTTGTCGGAGGGGTCGCATGTGAAAGTCCCACGACGGCAGTGAAACATGGGCTGGAGCGGACCAGAGATCTCATTGCTAGCGGCCTCAAAAGTTCGGGTGTGCGCGACCTCGAAAACCAGTCGCTCGCCCGGAGATTGAGTTGTGCCACTTGTGCGAAGAAGGACGCCTCACTACCGCCCTCGTTATTGGCTTCATCAGCGTTTTTCCATCAAATGAGGTTCGTACCGGGTTCTGTTATTTGGAAAAGCAAGCACCTGCATGCATCGATTCATCAGCGTCCACTCTTACCCCTTCGCGCTTCAGGGTTCGAGTATTGGCACTACTCAACTTTAGACGGCTAAAAGCTGTCTTTGCACTGCATTCCCTCTGAGGGTGCAAGTTAGGCGACACCGAAAGCCGACCGCTGGGGTTTCCAGAAATGGCCCCGATCTTGAGGCCAGCAGAGCCCCTGTGCAGATCTTGGGCTGTCCCTAAGTTGGGAGACTGGACCTTGATCGTGCCGAAGACGAAGCAGAGTCGGGTCCTCACCTATATCGGTTTTGAATCTGTGTTCAGTTCTGTAACGTTGGGGAGCGAGTCACGGGAGTCCAACCAAGCCGCGAGATGGCCGTCAGCAGGAGCCGCATCGTGATGCATGCAGCCACCAATCTCAGGATCGTGGCTCAGGAAAACCATACTTCCACATTTGGGCACCATGGGGATGTCCAGGAACAATTTGCAAGGCGCTGCGTGTCAACACAGGGTATACATGGCCAGAACTCCAATTTAGTGGCCGTATATTGCCCGACTTCCTCAAGGCACAGCTCCACATGTCCCCGCGTCATCTAGATCCAAAGGGATGCGTGGCAGGCACAAGAACCCATCTGACGATGGCCTTCGTGTGGTGTTGACAGGAACTCCTCGACACGTGAAAAGCCTAGGCGGAAGGAAGAGGGCGGCGTCAAAATCACTTGTCAGGAGCCTCAGGCTCATGAATACACGTGCGGTAACCACATGCGTGGATGAGTGGAGATCTGGAGGAGGATAGTGCAAGCAATAAAGAGTGGAGCTTTCTGGAGACCCTGGAACTCGAGGATCACTTCGGGATTTGTAGGAAGCCTAGGGAGTCACTCCACAGGAGGGGGAATATCCTCGGGTTGTGCTCGCAATTATGGCGCCAATACCCGAAATGGTAAGCCGTTAGCAAGTCGGAAAGGAGCCTCCAACGTCGGGTAAAGAGTGACTTGGAGATGGCATGTTCAGGATGCTGAGGGCATTGCTTGCTATTGCATGTTGAGAAATCGTCCCATATATTCATCAGCCCTGAACAGGATTGCACTCCGCTCACGGCATGTACCACAGTGAGTCGTGTTGGCACGCGACGCAGGCTGAAATTCAACTCACCGGATGCGGTAGGCGACCAAGGGGAGAGTTGGTGGAGGCGAGCAACTGGTTGTAGTGGCAGTGCGTGTGGAACCAATGAGCCAGCGGGAAAGCCGTTACTGTGCTTTTCCCGAGAAGATGAGCCGGAGTCTTGGGAGAGATGTGGTTCCGCCGCCAAAAGAGGTGTTGCTTCTGGTGGAAAATCTGCCCCCCGATCACCCTTCCCATGGTGGTGAGAATTGTTCAGGTCGGGGATCGAGGACGATACTCCGCAGTTGATGATGCTTGGCAACGAGCAGTGAAGTCTTTTCTTTGTGAACGTGTTGGGACCCCCCTCTCTGCAGACTTTGAGTTGTCTCACCCACCCCGCCTGTTGCCGCTGTCTGACTTTGCTCATTCACCCACACGACCCGCATCCCACTCTCTCCCGCAGCAGACCCAAGCAAAGCTTCGTCCAGGGTCCCAAATTGTTCCAGCACTGCACGGTCCAAGCGGTCTCTCTGACAGGGTGTCGCGGCAACGTGCAGCTTAAGCGGGACACTCTTTCACACTGTCCCTCGCTAGCTCTGCTGGATGACGCCAACGGCCGTCGCAGACTCTGCAGACGCCGCTTCTCACCGGCCTGAATCCTGAAGCTCGACAGTCGTGTGCCGGAAAGGTTGCTTTTGCGCGCACGCTTGGGCGACCTGTCGCTTCTCGGGCAGGACACGCGACGGCATCGATCGCGCTTGGTACGAATAGAGCAGACACAACCCGCAGCCCTCCTCTTCTCCAAATCCAGCATCAATCGAAGGGCGCCCGCTCAGCGGCTGATCCTGGCAGTTGGAGGCGCCACAGCCCGCTCTGATTTGGCTGGCCAACGTGACCCCCACAGAACGCTTCGCACAAGCCCTCACCTTCCTCAGCGACCCAGAAGGCCCGAGGCCAGCATTGTCACGGACTCACGGCGTCGCACGTCCGCTGTCGCCAGAACCACCAGAATATCTACCGCCAAGGGCCTACTAGCCCTGTTGCAGCTGCAGCCCGGGCTCTGCAAGCCCAGCCTTTGAAATTGTCCCGACCTAATCCCTCACCCATCACGCCGCTGACTGCCCATCCCAGCGCAAGTGCTTCAGTCGTGACGAGCTGTGAGCGGGTTGGCCTGCCACACGCCTCCGGCATCTGTTGTGCTTCTGTGCTTCTGTGCTTCTGTGTTTCTATCCTTCCCCGTGGGCGTCCAGAAAAACAAATTTGCAAATTGTTCCTAGACAGCTCGACGAGGCCGCAACGTCGCCCTGCCCATCTGGCAACCCCGGGACTTTGCGCAACACCACTTGTCGGCTATGTCTGGGGCGCAATATGGGGAGCGTGGGGGAGGCCTGCGCGCCTCTGCCCTCTCCGACGTCTTTGACGCACCCGCTATTGGGGCACATACTGATCGACGGCCCTTTCCTACATCATCTTCTCCCAAGCACGTTCGGTTCCCTCCACCAGCTTGCCTCGATAGCTCGTCTGGATCCAACTCGACTGTCCAGTCCCTCAGCTCGACTACCACGCTGGACAGCAAACTGGATCACTCACTTGTACCCGCCGCTGCTCGCATGGGCATGCTCGAAGACTCGATATTTCCCTCACTCAAGAACGATGCCAGCGACCCCAGCCTAGACAGCCCTGAGGAGATGCAGAGGAACGACCCGCTTGCCACCCGGATATGGAAGCTATATTCTAAAGTTAAGACGCAGCTCCCCAACGCGGAGCGCATGGAAAATTTGACCTGGAGAATGATGGCAATGAGCATGCGGCGCGCCGAACTCAACAAAGGGTGCGCCCATCCACTCCCTCGTCCGCCTGCGACTCACCAGAAACATGCTAACATTGTATTTCTTCTAGACTGCTCCAAAAGAACATCACTTTTTCTCCCGAACCGAACACCGAGACTGAAACCTCGACGGCCGCACCCAGGACTGCGCCGAGCGGGATCGCACAATTGCGGAAATCAATCGACCAGCAAGGACAGGCACAACACGCAGACGCGATGAATTTGGACGACTTTATACTTCCCTCGTCTGTCGCAAGTCCTGCAGGACTGTCGCCGGATCCGTCGAATGAAATGAAAAGCCCCTCTAATGCAACCGCCCCAGCGATACCGATAAGGAAACCCAATCAAGCCCACGAACAAAACCATCACCTCGCCCGCGCCTCCGCACCATCTGTTCCTCCCACAATCATTCGAGAGAATGAATTTGGTTATGTCCAGCGACACGTTCGCAAGACAAGTATTGACGAGCGACGAGTATGTGACCGCCATACCGCCCTAATCCCCCAGCTAACACCTTATCAGCCTCCCAAGCGGCGAGCGGATTGCTCTCCTCAGGTCCCTGCTGTCAACAGCATAATGATACCGACCGACCCCGACTCAGAGGCGGCCCTCAATCAGTATTCATTAGACCCACAGATGCACCCACCCACCTTCCACCACACCTCCCAAGCCCAGGCGCCCTTCGCCATCGACACGTTCCAGCTCAACGAGGACCCGATAATAAGCTCTGCCGGGCCCTTCCAACAGAATTTTGGCTTTTCACCCGTCGGGTCGCCCCTGATGAACCAAGCTACTTCCTACTCCATATACAACCCCAACTCCATGGCTTCGTCCCTCAACTCTACCGACTACTACTCTCCTCCTAGTTCTGCCTTCCCGTCCACTGTGTCGACCCCACAGCCAATGGCTGAGAATGATCAGATGTACTTTGACCGGAATGGCATGGACATACGGGGTCCTCACGGTGGTTCACAGTATGGACCTCATCGACCATCAAACCTATCAAACTCAATGCAGCCTCAATACATCTTCAACCCCAGCGGCACGGGCGAGTCCATGTTTAGTGCCGTAACGAATGCCGGCGTTGCCCAGCCTTTCTCAGCGCCATCTTATGGTCCATCTGGGCATGTTGATCCGTCCCAAGTGCTTCATCACAGCATTCCGACCGGGTCGCGACCAGACAACATGCAAGTACCGCGACATGATAATATGTTCTCGTTCGGGGGCGACTCAGATGGTGAAGATGACGATGGCGGTGCGTTTCCAGACCGAAACATACCTTCACAAACAGACTACTCACCAATGGACGACGGATCACTAGACTTCAGTGCAGGCTTCCAGTGGGAGACAAACCTGTCGAATCAATTTAACCCAGTTCCGGCGCGATATCCGGCCGGACCCCCACGAAAGACGGTTACCATTGGAGGAACCGAAATGGTACCCTCACCGCAAGATCATTGGAGTCCGGGGGGCAGCCTTGGCCGAACGCATGGTTCAGCAGCCTCCGTCAGCGACATTCGAAATCGTGGAAATGACCCAAGACGACAAAAAATACCCCGCACCTCCTCGACACCGAACGCGGCCGCCTTAGCTCTGCAAGGGATGCACGGCCGACCGCAATCGTCCCCTAACTCACCCCCTGAGTCCAGCTTCAGCTCAGCAGCTCCCTCTCGCCCACCCAGCCCCGGTGGCACAAAATCGGGCGAGCAAAATGGTGTCCCTACCACTTGCACAAACTGCTTCACTCAGACCACACCTCTTTGGAGGCGCAACCCAGAGGGACATCCCCTCTGCAACGCTTGTGGTCTGTTTCTTAAGCTGCATGGTGTGGTCCGTCCACTGTCGCTCAAGACAGACGTCATTAAGAAACGTAATCGTGGAAGCGGTAATTCAGCTCCCGTTGGCTCGGCCTCGACCCGGTCGTCGAAGAAGTCATCGCGCAAGAATTCCCTGGCACAAACACCAGCCACGACACCAACGTCTGGCAAGGCGAGTGGCGCCGATTCTGAATCCCCAAAATCAACAGGCTCTGTTGGTGCCGGAACGACCAGCGCAAATTGCGCAAACCCTGTATCAGGTGGCATTCCGAGCGTGAAATCTGGCGGTGTGGTCCCAATTGCACCTGGCCCACCCAAACCACAACCTGCCAACGCAGCCAACTCGGCCCAGAATCGCGGGGTCAACGTTGCACCGAAACGTATGCGACGTCAGAGTAAGAGCGGCGTGCAAGAGCTCGAGATGGGGGATGCCGACGACACGAGTGGAAAAATACCTTCAACCGCGAGAAGGAAAGATTCTACAACACTTGTATCCCCCAACTCAATGCAGGGCCAGAACCTCGGCAGTCTTCCCATGGGTGCGATGGGCCAAGGGCTTACAGCAAGTGGACCACAGGAATGGGAATGGCTTACCATGAGCTTGTGATTGAGGAGTACTCGAATTCGACTCCAGGCCCCCTCCTCCCTGTGAATGGAACACCCATTGATTTCGACAATGTATTTTCTGGTTTCAAGAAGTGTGGTCTCCTTCCCGTAAACGGCCGCGCTTTGGACTTTCCAGTATCGACATCCTTTTCCTTCGGCACCCAAGGTTAGCAATGAACGGATTGTGTTTTATGCTCTGATCTTTCCCCGTTTCTCTCAACGCATTCGGTGTTTGGAGTCAGCCCTGGAATAAAGGCCCGGTTTGCATGGCGCGATCACAGATTGTCTGTCCCTACATTATTACCACAGTATTGCCGACAGTCCTCCCTGCCCTTGATTCTTTCGGGCTTTGATTTTAATACCTCGATTCCAATTTTCACAGCTGCAGCAACGGTTAGACATGGATTATGGATTCTTTGCGTTTCGAATCTGACATACCCCCTTCGGCTCTTTTGAGATCTCGAAACATGGTTGTCAGCCAGATGGAGGAGGCAGGCGCTCCATCAAGCTGTGCACCGCCTAATTAATTATTACGAGGATGGGCTCTTGCGACCGGATTTCGGCCCCGGTTGGCTTCTGTCCAGCGCTCTTTTCCCCATGAGCGGTCTCGTTCCATTGCATGAGCTTATGAGAGATTCCCTTGCTATTGGATGGAGGTGGTTGAATGGTTCATTGGCGCATGGCCTGTCAATTGTGGTTCAAGTTTACCGCGACTCCTGTTTAATCTTAACGTGATGTGGACTCTGTCGGCGTTTAGAGCTCGTACGTACATAGACGACGATAAGGGATGATTGATGTATCCTCTTGATGATTGAGCGAGTTGGTAGAGGGACCGACAATGCAAGAAAGATATGACCAAACTGATTCAATTCCAACTGCCTTAAAGAAACTTGCGAGGGTGACAGTGGATACATGGAATGGGAGGAAACTGAGCATTGCAGTCTTTCTTAACAGGTCCTCCAAACTTGCAGCCTAATCATATTCGTGCCATTATCAACACTTACTTGGATATTCCCTCCAGGCTTCACAGGACTTCATGCCCCACGTTACCAAAATGTTGTTATTGAGTACTAGCATCCCTTATGATTCGTCCAGCCACTTCTTCCTTTGCAGACCCCTTCCTCGGCTTGTGTATCCATGTCTGCCCCGTGGTGGGGTGAAAGGAGCTTGGGCCACCTGCAGACATCACTCCGAAGCCTGAAGTTTGTCACCAACACTTAATTGTCCTATAACTTCAAGATAGCACCGTCCCTCACCTGAATCTTTATATAAATTCAATTCCCCATCGCGGTCCTGCAATCTTTCAACATGCCCAAAGCACTACTACTCATCGCGGATGGGAGTGAGGAGATTGAATTTGTTATACCATATGATGGTATGTGCTAGCCATGTTTCGCGGTATCCCCTGATGAATGGGCGGAGTAGGGGTTACTATTTTGGGAGGTAGCTGACGATTCCGCAGTCTTCACACGTGCGGGCTTCGAAGTCAAATCGGCAGGCGTGCAGCTCAAGAATGAGAATTGGGCTCAGTAAGTCAATCCCCCTCTCACCCCTCTCTCCCATACACACCCCTCAACTCTTTCAAATGTCACTCTCCTTATCCCCCCTCCCACCCCGAACCCCAAAAACTAACCCACCCTTCCAGCTGCACCCGCAACATCCGAATCGTCCCTGATCACCACTCACTCTCCTCTGTCCCTCACCAAAATGCCCACGAAACCTTCGACATCCTAATCCTCCCGGGCGGCGGCCCCGGTGCGAAAACTTTCTGCTCTAGCGAACCCGTTCTCGCGCTCATCCATGAGTTTCGAAAGGCGGGGAAGTATGTTGCGGCTATCTGTGCGGGTACGACGGCGCTAGTGGCGAGCCAGAAGATGTTTGGAGGCGAGAAGGGGAGGGCGACGAGTCATCCTAGTGTAAAAGGTGAGGTGGAGGGGGAGGGATGGGAGTATAGTACGGAGCGGGTGGCGGTAGATGGGAGAATGGTTACTAGTAGGGGGTGAGTAATTCTGCTTGCCCTAGGTTAGTGTTGATGTTAAGGTTGAGGTTGGGCTAAACATGTGGCAGACCGGGCACCGCGATGCTCTTCGCCCTCACTATCGTCGAGTTGCTGTGTGGCAAGGAAAAGCGCGATGAAGTCGCCGGTCCAATGATTGTGGCCGAGACTTTGTGAAAATCTCTCCCATAGAAGAAACGCATGGTACAAGGGTGTCTACGAAGGTGAGCTTGACCAAATACAATAAACGATGACATGAATCACGAGTGATAGAAATAGGACGTGGGAGACGAATAAATATATATGCAAATATGCAAATATACTCTAGACGATGGCACTCGTTATATCTATGCAGTGATGAAGCAAACAACAGGTACCCATTCGTAGACCCTAAGTCACAATTCTAGTGTTTCTTTCTGACAGATATTTCCATCTTCTTCCCTCATAACGCAAAACAAATCTATGTAGAACAATCTTGCCCCCTACGAACTTCTAGTTTGGGTTTCTTTCCTGTGTTGCATTACACTAAAGGAGAGTTCGACATTCTAACAGATATCTGCGACCTCTCAACCCTAGGCCTCAACCAGGATCTACAAAACGCGCACTCCCCAAGAGAATTTGCACAGCAGACCAATAATGCATCGTCACTAGTCCTCATGATAATACCCTCAAGCAAATGCAAGGAAGGTTCAGAGTCTTGACAGTTACCTACAACCTTATAACCCACAGCAAGTAAAGAGGATTTCTAAAGCAAGAGAATCCTGAAAGAGCATTTTAGACAGATAGCCTCTAGTGCCTTGCCAATCGTTCCCTTAGGACTAAGCACCAAAGAAAAGCACAAGGAGAGTTATTTATCTTGACAGATATCCACTACCAGATTGCCAAAGACAAGAAACAGAAATTCTAGGATGAGTAAACCTCTTAGCTAAATCTAACACTGAGGGGTTTTAACGCAATCATCAAGTGTCTCCGCCCGGAACATACACTACGAGAGGTGTCTGCTATTAGGATTTTATATTATGCTTTATTCATTTGAGCAGTCACAGAAAGTACTGCTATATCGTAAAACGATGGTGTTGATACTCCCAGCTCAGTGAGACTAATTGTGTCACTTAGAGATCCGTGTATGTATGTCCTTCAGTAGAGGACTTCGGTCCTCGCTGCTCGGTGTCCACTGAGATAGAATACCGTACTTTATGGGGACATGTATAGAAAGTTACTCACCCATTCCTCCTCATTGTTATAGGGGTACTAGCACCGGTACCAGAAGCCCATAGCCTCGCCTTTCCAGCCGTAAAACTCCCAATTCCAATTCCAACACCCATCCCTCCCCGCTCATAAACCCAGCCTTGCCCAGCTTAGTATCACATAACCACAGCAATATGGTCGTCCATATACTTGGAAATATCCCCCAAAAACACAGCTGCGATGATGCTCACGCCGCCAAATGCAATACTCGCATAATACACCCACTTATATGCCTCCGTATACGCAATCTGTCCGGCTTTCACCACCGCAAGATACAACATCTCATTCCCCTTGACCCCAGGCAACATCTTGATTTCCTCTAGCAGGGATGCGCCAGTCAGTTTGATGGCGCCTTCGATGATGTGCGGGTCTTTGATGCCTGCTTTGACGAGGGTCCCGCCGATGTAGTATGTGGCTGCGGGGACGAATTTATTGATGAAGATATTGTAATAGGCGCAATAGCCAATGGAGCCACCGATCACGCGGATGCTGAGGGTTAACGCGGTAACGGTCGCGATTAGGTCGTCCGGGCACACAATGGTCGTCATGATGGAGGCGGGCACTACGATGCCGCCGATACCGAGGGAGGCGACGATTAGGATGCCCCAGAGTTGGTGCAAGTTGTCGACGCGGGCAATAGAAAGCGCGCCGCAGCCTGCGGTCATGAGGATAGAAGCTACGATTAGGATTGCCTTGTTGTGGCCGCGGAACGCGGAGAGTGCCCAGAGTGCGATGAATGCGCCGGCCAAGATCCCGAAGCCGACGGGAATACCGCGGATGCCTACACCGATGGGATCGTGGCCGTATACATTGAAGGCTTGCGTTGGCCAGAACATGAGGATCGAGAAGAAGTTCGCGCCTGAGATGAAGGTTATGACGAGTGTCAAGGACATGATGCTTCCAACTTGGACGATCCGTCTTGGGAACATTGGGTATTTTGCACCGTAGGCTTCCCAGAAGACGAATGCGATCTGCGTGGAAATGGTTAGGTTTAATATGAGAGTGGAGCTGTGGATGGACCACGCTGGACTTACCATGAGAACAATGCCGAGAATGAGGGAAGCAAGCACATGGGCGGAGTGCCACTTATACTGATATCCCCCCCACTGCATTCCCACTGTTGCACCCACGAATTAGCTTATGGACAGAAGGAGTTGCAGAAAAGTCGAAGGTGGCTTACTCATGAACAATAACATCCCTGAAATACTCAGCAATCCTCCCACGTAATCAATCTGGCTCAAAATCTCCTTTCGTGTCAAGCCCTGAGAGTTGACTCGGGGCGGAGGGTTGTAGAAGATGACTGTAAGGACTAATCCAACAAATGCCCAGAGTCCAGCGAAGAGTCCACAATATCTCTAATACCAGTCGTTAGCAGCTACATTTACAGAACCTTGGAGAATCTCACCCAAGTTGAATGGAATGCAATCAGTTGTGCCCAGAGCACCGAAGGACAGAATGGAACAATCGTGAAGACCAAGATCGCCACGTATTTACCTCTCTTTGCTGTGGGCGCCATTTCAGACGTCGCCGCAAGAGCAGTTAATTCATTAATGCCAGCTCCAACTCCCGCAAACGTCATTCCGCAGATGAAGATGTTCATCGTGTGAGCCGTTGAGCAGATAATCATGCCCAGCACAAGGAAGCATGCACCAGTGATTGCCACATATCGTCGTCCAATGAGATCGGACAAACTTCCTACGAATGGGCATACAGCTGCAAGGGCAAGCAAATTGGCAAGGACCAGCCAAATCCATCGATCGGCTCCTCCGATGTCGCGGTAAATGTAAGGCGGCACGCCGCCGAAAAGGTATCTGGTATCGAATGATTAGCCGAAGTGATACTGATGCTGTCGTGTAACATTGCGTCAGCGTCGAGCTTTCCCGGGAAGACTTACACGGGAATTTGAGAGCCAGTCCATAGAAAGGCCTGGAGATGTCATGTTAGTGTGGCGGTGGAGAGGTTCGTGGGGGGAGGAAGCGCACCATGGCTACAAGAGCCATTGCTCGCTTCGTGGTCATCTTTTCAGGTTAGCTTTTTTTTTTCGCCGAGTATCGAAGATATAGACATCATACGGGAGCTTCATGCTCGTGATCTTGGTTGTCTCCTATGATGCAGTCAGAATAAATCCATCAATGTAGAAAAGTAGCCTTGCACACCCACCATCTGTTCTCAGCCCATCCCTTTCGTAGTAATTCGTATGTCCAGGGACTTTGTCATGAGTCGGAATGTGTTCAAGCTGTTGTCCTACTACTTTCTCATGATCCACTGGGCTGGTAGCCGGCGGCGTAGAGCTGTCGTTGCTATAGCTCGTCATAGCTGAAGTGAATAGCACCGAAGCGAAACCAGCGAGTTTAATAGAGACAGCCGGGAAAGGAAGTACTGCGCATCCGCTCTGGTTCGCGAGGCGCAATCAGAGCATCTAGGACAAAGCAAGTGAAGAAATCAGGCCGGGTTCCTGGGGCAGCTGTCACTGATATGTACCTACCACGCCCATGCCCATGCTCATGTGGGCGATTTCCTGGGTATGCGGGACCCCTGTTCTTCTTGATATGGGCAAAAACAATTGGCGATGCCCGCACAATTGAACACACCGCACGGGCCCTAGATATCCTAATCCACCCAATCCACCCAGTCCCCTCGTGTGGCGTAGTGCCGGCCAAGAGAAAGGCGGATGCCAATTCCTTGGATTGAATCTGCGAGCTTCCAATTGCAGTCCTCTTCACCACGAATTTCTCCAAGTTCACAGCGTTAATCCATCGTCGTCTAACATGGTGGGAGTCCTCGATATCCTGCATCCCGTCGTTACATGCAAAATACCGAGGCTTCTAGCTCGAGTGGCATTTCCCCGCAATCGTATCGATCCCGGAGAGGAGCCCCATCTGGGGTCGAGAATCCATCGCTCGAATGATCTCTTCCTAACGTGTCAAAGTGCCTCGGGAGGCGTCGCGAGAACACTTGTCAAGGGCATCAGAACTTCGAGCAAGTGTCAATATCTTGCTTTTGATAGCGCGCGGGCTGGCGCTGAGTGATGGTGGAGCAGTCGAGGCCTTTGGGATTTCGAATGCATGCTCCAACCCTTCTCCATCGGCGACCTCGGTCGGCATCCATTCTCGAGGTGTTGATCTCAATCGTGATGTCAAAATAGAAGATCAATCTCGTGTCCGACAGATAATCCAAGCTAAATCCTACATTCCGTGCATCTTGCGTGTCGTATCTTGTCCATTGCTTCGGCTCCTCGCCAAGCGCCCGATTGGTGCAAACACACTCTTTCAATCGCTCTCAGCTGGCTCAAGCTCTTGTCTTTTATCAGATGTCGGCGATGGCGCTTTCCCACAATATTCTTGACGAAAGAAGTGTGATCTGATTCGCAACAAAGATGCATTGCGGAGAAACAAATGTGCAGCATGGCGTTCAAACATCTTCAGACGTCAAAAGAAAGCCCTCCGCCGTCCCACGGGCGTCAGAAATTGGTGTCCTGCGCCACGGACTGTGCACCAGTGGACCGTCCCACATGTGTCTGGGTTCGAATGGTCAGACGAGCGACGAGTCGGGAGCACTCCTATTAACTTTACGCGTGTCAACACACAAGTCATGGGGATGGAAGGGGGCGCGGGTTTTATGTATTTCTTTTTGTGACGAGAGTCGCCACGCATGATTCAGTTGGGAGTGGCTTGAAGCTTGGAAGATAGCGCTGCACAGGCCTCAGGTGGAGAAAATCTCCTGAATAATGCCAGGGGCAGTTTGCGGTTTGATAGAATAATGGATGGTGTGAGTGTCTTCCCACCCGGAGAAAAGCATTGATGTCTGATTCAGTCGGTCAAGGTTACCCTTGGGTTTCGTAGATATCTAAATACTGGGACCAAAGGTGAGCGGCATTAAAACTTGCTCGACTCAAGCAGATTTTATTGTCTTCAAGGTTGGCGGGCCGATGAGTGAGTGCATCTGGTTGATTGCCTGGTGGAATTGGGAGATTAAGAACCAGGGTGATAACAAGCATCACAGTTACGCTGCCTTTCCTCAGAAGACTCTCCGGTCGCAGAAGTGTCCCAACCGCCTTCACCGACATATCACCTCGATATGAAGCCAGCAATCACTCGTCCCCCGTTCCTGCAGTAGTCGATTGATTTTCTTTCACGAATCCCTGAATTTGCCTAAAAGTTACCGATTCCTCGGACTTGACCACCCATGAACGGCACAAAATTCTCTGAACTCGTGGCGTGTAACACCATTCTCTCTCGTTCCTCGTCAATCTCCTATTCTCAATAAACATTTCACGAGTACGAAGAGTGTTGAGATGCGGTAAGAGGTGGATACCTTGCTTTTCTTCCTAACGACATGTCTCTTTAGGAAGTCGGATTGCTGGATCTGAATTGTTCGTGTAGCGCTGGCGGATTTAGTGGCATGGTGAATACGCGCATTCTGCATCCATCAATATACGGCAGTCGTATGTCTCAGAATATCAATTGATGACGAAATTGATTCTAGAAACCGGCTAAAGGAAAGCGAGGGTGTTGCGTAGAACCCTAAATTCGTAAAACATGTCAAAGATGTGCAGTCCTTATAACGTGATGCTGGGCCGCCATTTGGGTCTATCGATGGCGAAAGCCTGGGGAATGCAGAATATGAGCTGGGGTTGGGGCAACAACAGGCTTTATTGGTTGGGCATGTTGTGCGAGCATATGTGTGCGCACGAGAGGCGGTCATGTGCGAGATTATGTGCTTTTGTGTAAGAATAGACAACCTAAAAATGAAGAAAGCGGCTGAGTGGCCGCACAGAACACAGCGGGTGAAGGAGATCAAGGATCGCAGGCTATGCGGGGAGAAAAGCATTAAGGACAACAAAAAAGGGAATAGAGATACGACTCAAGCCCTCTCGAGCAGTGGAGGTCTTGCTGACGTATTAGATCAGGGGCGGGTGGGGGCCGACCGCATAGTGAAGAAACCCAGACATATCAAACCCTACCCGAATAACAGAGAACAGCAATTCTTGCAAAGAAACAAGGAATTGGGTATCCCCTCAAAGGACCAGACAGACAGACACTCCATTTCAGAACGCCGGAAGCCGCGAGGCACCCATGGTCTCAAATATCCGCTAATGATTTAATTTTGTGCCGCGAGGCCTCCGATCTTTATAGTGTGGAAATATACCGTCCGCGAGGACATGATAGGTCTGGTGCCAGTGTCGTAAATCGTGAATGTAAGGAATGTGTATGTGGGCGTGATAAAGCGTGGTTGATGTGAGGTAATGCGGTGGGTGGGAGTCGATTGAGGAAGGAGCATCTCAGATACGCCGCTCAAGGTGTTCAACGCGGGCCTTGAAGCCTTTCACAATCTCGCCAATGCGGCGCACCTTGTCGAATTCGACCTGCAGCTCGTCGATTTCGCGCAGGATGGCCCGAAAGCGGGCGATTTCGGCATCGGCCATCTGGATCGCGTTGCCCGCGCGGTCATATTGGACTTGGGTTGCGGTTTGCGTTTGCTGGTTGAGCTAGAGGGGCTCCAATGTTAGCACACGTGATCGGCAGTATCGGGTGGAAGCAGTGAATGTTCGCGGCGGATTGATGAAGGAGGACTCACTGAGTGCCATCGCTGTTGGATGGAATACATCAAGCGGTCAAAGTGGGCGCTCAGCGCCTGCAGGCTTGAGGGATCCAGTAGGAGGCGGCCTTGGCTGGAGGCGTGCGAAGCTGCGCGCGAGGACGAGCTGCCGGCGTGCGAGAGGGCAATCTGCTGGTGTTGGCGGAGCAGCTGGATTTCGCTCTGCGTAAGGCCCAGTTGAGAGTCGGGGATGGAGGACATCACACTCTCTTAACAACATGGTCGGACCAACAACACGCTGCTCATGGCGCCGTCCGCGGACAAGAAGAGCACACCCGTGTGGCGACGGCGTCTCTGGTGGTGACGAAGGCGTCTTAATTGGGAGGGGAAGGAGAATATAAGTTGCACAAGATGGGTGGATGCCCGCCAGCGACGGCATGGGGGTTGCAGCCAAGCGGACCAAATTTCAGCCAAAAGAAAAGCCGTGCAGCTTCCGGGGGACACCACAAACGAGTTAAAACAAGCAACGTCAAGCCAATCGCCCGACATTCTGCGACGAAGCTCTTGTAGTCTCGAGGGAGGGATCCTGCAGCCCTACAGCCCGTCGGCGGCGAGAGCGTCGCGAGATTGGGTCGTCTCGAACACCTGACTGCGGCCTGACAAGACCACTCTCTCACTATCGCGAGACAACCTTGAGAATAAAAACCGCCGCTATGGCTGCCCGCTGTCCTTTTGTACCGCCGCTGTCGCAGCGCGGGTTCAGACGTGCCGATTTTGGAGCGGACTCCCGGTCTCCGTCTGCACACCATCTCGACATGCTCTTCACCCACCAGGAACAGGGGCGCAAAGATTACACGCCGTGAGTTCCAAGGTTGCGCACACCCCACCAGCTCGCACAACTCGCCATAGAGGGACATGGTCCGCATCGAGAAGGTGCCAGCGGCCTTGGGGGTTGAAAATGCGGGTCCTGCTGACTCGGTGGAGGTGAATTTGAATATCTTCAATTGATCGAGAGCGGCTCTGCGAAGCTTCAAAGGGCACAAGCGAATTGTACACAATTTATTCGCGGATAATCAATCCACCCACATTGCGACTAAGGCAAGGTAGATCAACGTTTACCAGGATCGAAAGCTTAAATGACGTTGATGGAGGAACGAGGACCCGGAACCTTGACGTCTTTTAATTCACAGTTTCCAAGTCCAGTCCCCCATTTCCACGAATATATAGTTTCAATGGATCTATTTCTCTCATGTCCCCTGTCAATTGGCTTCTCACCACCCGTCTCATCCAGTTGTCGTTGTAATGAGGGTCTGCTCCCTTCTCGGTGCCCTTGTGGCACTCGTTTCACTGTCCTCGTCGACGATTCTCCAGAATGGGCAAGTCAGAGAGACACACTTCCAGGAGACCACGGTCGCTTCCATAAGCCTTAACTCAACCGGCTGGAGGACGTATGGCCCAAATGCTACTGAAATATCCTACAAGGGCCGTTGGGATAGTAAGCACATCTCGTGGTGGGCGTACGGAAACCAACGATCGCCACTGCCTGATGATTGACTAACTATCCGCTGCAGTGCCCCTGGGATCAAGTTCGGCTTCACTGGACAAGATGTTGCCATCACGTTCGGCCAGTACACCTCCCAAGGAGTGCTTGTTGCTTACCGCGTGGGGGGCCTGGATTGGCAGTTCACTAACGTGACTGCCGGCTCCACCCATCATTTCATCTCCCCTAGCACGCTAGGCCTCGGCGCCACTCTTTCCAACCAACTTCCACTAACATTTGAGCTCCGTGTCACAAATTGGGCTTATGGCATCCAAATCCGAGCCGTTCACGTCAACTCCAACTCCAGGCTCATTAAACTCCCTAACTACAGCAAAACTATCGAGTTCATTGGGGACAGCTTGACATCCGGGATGTACGCTACATATGAAGCATTCTCAGGTTTCGGCTATAGCATCGGCGCCGGCTTCGGCAATGTCGAGTTCAGCATCACCGCTTACCCTGGCATATGCTTGCACGACGCGAACTGCTGGGGCAATCCTCGAGGCCAAACATACCAATGGTTCCAAACATCCGACACATCTTGGCGCGCATCCGAGATATATGGGACAGAACCTGAGAAATGGGAGTTTAGTAAACACCCCGCCGCTGACATCGTTGTCATAAATCTCGGCACAAATGATAATAATACCGCCAATAATGTTACCAGCTCACAATACCTATCCTCCTATCTCTCTTTCGTCGAAAAAGTCCACACTACCTACCCTAACGCGCAAATCGTTCTTATGTCTCTCTGGAACGGCTTCTACTCCTTCGGAAACAGTTATGCACAATCTGGCGCCTTCATCAACGAAATCTACCAAGTTTATAACCATTACAAGGATCAGGGTTTTGTGCATTATTTCAATAGTACAGGAATACTGCAACACAATGATATTGGACCGCAGTGGCATCCGACTGATTTTGGACATATCAAGATTGCGAGCCATGTTATGCAATATATTAGGATCAAGTTTGGGTGGGAGTTCGGAGCTACGGGGCCGGAGGTGCAGCATGAGACGCTTTATTGGAATGACGGTGAGAGATACTTTCAATGTTCAAAAATGAGCGTCGCTGACAGTGATGTAGAATCGGGTTATTGATGAAATAATATATGGTGCTTAAAAGGTAGGTGGACTGAGGTAGATGCACTTGCCGAATAATTTGGTGCATTACGTTACGAGTTTACGACATTGCCAAGCACCTGAGTAACAAATATCTACCCTCCACTATTTACTTATTCGCACAGTCTTGTGTCAGTTCGGACATGCAAGGCTCCTCTAAGTCTTACTCTGTTCAAGTCTTTCGGAAACCAGCTTGATCATAGCGCCTAAGTCCTGATCCTCTCTTCTTTCAATCTTAATCACCTCGAATTTGCCCTTTTTAAATATCTCCCGACCTCCTCAATACTATTCCCTTGTTTTCGCTATTGAGCCTAAGACATGGCCTCGCGGCTCCCAGCTCGTGTGGTCACTATCATGTCCAAGCAGTCGAGTTTAATAGCAAGCACCTTCTCCCAACCACTCTTATCGAATCCCCGACTGGCTAACCAACACCCCCTTGCTCAAGATCTTCGCGATGATTATTCTCGAAATAAGAGAACCTTTATTCATGCCGGCCTTGACATCCTCGATGTCAAGTTCCTCAAGGCCAAAATACAATGCTGCGAGATTGTTATCATCGTAATTGGTAATCTCGCGGATCATGTAGTCGACGGATGCATCCTTGAATGTGGGCAGGTCCGGCGTTACCCGCACCGGGTGGGCCTTTTGCATGTTAGTTTCTCTTCGTGAAAAGTGCGCACAAGGGTAGAGAATATACCGATAACGAAGACTGCACCAAACACCTCTGCTTTCATAAGTTCGATAATGGTACCTCCATTCCAATCTAGGAGGGAGTATTTAATTTGGTTTGCCATTTAGGACATCTGAATGCTTGTTGATAAATTTCTTGTGCTGACTTGTTCCTTTAAAGTAAGTTTGTAAAAATTGCTTGCCTTTATTTGCTACGAATGCTTTCGCTGACTTTCAAACTTTCATGCTTTTTCTTTCTTTCTACTGTATGCGTTACCCGTTTCTTCTATCAATATGGATGGCCACAAAGGGCGAGAAACGAACCAACGCCCACCTGTTACATCTCGCTCGTTCTATTTAGAGATTTGTTTTTCGTGTCACGTCATAAAAAGGAAGGTTGTTTGTGTCAATGCTGGAAACATTTGTGTCAAAACTGGAAACATTTGTGTCAAAACTGGAAACATTTGTGTCAAAACTGGAAACATTTGTGTCAAAACTGGAAACATTTCTGTCAAAGCTGGAAACGTTTGTGTCCAAGTTCGAAACAGTTCTATTAAAGCTAGAAACATCACGAAGAAGTACTAGCAGAATAATAATATAACAACCTTTTGAGTATTTAATAACGGCACTTTACGCCATTGTCTTCCGCAATCTCTACTGGTAATCTCCCTCTGCAGTCTAGCTATCGAGATAACCCGCCATATACCTGAATAAAGATGCCGCTACTCAGAGCCCTGCTATCCAACCTCCCAACTCTCTCCCACCCCCTCCTCCTCACAACCGCTATCGCCTTAATTAGCCTCCCCTTCCTCTACTTCCACTTCAAAATCTTCCCAAAACCCACCCGCTACCTCACACTCCTCTACCGCCGTAAAATCCTCGGCCACACCATCCCCATCAGCGTAAACTACCACTTCACCCGCGTCTGCAACGCAGCCTGCAAGTTCTGCTTCCATACCGAGCTAACCGGGTACCATGCCCCTTTACCCACTGCTCAAAACGCGCTCAGGCTTCTCGCCGAATCCGGCATGCGCAAACTCAACTTCGCAGGCGGCGAGCCATTCCTGTATCCCAAGCACCTGGGCCAACTATGCAAGTTCGCGAAAGAGGAGCTGCAGCTCGAGAGCGTGAGTATTGTATCAAACGGAACCCGCGTCTCGGAACAGTGGCTCGCGAACTGGGGCGCTTGGATCGATATCCTAGCTATCTCGTGTGATTCTATGAAGGCGGAGACGAATCAGCTCATCGGTCGCGCAGAACGGACGACTGGTGTGCCATTCGACAATGTCACGCAGCTCTTTAGGATCCGGGATTGGTGTCGGAAGTTTGGGGTCAGATTCAAGTTGAATACGGTTGTGTGTGCGAAGAATTGGGAAGAGGATATGGTGGATGTGGTGAGCGAGTTGGCGCCATTTCGGTGGAAGGTGTTTCAGGTGCTGGTGGTGGATGGGGAGAATGAAAATGAGACGAGGAGGAGGGATGCGAGGAGTATGGTGGTTACTGATGAGGAGTTTGGATGGTTTTGTAGGAGGCATAAGGGGGTTAAGGGGTTTACTCCAGAGCCGAATCGTTTGATGAGGGCGAGTTATTTGGTAAGTGGTTCCTACCTAGCGTGGCTTTCTGAGTTCTTCCTAGAACTTTGGAGTGCGGTTGTGGATACATGGTCCTTCTTACTAATAAGAATTTAGATTTTAGATGAGTATCTCCACTTCCTGGACGCTGGTAATGACAAGAGAAAGCACTCTGATCCGATATTGGAGGTGGGTGTTCAGAAAGCGCTCAGCCAAGTCGAGTGGGATGAGCAGGCGTTCAATGAGAGAGGTGGAGTCTATGATTGGAGTAGAGATGCTGGCGGTAATGGGAAGACTGCTTGTAGTGGGGAGCTGGGCGGAGTGAAATTGAGTGACCTGGAGTTCTGAACGACGGGGAACGCGTACATACATACACATAAACGCAAGGATGGAATCTGCTAGACAGAATTTAGACGCTCTCTACTTCCTAGGTCGCGGTTTCATTTTATCTGGGTGTTTTGAGTTCTGGGATAAAGAACTTGGGAAATGTTTTAGACACTGACCTAGAATAATAAATGGAAATCTAGATCTCAGATATTAATGTCAGTACACTTTCTCCCATGTCTCTTGTAACAAAGGACCATGTCTGAGTGGGTTATTGGAAGAGTACCTACAAATAAGACGAATTCCATATGATACACCATCTACAACAGCATTTGGCAAACCTTTATCATATTTGGAGAAAACAACCCTATGTCTTCGGGAGATATTCCTACCGCAGAAACTCAGATCGTCGGGCAAGAACAGGAGCCAGTAGATGTTGTCTCAGAAGAGCTAAGCCCAGGCCTTGTCTTTATCCTTGGTATGAAGCATCCAAATCCAAACTATTGTGAGCTAAAGCTGACATGAAAAAGGTCCTCCTGGAGCGGGAAAAGAAACCCTGTCCAAGCACCTCGTCAGCGAATACAATTTCAAGCATATTTCCTATGGTGACGTCCTTCGTAAGGTCAAGGAAATGACATCCGATCAAGCTACTCAAGCATATAAAATCACAGCATTGGAATTCAAGCAGGTTGCCGAGTACAAATCCGGAAACGAATCGCTTCCCGGAGAACTGGCCGCTAAGCTTCTTCGACAAGAGATCTTCGCGCAAGGTGTTTCGACGAAATGCTGGATTATCGATGGATTCCCCCGGAGTGATGATCACTGGAAAGAATTCAGGAAATTGTATCACATTACGCAGGAGCGTAGAGAGAGAATATTGGTTTTGGTGATGAATTGTGCGGAGGAGATAGCAAAGAAGCGTTGCTTGAAACGTGACAGGAAAGGCGACAAGGAGAACTTTGGAATAAGGTATCTCAAATATTACGACAACATCAACAAGATACTGCCAATTATGGGGAAGGAAGAAGGCGACCACCTTATGGTTGTTGAGATCAAGGACGAAGAGAATCTGGACCATGCTAGCGAAGTGAGAGAAACAGCCTTGAATAGGCCGAAGGGCACGCGGGAATGGGAGACGATACTGAAGATAGTTGGTGGCAACACCTCGTAGTGCGTCCACGTATCGGGGATGGCACAGGTGAGTGTCAAATTAAGGCACAATAAAAATAGTGAATGACACCGTGAAAAGATAAGTGATACCAATTGACGCATAGATAGATATACACTGCGAAATGATAAGGACATGTGACACAGCATTCACTAGCTAGGTGAGTGTGTTCCTAATTAACCAACAGTGTAGGTTTGTTTTTAGTTTTGGTGCGCCATTTACTGTTGATCTTGTTACACCCGCACAAACCCTGAGTATAAATTTTGGCTTCCGCAGTATCTTCATGGTCCAGTGGCATCTTCAACCAACTTCCCCTACATCCATGCCATTCAAACTCCCCGCTAGAACCCTGGAGCAGGGTAGGTCCTTCGCAAGGCCGGCTCGAACTCTTGAGGTTGAGCGGAAGTTTCTCCCAACTGCTGAGTCCATCGCGCGCCTTCGCGCAAACCTTGACCAACCACGCTTTCGAAACATTTGCGAGCTAGGAACCTGCAAAATCCATGAAATCTACTACGACCGAAATGACTGGCTGAGCAGCCAAGGAATCTACGTGCGACTCCGAAATGGAAAATGGGAAGCCAAGGTGAGGAAAGGCGGGGACTACACCAACTCTCGCTTCGAAGAGTATGACGACGTGGAGGAAATAAGGAGCGTCGTTCGGGAGGCACTTGACAAGACAGGAGGATACGCAGACACGTGGCAAATGGGCCTGTCGCCTATGGCAGAGTTCAAGACTCAGCGGGAGTCCTGGGATGTTAATGGATTTCGGGTTGTTATCGACGAGGCGGATTTTGGGTATACAGTTGGAGAGGTTGAGCTTTGCCAATCGCTTGGTGACAACACAGGTCCAGCGATGCCGACTAATGGATTGGAGCTGGAACAAACTGGACTGGAGCTGGATTCTAGAATTGAGACTTTCATGAAGGAGTTTGAGTGGGCATTCCCAGTCCCCAATTCCACCATGGGGTTTCAGCTAGAGAATGGGAAAGTTATGGGGAAGCTGTCGGCGTACTTTCTCTGGAAGAAACGGAAGCAGGAGCAGGCTAGTGTGTCACGTGGATAGGGGATATCTGTCTTGAATCAGGTCCTCTTTTGTGTTTGGTCGGAAGTGCTAGTATATGTAGTTGATGAAGAGATGGGATCGTGATGAGGTTGGGCTGTCACAGTCGAAGGCCGCACATGTAGGCCATATAGCGACACCAGGGGAAAACATCTATGACGTATATTATATTATTGCATCGTGATAATAGTGATGGTGTTGATGATGGAGGAAGGGTTCTTCCCCGTATTACATCATCATCGAGTTGGAACGACGGGTGCGCCAAGAGCGACCCTGGAAACATTCTTGACACATGGCAGAACCTCCTGGCGTGCTGGCCATGCAAATGGAACTGTTCTCTTCTTCTTTCCCTTAGATTCTCTTTTTATTATCGTTTATTTGCTCGATACCCATTCCTCAGGCTTCGTAATTGATTTTTGCTGTCCCCTCACATCTCACACCCTCTCCTTCTCGTCTGTCGTCATGTCTGCAGAACTCGTCTCGCAAACGGCTCAGGGAGCTGTCCTCAGTGTAACTTCTAATGTGCTGGCGCAAGTTATATCGTCCTATAAGCAGCGTGTAGGTCCCAATTCCACTACAATGTGTCCTCGTCACACTTGAGCGCACCGCTGACCCAATGCCCCCAACAGACACCCTTCTCGCTCAACCTCGCCCCTGTCATCAAATTTGCTGTCTTCAGCATAATCAGTAACCCTCCAAATATCCTCTGGCAAATCTTCCTCGAAGATATCTTCCCAACCAACGTGCAAGCGCCGGCCCCCAAGTCGGAGAAGCACAACGGCAAACCTACGCCTGCTAGACAAATCAAGACACAAATGAGCGCGACAAATGTCTTCATCAAATTTGTGTTGGACCAAACATTCGGCGCCGTGGTGAATACATTGATGTTCCTCATATACATGGGATACATGAACGCGTCGCCAGCTGGCAAGCAAGGGCCTTGGGATTCGATTGCAAAAGAAATTCAGGAGAAATTCTATCCCATGATCATGGACGGGTACAAAGTCTGGCCGCTCTTCTCGTTGGTCAGCTTTTTGTGGATTCCAGTTGATAAGAGGGTGGTTGTTGGGTGTCTGGTCGGTGTTGGCTGGGGGATTTATCTGAGTCTGTTGGTGGAGTCCTAAGCTACCATGAAGCTTGAACCATGTTGGAAGCGGCGGACGCTTTTTGTGCAGCTGCTGCGTTAGTATTGTTACTTGTTCCCTTGAGAAAGACTGCATTTGCCACTTCTGGCTCGTTGCCTGTTGTAAAAAATAATGGAGGGTCCGGACATGGCTGATTGGACTCAATTGGCGTTTTCTTCCTTGAAATCTCTCCTTGAATTGTCCTTTTTCTGTTCTGATCCTATCACCTGATTTCGCTTCAATTTTCCGCCCCGCCGTCTGAGTCACCTTAAAGGAGCAACCCACTGTGGCTGGACAAGCACCACCATTCAACATCGTGCTACTACTCGGCTTAGTCTTGCTATCCCCGATTTCATCAAGTGCCGAGGAAATAATGGTATACAAGCATTCCCGGATTACCTGTCGACCGTTTCGACGATGCCGACGCTCGGGCCGCTGTCCAGTGCGTCTGTGGAGCTTCTGACAATGGCCAAGGAGTCGACGAACTATGTGAAGGAAACTGCGGTGGCGAGGCTCCACTTTGGCCAGTCGTACCTGCATCAAGTGGCAGGTGTGCGGTGATACATGGCCGCAAGCCAGAGAGCGCGGTGCTTCTGCTATCGGCTATATTCGAGAGGCTAAGTATCGACATGTGCTACCACTCACTACTGGGTTGCAGATGCACCAACTTCCCCCTTCGATAAGCTGCAGAATCCGTATGAAGACCACCATGTCCGGGTGCTAGCTACCTAGCCATGGTCTGGATCATAATTATGGAAGGCAAATCTAGCGTGCATGCATTCGCGGGCGTACCAAGGTGAGGGCAGTGCTTGCCCCATTCACTATTACTAAATATCGGGGGTCCCACTACTGTAGAAGCCTGTCTCCATTCAACCACACTACTCATTTCCACCTTACTTCATCAAGTCTTCCATTGTTACCGCCTTGCACTTGTCACTCCCCGCCTCATCGTATCCGGCCTCGACTGCAGTGGTTACCCCCAGTAATTCTTCTTTTCTATTCATTCTTGTGTTAGGACTTTCCAGTATTTGTGGACATGAATTCTCGTTGTTCAGACACGCCCTTGGACGACGGCGAGAGGCAGCAAAATGCCTTGGAGGCACACCCAGGCAAGCCATCAAACCTCAACCCTCCCAATCCTCCCTCAGGTATCGTGAGCAGCCGACGAAACAAGGACCTGGATACCCTCGCTTCTGTTCGGCCCAGGTCAAGCACCGACCTTACCACCATTCCACTTGATGAAACACTGAATGGAAGAAACACATCATCCGGCCCTAATCCAGCAACAGGGCCAACTTCGAGCAGAAGGCAAGACGAGGAGAGGATAACCCCCACTCCCTCTGGCAATTCTTCAAACAGCAAACCTTCAGGTAGCCCAAAGGCGCAAATACCAACCAGAGGAAGTATGCCCTCTAGCTTTAATCCAGAAACAGCACCTAGCCCGATCGCTAGGCAAGATGAAGACAGTATAACACCCATTCTCCCTGGTCCCTCTTTAATCACCAAGCCATCGGCTATTCCGAAAGCTCGAGCACCGACCAGAGGAAGCGTGCCTTCCGGGTATAACCCACCAACGGTAGCAGGTTCGAGCCGCCAAGAAGACGAGGACGCTATAACCCCCGCGCCCCTTAGACACTACTCAAATGACAACTCTTTCGGAACTCCAAAGCCACAGGCGCTGAAGAAAGCAAACACACCATACACTTCCAGTCCAGCAACGGGATTGCACTCGAGAATCCCTTCCAGAGCAGCCTCTTCAACTGGCGTGAATTTCTCGGCCTCACAGAGGTATTTTCGTTCTCGGCGAGTTAAGAAAGAGGAAATCCAGAAGCCATGGTTGGACAAAAAAGACCATGGAGGGAAATGGAATAACGCCATTGTTTTGATTGGGCTCTTCCTTGGCATAGCGCTTTTCGGTTTTCTCATCTATGACGGAATTCGGGGAGTCATTACCCATAAGTACTGCCCTGTTTTGATAGAGGACTTTACCTCCTGGAATGACCAGGTTTGGACCAAGGAGGTAGAAGTTGGTGGTTTTGGGTGCGTTCCTGCAACCAACTTACCAATGACTTCGTGCGCTCACATCGCTGCAGTAACGGCCAGTTCGAAGAGACGACTAATACAGACGAGAACGTATATCTTGATAATGGAGTGCTTGTCATCAGGCCCTCTCTTCAGGACCAGAACCTCATCGAAAACAATAACACTATAGACCTGCGCGACATGGGTTGTACGGGAACAAAGTGGACCGAGTGTGTAGCCACTACCAACACCACAAATGGAACGATCGTCAATCCTGCCAAATCTGGGCGTGTCAACACCAAGCTTGGAGCATCAATCAGATTCGGTCGCGTCGAGGTCACAGCCCAACTTCCTGCTGGAGACTGGCTCTGGCCTGCCATCTGGATGCTTCCGACCGACAACAAATACGGAGAGTGGCCAAAGTCTGGTGAGATTGACATCGCGGAAAGTCGTGGGAACAATTGGACGTATGGCCAAGGCGGGAACAATGTTGTTAGCAGTACTTTACACTTTGGTCCTAGTAAAGATAATGATGGATGGTGGCGCAACAATGTGAAGCACCAGACGCAACATGGTACATACTCGGATGACTTCAATACCTTCGGCGTTGAGGTAGGCGCTCCATTCCCGCATTCTCTAGCATCGGACTAACTTATCGCAGTGGAGTGAGAGATACGTCTTTACTTACATCAATTCTCGGCTTATGCAAGTCATGTACACACACTTCAACCAACCCTTCTGGCAATACGGCAAGTTCCCACTCTCCGACAGCAACGGTACCCGAATCCTAGATCCATGGAGCTACACTGGTAACGATGCCACACCGTTCGACCAAGACTTCTACCTTATTCTCAACGTAGCTGTTGGCGGTGAGAACGGTTGGTTTAAGGACGGAAAGTCTGGAAAGCCATGGGTTGACGGCAGCCCCACGGCTAGGAGGGACTTCTGGAAAGCTCGTAATTCGTGGTACCCAACCTGGAGTAAGCAAGGGTTCATGAAGGTTAAGAGTGTCAAGATGTGGCAGCAAGAGGGATATAATGGTTGCAACCCACAATAAGGGTTGACTATCGCATCACTATTACAAGGGGGTGTATGGTTGGTCGCTTGCATGGATTGCTTGTGTGGATTGATGGTTCATGGGACAGGATTTGTGTCAAGTGTACCCAACGAATAACGACTAGGCATTGGGCTAGCGATGGATTGCATTTGCTGATTGGCGTTCGGGACGTGGCTGTTCCTATTGATCGGTTCACCCACACGATAGTCCCAGGTAGTACAAAGGATTAATCTTCAGCCTGTCGCTTAATCATACCAACACAACAAGTCGTGCTTCTACTGCCGTGCCTCATGGACCGACGTTTGGAAAAGAGTTACAACCACGAGTGCTCATTGTTGGGACTTGATTCGCGTAAATTGTCTTGCCGTAGTTAGTCGAAAGCGCTGTATACATGCATTATTATTATGCAATATTACTTCGTTGCGCTTGAGCGACGGACACTAATAGACAGTCTCACAGTGAGCACATCTACAAGCCACGCGGTGCACGAGAACTTCATATCGGCTCACGGGTATGTTGCAACCGTTCAACATGGGATGGCTCTCAGCTGCCTCTCTCGTTCAGAATGCCCCACGCCTCTGCATTGCAAGAGTTTTGTCTTTTTCTCCCATACCCATTAGTAATATGGACCGGAGGTTTTAGGGTCTAAGATACTAATTAAAGTTACAAAGAGCCAGTCAAACAGTAACACTATCTCCCACTGGCGAGTTTCGGAAATGGGTACAAATCTCTGGTACTAATAGCGCCACAGGCTAATTTCTAAAGTGGCTCATCATGACCAGCCACATGCACGGGTTGAAGGGCGTTGAAACACAACCACCCCTCACGCTATCGAAGATCCGCACGGGAGTCCTCCAGGTTTCCCTTGCCAGCAGTGCTGCTCTGTTACGGACAGCGTAGATGACTTCTTCTCCCGTCTAGGCAGGCAGGTTGAGAATGGCTGCCATTTCTGACTTTCTTGCTTCAAATGCTCTGCGAAAGTGACTATCTTCAGTTCTTTCTTCCAAAATGTTAATTCCCAATAACAGTCGAGGCAGGAACCATCAAGATGGCCGACCTCTGATCTCTCCATCCTGCAGGTAATCTCTGCCCAAAACTCTCGAGGTCTGTCCGGTAGGGTGGTCGTGTAGAAGGACATGCTCAAGGTTGTGTCCCCATATACGCGACGAAAAATGTGGACATAGAGAGTACAGCGAATCTCCACAACTCACCTTCCCTATATCTTCAGTGGCATCCGAGCCAATAGCAGGCAGCGCGATGCACTGACGTGAAACGCAAAACCATGGTAATGACGGCATTTTTTCCTGCATGTTTCTCTGTTCCGAGCCGTCACACTTATTTCTCGGAATTCATCTCTCAGTTTTTGGAATCGCATTCGAGAGAATAGTAACCATTGGCTGAAACAGCACGCACGGAAGCCGCCTCCAGCCGGTTCTCAGCATCTCTCTTAGTCGAGACGAGACTAGCTTGGTAGTGCAAAACGATGCCCGCCGGAACCGATCCGCGCCATCAATCCTCGTGCCACATTGTCGATTCGCTCTCCTCATACTTCTGCCAGAGCATTGGCTCCCAATTCCGAGCGGACTTATAGTAAGATACAAGCCGTGCTAAACACAGGTGAAGAGTGCGTTTGGTATGCACTTCTTGCTCCTATATTCGAAATTCGGGTATCCGGACCTAGACCCTCACAAATCTTCGCCGCTCTTCGTCGCCGGTAAATTGTGATACCGTTAAAGAAGCTTCGTTAAGTAAGTCGTGGCCAGCCACAACCTGGACCAAGCCGGCAACCATGTCGGTGAAACAGTATGGCTTTTATTGAAGAGTGTTGGGCGAGCAATTCACTGACTTTCCTGATTGGGTAATGCTGTCTGAGCACAGGCGGTTGTGCTACAGACCACATCCAGACATGTGTAAGGCTCTGTACACCATAGAGGTCTGCCTCGCTTTGGCCGCGATCTCAACTTTCGAGGTTGGCGTTAGCAGCTTTCGAGCCCCCTCTATCATCTTTAGCCTGCAGTGCACGCTTACTTTATAGCATCTAGGTCGACACGTTCGTAAAGCATCTAAGTACTCTGGTTACTGTGATGCTAGTATTACTAGCCCCTTTTACATATTTTTAGGTTCCAATTCAAGCCACCGTCGCACTTCCCCTCATGCTCTTTCCACTAGCATCTTCGCTGCTTTCCTATGGAGGACTCTAATCTCACGTTGCTCCAGCTGCCATGTTCCAAGTTCCAAATTTGTAAGATCTTGTTCTTGGGTAAGCATGAATTGAAGCGCGTTTGGGAGCTGCCAGAACAGCGACCTCCTTCATCTCCACAATCTTTTTTGCTATTCTCAATCCCATGGCCCCTCTTTGAGACCTGTCACTCGCTTCTAATCGTTCTCGATCGTTATACCCCAGGCCAATCTGAGGAACATTAACTCGCCGTTCCTCGTGACATTCTGTTTATATACCCTGTATTCTAAAGCACACTTGCTGGGCACCTATCATGGTGTATTGTGATGAGAAGCTGCCAGACGGCACGAGAACACCAGGCGAAGACTTCAAGACATTTGGAGATGGGGCATGGACTCCCAAGAGCGGAGCGAGGACTCCCAAGAGCGGGGCGAGGACTCTAAAAGATGGATCGAGAACTCCCAGTATCACACCAATTCGACATCCGTCCTCGTATCTCTTGGACCAGATGCCTCCACCAGCACCATTTACTCACTGGGGAACAGGATCGATAACTCCAGTGACTGGAAACACCACCGCACAGATGTCGAGGCGGACGTCATTTGTGGGATCTATGCGCTCAATGGGGAGCACAAGTTATTTGGAAGACATCAAGCACGAGGTTATGGTTAACTTCCTTTTCCAGCAACAATGTGGAAAGCTGTGGGTTGGAGATGCTAGTGGGGAACTAGAGGGTGTTCTTCTCCGGAAAAGGAAAGGGACCTACATGTCATGCCCTCCAGCATTGATTCAGTCCCCTTTAGCCTATTATTGCTCACAACTCAACTTTCAGGTAACTATTCCATGTGTGTATAATCGGTACAGTCTCTAAATGAGCAACAGGTTGCTATGACAGTAAACTCTCGCATTATCCGCACATTCCTCCAATGGGCACCAGATGTTACTGATGTTCCACTTATGAATGGCCTCCGCGTCCAGATTCTACCGACCGTGGACGACCTACCAAAAGCGAGGAAGAACCAATTTGCCGCATTCCTTGCCGCAGAAGCCCTCCTCATTGTTTGGGATGACGAACCTACTAACATCATATCTCGCGCCCAAGCTATCGAGGATGAATTAATGGAGCTTGTTTGGAGGACCGGTGAACCAGACGATGAAGAGGAGATATCAGAGAAGAAGAAAGTTTCTACCGTGGTCGAGACTGAGATTGACGAGGAGAATGGAGAGGTCAAGCCTGAGAATCGACCAACAAACCTGATGAACGCGATGCTCGTAAGCGTCACATTACTTCTCGTTATCCTTATGTTAGGCGCTGGGTTCCGGCAGATTGCCATAGAAATTTCGGTCGACAAAGGCTATGCTCGTATGGCTTTCCTGGCATTAATACCTGTTCAGATTTTCTTCACCTTAGTAAGTCCCTTCTACCACGCATCATCCTCTCGATTGACTCCCTATCGTCCAGTTTTTCGCCCAAGTCATTGTAGGTTGTATTGCTCAATGCATCGGCCCAATCCGTCAAATGACACAGAACTCTCGGTACTACTCCGCCAAACTCCCTCGCCGACTGAACGACGGTACCCTACCACACATCACCATTCAATGCCCAGTCTACAAGGAAGGCCTTTCATCCGTCATTGCCCCGACTATTAAATCCATCAAGCAAGCTATGTCGACATACGAGCTCCAAGGCGGTTCCACAAACATGTTTATCAATGACGACGGTCTCCAAATCATTGACGAGGAGGACCGCAAAGCCCGGATCGAATTCTACGCTGATCATGGTATTGGGTGGACTGCTAGACCTCAGCATGGCTCAGATGGGTTTATCCGGAAAGGGAAGTTCAAGAAGGCTTCGAATATGAACTTTGGGCTTATGCTGTCTAATAACATTGAAGCGAAGCTTGCGGAGATTGCTCGTGATGAGAGTTGGAACCAGAATGATGAGGCGGAGGCGTATGAGAGGTGTCTTAAGGAGGTTTTGGAGGAGAATGGGAGGGCTTGGGCGGATGGGAATATTCGTGTGGGTGATTATATTCTCTTAAGTAAGTACTATGCTGCGCTTTGGTTTCGCATCACTGATCTGGAAGCAGTTGATTCTGATACTCGTGTTCCAACCGACTGTCTGCTTGATGCGGCTAGCGAGATGGAGCAGTCTCCTGAAGTTGGCATCCTGCAGTTTTCTTCTGGTGTTATGCAGGTCGCGCACACTTACTTCGAGAACGGGTATGTATGATTTATCGAACCTCTTGTTGGATTTCGGGAGACTTCTAAGCAGATACACTCTTCTGTCATGTTTCTTGCAGTAGTTTGAGCTAACACTCCCTAGTATTACGTTCTTCACGAATCTCATCTACACTGCTATCAAATATACCGTGTCCAATGGCGATGTCGCTCCATTCGTCGGCCACAACGCTATCCTTCGCTGGTCCGCCATTCAACAAGTATCTTTCTTCGATGAGGATGGCTACGAGAAATTCTGGTCCGAATGTCACGTCTCGGAGGACTTCGACATGTCTCTCCGCCTGCAAGTTAACGGCTACATCATCCGCCTCGCCGCCTGGGCTGGCGAAGGCTTCAAAGAAGGTGTATCCCTCACTGTCTATGATGAGCTTGCACGCTGGGAAAAATACGCGTATGGCTGCAACGAGCTGTTATTCCACCCCATCCGCTTCTGGCCAATTCGTGGCCCCTTCACTGGACTCTTTCGTCGCTTCCTCTTCTCTAACATGCAGTTCACCTCCAAAATTACAATCATATCGTACATAGGCACGTACTACGCTATTGGCGCTGCCTGGACCATGACAACCGTTAATTATTTCGCCGTCGGCTGGTTCAACAGCTACCTTGACAAATACTACATCGACAGTTGGTAAGTAGTTCAGAAAAACCTTCTGCCTTAACCTTCTAATTATTTACCAGGAGGGTATGGTTCTCTATCGTCATCGTCTTCAGCGGCCTCGGCAACATTGCGCTCGCCATAATGCGATACCGCATCGGCCAAAAATCCTTCCTCTCCGCGCTCATCGAGAACTTCAAATGGATCCTCATGCTCGCCATCTTCCTCGGTGGCCTCTCACTTCACGTTTCCCAGGCGCTTCTCGCGCACATGTTCGAGATCGACATGACTTGGGGTGCAACATCCAAAGAAGCAGAGTTCTCGAGCTTCTTTATCGAGGTACCGAAGGTGCTGAAGAAGTTTAGATTTAGTATCGCGTTTGCAGTGATTGGGATTTCCGGAATGGTTATTTTAGCGACAGCAAATTTTATCCCGTATTCGTGGCATATTAGGGATTTTGTGGCCATTTTGCCAATGGCGACGGTGACGGCGAGTCATTTGCTGTTGCCGATCGTGTTGAATCCTGCATTGATGACTTTCTCGTGGTAAACTGCGAAAAGGAGGTATAGATGGGGCTGGAAGTTTTGGTTGTGGCTAGGACTGTACCATACTTGTCGAGTGATCGATTCTTGGAGTTTGGGTTCTCCTAGGATTAGTATTGTGAGTTTTAATGTTTACACATATGCATGTAATGGTGAGATACACTCTCTAGCATTATATTCTTACCATCTCTAACAGCTTTACGTAGGTTCTTAAATCTTAACTACTGCCATCTAGAAAACTCTTTTACGAAATGACACCTTGCATTGTAGACGAGGTCTAAAATAAAAAGTACGTCCACAGGTCATGGATGAACACGAACACGAAAGAAGCTACAAAATATTCAAGGAAGCTACGGCTACGAAATTCGCTCGGTAATTATCCGTACAGGTGTCGTCATTCACATCTTTCACAAATTTTCTACACTGACACCCATTCCATTGGGCCAACTACCGCGTGAGCGCCTGCTGCATATCGCCCACCTCTCACCTTTTCCTCAGCACCTAAAACGGAACTTTATCCAGCATCGCAAACCCGGCAAACCCGAGCTGCGGATTCGCCGAGGGACTCAGTAAAAGGGAGGAGAGGGATGATGATGAAGGCTTTAGTTTCGAAGGCCTTAGCGGGTAGTTTTGATTTCTTCGCCTGTTCGCCAGCCTATACAATCAGATACTGATCCCTCTTCCAGAGAGATGTTAATAGTGACATCTTTGAGGAATACGGCGAGGTCTCAGGAAATAGGGAGGTTAGGAGAAGTATATCGATTTGTCGGTAAAGGGTGTGGGAATTAGGAAACGGTACGTAGATTTGGTATCTGAATTTTGGGTTGGGGAGGTCTCCCAGAGTCTGCAAGGTTTATAAGTAGTACTTCCATATATCTTGGAAGAGGGACAAGGAGAAAAGAAGTCTTTCGTTCGGACGGTGAGCATCACAGAGTCCGAACCATTATCAAGAAGACATAATGCGGGTTGTTTTGATCTTTTCGAGACTGATTATTTCACTGAGTTGACAACATGGGGCTCCTTGAAGAAGTTTTGAAGCGCCCATGGTTTCAACACGTTTGAGTCATTTAAGAAGCATCTTTAGGAAAGAATCCTTAGATCTCCTGTAGGGAGGATCAGTCAGTGTGTCCAACCGTTAGTACACCTAATAGTATAGTACTGCAGTACACTGATTTTAGTCACGTACGTACGTACAGGGCATCTACTTAGTATACTGTACTATACATAAGGCTGCTGTACTAACTGTTTATAGTAGTTATATAAGATTTTTAGTAGTTTTAGGCAGTTAAAGGTAGGTTACTAAGAGCTAAGAGGCTTATGTTTAGAGATTAATGCAGAGAATGCTGTTAGTGCCTATTTTATTAGCAATTTTTTAATAAATTTAGTAACTATGCTATCTACCTTATTTTTTTACTTATTATAATGTTCTAATTTTTATCTTAATTAATAACATAGTTATCTTAGCGTGTTACCACCTTGTAGGCCCTATTTTTATAGGCCTTATCCTTACATGCCTTATCTAGCTGTTCTGCCATCTAGATATATTATGCTGCCTTATTCTAACGCTTAGAGAAGGCCTACATAGCCTTACCTAGCCTATCTAGGCTGTTCTTGCGTGAAGCAACTCCTTTAAAGCATATGTAAGATACCTAGGCTAAGGAGCACCTAAATAATGCCTACTATAATGTTAGAATTACCTTTAAGATTAACATTACTTTTAATTTCTTATTAATTTTAGTAACTTTATGTAAGTGCAAGTAGTGCTTCTTATAGGCTAAGAAGACTATTATAATAAAAAAAAATTAACTATTAGTGTTAATAATAAAGGCTTCTTAACTATAGAAGAATTAGTTACATAACATTACTATTACTAGTAAGATTAACAACTATAGATTTTATAAAAAGTATTATAAATTTTTAATTAAGTATAGTCTTTAGCTTTAGTGTAATTACTTTATAATACTTTAGTTACTAGTTAGTTAGTTAGTAACAGCTAACTCTTCTGTAACTGTACTATACAACCTCTAAAAGGCTCTGTAACTAACAGTTGGACACACTGGAGGATCTAGAGGGTTATGATGAATCTACATCACACTTTGCGCCATGCACATACTGTATGCATTTACTACAGCCTCCTCAATCAGACAGGGAAGGGGTCAGATTGAATATCCTCCACACTCAATCTGCACGCAAAATATTCACGAGGTGAGGAGATCATCGCGGAAACTCTTCTCTAAAGTCGCGAATTTTCTTTGCGACGCTCGACATTGCGGACAAAAATTCGAGTTCCCGAAAGCAAATTACACTTTATTAACAGGAAACATAGGTACGCAAAAAGTAGCCACTATACTGGGGAAGGAACCTCCCCAGGTCTTCTCGCTTTGAGTATTATATGGCGGTAACGGAATTCGTTCTTATGTATGATCAAAGCAGAGGTTGCATTTCTTACTGCCTTTAAATTAGACCCGATTAGTGGATACTTCCATTAGAGCAGCTCAACCATTGTTTGGCCCCGCTAGCTATTCTTTTAAGGTCTGAAAAGCGATAGCTGCTGCAGCCAGGCCAAGGACACTTCCTCTCCAGGGGTTGCCGTAGCATGTCAAAATACTGCCTAATTGCGAACACTATCGCTAAGCTCATCCCTGGTTTCAGCTCTTTAAAACTCGTTCTAGATATCACCCGACGGCGATCGAGCGCATTGAAGAGTTCGTACTCGCTACAACAGCTTTTGCTTGACCTGGTATGCTCTCGAAGTGTGCCATGATTACTGCTTCAGGCTTCTGTTGGGATATAAGCATAGAGTGACTCCAATGGTAGACGCGGGCTGAGCCTTGCCAACCAGTCAAATTTTAAAGATATTGGGATGATTCTGCTGAAGGCGTCTTCGAACCTCACAGGAGCTTGAAACCATGCGTATTGTAGGGTGAGTGCCAGCAATGCCTACATCCTGGCAAGAAGCGTAATGATCTGAGTATTAGACTGCCATACTTTGGTGACTTGTTAGCAAGGGATTTCAATTGAGCGATCACATCTCTGTGATATGTGAGCGGGATACGATAGAGATATCGTCAGGACTTTTTCTTACCCATTCAGGAAGCTGAGCAGCCTGGCAATAGTTATCTGAACAGGTTCTGAGACCCTCTGAGCAGCTTCGAAATTGTCATGAATTTGGATAACCTTCGTTTTGATTCTTCTAGTTGTTTCGAGCACCTCTGCCTCAATATGTCCAGTTTGCTCCGTATGTATGTAAGATGTCAGTCTGTGTATGATGAAGTTAGATTCTAGTCACGAGAGAGGGCGAGATACCTCATAACCCCTCTGGAATGAGCCTTATATTTAGGCTGACAACAAGAGCTGCAAGATACGCTCGCAAGTTGCGAGCTTCGCTGGCCATCATAAATCGCTATTTTAATTTACGATACCACGGCTTAGCCCTAGACATATATGCCTTTCTACAGGGCTCTAAGCTTCTTTAGTCTTTCCGTAAATTTGTCAAGTACATCAGTACACATCAAGGCAGCGACTTTGATACGAGCAAGAGAGAACTGGCGTCCGGAGGTACTTTAAGATGTTCAATACGGTATAATGCGCGCTCAAGGCTATCAAGCTCGAGAACAAGCTCCTGGTAATCCAACCGGGTTGATGCCCGCAGTATCGCAACGATGTCCTTTATCAGCCTCCTAGTAACTAGGAAGTCGCCGACCGAGAAACCGAAAGACATGACGAATGTCCCAAAACTAGAAGAAGACCCAAACATCTGCTCAGATGAAGGAAACGATGAGGTTAAGAAGGGAGATGAAGAAAATCCTAAGCGCTAGGCGGCAAGGTTGAACCATGCTTGCTGATTCAGCTACAGCATGCAGGGAGGACAACATGGCTTGGAAGGTGAGGGGTAAGGTTGAATTCAACCTTACTGGAGAACAGAAGCCTGAACATCGACCGGAGGAACTGTCGACAAGGTGAAATTCGTGAAAGTGAGTAAGAGAAGAGGATGTAACATCAACAGTCAATCCACTTCACATTAGCGATATATTCGGGCATAGTGGCTCGGCTCGGCTTACCGCTTTAGGCCCAATCCGAAAGGTAGCATCAACTTTCTCACAACCACCTCGCTAGCCGATCTCGGGACAAATACAACATCAGAATAAGACTGATTCATTATATGTATGGGCGCTCTGTCTTGTGGAGCCAACCTCTCCACCGTCCTTTCTTCACCCCAGTCTATCGCCACTCTCGTTGGGGCCTTCAACTTCGATTGCATAGTTCAAGCATCCAGCAACTCCAACATCGTAGCACGAACATCCCAAAAATTCAAATCCACACTACTAGCATCTGTCGATCCTCATTCCACACATTAAAGATGACATACTCTCCTAAAATCGGAGACCCAATCTCCACCCTCGACACCCCTTCCATGATTGTTGATCTGGACCTCATGGAATCCAACATCTCCAAACTCATGTCTCAACTCCTCCCCACGGGCATCAACATCCGACCACATCTTAAAACCACCAAGTCCGTAATCCTAGCCCGGAAACTAAATGCCGCGGGTGCAAAAGGTGGATGTGTTGCAAAGCTCAGCGAAGCCGAAGTGATGTGTGAACTCGGATTCACTGATTTGCTTATCACGTGCGAGATCATTGGAGCAGCGAAGGTGAAGAGGCTAGTGGAGTTATTCAGGAAGTATAGGAGTATAAAAATTGTGGTGGATAGTGAGGGTGGAGCGAGTGCTATTAATGAGGCACTCGAGAAGAGCGGGATTGGAGAACCGATCATGACACTCATTGACTTGGATGTTGGATTGCACAGAACGGGCGTACAGGCTGGGGAGCCGGCCTTAAAGCTAGCAAGGCATGTTGTGGGGCTCACGCATCTCAAGTTAATCGGAGTACAAGGTTATGAAGGGCATCTCCAACATGTGCACAACCGTGAAGAAAGAAAGCAAATGTGTTTGGAGTCGATGGCAACCTTGACTCAGACGGCGGAAGCATTTCGCGAAGACGGCCACAATATCGAAGTCGTAACAACGGGAGGAACAGGCACAGCCGAATTCTGTGTCTCAGTGCCCGGAGTCACCGAAGTCCAGCCCGGATCCTTCCTCTTCATGGACACGGACTACCGAAACGCAGTGGGTACATTCTACTCCAACAGTCTCACGATCCTCTCCACGGTCATTAGCAAGCAGGGGCAGAAATGTATTACGATCGATGCAGGGTTAAAGTCTCTTACGACGGACAGTGGTCTTGCTGAGTGTAAGACGGTAGGGTATACATATGGAGTTTTAGGGGATGAGCATGGGTCGTTGAGTTGGACCGATAGTCCCGATTTGAACGTTGGGGATAGGGTAGAGATGATCCCGAGTCATATTGATCCAACGATCAATCTTCACGACTTTTATTACGCCCATAGGAAGGGTGTTATCGAGGAAATTTGGGCCGTAGATGCAAGAGGGAAAGTCCAGTAGGAACTGTGTTACTGAGTGTATGTATTAACCAGTATGTTTATAGCCCTAAGCAGTCTTGGGTCTTTCCAGTACTTCATATTTGAGGTAGGCCACATCCACACACTTGCGCATGTAAAACCGTTCATTCAAAGTCGAGTCTCCCCTCTCGTAAAATCTTCGCTGGAATATCTGCTAACGGATCCTTCCCGTCATACGCATAACGCGCCCTCTCCCTTCTTGTAAACTTAGTGATATCGTAATGGGATCTCCCCCGACGAGCAATACCATACATCTTTTTGTAAGCACTGAATCTTGGGCTCCATCACCATGGATCTTTCTCTTCATTGTAGGATCCAGAGACCACAACCTCCTCATCATTGCTGGACTCCTCCAGCTTTTCCAAAATATGAGCAGTTCTGGAGACGCCCTTGTTCGGATCCAGTCCAGCAGTTTTGAAGTACGCCACAGCATCTCGACGCCACGCAACAGTGTCGCCTTCGATACCGTAATCGGGGAGGCTATATGACCATCTAAGGAAGGAAGTAATGACCAAGGGAAGATCTAGGAACTTCGAGTCCGGCTTCAGCTCACCCATTAATTTGATAGCACTCAGCGCTGTAAGAAGAGCGCATACTTTCTCGCCATCTTCGTTATCTAGGGTTCGTTAATACCTGTACATTGCAATGACCGATACTGGAAGGGAGTTTGGGAAGTGTGCATACTAATGAGATCCATGTCATCATTGTTCAACCACAACCCGATAACCCTGACAATAGCCCACATCTGATCCAGAGAGTCCGTCTCACTCTTCTTTAGCTCTTGGTCGAATTCGAGCATCTAAAGAACGTCAGCATTTCATTCCAACACATCTTCATCGCTCCAGTCATATTACACTACCTACCAGGTTTTCCAAAAGCTCCTGTAATCCCCATCCCTTCCAATCATTAGAGATATACATCCCAAACATATCCGGATTACAGTACTTCGCCCCTCTCGTGCAATCTAGGAGTATTTTCCAGCCTTGCCACATGATCACCCACTTCCAATCCTGATGGTTCGTAGCTGGCTGGAGAATAACCTCCTTTGATTTCTCTTTGTGGAAGCCTTTACTATACTTTTCGTATAACTCGTCATTTTCAAGTCTGTCCGAGTTGGAGTGGAAGTCTTCGAACTTGACGTCGAAGTAAGGACGATGGATGCATATGTATTCATGCTTAGCGATAGTTGCCGGCTAAAAGAAGCGAGTTTGCTTAGCTTCTAAACTCCGCAAAACATTGTCGAAATTCAAAGAGACATACATCACGTAGCTCCGTATCGCTCTGCTGGCGCGTCTGCCCTCAATCCATTGCCAGTTTTCTGTCGCTTTGAAGCGGGCATGATGTTGGGGAAGGGGAAATGAGAGCGACGATGGCGTGGTGATGGCAAAATCCTAATGGATCTTGCAGTGAGAAAGGATGTTGAAAACACGTGTTGGAGGGAGACGAAGTCTTTGTTTTGTTTGGCATGACATCACGTGATTATAGCTTACTGAGGACTCTCACGTGACTCTCACACATCGCAACCAAATGTGTCTTCACCACGATCCATGGATCTCTTGCTTTCATTTTTACCACACAATAGAACTGAAATATGAAGAGATTTAGTAGGCTACCCTTACTACAACTTTAAGATGAGAACCCGTGGACCACCGATGGACACAGGCGCATAACCATTTCAGGAGGGAACCAGGAGTTAATGAAAGGACTTTCGGCGCTGCGTTATATCTGAAATCTACGAAGGCATTTGCTTGGTGAACAGCCTTTCTTGTTTGGGGTTGGATTCTTCATTGCTTCACAAATAAGATAATGAACGCCTCGAGCCTCGGTAATGCGCTTAAAGGTGGCGAAGAGAATCGACTTAAAGCATTGCATTAACAAAGAATCTAAGGCATCATGAGTGCCAACGAGTAGTCCTGGACTGGACTGGAAGTGACTCACGTGAACTCCCAAGTAGGTCTAGCTTTTGTGAGTCTTGGCGCTTTCTCAAAGTCTCGCTTTTGTTTCCGGGCAGCCGTCCTCTATCCATTTCAAGATCAATGCCATTCGTATTCATTTGCCGTCTTTGCAACATCTCACTTCGGCTCGCGTGCTCTCAATGCCGAGTTCTGTGGGGATTAGAAGGCCCTACAGCACTCAACTTGGTCGTAGAGTGGCTCGGCCGAAAGCGCCAGTGTGACGGCCCAACGTTTGGGATAGAAGGCCCCTAGAATCAAGCTTTGATGAAGAGCTCGGGAATTTTAGCAGCGAGAGTGACGTCTCTTGAACTCCACACATCTTAAAATTCCTGGATATTCAGTTGCTGCACCTGCAGCTTACCGACGCAGTCACATTTCCCCAGGATATCAAACGAAATACCCTGGCCGCCTCGGATTCGTGGACTTTCAGCCTGTCATCGTGTCGTCGATATAAAAATAATCGGGACCCTCGACATCGCTTCGTAGCCTTGTAGGAGTGCTCTAAGAGTGCTCTTAATCCGCTTATGATATCTCCAAATCTAGCTCAGTTTGTCCCTTCATCCGATCCCGCTGTTTCAGATCGTGCGTAGACGGCAGTTTGTGGCACACGAAAGCATTGAGATAAAGCGCTAGGAACGATAATGGGATTTTCATTAGGGTTCCTGCATTCTTCACAACATAGAAACCTGAGACGCTCAGAGGAGGTGGAAATTTCGTTACTCAAGTAGAAGATTATGAAACGTAGCAGCAGCCCTCTCCACTTATCAAAAAGCCCCGTCGTCGGATTTGCTCGTCTATGTCTTGGAATTACTGTCATTCAGCCGCGCGATTGGAGGATAGACTGGAAGCGACGTTCAAGTTGATTATTTACAGGGATCGGCAGAAACGATATTACCAGAAGCTATCAAACCCGCAGCAACGCGAGTGCGGCCTCACCTGCTGAATTTCAATACGTGGTACGAAATCTCACCGGAGGCCAGGACAGGATTCTGCTGTTACCGCAAGCGCTCGATCAGTAGTTGACGAGGCTTACATGATGTGCGACTGTCTTCCAACTCAAACAGCCACAATATCATGTTCCTAATGTTGGCATGCAAGCAATAACCTGTACCCCACAAGTCGCCACGTCAGGCGCAAGGCCGCCTCATCTACATGTGGCTCTTTCGGAAGAAGATTGATGAAGATAGAGGTCGAACCAATTCTTCCAGCGTGCTCTATAGGCCAAAGAGGGGCTTCGTTCAGTCTACCAGTATAGCGAGGTATATATTATACATGTGTCACCCGACCCACGTGAAATCCAGTCTTCTCACTTGTTAACCGGGCTGATCATCCGTGCAGCCGTTGTGGGCCCTATTTGGTCCAGAGTGCTGAACAAATTGCGGGGGGGCCAGGTCCGACAGTCCGTGCCTGAAGACGGACAAAGTGGACAGGGGCCTGGTGGCTGCAGAACTCGATGCTGCCACCAACTATATCAGAATGCCGGCCCACGATGTCGCAAGAGGTGGTTTTCGCGATTTTCCCCGAATCGACAACTCACCGTCAGAATGCCTTACTATCCACTCCAAGTCACATGCCTGGCGGTGATATGTGGCACACCTATGCTCTCGGCCATATTTGTCTTTTTAAGGTTATACACAAGACGGAAGCTCAATTTGCGACTCGGATGGGGTGAGTGCATCTCACTGGTTTAGCTTCTCAGCGCTGACAGAATGTCCTTAGATGACTGGCTGATCGTGGTGCCACTGGTATGCGCTGAAGAACTTGCGCTGAGCTTCGCAGTATTCTGATATTTGTACAGCTGTTTTCAATAGCATTAATAGGTCCCTCCTGGAAACATGTCAAAATGTGGCATGTCGGCATTCACATTTGGGATGTTCTTCCGAACGATATCGAACCGAATTACGATGAATACTACGGCGTCCGTTATAGCACTGGCATGGTTTTATAATCGCTAATTGGCAGCAGGTCGTAATGGCTTTCAATCTCCTCAATATTCCAATTTTACCACTGGTCAAGTGCTCGATAATACTCCTACTTCTGCGGGCCGGATCTGTCATCGAATGGCTGAAGAAGGTGCTCTACGGCATTCTCATATTCACGGTCGGAAGCGCATTGATTCCATGGTTCCTCTACATATTCATTTGTCCGCCGCAGACCGGAAATACTTGGAAACCGAGAACATTTGGTGGATTACACTGCATGGGACGACACCGCATGGGCGAGATGCTTCTCTGGGTCACTTGTGCCAACCTCCTTACCGATTTGCTCATATTTCCAATTCCTTTCATTATCGTGAGGCGAATGATGAGCGCACGCCTACGATCCAGAATGGTGGTCCTAGCGGTTTTCACGACAAGCCTGGCGTAAGGATAACCCTCGCTCCCAAGGTTTCAACGTTTCATTAACAGATCACTACAGCGTCACGGCTATTGGCGGCGCCAAAATCTACCTATCCTATCGCGACCGTCTCTACAGCATCTTCAAGCCTGATTGGACCTACCCGATCGACTACTGCATCAACCATATTGAGAATAATGTCGCGATCATCGTCGCAAACATACCGATTCTCCGCGGTCTTGTTACCCGCTGGGTCTTTAATTTCAAGACTAAGGCAACGCCAATAGAGCGTGAGTTTCGGAATGATTGGCAATGGAGCTCCTCAAATTCGTCGACGTTCACACGAGTGGCAAAGAGGAATAGGATCGCCCAGAAGATCATGCCATGTATCCAGGAAGATTTCTCCTCCAGTCTCGCCCGATCGAGAGACATTCGAGATCCGGAAAAACCGGTCCGAATCGTTACCACAGACTACCGCAAGAACCGTTCGCAATACAAGTCACGTAATTCACGGCGGAATAGTCTTGATAGATATGATACCGCGGACAGTTGCGAGAAGGGCGACATGTTAGAGACGGTGAGGAGCATGGGGAGCTTGGGGTCAGCACCAACGCTGGTGGAGAGCAAAGAGCTAGAGTGGAAGCTTGCGGAGGGCAGTCCGATGTCGAGTCCCAGGAGGATGTCAAGTCCGACATTAAGCCCCATTACGCCCATGACGCCGTGCTTGCTGAGAGGGATTGAAGATGATGATGAAATATACCCATATCCTTGAATGATATCATAGCTAATGAAATTCAAACAAAGTTCAAACTCAAAGCTTAGTTTTGCTCTCGCTCTCCCATATGTGGCTTTTCTGAAGAGCTTCTAGATGGGCTTCTCGAGCATTGACTCCAGCCTTGTGGAGACCTCCACGGCGCCTTCTGCGGCGCTCATGCACACTTCATTTCACCCCAAACGTTCATCTGCCCCTAATGCCACCGTGACGCCCCTTCCCCGCCTTTTCCGTCATTTTAACCCTCCACTTCACATCCTGCAATCACTCAGTCCACATGGCAACACGACCGTCGCGTCCCTCAACTCGCAGTTTCTTACCACGGACCGCCGCTCGCCCAGTGCCGGCGCTCAGGCCCGTCGGCCGGCCCAAGCAGCCTGCAGGGACCCAGCACCAGGTTCTTTCATCCATTTTAGCCCAAGCTCCCTAGTCGTAGCTCACCGCTTTCGGAGGAATCTAGGGTAGCTCCTCTTGCTTTTATCTACCCCTCTAGAAATTTGGAGAGGTGTGGCTCCCCTGGGATCGCATGAGCATGAACTAGATGATGGACCTGGGCTGGGCGGAGGGGCTGGAGAGCTTGAGGAGGCTTGAGGTGCTGTAGGAAGATGCAAGATCCATAGATACGAATAGGTGAAGATGTGGATACGATATCTACGGATGGATGCGTATGTGCTCCTTATTCGAATTATAATTATGACTACCTCTCGGAGTAATCCCTCTCTTGAACAAACTCCCTTCGTCGCTATAGCTCAAGGTTGACATTAACGTAATCTGGCTTTCACAGCAGGGCCGCGCAGCTCCAAGATCGGCCTCCAAGTCGGAACTTGTCTGCTCGCTCTTGATCGACCAGAATCCAGGCACGCAGGTCAGCTGTCAGGACACGAACCGGCCACTGCCACCTCGACTCTCGCTTCTGCGTGTGACTTGGACGGCCCCAGATCTTACCGGCGTGGCCGCAACGTCCACCTTTTGGGGCAGGGGGTGGGGGATGGGATGTGACTGAGTTGTTGGATTCACATTGCCTATCGATAAACATGCATGATCCGGCGACCAATGCACTGCCGCGGTTTGCTAGCAATTCCATTGTTCTGTTCTTTTGTGCAATTATCTTTTGACTGCCGTTCTAGAGAACTTTGATGAGGGGCAAATACCACGGCATAAACTTCCTCGCTCAAAAGACTCTGGGGTGCGCTGCAAGCTACCCCCCCTCGGTTGATATGGATAAAGTGCCCATGGCCAGCACCAGCTCCCAAGTTACCCAACCATGAAAAATTTCATCTGCCTAAATTAAAAGGTGCCATGCCCACAGCAACCTCGAGTTGCGGGTCGGGTCTCGGACAAGCTTAATTTTTTCTTGGGGCGATTCTGAAATATTGGATGATAATGCAGCGTGTATTTTGTGGCGGCACCGGATATTGGTGGGGTGGAGTGTGCGCGTGGAGAAAGAGGCAAGAGAGGCAAACCGAGTGTGAGTGACGATGATGATACTTTAGTTACCTACTATTCGCTCTGTCCGTTTCGCTGCAACGGCGGCTTGAGCGAGTCCAAGTCGATTCCAAACCACCATTGTTCTGAAGGACCCTTCCATCATTTCCGCATGCTCCACCTTCGTAACTGCTGTCCTACCTCAATGCTCCACTTGCTCCAGAATTGCTTTCAACATCAAACCGTCTCGTGGGGACAAATCATGAGCGAATGGAAAGCGTATGCTGCCGTGAATTACGCTAAGACAAGCCAACCAAATGCTCAGGACTAAAGCCAATGCAAGTAAGAAAAGTGAATGAAGCCACAAACGATGACACGAACGCCTTCCGACGCCATTTCCGGACTAAAGTCGTATTCGCTTTGGTAAGTGAGGAATTTGGCTATTCGTAACGTACATCCATTTGCCTTTTGTCTCAAAGGGTGTGGTACATGAGAAAGAGATGAGAAAATTTTTTTTTAAGTCGTGAAGAGTATCCCGCCGAAATGCATCCGAGTGGTGGTGGGAGATTAGCGGAGCGGTGTAACCCGCGGTATCGTCGGAAATGGAGGCGTGGAAAATCCGAGGCGGATGCTGGGTTTAAAGGCCGAGGGTTAAGTGGTAGGGTATCCATGCATGAAAGAGGAACACCGGCTGCCATCACCTGACACTTGTACTCCACGGAACAACAGGCGTGGGTGAAGAGACGGGAAATTGGAGAATAGCTCAATGGCGAGTGGCTTAAAAAAGGTGGCATGCAGAGTCTTTGACCGATGCTATGCCCAGAGTAGTCCAGTGATGAGCATGGTGGCGGCTGCAAGAACGGACCTGGCTGGAGAAAGGTTGGTGGCAGACGATGAATGTATCTGGGCGTTGGCAGCAACAGTCGCTTTCTCGTTGTCATCGTCGCGCTTGCACTCCGTTTTGTCAGACAGTACTGCTGGACAGATAACGCGTGCAAAGGTTGCGCTGTGGAATGTTAGGTAGGTTTCTTTGGCCGGATATCACACAGATGCGCACATACCTGGGATACTGGGCGTCTTTGAACCAGTCGAAGCGCCATCGACAACCAGGTTGCATTGCTTTTGGCAAATTTTCACAGTCATCTATGGACTTAACACCTGAATTTGTCTCTCCGAAGACGTTCTGTGAGACACCAAACTGATTGGCGCAGGCGTCATGAGAGGTTGTGTTTCCTCCCGGTATCTGGAGGTACATTATTAACCAGATCAATGAGAGGTTGAGTGTTCGACTTCTTACCGCCAGAGAAAATCGATTGGACGTGGTCACATCGTATGCTGTATTGGATGCTTGGACGATCATGCTCTTGCCCTTCACTGGTCCGCTCGTGAAGTTCAGTTGGTAGCAGGCACAACACCAGAAATCTTCAACATGGCCCATGACGAAGATACCCGCGAATCCATAGGAGAAGGTATCGTTCACTGCCCATGGTTGTTGATCAGAGCAGGAATAAGCAGTTCCGCCATTACAGCCGGTCCCAGCACTGAAATCCCTGAAGGGTTCGTCTGCTTTATTGCAGGTGAGCACCGGCGAGGAGAACTTCGCTTTTTCTTTCCATGAACAGGACGGTTTGCAACAGTCCCAGAATCGAGTGGTTACTGCCTCACCAGTGCCATTTGTGCACTGAATAGAGACAACGAAAAGGGCGAGGAGGAAGGCGATATTGCGAAGATAAGAGAGCGTCATTGCGTGATAGGAAATTGGATGCGAGCAGTGCAAAGACTGGAGAGCATGATTTATTAGCAAGGGAATTCGCGGTGCCAAAGAAATCTATTTGAACCGCGCTAGGAGCAGAGGGGTTATATAAGGCCGGCCGCAAGGAGTAATTAATACTCCTCTTCTATGATATTGCCAGGCCGAGAACACACACTCACCTGTTTCGCTGAGGTAGCCTGCCGGTCGCCACGCAAGGGTCGGAGGCGGGGCTTGCACCAAATCGGAAATGCGATTTGACAACTTTTACAGGTCAAATAGGCCGTGAGCCTCGTCCGAAGTTGAAATAAGCTATCGTTGTCCTAAATTTCTGTGTCAATGCGGCATGCAACCAGGCCGCTCACGACGCCTTCTCCGCAATCCATATCCATGCAGCGTAGCATTCACTCACCCCGCAATGCGCAAACCGTTCATGGTGACGGATTGCTGCCTTTCGGTAAGGTCCAGCTTTAGACGTGGGTAATGGTTTTACCCAGTCTTCGCCCCATTGTCACTCCTCTTCACCTCCTCTTTTTGGACAGGTTTTCCCATTGTTGAACTGCTTGTTCCGTTGATGTCTCACACGTTCAAATCTCGGCTATTTCGTATTGGAACAAGCGAGCTGCAAAGCACCGCTTCCTTCAGCTTTGGCAACTCACACAACGTCTTGTGTAACAATATATTATGGAGAAAGGACCACGCGTACGTGCCATGTGCAACAACGGATGCGCTTGTAAGGTGAACGGGCCAACTGCCAGGCACATACTCGTAAAGCCTGACCCTTTTAGTCTTTCCCCTCGTGGTTCCCCGCGAAAGAGCCTGTGCTCTGGCATTTGGTTGGCTGATGGCAGATCTAAAGTATACCTGAGCGGAGTATTGGTCACGGAACTTGTGAACATTAGTTCTTTAAGCGGAGTCTCTTGCAGTCCTGCAAGTCCACGCAGACCAGGTTTGGACGAAGATATTGCAGCGCACGACAAAGGCTATAATCCAACAGAACGCGGCCCAATACTTTTTGCTTAGCTTTTGGTGGGTCATCAATCCAGATCGAGAGTTCATCCTGTAGTTGGAAAAGCATGTGGTCAACCACCCCTTGACGGAAATCCGTATCCTGGAGATTGGCATCTGGGTTGGCGAAGCATCTCAAGCAGTGAGCGATTGCATTCTGAAATGTCCCGGAGAGCTTTTCCCTCTCACGATTCATCCATCGCCTAACGACACATGAGTCATTGAGCTTGTTCCTTGAGTCTGCAAATTCTTCGTTGGTATAGAAGTTCTCCATCGGCTGATTAAAATAGATCTCGAACAGCAGAATACCAAGATCAATGATCTTTGCGCTATCGTCACCAAATGCGGTGTGACTACAATTGCATGCTGTCATAACCGTCAGCCTATGAAATCACGGAGCAGGTAGCATGAACGTACCCTGATATTCACATGTTCCTGAGTCACATACGTGAACGATATGTGGGTGGCGGATCTCCGCAAGGATATGCACAGAGGCGCCTTGGTCGGCTGAATGCCCCCGGAAAACGATGTCACTTTTACTCCATCGACTTCCTAACCAAGGCGTTGCATGAAGCTAGAGGAATGAAGAGCATAGAGTCACGGCAAGCACGTAATAGTTTTCTCTCGTGAAATTGCTCTGCTGAGATTTCATCCGCGCGGAGGAGGTCGGATAAAGTAACAAATGTGGATCCATCGGTAGAAAATGTTGAGTAGACGAGAAACTCTGCTCAACTTTCCCTGCACATGGTCAAGGAGAAAATTTGGATGTCCTCCAAGATGAAAGCCCTGCAGCGCCATCCGTAAGCTTGTGATTTCAGAAAGAGTGACCCGATTAGCTTCATGATTAGGCCTAAGTGTTGGCAACGGAGGTGAGACGGCAATGCTAAATTTGCTTTTGTCCCTATCCTTTAGTCAATCTCAGGATACTTCAAAGAACATCTAGACAACTCGAGTCGAGGACACAGGCGTGTTCAGATGTAGATATCAAGGCTTGTAGCCTGGAAGCGTGCGGAATGTGTAATGGATGATATGATTATGTCCATGGAGAGGAGCACTTACTTAGCCAGGGCTTGTACTGGCTGGACAACTTGCACTTTTGCCATGATCCATGCGAAGTGTTCATCTGAGACCGAATAGGTGAACCCAGTGACGCCACCACTCCGAAGTTGCGAGGTTTTAGCTACTCTGCCACTCACACTCCTGGACTGCACCATGCGCTATTCGGGAAGTAAACTGGTGGCAAGGGTTGAGCATGTTGAAGTGGTCCAAAATCGAGTGAGAGCATTGTTAAGGGTACTGACATATCGCTGGATACGTGCCAGAAGTACGATAAATTGTCATTGGCGACTACGCCTACAAGGTTCGGCTCCAGGAGCCTCTGGATCCTCTATTTCTTCATGGTAAATTTGATTCGTTTCGAGAATTAAAATGCATGTGAATTACCCGATGAAGACTGCTGAGCATTAATTAGTATGGTCGCTTGGAGGTAGTCCCTCGTTTTCTGCAGGCTATTAGCGTCTTCCCCGATTCACCTTGGATAGGACCACCCACGTCATTCAATCGCTCTAAATTTAAGTTCTCTGCAATTTTCATCATGATTTTTTTTGGCATCCATGATAGTGTGCCTGTATAGCTCGTATGCCGTTGCAAGCTTCTCTTTCAGCCTGCCTTCAAGTTCTTCGCTTTGGCAAAAGGTTGGAGGTGGCGTCGGCTATCATAACCTCAAATTCGGCCGCTAGAACAATAGGAGCAAGTAGAGCCCTGGTCGTAAGCTCGTATGAAGTGTATTGGAACTAAAGCCTTCGGATCGCGTCGTTCAACTATCTTCCTACTTCCAGAAGGCCTTGGCCCTTCTAGGCTTGATTCGTAGTTCTTCAGCGCCACAATCACCAGACGCACGATGCTGAGCATGAGACCGGTCACCTTAACGCCCGACATTACGGAAAGGGGACAGGTCAACAATATACATGGGGAAGACGGCTTGAGATGATTGGAAGTATGGGGATAGTGGAGTTGTGAGAGTTCGTCAGATTGATAAGGTACGTTGAGTGCCAGAGTGCAGGCCAGGCTCGGCCTCCCAGAATTTTCTCAACACCACGACAGCATTCCGCCCATCCTATGATTCATTACCAAGTCTTCAGACTTCCTAGGCTCGTTTCTTCGCGACAAGCGGGCTTTCTACCCTTGGTCAGTGCAATCATCAGCTTGGCCCACAGACCCATGACGCAATATTGGCAACAAAAAGACTGTGATATCTCTTAGTGGTAGTGTTGCTTGTGACAAAATGGGAAGTAACAATGGGCTCAGTTCTGTGCGCTTCCACGGGTTCGGATCTCTACTCTCTGTGCTGCTTACCAATAAGCCCAGCCCTGAATTTTTAGAACAGAGCTAAAAAAAAAAAAAAAAAAAAAGGAAGGGTAACTTCGAGCACTATTTCTCGATCTATCTTCTCGGGCACTGAGGCAACGACTTGCAGAAAGGAGCTTGAAGAAGTCCTGGAAATTCGATTTGTTGTATCAATGCTACAACTGCGTTTGACGCCAAAGGGAACAGCATGAGCTTTCCGCTAGTCCCTTCGAAGGTTGCAGGAGGTCTGTGGTTTGTGTGCCTGTAATTCGTGGTTTTGTGTCCTGCGAGACACAGCACTGAGGCTAGTGTGGAGGTTAGTGTTACGTACTCTTCAGCGGAGTCCAACGTCTAATTAGGTAGAACCCATACACTCCATGATCTCCAGCCATGTGCTTGCATCTACCCTAATTGCTCGTCACAGACATCCAGCAACGGCCATTAGTAGCTTGAAGATTAAGGAATGCCCGATATGAAGGTCTGATACTGTTTCGAACATCTGACTGCCATTTTTAATTCTACATCAAATTACCGAGGACGCTTAAGAGCCACCCACGAAGAGCAACTCGGCGAGCTTGTTAGTATACTAGATGTTGCTAAGACATATCTTGTCAAAATTGCAATATATGCCTGCAATGCCCCGCAACCTTGGAGCGAGTCTCGGCCATCCTAAAGTTCTGTGTATTTGTAATTTGAACAGGATCGCCGATTTGCGTGATCTGAGACGGCTGAAGATCACCAATGGTCGACCGAAGCAATTGCAGAATCTCCAAGAACCGCTTCGGGTAACGTTTCGGTAAAATTTGGGATTCCGCTCAAAATGATCATAGAGCTCTTGGGCAGAGCACGTTTGACCCAGGCCCTCAGGACCAGCCGGACCCCGCAACACCACCGCTTCTTTCACGGCCCCAACCCGGTCTCGGGTCGTGACTGGCACCTTTGGTTCTGTCAGGTGACTATCTAGAAACCAGTGGAGAGCGGATTGAGTCTGATTCCGGTGATTGTCTGTTTTTCATAAGACTCCATAGGTGAGAATCAAGTAAAGTGGAGTAATACACTCTCCTAACGCTGAAAGGTGAAGTTGCAGGCGAAATTCCTCTAGATACCCCGACCGACAACAATTGTATGAGATTCCTCGTCGAAAGATGTGCGGCAAGCTTTAGCGGGACGGCAGATTTTAGCGTTCATAAGAAATTGCATGGTTCCTCCAAGCATGTGTGGGATGTTACAGGATGTGGAAAGAGATTGTATGCTCTAGACTAGCTCAGGATTTACAATATGCCCATGAACTTGCTCCCAAAATCGTCGATTTCAGCTATCTTCCTGACTTAAATAAATCTCGGAACCTGCTGGGAACACCTACGCCTTACTCTAACATCCAGGTTCCTTCCGTACTGCGTTAGGACTGCAAATGGATGAAGGGTCAGCTTATCGCAGTCGGAGCCTGGTCATTATTTGAAATGAATGTTACTTCTGGGGAACTTCTTGTCGTCAAAGAGATCAATTTTATCGATGATGCTATCAGAAAGACTGCTGAGGATGAGAGACCTAATGCGGCGATTATTAGCCGATAACATGCTGACGCCGTTTCTCACGTGGATCATGTACCTACTAACTGGTATCTTGGAAGCCAGCGAAGGCATCTCATATATTAAATCTTCATGGAGAATATGTCTGGAGGATCATTGAGTGCATGCGTGCAAAATGATGGAAAGCTCGAGTCCGCGGTGGCATCTAGCTTCACAAGGCAGATGCTAGAGGATTTAAAAATCCTTTATCGCGAGGGCATCTTACGCCGAGATCTGAAAGCCAACAAGATCTCGCTAGATCTGAGCGGAACATGAAACATCGGTTGGAGTTTTATGATAGAGAATGTTAGCCACACTTATCATGTACTTAAAGAGCTGGGTTTATGGGTAGATTCCGTATTTTTGACGTGCTCTAGAGGTTATTAGTTCCATAAGGAAAAACTAAAATGGAAAGCCTATTACTTTCATCCATCTCTTATGGCTTTCTGACAATATTGACGAAAACAGAATGGATGGAGCTTGGGGTGTGTTATCCTGGAGCTTTCCCACAAGCCTGGAAGCCTGTGTCAGATGATGTTGCCAATAAAATCAAAGTTACTACTCTTGCTTCCTTGTTTGATTGCTCCACCGCGTAGGCCACCTTAAATGAAAATAACTCAACGTCTTCGCCGACAGCTTCTATTTAACAAAAACCTCGAAGAATATCCTATTACCGAGTTACTCTTGTAGTTAGTGTTATGTGATTTAGATATATAATTCAACTTTCCAGACGCATCACTCTACACAACGATCCGGAATTCATATGAGAGACCAGGGGTGCAAAAGCCGAGAGTCTCACCTCCATCTCAACCTGGGGGCCATCAAAAATGGGAAAGAGGTAAAGATGTAGCACGATGATAGAATATTGAAAGAGAAACATAGATTCTATCCATATATACACAAGATAACACTCAAGGAACTTGGTTTCGAAGCTTCGCTGATTCATCATGTAGAGTGAACCAGCCTTTCCGGAAGAGGGTCCAGTCATAGCAGATTGGGTGTAGCCGGGTCCAGTAAGTAGTATCATATAGCAGCACGACTGTATGATAAGCTGACTAACACCTGGGTGTATCAGTTAGTTGACGTGGACGGGGAGAGGGCAAGGGGACGTAGATGGATTTGGATAAGGAGATAACTTCTGCTGTTTGACTGTTTTCGCCTTCATGAAACTCCTATCCTATTGTACTTATTTACCACTGGCTTTCAAATCGACTACTAAATAGCCTTCACTAAGCCTACTCTATGTTACAGTCCTGTTTCAACACAGTGGTACTGAATGGATCGTCTTTGCTACAGAGTTCATCGCATGATTACTTAACAGAATGAGCGACTAATTATCTAGTGGCTTTCTATCGCGAAAATACCCTACAGTCAACATCAGCTACAGCAAGACGTAATCGCTATCATAGGCGCATCAACTACTCAGACAGCAGACTGTTGAAAAAAAAACGTGGATCTCGAACGGGCTGATCGCACCAGTCAAATAGCCTCTCCACACTCAGATCCGGGCCAGAATCTGGACAACACTCTTGCTATTTAAAAAGCCTAGCGCTCAGCACATGTAGGGATGTTAGCCCAGAGGCAAGTTGGGCGAGAGCGTTCTGATAAGAATGGTTAGAAAGGAGGAACCATCGAAACTTTGCAATTAACTTTGTGTGTATTGGCCAGAGTTGATGTCGGTTGTATGTGGTACTATGCTTCCATTGATGTTTTCTAGTCGGCGAAGATAGAGCATTGTAAGGTGTATGACAAAGAGTTGCCAGTCCTAGTTCCATGAACGACAGTGGAGATCCTACGTACTCTCCCTTTCAACGTGCAATTTGAGAGGCACAACGGCATCGTAGTCCCTTAATAGGAACGATTAAAGAAGGGTTTGAGTGGACTGGGCAGCACCAAAGTCCTCGAGATCAAAGGCTGCTTCTCACCTCTATCCTCCTTCCGGTCCCGGCGTGAACTGTTAATTTGAGTGCAGGATGTCAGCAAAAGGTTCGCCAGAAATCTGATATTCTGAGCTCGGGAGAGGTCGATTTCATGGCGAGGTCGGCGATTTCATAACTAAGGCAGTAATTTTACGCAGGGGGATCCGTTGCAGATGCCGAGCGTTTGAAAATCAGCCACGCGCGATTCGCATGCATGGACTGGGTCTGGATGCGCACCCACTGCATCCTTTCGGGACGAAAGAGTTTCAACCTGCACCTTGCAGCGAAACAGATGCCTTTCATTGGGCATATCTGTCTGCTTTTCGTTTTGTTTCACACTGGCGCTGGCAGCTCAATGCAGTGGAATTTCTCAGCAGCTCTTCCCAAAAGGCGTGATGCTGGGGGGCGCCACCCCTGCGTAATCTCTGCTCTGCGTTGACCCAGGAAAGAATCTCCAAGGAACCAAGATTGGAGTCCGCAGCTGCTTGTCCGAATTCAGCAGACTGCAGAATAGACTGGTCCGCCGTGAGGCGCTGCTATCGCCGTGCCCTCAGGTACCCGCCCTCCCGCAATTTAGACTGCCTAGGTATATACTTGTGTATCTCCCCATGCTAGTCTTGCTCTTCCGCCTCGCTCTTTTTTGGCTTCCGGTACAGGAATACCACCCATTCGTTCTTTTATTCAACTTCCTTCTTTTTCGCTAGTTACGAGTCTGAGACTTGGTTTCATTCCCTCATTGTCCAACGCACTCTTTTTGTTGGTCTTGAATTCTTACCTGATCTCGTTCTACGATCAAACTCTGTGTTTATAGCAAAGACACCATGCGTACCAACTTCTTCGCGGTCACAGCCGGTCTGGCTTCTACGGCCTCTGCTTTCGACTGCACGGGTCCATACTTCAGTTTCTATAATCGAGGCGGGAACGCCATGAGCTACCAGCGGCTTGATCCTGCCTTGTTCCCCGGAATCGAAAGCCCGCATCTTCATTCGTTTGATGGTGGTAACGGGCTTGCCGCGACGATGGGGTTTGATACCACCCAGGAATCGAGCTGCACCACTGCCCGCATAAAGCCCGACAAAAGTTTATACTGGAGGCCAACTCTCTATTGGAACGGAAACAACACTGGTTTCTACCGCGTCCCTGACAAGTTCCTCAAGATCTACTACAAATTTGGTGACGCTGGGAATATCAGAGCAAATGTCACCGAGTTTCCTGAAGGTTTCCGTATGATCGCTGGAAATAGCATGCTACGTCATGACGATGGCGTAGTTGGAACTAACAAGGGACCTGGAATTCAATGGTCTTGCAAGGGCGAGAACTACGCGTCGACCGATGCCATCGGTTTCCCTAAGGGCTTCACATCCTGCAAGGAGGGACTAGCTTCTCAGATCACGTTCCCTGCTTGCTGGAATGGAAAGGACCTCGACCCCAAAGATCCAACTGCCCACATGGCCTGGCCTACAGCTGGAGGCACTGGCTTAGATGCCTGTCCCGACACCCACAAAACTGCCAGGTTCCCCTCTATCTTCATTGAATTCTGGTATGATGTCTCAGCATTTGACGGGCAATACAGTGCGGACAGCAGCCCCTGGGTTTTGGCCAACGGTGACCCAACTGGTTATGGCTTCCACGCTGACTTCCTCAACGGATGGGAGAAGGGCGTCCTCAACAAAGCCATCGCTCCGGAAGGTTACTGCAACTGTGGATGTGGATGTGGTAATGACCAAATGAAGGCTTGCTTCGGTGCCAACAATGTCAACGACGACAACGATGCCGAGTTCAAATCGTGCTCTGCAAAGGCTACTTTCGGAGGTGATGACAGCAGCCCTCTTGAGCAGCTCCCAGGCTGCAATCCATTGCAATCTGGGCCTGCAGACGCCACATCCGCATCTGGAGCTGGTTGCTCAGCTGCTCCTGCTGCCTCCGAAAAGGCAAGCTCTGCTCCCGCCAGTGTTACTGGCTCTCTAAGATCTGGTAGTGCTTCTCTGGCCGCTAGCATGTCTGCCGCCCAGACTATTGAAGCTACATCTGCTGAGGTCGTAGACTTCACCTCCCATGCTGTCCCTACTTCTCTCTCTCTCAGCCTCCCAGGGAAGGCTCAAGGCACTGATGGATATGGCTACGGGGATGTTACACCTACTAGCCTGGCAACGGTTGCAACCACAGCTCCGGATGTGTCTGAGACTGGAACCCTTGGCCCATTCTTCTCTGACATGGCTACAAACTCTCCCAGCGGGCTGTCACCTCTTTCGAGTGACTTGAGCCACGCTATCCCTTCACTTGCTAGCACAGCTTCTCCAGCCGAATCCTCCGGTGCTGGCGGAGACGGGGCTTGCAAGCCGCCTGTCTACATTACAATCACTCCAACCGTGTATGTTACCGCTGCTGATGCCTTCCCCAATATCACTGCATGCGATGACAATACTGTCTATACAACTATCACCAACACCGCGACTGTTACAGTCCCTTCTGGTGGTTACAAGCACAAGAGGCACGCAGATCTGCACAAGCTCTAAACGGGCATCACACCTTGGAAAATATATTAGGAGAAAGGGATCGGACTGGGCAGGCGCAAATGAGACTGATTCTCATTTTCATGATAGGATGCATTACTACCACCCTCGCGGCTTTAAAACGGAAGGAATTAGAGGCTTTTTGGCTAGTATTGCGTTTGGTTATATTCTCATGTATATATGATGAGCTTTTTGGCATTACATCACGTATGTCCTATATATAAATGTTTCGATACAAGACGGCTACGCATTTGGAATGAATCCTTCTCTTTTTTGTTTTATGAATGGCCTTTTCTGCGTGCATGTGCTGTTGCGTCTGCCCGTGCCACGGAATCCTTCGAAGAGATTATGGCTTTGCTGCAAAAGGATGCGGATCCTGGAAGAGTAATTTAAATGAGGTGAGCTTCGGAGATGATGGGCGGATCATCGGAGTTAGGAAAGAGGCGAATTTGGAGAGAAAAGGTGTGAAGAAAAGCACTGTGGGCTCTTGATAGAGTATTTAGATCATTTAAGTGGTTGGGTTCGTCGTGAAAGACTTCTGCAGACCGCGGTGCCCAGCAGCGGAGCCCTGGAAGGTCGAACTCCCGAAGCCGGCATCCCCAGCCATGTCCTAGACCGAGGTCCATCAGCTCAGTCATCATCCATCTCGCAGTTGGTTCTCCAACCGGCCTCACGCAATATTCGTTTCGATCAATAGAAGACTTACTAAAAAGCAGGATAAACACTAGCCAGCACAGGGTAGTTAGGTGAAGCCTGAATCCACTGCGCCAGTCAAATTATTGCCTTTTGCATGACATCCTGGTTCCCTCCGTAATGAGCGGATTCTTCCTAAGGTCGGGATACCTCCAAATAGGTCCATGAAATCGTTCCAAGAAACCTGGCAATCGACAAAAAGCCCGGAAAAGTCATCGAAAAAAAAAACCTAGTTTCACGACTTGGAAGTATCCATCCAAGCGCTTCGAAATTCTGCTTCAAGAGGATACAGATACTTGGTCTACTCTGCAAGGGTCCGTCTATCTTTTCGTCACCGTTTACTCGGTTCTTGGAGCCATTATTCGACGTTCGCATGGTAGAGAATCAAATTGTTATCACAGATAATAGTGGTAAGATGCACCTTTGGTTTGAAACTCTAGTTCAAGCTCTGCTTTCCATAATGAGTTGGTTTTTCGTTAGCCTTTAGGCTCTCAGGCCACGCAGGGAAGTATCACGCATGACTAAAGATGACTAAAGACATGGTTACACTCTGGTCCAACAACTTGAATACTTGCAATTCTTGTCTGTTTGATATCGTAAATTTGGCGAGGTATGACCAGACACTCAGGCTAATCCAGCTCTTTTGCGGTGAGTAGTAGCCATTCGAGGTAAGGGTGTGGATGTGAATATGCGCCACTGTTGCGTCTGTGACGTCCAAACCATGGTCGGCATTTCCACTCCTTCCTGCATTGCGCCGAATTTGGGATTGAAGACCCACCTTGCTCGATATATAGTGAGAATTCCTAAAAGAAAGTCTTGAATTTACAGCGTGTATTCCTTCCAATAGCGCAAAAACCACCAGTAGCGTAACATAGCGAGTTGCGGTAGGTTTTGCTTTTAAATCGAGCTATAGAATCCCTCCTAAATGAGATGGAACGATTCCTCAGAATCTCTAGCATTCAATTGTTATTTGCAATGTTGGTAACTGCAGTCTTCACTAATTTCATTATATGCTTTGCGCACCGCGCGAGTGGGCAGAGATATGGAGAAACACAACTTGGGCTCCATAAACGGCCTTCCCATAGCTCTCCAAAATATACGCCGCTGCCATACACTACTACAGGATCCTAGTTGAACTCACTCTACAGAATTCGAAGCCTTTTCCTTTAACAACAGACATACACACCACTACAGAAGGAACTGCAATGAATCCGTTCTTCAGTGGTTTTGCCTTGCAATCGGACACTCTAGGCAAAGAGCTATATTACTAATACTGGCCCGCTAATCACAAAACCAAGCTACTACTCTGACAAGTCCTACACAGTAGAAAGGCATTCCCGGTTTTGACTTCCGAAGGTGTCTCGACACCTTGACACCTGGTTATCCGAACTTTAGGGAATGTTAATATATTAGTAGTAATAACGGTATTAGAGACGTGAGAAGCCATATCGACTACTATGCCGAAAGTAGTAGAGACTGGACAGCCTACACTTACTACGAGCCACCATGCTGCCTTTGTGTTGAACTCAGCCGACGAGAAAACATCGTCTCTTCCAAGCGAGTTGGCTTTGAGCTTATCCACGACCGTGAGCCATCAAATAGCGGGCCTTATTCTCCATGAATTAGTACCCCTTGGTCTTCTCGGATCCGTCGGTGGATTGGCTATTATTTTAGCGGCGCGGTGGTTCCCCAAAATTTGTTAGGAGGAAATTGAGCAGTTCGAGATTTGCTATCAAATAGCCATGTCGGGGGGTTTTGTCAGGCTATCGCCTTTTAAAATTAGAATAATGAGAAGGGGCTGAGGTGATAGCGACAGGAGTGGGGTTCGTTGATGGGTATAAAGTATGGTGTGTGAGGGGGAATGGCGCATGTGATTGGCTCAGACTGGAAACAGGGTGGTTCTGGCTGGCCGAGGCTTCCGGGACTTGGTAATCACTATCTTCCGAACTACCATCCACTTATCAGTGTGCACTATCCGCACCATCGATGAAAGTGGTAGCGACAACATTTGTTCTCAAGTCTGAAGGGAATAGAGTTCACCCTCTTCGATACCCTCTTTACACATTTTCGCTCTCACCAAAGTTCGATCTAGGTTCAGACTCCTGTCCTTTCGAGACAACCCTTACTCCATGCAATGACTTAATAAAATCTTTCTCTTCGCCATCAACCAGGCTCTCGGAATCTTGGATAGGACAGCCGACAAAGCTCGACTTGAAAACAAGGTCCATCAATGGGAATGACGACAACTCGGGACGTGGGAGTCTGATGTACAGCATCCATGCCGCCGCCGCCCAGGAGAACAGCACTGGGAGGCTTTGGAAGATGATATACAGGGCAAACATGCGACGATCAAGCACAAACTTTGTGAGTGGCCTGACGGTTGCTGCAGTGGTGTGAAACTCGGCAGGAAGAAATTCGACTTGGCCGTCTGGTAATTGCGTCGCGTTTGCCATTCGAGGATTCCCCCAGTTGTTTACGCTAAACTCCCAGAGGATATAAGCCATCATGCTTTTCAGCGCCTGATACGTTTCAATTGACCAGTCGTACACATTGCCACCCAGGCCTTCACGATTCCAGAATAACCAGGTAGGCGATGAGGGAAAGGGAAGACCGGCGGCGGTGTGATTCAGGAGCCAATTCATGGCCAAATGGAGAGCTTCAACGTCTTTGACCCCGAGTTCCCGAAATCTTGTGTTTGTCAGATCCGAAACTGAGACAATTGTCTTATTGCTCCGAACACAAGTCGTAGTCGCCCGTCGAGTGAGGACTGATAAGGTTGTTGATAGATTGAAGGCTGGGCCTTTGTCCAAGGGGCCGTTAGTACATGTACCATTCAATATCCCATAAGGGCACGCAACGATCCCTGCCAGTTGTCAATAAATCTATACGGACCAGACTGCTGCCCGCATACTAGACCTCGCTAACGTACCGATTTCAACTAGTAGAGTTACTGGATTCGATCGCAAACAGAGCTTTACGCCATGCTCTTCATCTCCAAAATCAGAACACGAAGTAGAAGAGTCCATGGCGACGGTCGTCATGGCCTTCTGGAATTCTACCTGGACCGCGGGAGTTCTGTAAATCGTGACTAATGGGTCTGTATTATTTGCAGGAGGGTTTGGGCTCATCGCTGGAAGACTACCAGGAATCAAATATGCCTCGCAATTTTCCCCTCCACAGTGTATGGGGGTGGCTGCAATAGAAAACTCGCTATTTTCTAAGAACGATGTCGACATTGAGAGAATCGGGTACGTTATCCTTCCGTTCATAACTGCTAACATTGGTGCCACGTAGGAGCCATCAAACAATCCCGTTCCGGCAGTCGCGTTGAACGTTTCGCCGGCTTCGTACACTGTCTTGATCGATGTATGAGCTTGCGTTTTCATTAGCACTTCTCAAACCCAGACTAATACCGGGCTGGGCAAACTCACTAAAGAGCAGAACCCCCGCAAGCCAACAAATGGGAAGAAGAATGATTCTTCAAGGTGACTTTAGCATGATGTAGGCTGAAAGAGGATCTACTAGCTTACCTCCAACACGAATATATTCGACCCTGCCTAGGAACCGACTTCTTTAACAAGAGCCAGAGAATACCTAAGAAACCTGTCGTTGGGGACAAGCTCAAAAAGTTGAGCAACATCAGTCCGCCATTGCGACTCGCCAGCGTCCATTCAAGCATCTCGAAAGTTTGGAGCAGCACAAAGGTCGTGCAAGTCGAGGTTAGGCCCTGGAGAAACCGTAGAACTGTCAAGGCTGAGCTAAATGGCACCCGTGTTTGATGTTGGTGATCGGAAGACTTCCTCTCGTCGTTTGTTGGGAAGGTTAGCTGTGAAAACCAAATTGTGATTGCGAAGAGGGATGTTAGTAAGAGTAGGGATAGTAAATGCAGGGCATTTTGGTTTAGTATGCTCTTGCGTCTCGGAAGAGCTCTAAGGCGAACAGCTTCTTTTTCGAATTTTCGTTTAGGAGGATTGGACATTGTCAAAAAAAGGGCCCAATGTGTAAAGAAAGATTATGGAATCGCATACAGAGTCCTAGTCGTGGAACTTATGGGATGGTTCCGAATCACCGAGAACAGCTATACCCATCATCACGCAACCCAAACACCACGAGACAGTACGATACTAACCGGTCAATTGTGGCTTATCGGTTTGCCCAGACCAAATGCTACGCCTAACCGACAATTCCTTGATGAGTGCAATGATAGCTCGAAAGATATTTCTATACGAATTGTGGTCCGATATTTTCTCCTTCAGCCTCATCGAACACCAGGCTTGGCAACCTTCGTCGGGTGATTCAACCCTGATAGTGCGCCACATCGCCTATTCTTTGAATCAATTGGACCTAAACTTCGGTGGCTTCGATTATGGCGCAAGCCCTTACCATCTCGGGTATCTCCAGGACCACCTTTCGGCCTCGCGAGGAAGGCTCAATGTTGTAGTCTCGTGAGGATTCAGCAGGCGAGTAACACATCCCACCTTGTTCTACATACTTGGGAGTCTATATATTCGGTCAATTGAGCCTTTCATGTATCTAGTGGTATGATGATTTCGTCTAGATAAGAATGCTTCTCCGCGCTAAGCTTCCCTTCCTTTACCGAAGCATTCACAGCTCTGAGCCTTAGACTTTTACCAAGATGTTTCCCCCACTGCTACTCACTCTTCTTCTCGTGTCGATACTGTCTGAGGGTGCGCTGATTCCCGGACCACATCCAAACGATCTTCGAAAGAAGTTCATCGAAGAACGAGACCTACCCTATCCGCAGCGCGCAGCTCGAGCTCCAACGGCCTCAAACCCATTCATCCATGTGACACAGCCCACTGCTCCTTTAAGCAGCGCGACTCCATTCGTTCATGTGACTGCGCCGACAGAAACATTTTCTGTTGATACTTCAGAGCCGGCATCTGCTACAGTGTCGGATACCACCGGTATGGAATACTAATTCTTTGTGCAGTACGTTCGAAGTCGTTCTGATGGTTGATTTTAGAAGCTTCTAGCCCTCACCCTATCACTATTGGTACCATAGCAAATCCTTTTATCGGCTCTACAACATTGACGAGTCCAGGCACTCAGCCAAACCCTTTCATCACAGGAACCATTCCTAATCCCTCCTCTACTTGTTGTGAAAGGGACACACAGTCGACAGCTCTCGCCGGCAGAGACGAGGTCTCGTTCAAGATACTTGGTGGTATCGGAGGCTTGGCGGCATTGTACGGTGTTCTCTAATGCGAGGTTTCATGAGACGGAACTGGTACCCAAAGACCGATTCTATGAGTAATTCGTGACGTTCAAGCCACAACAGCGACGTGTCGGCTTATGGTACAGAAGGCTGAATATTTACGAGCATCACCTCATCTCAGAATCAAATCATGTTACTTAATTATTTCCTTTAAGAAGTGTGCCAGTCCTGACCTAATACATGACACCTTCGATCCCTGTTCCGGCTGCCCCTTGTTTGTCTTCGTCACCGGTCACCAGAATGCCACTTTCATCCATTCTCATGTTGGTTCCGCTACTCATATTCGTCACCAGTATGAGTACTCAAAGGTTTACATCCACCATTCGCATCCTAGATGGAGCCACTTCCAGCGTATTAGCTCTTGGATCTCAGCCCACTCTACTGTCAAACAAACCTGAGACTGCATACTTCACGGAACAGACCCCCAGCGCTAATATGCTACTAAGTCATCCCTGGAGCATTAGCGAATTCTCGTATGCGGACCCATTCCTCGCATCTGTCCAACGTTCGGGATCTTGGGTGGAAGTCAACTCGCTTTTCGAAGAAACGACAGCGGAAGACTCAACTTTAGCAGCGACAATGACGACGACGGCAACGGCTACGACTAGGATTACTGCGAGAACAGCCTTCACCACATCACCGCCTGTTACGTCGACGACTGCTCAACCCTCGAACGGATTAGTAAACGCCATGCTAATACCTTGGAAGCTTGTCATTGGTGGTACTATCTTGACGGGCGTGGTTCTTCTTGTACAGTAGAGCAGCCTATTGTAGCATCCATCTGAAAGCGTAAACCATTTGTATCATCGGATAGAAAATTCTGAAGATGTAATTTTACTGGATGGAGAGCGACGTATAGACGCAGGGGCTGATATACGCATGAGAGTCTACGGAACGGGATGCAACTAGACCAGAGCCTAATACCTTCGACCACGTATGGTTGATGCTACGATAACAGCGTGTGAGCGATTCGCAGCACGAGACTGGGACACAGCATTACGTTCACGTGATCCGTGTCTAACTCGTTTCGGCAGGTGTGTAGGGTGAAACTCTTCAAACAAGACATCGGAAAAGCAAAATGTATGGATTTTGATCAATAAGTGGGCCGCAGCTGAATACGCTCGATACGGCCACGGCATGCATCATATCTCTCGGCTGCAACACGGTGTATGCTGGGCATTTCACGAACATTTTATTGCCAACACCATTCTCTTCTTCGGAAGCTCTACATCCGGGATCCGAAGGTGAGAGAACCCCTCATCTCCACACTTCCAGGGCTGGGCAGATCGTGTGGAGGCGCTTGGAGAAGCGTAAGGGATCTAACCATGCTTATCGGGCAAGGCGGTCTGTGAGTGGTCCGATTGGGTAAGCGAGGCAATTTGGGTGGATATGATATGCATGTTGCGGCAAAGGCGTGGGTGATTTGCGGCCGCTTTTCCACTCTTTTACTAGCAAATAGCGGTTGGCTGCTGCAACCGAAGATGGGAGGCACATAGAGTCACGCGAAGCGAGGAATGGTGCAGGTGGAGACAAGGAGTAACGTGGTCTGTGAGGGTTCCAGGAAGAGAAGGCGTATTTGTTTAAAGACCTCAACACTTCCTTTCCCCTCAGACCTTCGACTTCTAACTTCTGTGTTGAACAAGTCACTATGATGGAAAATCAGAGCCTCGTCGGGCTTTCGTATACCCTTCAGACGGCAGTTGTTGCTGCTATCATCTTTGCCGTGAGCGTGTTCCTCTCCAAAATCAATTTCAGGTCGCAGTTAGCCCAGTTGCCGCCTTATGGGAACTTTGGTGAGAAGGGGAGGGTTGAGTACCTTAAGTCGGCGAAGAATATGTACCTCAATGGATACCAACAGGTGAGTTCTCTATTACTAGTAGCTCAGTTAGCGTTATGTGTAGGTGCTTATAAGTTCCCAGTTCAAAGACACAGTCTATCGCATGTATACATCTGACGGTACAATTCTCTCGCAATGCTCCTTGACATTTGAAGAACTGACGTTAGTGCCCCTCCCTCTCAGGCAACGAGACGATTGTTATCGCTCCTAAGTTTCTGCCCGAGTTAAGAAACTTGCCAGATAAGGTCCTTAATTTCCCCGAGGCGGTTCGCGAGGTGAGGCTAAACTCAATGACCAACTCACGCTGCAAACATTAATGGACCCCAGATCATGGAGCAGAAGTACACAAAAATCCTTACGGATACACCACTCGTTACCCATACCATTAGAGCTGACTTGACCCCGGCCCTCGGTAACTTTTCGACACTGTCTTTGCCTACCGCGTTTCACTAACATCAAAACAGCTCGACTTAACCCAATCATATGCGCCGAGGTTGACGAAGCGATCAAAGATGAGATGCCTCCGTGTAATGACTGGACCCCTGTTTCAATATACACAGCCCTTGTCCACATTGTAGCAAAGGTATCTGGCCGCGTCTTCGTTGGTCCTGATCTGTGCCACAACGAGGAGTATCTCGACTGCGGAATCAACTACACCATGGAATTAATCTCCGCCCAACAAGCCATCAAGAAAACGCGACCCATTCTGCGCCCATTCTTCGCTCCACGCCTCCCGGAAGTGAAACGTCTGCGCGAGCGAGAAAGGATTGCAAAGGCCTTTCTCGAGCCGATTATAGACGCTCGACGAGTGGCTGAGAACAACGATCCAGATTGGCAGAGGCCTGATGATATGCTCCAGTGGTTTTTAAACCGAAGCGAGGATTTTGGAAATTTCTCAGCCCACGAACTAGCGAAGTTCCAGCTGGGGATTATCTTTGCTGCTATCCATACGACTACTCTTACTGCTACAAACATGTAAGCTGGCTGCTTTTCTTGTCGGGTGTGGTCTTTGAATCATTTGTTAACTCTGTTAACAGCTTGTACACTCTCGCCATATCACCAGAATACATCACCCCCCTCCGAGAGGAAATCCGAACGTGCATGGCCGATAACGGCGGCATCATCACATCCCGCGCTCTCCAACAAATGGAAAAACTCGACAGTTTCATGAAAGAATGCGTCCGCTTCAACCCACCCGGCTTCACATCCTTCTCCCGCAAAGTCCTCCAAGGCATCACACTCTCCAATGGCCAACACATCCCCGCCGGCTCAACGCTCGAAGTACCCGCACACGCCATCTACCACGACAGCCAGTTCTACCCGGACCACGAGAAGTTCGACGGGTTTAGATTCGCTAAACTGCGGAAAGGCGGGACCGCGGCGGATATTGCTCGGAACCAGTTTGTGACGAGTAATGAGCAGAGCTTGTCATTTGGATATGGGAGACATGCATGCCCGGGACGGTTTTTTGCGACGAATGAGATTAAGATGATTTTGTCGAGGCTGGTGCTGGAGTATGATGTTAGGAACATGGATGGGGTGATGGAGCGGTATCCGAATATGGAGGTTGGGAGATCGGTAGGTTTTCCTGAACTTGAAACGAGGGCTGAAAGTGGCTTGTGGAGCTTTATGCTAACTGACTATAAACAGACCAGCCCGGATCCTACGAAAAACCTCATGTTTAAGAAAGTGGAGGTTTGAGGCGATTTTGTATCTCACGGGGTGTATGCAAATGCAGTCATCTCTCTGCCGTTACTCCCGACATTGTCTCACAGTAGCCGGGAATTTCTAGCAAGGGGGATCTACCGACATCACTTCTGCACCCCAGATTCTGCAAGGAGGATCGTTATGCATGTTCGTTACCTCGTCGAATATTCTAGGAGGTTTCTGTGTTTCATATACAGCCAGAGTTTGACCCTGTGTTTATTTTGGGGCTGTGAGACCTCGGGTGAGATGCTCTGTCGTCCAGCAACGCCGAATTCTCAGTGCATCATGGAGGTTTCCTTCTAAGGAGAACGTGAATCGTGTTTTGATAGACAAACTTGATGAATGAAATGTGCTCAACATAATCGAGGTTATTACAGTGGCTTTTAATAGCGTCGCGAGTGAATCTTGTGTAGTCCACTTGCACAGATAGTAGCACCTCGCACGTGCCATCGTAACAGCCCTACCTAGCCTTCGCGGACATGTCATCTACCCCATCGGGAAGTCATGGATGCTATATTCTAGGCGTGCCAGAAGGAAGCTTAGCTAAGTGAACCTCAACTTCATATGCTACGCAACCTTCCTGCAAACAAATTTATTCTATTCCTCTCCTCCTCTCACTCTCCTACCCCACACGCAGTCGGTCCTCGCCCCGATAGTACCGAGCATTCTCAAGATATTCCTCACTTCACGACATTCGATTGGAGATGCCGCCCTCAAAGGCAAACCTACAGACCCGAAACTGTGGGTGAAGGTAAAGGAAGGTACGTGTGCAGCCGTGTCCACGGCTCAACGTGCGATTCACAGAGATACTGCTGGTAGCGAGAAGATGAAAAGAGCGGAACGAATTAAAATGGAGGCGGGAAGGGGTAGAGGAGTGCGTGGAAGGTGGGTTGAGAACAGGACAAGTTGAGCCGCGAGCAGAGTAGAGAGTAGGAAGGGGCAAAACGGTGAAAAAGAAGGTGTGTAGGTAGTCATTTGAGGGTGTGGTGTGGTATAGCCTGATTGATGAGGCCGAGAGGAAGGCGCGGGGGTGGAGGAAGGAGCGGAGCTGGTACTAATGACGGTGCAGAAGCGGCTTCTCGACGATGGGGGCCACACCATAGAGATCCATTGACTAAAGAATTTCACTCAATCGCATCCCTAATTCAGAACCACCTGCGGCCAGCCCCGCTCATGCTCTATCTCTCTCACCCTCTAACTGCATTGCTAACTACCTTCCCCAACACCCCGCTACACATCTATCCATTTCCTCCCTCTGTTCCTCCTTCCAGTCTCTGTACGGCCCCATTCGGCCCTCCTCGATCCCATACAATATTCTCATTGTCTCTTCACAAGCCTTTCAAACTGCCCAAAGAATATGAAAAGTGCTGTAGTTCGTACGAGAACAGTCCTGGGTTAAAGAAGACTTCACAGAAAGGAACCCTGACTCTGAAGTCGGAGCCTATGAAGAAAGAAGTAGAAGTTGCGCTGAAGGAGAATGAGAAGGAAGAGGAGAAAGACTTAGGAGGAAGCGGAGAGGAGGGCGCAGAGGACTAGGAGGATATGCCTGAGAAGCCTAAGGTGAATACTAGTGTGAAGAAGACTAAGTCTGGGAGTTGGAAGAGGATAAGGGGATACTGGGAGTGGCGCGGCACAGGGGAAGGTCGCAGGCAAGGATAGCAAGCCGTATATGGAGGTAGAAGTAGGGAGGTGTACAAGGGTTGCGGGGAAGGAGAATGGTGGTACGAAGGATGGAGAGGGAGCCGTGGAGGGTTGCGAAAAGAAGAAGGCGAGGAAGTGAGAGAGGGGGTCTAGCTCGAGGCTGGTACTTGTTGTGGAGGTGTATCTTTTGTCTGATCTTCCATTATATTATGTACCTTGTTCAATGTTGCTTGGGGAAACTACACTGTTCTTTTGCAAGATTTACAGTCCCTGATGTTTAAACTCAATGGTCGTTTTTATCTGAATGTGATGCCCCTGATATGAAGCACGATAAGCATAGCGTGCGATCAAATCCTGCTCACTGAGCTGTGCATTATTCCCGCTTCCCCAAATCTCGACAGTTGACTAGTGCTACAAGATTTCACACAATATATCAAGCAAGTGTCGCAATAACGCATTCATTAACCCGACGCTCCTCACATAAACTACCGCAAAACCCCCATCTTCAATGTAGGTTTACGAGTAGAGCGAATGGGGGTGTCTTTCGTTGAAGCTCTGCTTTGATGGTTCGAGACGAAAGGCCAAATAGAAAGCAGCTTAGTGCTGGGTATCTCGGAAGTAGGGGGTTGGGATGTGGAAGTGGGGAGTTAGAGGGATGATGTAGGATTTTCTATGGATAAGGTATTAGATTAGTTTATAGGTAGAGACTCTGTTGTGCGTGAAGCGATAGAAAGTCTGTGCGCAGTAAGCGGTGTCGAGATCTGTGACATTCTTGCAGAATGGACGTTCGGGTTCGCATTAGAGCGGAGGAGAAAAAGATACGGTTGAGAGGGCGAAAATCAGGATCTGTCTTGCGATATCAAAGAATGAGAGGCTGGTACTCCGTATCCGGTTCGCAAGATGGGGGCACGGGAAGCAGCTGAGCTGAGTAGGTGGCAGTGCTCATTGTGGGTCCATATTCAGTGTCACTAGATCTTGAAATAGCAAAAGGCGTGTCTGGGCATTTGTTGAAATTGCTGTCTAGACTAACCTACCTAGTTCACGGGAGCGCCTCGAGGGCGGACAGATGTGGAGAAGAGGGCCACCTTCCGGGAGGGTCTTTAGTGCATGTAAGAGGCGAGATAGACTTGCTTGAAGGGAATGCTTTCAAATTTGGTAGGACTTAGTATTCCTAGAAAACTTTGTATTTTGGTTCAGTCGTCTTGTGTCTTGAGCACGTGCAAGCCCTCTTCGATCCTCCACCTTAACAGACCTGGCTAAAAGGGGAGATTCCGGCAACGGGGAGAAAAAGGAGAAGGAGAGGATGCCCCTCATACGATCTTATCCAGATATAGGAATAGCTTGGATAAATTGTTCTTGTGTGTAATATTTGGAATACAGGACAGAACGGAATTTAACGGGGTTGATAAGCAAATCCTTTGGATGATGCGGAGAAGATTAAAGTTTGCCTCGCTCGTTTTGGGCACGAGCCAATATTCTGCTCCGAAACACATACCACAAGCGTGAAAAGGCTTTTGAGCGTGCGTGATATTCCCTGGGTTCTGAGTGGAACGATAGCGTTCTAGGATTCCCAAGGATCTGCTTTCTTCCTGGAGGATTTCGGGGATTTTTAGAGTGACTCCCCTGTTGGGGAGTCCGAGCAAGTGGTGCTGGTATCTGACGGAGAACGAGAGGGTTGGCGAATGGCTACCCAAAGCTCGACATCCCCAACATTAGGAACGCCAAATTGGGACACGCTCTCCTGCGCCGTAGATCGCTTGATTCGAACCGTTTCTTGTTCTTCAAAGCCGGCTTTAGCAGCTACTGCAGCACCCATTGGCGCTGCTGATATACCGACAGGGACATCATCCTTATCTGCAAGGCGAATACACCAGCTGACGAGCCGTGTAGCGTGGCCACGCCGCCAGTATGCAGGATGGACTGCCAAGGTGCTCAATCTCATGCGGCCCGCAAGATATCTGAGGGTCTAGATGTTAGCATATACGCGGAGGATCAGACGATGGAGCATACTTGGCTTTGGCCGGAGCAGTAGCTGCGCCATAGAGCTCGAGTGACATGGCGCACTGATCTCTATTTTGAGTGCTGAAGGGGGTAGCTGGTGTTGGGGAATCCACGTGGTCTTAAAGAGTTAGCTCCCCTGCATGAGCTTAATCCTTCAAGCTGACATGCTTACTTCCAGTCTGAAACCGACCAATTCGCCACGACCCGGGCTTCAAATTGATGCTACAAACGCCGACAATGACTTTGTCGGCGGTGGGACTTGATCCAAATTTATACATTGAGCTTCCACGCAGAGCGCCGTACACGCCCAGGCCTTCGTCAGGATCCCACACATCCTCAGCAACGAGAACGACATCAGCAGGGTTGCGAATAGCAGATTGATACTCAGTCCAGTACGACGAGAGGGTGTCGTCAGGAAAATCTGCATAGTAAGGCCGCTGAAACTGGAAGGTGGGAGAGTGGTAGAATCCGGCAGCAGCGACCATGGCGATGCGCGGCAGGTCTGAGAGCGTGGCCAGGCGTACATTGTCGAATGGCGGAAACGAAAGCTCTGTAGACATGGTGCTATGGGCGTATTCCTCCGAAACAGTGACTGTGAATAGTAGATGTGAATAGTATACGGAGACAGCCGTGCAGGACTGCCTAATGCTACTTGAAAACGCTAAAGGGAGGGCTTGAGGGGCTCGTGCCTAGACCATGAAACAGGTGCGAGTACGGGAATGAACATGGCGGCGGTTTTGTAGGAGGAGAATGGCACCCTGTCAATGCAGAGATTGCTTTTGCGGATTACTGACCGTTCAGCAGAATGGCCAGGGGCATTGCCCGGCGGGAAGGTAGCATCTAGAAAGAGGGAATGGCTAAGCAGTACATGGATGGGTGATGGTAAAGTGAAGGATGCGATTGGATCCATGGGGGGGGGAGCAGAGTTCTGTATCAAGCCAGTGCGGAAGATTGAAGGTGCTGGCTAGATATCAGGCTGCAGATGGGCTGCATGCCGCAACAGCGGGCACGGAGCGGGAGAGGGCATGGAGCGAGCCGGCGGGAGAGTGGGTGGGGTGAAGCTGATGGCGAAGATGCGTTGAGCGGTGAGAGAAGAGATTGGGGATGGTGGATGGGGGATGGGGTTGGGGGAATAGGTAGTGGTATCCTCGTTAATGGCTGAATGGGGAGTGCAGGGCAGGGGCGAATAGCAGCTGGTGTTAAGAGTCGAGCCTGACTGTGGGCTGGCCGGTTGGCTGGAGGTGCCCAAAGAGTGCCGAAGCGAACAGCCTGGGGGATGCGCCCGAGAGGCTTGTTGTGTGCGAAGCCTGCCCGAATATGCAGCGGGCACGGGAGTTTCTGCAGCCCTGTCGCGAGCTGGAGCTCTCCCCGTCCTGCTCGTCGTCGTTCGTCTCCTGCCTACCTCCACCCACCACCGTCTCGAGCTCAGCGGCCCCAGGCCTACGCTCTGAGCTCTCCTCTGGCCTATCCTTAACTCTCTGCCCCGCTGCTGCGAATGCTCTGCGCCCGCGACTCTCCCGGAGGTAGCACGAAGCCCAGCCTTGCACGTCTGGCGCTCCTAATGGCGAACTCGCACTACCAGAGCACAAGCTCCACGACAACTACCACCACCACCAGCGCCCGGAACCGGCGCTACCAGAGTGTCCCGGCAGTTCAAGAGCACTTGTACGCCAGTCTGGCATCGTGGCAGGCCGACACTCCTCAAAACCTACCCTTTGCGCCCAGCCTGCACCAGCTCCCCGGCGCACTTGGCCCCCGCCCTCTCCCCGCGAACCATCTCTACTACTCTCCAGGGCCCACCGATTACGTCAACCACCTCCCACTCCAGTCGCCATGGACTGACCACGACGGCCGTTCTGCGTGGAGCAGCCCGCTGTACGGCGACGCCGGTGTTGACTCGACTGTGCCGCATCCCAATGCGGCTTCGCACTTGGGCCACCCAGAAAATATCTACAGACCTACAGGCCACAGCCAAGCTCTCCCTCTCCCTCTCCCTCAAGTGAGCAGAAACGCGCACAATGTATGCGCGTACGGCCAGCTAATTCTCCCGCAGGACTATTCTGCTGCCTCCGCAGCTCCTCCTTATGCGCCCGGTGCCCCACGGGCTGCGTCCGTAGCCCACCTCCTGAACTACCCTTCGCAGACAATTCGATGGTCTGCCGGTCCCACTTCCGACGTGCCACCAGTGCCCCAGGATGGCCGAGTCCTCAGTCACACGAGCGCTGCTTTGTCGTCAGGTGTGGTTGCTCCGAGCATCGGCAACTTATCTAGCTCCCCCTGGACCCTGATCGATGGGGCAGTGAGCTCTTCCACGACTCCCCTTTTTGAGAGGACCCCCGCCCGTGAACCCGAGTGGACGCTTGTTGAGGACCCGAGCCAGAATGCAGCCCAGCCGCATCCGCAGACACAACAGCTTGTCCAATTCCCTTCCGCTAGCCTAAGCCAGCAACCGCAGCAACCGCCTGTGGGCTGGGCAAGCCGCCAAGACCAGGGCAGCACCGCATCTGCGAGGCAAAAGCTACCAAGGATTTCCGCTTCCTTCACTGAAAGAGCGCAAAAGATGAAGATATCAAAACGCCACGCGAAATTCAACGAGGAACAGAAAGCAAAAACTGCTTATATGCGCAAGATCAAGCAGTGTATTCGCTGCAAATTCTATAGAACTGGCGTATGTGTTACAATTACCCCTGCCTCTGTTCGCTGACCAATCTCTATAGTGCGATCCGGGCACTCCGTGTCAACGATGCACCAGGGTGCACGACAGCGCAAGGTCATTCCTTGAGCCCTGTTCTCGAGATCATCTCGACGATGCGAGTCTAGTTCGTCATTGTAAGATATTCCCCTATTTCTGTGGGCGGGACTCGTCTCATATATCTGCAGGCAATGGCCGCCTCAATCAGTCCAAGGCGTTCTTCTTGAACTATTCGTGGAAAGAAGGAGATAGCATTAACGCCATGGACATTGTGTGGAACCTGCCCGGTTTCGGTCCCATGCCCATGTGTGACCCTATAAAGATCCTGTTCCGCGAATACTCTCCCAAAGACATACCACCAAACCTTAACCCGCCAGACCTCGATCCGACTGCGCAGTACTGGCAGAATACTGCCGGACAAGTCAATAGGGTTCTGCAGCCTCCATATGCTGTTTATGACACTACTACCTTAAAAACGAATGTTGAAATATACTTCCTCAGAAACCAGATTGCAATCGAGCAATGGATTCTCCACCGCGTAAAGGACGATGAGCTTGCACTGATGACGTATCGGGAGGCACTAAGAAAGAGGGATGCTGGGAGCAGCCTCCTTCAGACCGCCATGCAACTACAGTGCTTGTCGATTGTTTCCCAGGGCTACGGTTCCGTGTGGTCTTCAAACATCCCCGGCATCAAAGAGTACGATTACCGACAACTGGGACGTAGTGGATACGAGGCTTATGATCGTCCTGGCCCGGATCGTCCCCTCCCAGCTGCAATTGCTCACCAAATGGATGTGGCAATTCTAGAATACTTACAGAAGCTGGAAAAGCAATGCGCAAAGGAGCTGATGAAGAAGGTTTTCCAACCGAAGCTGAAGCCGTGGTACGAATTGTTCTTAACCTTCTTCGTTCTTCTCTGGAATCTAGAGTACATACACAACGGCGCCGAGAGTTACATCATGTCTAAGAGTGGCACCGTAAGTCAAGTACCTTATCTAGGAATGAATGCTCGGAATCTGACCGGAACAGGCGCTTGAGAATCAAGTCAGCTATGTGGTGCGAAGTCAAATTGCGGAATGGGAACATGCTGCTCCAACAATTCTCCAGCATTGGCGGTGCGTACTGCGTGGGTTCGTCCCCTTCAAGCTGGCGCGAGAAAATCCTATGGAACTACGCGAAAAGGGGATGTTAAATCAAGCGGAGTTCGATTACGTCATGAGAGTCGCCGATATGCTTGAACACCGAGGCCCCGGTAAGCAAATTATTTCGTGGATCGGTTAACGATTGGCACTTCATGTACTAACAAAGGCAAGAACGATTTTCAGGTCCCTCGTCACGGCATGCCCCCCTCCGCAATTCAATTGCAAGTAAGTGGATACCTCAACTATTCAAAGACTCGAACGGTTGAGCTAGGCCTCGGACATGCTACTTTTTCGGGTTATGTAGTTACGACAAGTGGAGCCATAAGATATTTAAGTTGCACGAAAAGCCAAATCGTGCTCAAGTCATAATATGTCAAGATGTGGTTACATAGGTTTTTGCAGATATCATGCATTCGGCCTCCTACCGGAAAAGAACCACAGAAAACCAACCTCCCATGAATTCAACATTCCGCCCTACCCATATACCGTGCTCCAATTTAAAATCCGTAAATAACAATACCGCCTGTGTTCAGTCTCGAGGTTAGCCGTGGCTCTCACGTCCGCTGATCTTGCGCCACGGGTCAAGGTCCAAGATGGAGATGTTCTGCTCCCTTCCTTCGGCGAAAGGGTCATCAAAATTGGTGCTGAAACTGCTTGGTTTGGCCCACATGTTCCTCGGGTCTCGGAGGAACATGCGAAGGAGGTGTCGGCCATCGTGCGGGGGACTCGCCCTGGCACTATATGCGGAGCGGGCATGCATTATGCTCAGGTTGTTGATGTATTGGAGGTCTCCGATACGGCGGTCCAACCTTGTACTAAACCGGCGAGCCAAGCCTTCGACAACCTCCAAAGCGTGGAGTTGTTCCTTGGTAAGGGATGGCATTTCACTTGAACGTGGGATACGAGGGCTTCCGAGAAGTGGGGCCTTGACAAGTTGGCAAAGTGGCTTGCCCTGGGCAAAGAAAAGGGTTGGTCCGAGTTCAAGGTAAGGGGACTTGTTTCTAAGATACTGTTAGCTTCAGCCTTTATCTGAATAGACATTTTACTTACTGTTGTTTCAGTTCGAATGGCCAGTCAGCCGCCGCCATGGTCTCTAGGACTGCAGGCTCGGTTCCCAACAGCTCATTGTATACCTTCCAGAAGCTGGCAACGTACTGCTCTCCGCCGCTGTCAGCGCCTCCGTCGTTCCTCACGTGGAGTGCGAGGACATCTCCAGAGAACCGATCAGAATGAAATTCCTATGGATATTAGCCATAATCTATGTATGCGAGTGGCATTACTGTTTCAAAGTGATGGCATACCATTGCGACTGGCAACTTCGACCCCGCAAGTCCAAGATCCTGCGCCCACTCGGGGACAGCGTCATGGGTTGCGTCTCGGATGTGGCCTGTTAAGGACGTCAGATTTGTGACAAGAGAAGATTGAAGAACTGAAAAGCTGCTTACTTAGTGTCTGATTCGCATACGAGTCCGTAGCACGGCTAGGACATACGTATGAAGAAACGCCAACGAAGGCAATAACTGCCTCTTCATCATTGAGCTTTGCAGTATCAAGCCCCCGCACAACGGCTACGCCACGCCCTTTGTGGACTTCGTCGCTGACTGAAGACAACTTGTCGGCTAACTGCTTAGATAAGGGAAAGGTGGTCGCATCGATCGAGCTACGAGGGAGGCTGGATACTTTTCAGGATGTCAGCTTTGATTCATCATCTGCGGGTTCTCGTTAGGAATACTTACGCTTGAAGGAGACAATAGCGGTCCTTATTTCTGCAATCTCATGCTCTTGGAGGTCGAGAACATACTTGGTCGGGTCGAGCTCAGCTCCTTTCCAGACCATGGGTCCATCAACTGCTGGCGCGAGTTTCTCAGGTTCTGATTGAATCGATTGAATCGATGGGGTTGATGAGGTGCTGCGAAGACTCTCCTGAGAGGATCGTGCGCTTAGTCTGGAGATATCTGACATGATGAAGTATTCTCGAATTCTTGTTAGTTTCTCAAAGTGTTGTTGCTAGTTTGGAAGAAGAAGTGTGTTGATAGAATAAAGTTGTGGATTCGATCTTGGTTTCTGAGGGTTTAGGGTGCACCTGCAGCGGCTTTAAGTATGCAAGGGAGCTCACCTTACCTTCACCTCCTGCGACTGTGAAGCTGACCGAGCCTCAGATATCGACCTGTTTGGATCAAACGCACCGACAAATGAGAAGCCACCAACACAAACAAGGGTGTTCTCCGCGCCGCAGTGAACCGTATTCGAGCATGGGAGATTTTTCCGCCATTCCACATTCAATGCTACCCGTCAGCGCGGCATTGAACGTTCCTAGTCCGTTCGTTTCCTCATATTCGGAATTTTGAAAACGATCAGCAAGCTAACCTGACAGGGTACACGGGTTGAGCTTTGCCACACAGCCGGTACTAGCACCTTCATTTTCGTCCCTCCCAACTACCACCACCGACGCCGTTTACCCACCCAATTGACCAGCTAGCAATATGCAGAGGGATGATTGTTCTCGCAAGACCCACATGGGAAGTGCTTCCCGAACTCAGTGCCGTGTAGATCCTTGCAAAAGCAAAGAAGATGACCACTCCGCATTTTCGAAGGATTCTGTTAGGATGAAGTGAATAGCCACAGACGTTTCGTGCAACTCAAGTTAGCGCAGTGCTAGGCGAAGGAGCACGTCCAGACCGACTGGCATCTGATCGTGATATGGGGATCATTGCCTCGCATCCAGCCCTATGCGTGGACCTCTCGTCGAGCTCCCTACGTGTGACGGGAGTCAGACCACCACCCCTCTCGCTGAACGCTGAGGGAGGATCCGCTGCATCAGCGCTCCAAAACAACAAAGCGCCACACCAGTGCCGTTCAATCGAGTCCCTGCATGGTGGTCAGCTTGACAAGGCGTGGAGAGCAGAAGCGAGCCAGAGCCAGGTTTCAAGATGATTCCTTTCGAGACGACCAGGACTAATCGCGCGGCTGCAGCGTCTCGCATCCCGCTTCCCTCCACATATCTCTACCCACGTGGGGTTATTCGATTTCGAGAACTGACGAAGTGCTGGGCATTCCAAGGCCAGAGCTTCACAGATCATGCGATAAGGTGACGCAAGTGCACTGTGTCAAAGGGCAATCGAAGCAGTCATGGTGCATTGATCCTCAGCATTGCTAAATCCTGACGCGCTGCAGTTCTGTTTGGCTGTGCGTTTGTCGGGATTGAAAGGTATGCCACGTAATTGGGCACAGATCTGAAAAAGTAAGACTGCCAAACGTCCATTTGCCAGCCCATTAACCACGTCTCCAGCCTTAGCTGCCGCCTGTCCAATGCGAGCACTCAATTCATTTATAGCAAGGCAAACACCTTCCAAGCTGCTGCATATTCCGCTCGCAACCGCTAAGCCTAGCGGACCAGGCTTATGCTCAGCATACCCTACGCCCATTTCACACTCCACATGTTACTAGGGCTCCTGTCTCGCTATATTTAACGATTAGGTCATCGGCACCCCCAAAGGCCCAGCCTCCAAAGGCAAAGAGTGCCCCACGCCTTATTGTAATCAAGATTTGAGAGCCCCTTTGCACAGTGAATTGAAAAATAAAGTGCTGACCATCGTAAGTCAAGGTTCCACTTCCCCAGTTTGAGCAAGGGATAGAAGGGTACGGAACGGAGCGCTCTTGCCGAGCGGGTAATATAGTGCTGCAGTTCGCCCAATTGGGGACCAGTAACGCCCACACTTCCAAGGTTCTCCAACGTTCTTGTCGGTGGGTGCTTCCATCATGCGTGGCTGAGCCAGGCTTGCATGCGATGTCAGTCACCTGGTCCCCCTCAGCAGACGTTAAGATGTTTACTATTACACTAGCATGGAGGTGAAGGACCAAAACGCCCAGGGAGATTGTTCAGCAAGGAGGCGCTTGACCGCTCTCTTGCAGCTGTGCGAACTTACCACGCTATGCTCGTCTGGCTTTCAACAATGCGAGGATCACTGACCTTTCTCCCTGTTGTTTCCTTATCTGTGGACCGACTAATCCCCAGCTCTAATTTAAGGGACTGTGGAGACGTTGCCAAGCCAGTTTTTGGGACTATCAAGGGTCTTGATGGCATTACGCTCTTGCTGTGAGACTGTGTCCATTATTCTTGACGCCCCTCAAATGGCTTGCAGGTGTGTAGCTAGGCAGAGATCACTGGCGATCTGACAGCAAACCGCGCTCGCTGTGCTCGTAATTGCTGCAGCCCTGCGTGTCCGAGTCACATATGATGCCTAGAAAAGTGATCTCTCACTTTTAGAGTACCCCTCTGGACCAGGTCATGCCGCATCAAGCCACCCTTCCTTCCGCTAGCTTTCTTTCTCGACACCATGCAGCCCCACCGGTCAGGCCACACTATCGGACTGCGCCGGGTTTTGACCTATTTTGAGGGGCTTTTTCTCTGATGCATTCGGATCGGGTAAGAGAACACCCCTGTCTATATGCCAGCCGCTCACTCTCAACCGACTTCTGGGCCGAGAGGAAGAAGTCGGACATCGATGGATGAGACGTCCCACTATAGTGTGACAAGGGAGTAGTTCCCCTCGGTGGCACAGCATCCGGAGGGATTTTTTCAAAAGATTTCGATCTAGGTTGACAATGACGAGCGTCTGAGCCTAGTGAAGCAAGGATGCGGCAAAGCCGTTGGCTGCCGTGCAGACAAGTTTCTAAATCTAACGGGGCGCAATTATCAAAAGCAAACTTCAGCCCCTTCCCACTTCTTGACCCCGAGTGTCTAGTTCAAGATCGTGGGCTGAGCCCTTTTTCTTTTCAAAGTTTCTTCGCCACAATGCTACCTACAGTTTCGTTTGAAGTCCAGATGTCAAAGCACGGGACTCTCAACGGGCTCGCCTGTGCGTCAAAGAAACGCTCGGACAGCTTGTACAGGACAAGCTCTAGTCAGCCTCCTGTGGATCCCCTCCAGCCCTAGAAGTTACACACTGACCACAGCTTGTTTCATCCTTCGCATCAGCGAGTCCTCAAAATACCGCGTTTCCCGCTTTCTGAGTCCTTTCCGTTGATGCTAGCGTCGTTGTCAGCACATGTGTTTCGATGCGTTTCGACGGATCCTTCTCTACCCTAGACTCATTGAGTTTGCTATAGCCTTGGGATGATATAGCGGCGGGACTGGGGACACGCGAGAAGCATGACGTGCACAGAACCCTCGCACGCCTCGTCAAACAATTATCACACGACTCTTCTGGCAGTCCTTGCCTGAGTAATGCAGAGACTGAGGAGGATTGTCATGAGGCTCAATCTCACGTACGCTTGCCCTACGCAATCTTATATCGCCCTATGCTCATCGGGGTGAGGATGGAGACTAGGCCAGAGAGGAACTGAAGTGAGTGCGGGAAACAATGCATGCCGTATGTCATCCCGGCAGCGGTGTTGCACTTGCATTGCAGTTAGGATGAGAGCCGTTGTAAGCAGCCTCACCAGCGCTTGCAGTATGCCTCGACATGGACTTGTCTCCGCCTCGTGGATGCATACAAATGGTCGGTGTGTCAGAATTGTCAGACCGACAGAAAGCTGCCGCTATCATGCTTTGATTCCAGTAACCCCCTCCGACTCTAACCGTACTGCGGAACCATTCACATGAAGGTCTCTCGCGCCTCGACTCGACTTGGCTTGTCGCTTCTTTGCTCCAATGTTCCTTGCTTCATGTACAGGGGGCACAGCACTTCACCCCACTCACCCAGTCTGCGCCTGTCGTTTACCTCGTCTAGTTTCCTTGCAGCCAAGAAGCAATCGGACGAAACTGAATCGAGCTTAGACTTGGCGTTTTCAGCTTCCTGGGTTCCCATCCAAACCATTCACCACCCAGCAGCCCCGCCAAAGTATGCACGACACAACGCCTCTGTCACCTCTTCGAAATCTAGCGCCTCTCTTGCGCATAACGCCGCGCCTCACGGAGCGGAGTTCATCCCGCCCAATCCATGATTTCAAGCGCCAAGCACTAGAAATCCTTGGGGGAGGGCGAGAATCCTATTACTCCTGGGCCAGCCCTATTCCGCAGCTAATACAATATTAGGCCCGTAGGACCGAGGGCTGGAAATGCTGTGTTCAGGAGTGTCCACCGGTTCAGTTGAATTGGAGCTGAACTTGGGGGTTGCTTTTTGCCGTCTTGGGTCTTGTCTCTGTGCGTTTCTTGGCGGTGGCTTGCGTACCTACCTCCCCGCAGGACTGCGAAGCATACGAGGCATGCAAGAAGAAGGATGATTGGTACGTATGACCAATATTTGAAATACTGCACCTTAACACCTAGTGTGGAATATGAAACGATAATTCGGGCAGAAATTATCATCCTGTTGGCACTCTCCTTGATTCTAGCAAGAGTAATAATGGATAGAATCCATCCTGGTGATGTTCCACGTTATGTGATAATATGCTGTACCTGTTAGGTTTAGGGGAAAGAAAGCAGAAGCTTCATTTATCTGCATTTCTGTATGGTCAAATAGTTTTAAGTTGGCATGTTCGTCTTGAGGATTTCAGCTATGGGAGGATGTGATTCTTGTTGACTGCGCTAGACGTAATTCTTCTCGTGTTTGGTGACTCTTGTTGCTCATCCGCTGGCCCAGAACTCAAACAGGGATCATATTAGGACAACTTTTTAGGGTCTGCGATTATCATCTCTGAGCAGATTCATCAACATCATCATCATCATCATCATCATCCCACCCAATCCTACAACTCCACAATCCCCTGAATCCCCTCCACCGGCTCCTCAAATTCCAACCCACAACTCGGTAATCCCACGCCATACGTCTCAAACTCCAATTCCTCCTCCCCATCCACCTCAACCCATCTCCGATTCCACAAATCCCCATCCGGCGCCTGATCAAGCTCCTATGAGCTGAGTTCCGGGAACCAGGCCTGCGATTGGTTTGCGGCTTTAAGATCGGAGACTTGAAGCTGTTAGCCGTGTCTAGGATGTCGAAGTTATCTTTGAAGAGATAGTGTGGTCGATTAAGGGGCTTGGGTGGCTTGTTGGATTCTGGGGCCCCTTCTTCCTTGGTTGGGGTAGTAGAAGGAAGATTGGAGGTAACCGGATGCCCGGACGATGACTTCCAGAGAGCCGTCCATGTGGAAGGAGTATTCAAACATGTAGTCGTAATTTCCGACTGTGGCGATGGTGCGCACGATTAGCATGGCGCCTTTGACGGTGCTCAGGTCGCTGAAGCCTTAGGCGTTAGAAGACGTAGTGCGGTGGCGCGAGAGCGGGAAGTTCATGTTGGCTTCGATGATACAGAGGGAGCGCATATTTGTGACGGTTGCCTTCATGGTAGCTGCTGATGTTCCAGGAAGTAGCCCCAGGGACAGTCGAAGCCTTCAATCAGCGTGCCGATCTTAGTCCCGAAACTGTAGTATGTATCATGGTAAACTGTGCTGGCAGCGTTAAGGTGCTTGCCGTCTTACTGAGCTGTGACTTCTTGCAACGAGAGTTCGTAGATAGTGCGTTCGCCTTCGAATGTAACGCTTCTTTCCGATTTCGAGGGTGCTTGGGGCTAACCGTTCTTCAAGGCCTCGAACTCCCATCTCGGGCTTGTAGTCGACAAACGCTTAGGAAGCGTCTAGAGTTTGATTATATTCTATGGCCAGTTCACCAGTCTTGAAAGCCGTGCTGGAAAGGTTTCTCCATCTTGACAAATCCTTTCAAAGAGTAGAGCGAAGCACACGCTCCAGTGCAGTCAATCAAAAGGAGGAAATTCAATGGAGTCACATTCGAAACTGGACCTGGGAATCTAAACAGGATATTCTAACGGCCCGGGTGCTGTCAAAAGGCAGCGGTGTCCCCGAAGGTAAGATTGGTTCTCTCATTTGTAGCACCAAAATACACAGTGCCTTTAAATAATGCTGCCGTAATATCGGATAGGTTCGACAAGGTTGATGCGATCAGTTATTCGATAGCAACGGGTCCGGGGGTGTTGAGGTATCTAGCGTTGAAAGGGATTGGCCTCCCTTCCCACTATTATGGACAGAGTCAAAATTTTCAATCGTAGTCTCCGAGGATACAGAAAGTGGTCCAATCATGTACTCTTGAGAATCTGGCTCAATTTTGCCTCCTTCAACAATGATGGCTCTCGCGTACTTTGCCGAGAGTACACCCTCTCCGTCCAGATAAGGCAGAACTATGGGTTTGTTCGTATGGAGAGTGTCAATCCAAACACCTTAGAAAGGTTACTGGAAATTCGTAATATGGTTGCAGTGAGCTTACATAGTTGTCGGTGAGCACAGCTTCGTCGGGATGGGTTAAATTCAATCTTGAAGTCGATCATGCATCAGATTACAGACAGCCAGGCTATCGGCCAGGTTATCGGCCGCTGAAATTGGTGCCCAAACATTTGCCTTGGGCGCTCGTATTGTTGGAGCATCCCCAGAAAAGCAAGAAGGAGTTGGTGCATTGCAGCCGAGCTTGCAAAAGCTTCACACAGGAGCCTTCTTCCGTATCCTAGAGGCAAAGCTACGGGAGAGTGGGGCTGAACCATGAGAGAAATAAAATGCTGAGAAGATGTATAAGAACGATTCTGATATTTCGCAGATACAGAAAGCGAACAAGCAGTTTCTAGGGCGAACATATGGAAAAAGGGGTGCACGCAACAGTACGGAAAAGTACGCTAAAGGGCGCGACAACTCGGAGTAGCTTCCAAAATTGACCGCTATGAATGACGGAAAGACGGAAAATTTGGCCGTGAATGATAAGAGCGGCTCAAAGAATCGCTGCGGAGCGCTCAAATCCGCGGGAATCGCAGGGGCTAAGCATGGTAGATCTCGTATATCATCCCGCAAATCCTGACTCTGTCCCTACCGGGTCTTCGTCGGGAGAGGCACAGATTAGTATAGGGGCATATGTGGCTTTGAGTTCCGGTGAGAAGTCTTTTCATCGAAATATATGGCGGAGTCCGTGAAGTTGGTCGGAGATCCGGGACCCAAGTATCCCCAAACTTCCCATCCCAAAAATGGGAATGCTCACCTCGATGACCACCTTGCAATCGCTGTACCATTGTCCCGAGAAAAGCTTGGTATTCTTGAGTTGCATAGAGCAATACCATACTCTGTCGAAGTTTCATAGAATATCGCGTGTCGTTGAAAGGTGAGGTAAAAAAGGTAACGTTATCGCTTCCTTTCTCAGCCAAATAGCAGTGCCAAGCGTCCCACTTCATTAATTAGGTATGGAGCGGAGATGCCACAATATACTATATCTTGAGGATAAGATTGGAAACGGTTGGGAAACTAGCCGATAGGAATCCTGCGAATTCCTTGTTAGAACTAGGCGCCGCCGAAGTCGTTGGCCCTATCTCATTACCCTAGGATGCTGCCAGAGGGACCGATGTTCAGATTCAAAATCATCGCACGCGGACGATAGCAATGGTAGGTGAAGCGAACCCAAGAATACAAATTTAGGCAAGCCAAAGTTGCAGGAACTCTGGATAAGGAAAAAATAAGATTAAGATCGAGATTCCTACAGAGGTGGGTAGAATGGAAACCATGCAGCATCTTAAAGAAAGGCTCAAAGATAAGACTGTGTGAATAGACAAATGGTGATACAGTAAGTGCTAACAGAGAGTTACCCATAATACCTGTGAATGCATGCCACGACATTCTACTTGGGAGTTCTATTCGAATGGTAGATGCATGGTGTACGTTAGTGGTGCCCTTCATCATGGTCCTTGAGAGAACGGCTACTGAGGGAAAGATAGACCAGTGTTAACGGAGTGGAGAGGGCCCTTATGTGAGAAATCGTTGTCCGATAAGGGTTACATATGCCACCCACCACGACCATTCACACAACAGCAATTAGGAACGTGGCGATCCCAAAGCCATGGTACGGGGTGTAACCTTCATGTTGTCTATGAGTGATCAGGTAGATCCTAACTACTATATAGTAATACACCTTCCAGGCCTGAGCCAGCGGTTATTATGGATAGTCCACATTGACGCCCTGTGTGGTTTCCTTCGAGATCCACATTGCAGTATTAGGAAAAATATGTTCTGGGGCAAGGACGAGGGCAGAGGCGACTGGTTGAGTAAATGGCCGAGAAACGCGCCATTCAGATCGATGGCCAACAAGTCCAAAGACTTGTATTGACGCTCGTATTAGAGGTGGTTGGTTCATTCGAGGCGACTGTGGACTTTGGGTGTGATTTCAGGACCTTGTCATAGTTTTAGGCGAGTCAAGAAGCACACTGAAAGCCAATGCTAATAGCTTATTCCTCTACTCTCAGAGAGTGTATGGGTATCCTTTCCCTTTTCTCGATAAGATCACCTCGGGTTGCACTTGTGGTTTGCCAACACGGCTCTGAGCAACGAGTAGTGCTATTGGGAGGCTGGGAGACGGGGCAAGGACCATTTACGAGTAAATGTAGTAGGCATGGGCCAATACGTGCGTGTTTAAGCTTTGAGAAGTAATTGCAGTTGTTCTGCGGTACGTGTCCAGTACTACAAAGGCATTAGCGGTCATTTCCCTTCTAGTTGCCTACATGCTTGGACGGCTGCTTCCGTTGAGCGACCCGGCCTATATTGAAAGTAGATACCAATGAAAAGAAGTACTTCTTTAGAGAATCTAGGGGCTGCTAAGCTGGATCCCTTACTGACGTTATATAGTTACGGTTAGGCTGTGGGTCTTCGAATCAGTCCGGCTCGGATGTGTGGATCTTGATGCGGTCGGACTTCTGAAGAGCTCTGGGGTCGTTTAGACGAACAGTCGGTGGAAATTGAGGGGGCACGCATTGGATTCCCATGGAGTAGAGTTGCTCTCGTGGCTATCGGTAGAAATCTACAAGACAATAAGCAACTGCTGTCTAGACTCACTTCTGCCACCTGAGACACGTAGGCGAGTAAGAATATATAGGAGGTACGGAAGAGTAGTAAGATTCATTTGAAAGGGCTCAAGGGCCGCTATGGCGGCGATGAAGGCTGAGGAAAAGGTGCGATGTTTGAGACACGTCGGCGCGGAGGCTGCTCCAACTGAACGGGAAGGGCCGGTCCAGGGCTCCGCTTAAACCCATCACTCGGAAGCCTTCATCAACATCTTCAACGCTACGCTATCGGGTATGCATTGCGGAAGCTCTGGAAACGCGTATTCCATTGACAGAAGTTCTACCAGGCCGAAGGTTTCAGCAGACGTTTTTGAGGCTTTGGTGAAGATCGACACTCGATGATGCAATTGTTCAAGGTAGCGAAGCGCTATAACTCACGTCGATGTTAGGAGCTCCTCGTAATCCATTCCTCTGTTAATACAATCAACAGCGATTGTGTCGACCGATTCCGAAGACTCCGCGGTTACAATGTCCCCCTCGGGGCTTGCCATTCCCATCGGCGCTGGTCCAAACACAGTGAGTTTCTCTTCTCTGTTGAATATTGCGCTCACAAGACGCTTTTCTAGGGAGCTGGAATCGCTTGACTCGCTCGAATTCTCTCTCACCCGCACGGTAGTCTTACTCGCTCGTCCCCCCGAATCATTTAGGACGTCATCTCGACGACCCGAAAGTCGAGTCCGAATGCCGTGCCGGTGACATTCCGCGACTGATACGTCGCTGGGTCATTGAAGGAAACGTTCAAGGATATCAAGGCCTCCTAGAGGTTCCGTGATTTGAAACTCTGGGTGGGCATCTACAGAATCAAGCATTGCAGCAAGAAGCCGTTCATGGAGGAAACTTACAAGGAGTTTACCAACTCTCTCTAGACATACGCTGGCGGAGCATTTACATTCGCACAAGAGTCTCTGAGGCGGTTCTTTCAGGCCCACGATGAAAACCCCCTTTCCGAAGACGCTACGAAGAAAGGCGTTAGTACGACTGTAACTCCTCGGCTGCTGCCCACATGACAATTGCTGCACACTCCTATTTCGCCAGTACCTTAGCAGCCTTTCGTTGCGGTGCCAAATGTGCTGCTTACGGTGCTGGTCGGTCCAGAGTTCGACAGCTGGCACAGGCTCTCTCCCGTGAGATGAGCGATAAGGGGGTGCACGTCGTCCATACCGCCGCCAACGGCGCTATTGTGGATGAGGAGGGAAAAGATCGGAAGACTAGTAAAAAGATGAGTGCCGACGCGGTGGGCGAAACTTACTTGTGGCTCCATTGGCAGAAGCCTTGCCTCTGGACACATGAATTGGGCATGAGACCTGCCGCCGAGAAGTTTTAATGGCAAGCTAGAAATCTATGGAAAGCGAACACAATCTCAAGTAAGTAGCTACGAACTCTCAATTATCTCTCCGTGGGGTTATTTGTCCTACCAAATTTCTTTATCTCGTCCAAACTTCCTCTCCGAACTCAATATCATCCCAACTGTACCGCTTCTCTTCACTCTCCAATTTTGGCCAGGTATTGTCCGATTCCGCTGGAATATCCACTCTACTGTTTTGAAATTCAATATACACCTGGTCTATTGCCACAGCTGGTGCACGTGTACACAGTCTTTGAAGGCAAAGGCGAATCGATGCGTCAGCGAAGTTAAGAACACGCATTTGGTTCGTTATGGCGAAAGTCCTTCTCCTACTCTAGATGAGCAGAATCCTGTCAAAGCTGGACCTTAGTGAACACTTACTCTGATTCGGTCGCTGGAACTGCTTCCAAATCTAATTTGCCCATCCATGACAGTGTAACGGATCTGCAGGTGCAATGCCCATTCCAGCACTCTATGATATCGAACAGAAGCCCCATTCTCAAGCCATCGTTCGTCCCCACGTCTTTCAACGGAATCGGACCCCATCTATCGTGGATCCAATATGATGTCAACACAGCCTCGTGCGCGTTAAGATTCTGAACTGGAGGAACAACCGGGAACATCTGGCGCCAACTAGCCTTCGCACGGACGAGCGCCTTCCGGAATGCCTCATCCCCGTGGAAAGGTTTCTCATGGAAGTACACCCAGGTAAACTTGGCTGCCAAAAGTGGATTGAACTCTGGAGTCATATCTCTACCGTACCATTTCAAGAACAGCAGCTCCTGGATCCTGCGAGAGGAATGTATGACTTCGTTCCAGAAGCGATTAACCCGGAGAGCGGATACAAGGATGAATTGCATACCCTCTGCTTTCTTCTTGCACTCTTCAAGGTCATTGTAAACGCCCCATCTGGCTTCCGGGTCGCCGTGACTGGCGCATGTCCGGAGTTGCTTATCTTCTACGTTCCCACTCGGTCCGATTTGTCCTGGGGTTGCAGCGTGAATGAGGATTGCTTCCAAGAGTTCTGGGATGGCGAAGATATGAGATGCGGTACTTTGCATTGGGTTCATCTTGGGAGTGTTTAAAACGATGTAAGAAGGGACGCCTGAAGTCATTGAGCCGGGCTTTATAACTCCTTCAAATCTCATGGCTGGCCGTCAAAATACGCTGCGCCACACCCCATAGCCACCCCACAGCTTTCAGCTGAGAATGGGTCGTATAGTCCTACAAACGGGCTGCGCGCACAAGCGAGTTGTGCAACTCATTTGCAGGAAACGTGATACATCGTTGGCGAAGTTTTGCTTTTTCTGAGGCATCCATCCAAAATCGGCCGGGTAGAGTTGAAGCCGGAAATCACGTGGCTCGGAGTGTGGTCTGGACCAGTTTGGCAGTATCTCGTCCACCTGCCTAACAAGATCGGGGATAAGGGAGATTAAAAGCACTCTTCCAGCTAAGAGGATTCTTCGCAATATTTTAAGGTGTCTGTTTGCATATAGGAAGAAATGCAACACTTGATTCGGGACCATTTCATCGGACTTCTTTTCTCTAGCTATACTTTGATCAGCTCGGCTTTTCCAATGAGGTCTGCAAAATCTCATTCAGTTCTTAGCTTTACTAGCGCGGCAATGGCAAAGGAAATAGCCGAGAGGATGGGTATTAAGACGGCTGAAAGGAATCCTCAGAGGACTGATGGCCTTTCCATGGAGTGTGTATCAGTACTTCAATTCAGGAACTATTCTGCCGAATAGTATTGAGAGGAGTATTTACTTGTTAAAGAAGAACGGCAATGAAAGCACCGTAGAGTAACTAGGAAAGTAAAGTTATGAGACCATTTTCGGTCCTTTCTGAGTTACTGTGGCGTGTGGAAGATTTACCCACGTGCCAACGTGGTGTTAGCGCGTTCCAATTGATTATTTGGAAGCGAGGTCTCAGCGTGTGTCCACGCGTTCCTCAAAATTTCAGCTTCAGTCTTTCACGAACCCTATGGACTGTCTGCTTTCCATTCTACTCAACGTGTCATTAGGTTATGGTTCAGACATCGCACCTATCGTGCTCTTTGCAATTAATAATGTTGCTTCCCACCGAAACCACAGCAGGCGACCTAGCTCAACCTCCGCGACCAACCTAAACGAACCTCTCAACGAATACGTTACCAATCTCTACTCCACCATCATCGCAATGTCATCCTTCACATAGCTTTCTGACACTGAGCTCTCGGATCGCGTGTTCGACACCTATACAGCTTATAGAATTTCAACGATGTCCCTACACCAGACGTTGTGCAGAGACGCAGGTTACAAACTTGCCAATGGAGTCATTTCACCTCACGTTCCGGGAATACACAAGTAAACGGTAGATTAAATGCCAGGCGCCACGTCAGATTTCTAAAGATGAAGGAATTTCCGAAGGCAGAATCGAGCAACGAAAGTTGCGTTTGATGATTTGGATAAGCGGAGGACTAAGGAACGATAGCAGTCAACACATTCGCGGCCAGAACCTTTTGCTGCTTCACACCCTGCACAATCAAGATACTCGACCAAAATCTTCGTTGGTTTTCCATCTTCCCAATCTACGCGTATTAATCAACCCCTCCAGCATCGCAATTCACAACGTCGAAACCGCTACTCCAAGCATCGGAGCCGCTTGTATGCCTCTTTCCATTCGGTATACGCAAGGACAAAACGCTTCTCAAAGTACCCTAGAGTTATTTGGCATATCTCAAGCTGCAGGAAATGGTGGATCATATGCTTAGCCTCAAAGACGCTCTCGATTTATTTGAGCAGGGGGTCGACTTAGCTTGCAACCCCTACTGCTACCGCACTGCTGCAGCCTACGGCTGAGTACGCTTCAATTTTGGTATGCATATTGGGAATGGCTGTCCGAAGTAACGTCTCCATACACAAAGTGCCTCGAGGAACGAAGAATCCTAGCTGATCGACCAGATATCGCAGCCGCAGTTGCGCAGCACGAACGCGACCACCCTCCGCCATCCGTGGACACGCTTGCATTTCGAAAACGCGATGGCAAGCACCTGACAAACGTATCAGACGACTATATCACCTTCGTCAAGACCCTCGACAGCCTAGATAAGAGTGAAAGTAGTTATAGCAAGCCACAAGAGAACAACCCCGAGACTAGCAGTCGCTTCAATATTTCGGACAGGGACATACGCATCACGCACGGGGAAGTGTGCACTGCCCCTGACGATTTCCAGTTTTGAGGCAAGAAAGTTCTTTGGTTTGAAGCCGGCAGCGTATAAACTCTTGCTCCTCAAGTTGAATATGCCGCTGTATACGGCAGGTGTATTTTATGCGGAAGATACTTCGAGGAATGGCAGGCATAGGGAAATGTTGGATAAGTGTTTGAGGAATACGGGGAATGGGCGTAGGAAGATTAGGTGGCGATGAATGGTATTAGGTGTACGCTACTTCGGGGATATTTTTGTCAGGTTTGGTGTATGCTTCTGTCCAGGACATTGTTGGGATGCAAGTTTATTGTATTAGATATAGAGCGAGATGAATCCTTGTCTAGAAAGGAAAGTGGATGCTGGATAATGGCGCGGGTACGTTCGTGTTACACGCTGAAGAGCTTAGCACCCAGCTTTCCACGGGCTAGCTTTAGGTACCGTTTACTTACTACAGGTAGCGAAAAGAAGACTACGGTAGGAGGTCGAGACACCGAAACTTCAGGCCTTGCAATCAACTGAGACTTGTACGATTCCGTCAAAATGGTATCAGTTCCACAAGAGGAAACACATTTATGATGTAAATTCCCATAGAAGGGGAGTTTATTCGGTATCGTTTTGCACGCTTCATCAAGATACTGTCACAAAACATGACACAGATGACATTGTTCTTTCAGCGAGGACTGGTCATGTAGTTTTTCTAGTAGAATTTCGATAGTTCAGGACATGAGACAATGTCCTTGAGAAGCCAGGGGCTTTGGGGGTCTGGATTTATCACAAGGGAGAATACTATACTATCCTTTCTCTTCTGTGGGACAGGATGGTCGCTGGATGCGCATAGTCCGTTTCTACCTATGGCTTCTAGACGCAAATGGAAACCATGGTCCAGTGCCAAGTTAGGTTTGGTGGTTCACGCACTGGCGTACATGACACTTAACAGATACTATTTTAGAGCCCAATCGGATGAGAAATTTGAATATGCAAAGAACAGGTAAGTAGACAAGCAGTGCAGGGGAGGTTATATACCCATACCCTCGAGTCGGTACTTGATCAGGTGGTTGGCTCAGCACAACAAAGCCTGCACAACACGCGAACCTGAGCGCGAGGCAGAGCATATTTGCTAAACCGTGTATTTTTTTTTTGGAGGTTCTCTCCATGATCTGTGCGATATAATGTCCTGGACTACCTCTTTCCCGACATATGTATCCTTTTCTGCAATCTCGCTATACGAGAGCTGCACTCCTGCGTCTTTCGTGATTTAAGTATCTTTTTGACTTCGGCTGCCTCCATGCTGCGGGGCCACCGGTATTGTGGTACAGAAAGAAGGACCGAGTTTCTGGAGATGAGTTCCTTTGTTAATATCTGCTTTTCTGGAGAGTGGGGATTGCCAGCTATTGGGTTCTCCCGCTGTCTCCATGCCAACTAACGAGTTTGACCTCTGGTTCGTGCGGCGCGCCCTCTCATGGTCGAGCTGGATTGTTCGTTGTACAGCTTCTTATGCAATATCTTCAGCGGTGATGGAAATGGCTCGCTGAAGCTATGGAGGCGGAGATGTCATCTTTTTTAGCCGAGGCAAGGGGTTCAGTACCATCGCGGTACTGGTAGCTTCATTTTTCTCTAAGCTGAAGGAAATCGGAGGCTCCTGCCATCATCTTTTCGATTTTGATTTTGGACATCCGGGAGCATGCATAAGGACGTGCTTAATTTTATACATCTGGAACGGTTCTAGCAGTAGAACGGTTGTTCATTATTCTTTAAACCGGGGGAGAAGTAGTTGAGCTATTATTAAAGATCGATTCGAATGTTAAAATTTAGGTACGCCATTGTGATTTTCGCCCGTTGTATGCTAGAGAATAATTTGGGAGGCATAACGTCGTGATTCTTAGTTTTTTTTTTAAGCCTTCTGGAGCAGAAGAAATGCTTGAAACTATGAATATATCTCTTTTTTAGTTTTGGAGGCAGGCATGTATCGATGGTAATCGGACTTTATTTCTCACAGGAGAAGAGCGACACCGACCTTGGGTAGACTTTTTTTTAGAGACCCAGCTTTCCGCGGTAGATTGCGAGAGAGAGGTATGGCAAAAGAGGGGAGGTTAAATAGAAGTCCACGGGAGGAACGAAAGCAGAGCACGCGCACCAGAGATGAGAACAACGCCTGTGTATCATACTAACCCCGCCAATATAATGCTTTCGGATTGAGTGTACTGTCGCAGCTGTCGAGTTGCGTATTTGCTTTCCTCATCCTTTCGCCGAGACTTTGTTCTCTACCTCCACACTTCTCTTATCGAGCCGTTAGGATGATCAAACTATCCAATCTTACCATGAGAACCCCAAAAACAAGTTAGATTCGGCATGTCCTGCTGCTAGATCAAAATGAGAGAGCTGAATGACACATGCACGTTTTGGCGGTTTGGGGACCAAAGCAAAAGGAGGCGAGTATTGCCATATGCGTCTACTGGCGGGACTCGAAAAAAGCAACTAACCGAGAGCTATGAGTGTTATACGATGAAGCATAGAGTATCCAAACAACAGGGATACGTGTTGCTTACGGAAGCCTGGTCAAAAATACTGTAGCCCCGAATATCATGGTTCAAGGGTTGGCCCATCCACATCCGCATCCGCATGGTTCCGAGCCACTCGTCTTTGAGGGGAGGTGACGCTGCAGCAGGCTTTTAGAATCCATGGTACGGCGACGACATCGGACTTGCCTGGTTGGAGTTTATTTTTTCGGCTGAAGACTGACATCCATGAGAATTTTAGTGTTTGAATATTGGATTCGCCTTTGCAGTATCAATGAACCATGGCATCCCGAATAAGGTTTAATGGCGGGCAGAAGGTGAAACGCCATGAGGTCTTCTACTTCCATTTTTATTGGTGACAACGGGAAGGTAGCACATTGGCTCAGCTTCACGTCAATTTTATCGATTCTCAAGAAGTCGAACTGTGAAGAAGCCACCAGCTGAGGAGAAGATGGATCTTCATGCATGAGGGGGAGGGAGAAGCGAATATCGACGCAGGAAATTTTTCCCGCATGCCCCGTCAGGCTTGCTCGGTATATCCCGGTTACAATTTGTGATTCGAAGTGATGTGGAAACTCGCCTATGTGCTCCATTCAACGTCTTCACAGTACTTACGAAGGAAGACGCGAGTCTCTAAAAGGAATTTAGGAAAGATGAAGTTGGAAACTCAGGAGTGAGAAAATTCGAGATGAGCCCATAGTAGCCACTCCGACAATAGAATGGAAGACTCAGTCGGACTATTAGTCTAAAAGGGTGGTCTGAGTGAAGATTAATCTAGTCTAACATAGTCTAGCCGTCGGTCAAGAGTTATTACGAGCCCTGGAGCTGAATAGAGCTAAGGCAGGGCTAAGGCAATCCCACTCGGAGGGGTGGGGTTCCGGGTGGGGGCCACTCAGGAGCGTCGGACCTATCAATCATCCAGCAGCTCACCACAGTCAGAGACTAGCCATTCAGCTCGTCGCACTCCGAGAGCTCTCCACAGTGTCCAATTATCTCCCTTACCTCCGTCAAGGCTCTCCTCAAGGTCAGTGAAAGGGACGTTATAAATTGATCCATTAATCGGACTAACGGAGCCATGAAAACGGAAAACGACCAGCTTATATGTTGACATTTGGTAAAACACGTCAAATTCGGTCGAACCTCGTCGATTGGTCACCATGAAAACACCTCCACATGATCAGTCAAGATGGTATTCAGAGACATTCTAGGGCGCTCCTCCAGGTGCGGCGGGATTTGATGGCTTATCTGGCGTTTAGAATAGGGTATATTCATATAGTCAAGTAACGGCGGCCCCACCCCCAACTCAGCACTTGATTCTTAGATGACACAGAATCCTCAGGGCCATCCCACCTCAGTCTAACAGAAGGAGTGGGCCGGCACGAATGTTGGGGCTACCTGCTCTAGCCAGACGCAAGTTCCTCCACCCCAGCCGTCTCATAGAATGAGGAGCAGTCACGTGTAGCGGTTTGTGTTTGTGAGATCAGACGAGGCTGGAAAAACATAGAATATGCTTGCATTGATAGAGGCGACCGAAACGAACGGCGAGATATTGTCCCTATGAGACTAGACTACTGCCTAAACTAGTAACAGTAGGCATGATACTGGTGAGAAATCTGAAAGAGTAGTAAGCCTAACTCAATGAGATAAAAGCACGATTCTGATAGCGTTAAAATGCCTTTAAAGTCTTAGTCCTGCACTTGATAGCTTCTTTATGATGGCCATGCTGGTGCTACCACATTTGAGGATCACCCTCAAGAGACGTAGAGGAAAATAGTTCTTGCATTCGAAGCCTCCAGACTGAGGCGAAATTTCGACCAGATTTGATTCAGAAACAGTTTTGGGGAGTACTAGATGGTTTCATACTGATATGACGAAAAGATGGTGTTTGAGTCGCTACTTAATAGGGTCGGGAATGACAAGCGGAATGACTGGAGGGTGTAAAAGTCAACAGTGAATAGTCCAGGACACCGTGCGTTCGCTTAGAGGAGCACCATACGATGGTAGAAAGATATCCAGTATAAGGTTTCAGAATGGGACAAATGTGGTGGCAGGAGAAACTCAGAGCTTGGGATAAGACGAGCATTGGTATGGCCCTAGAACGAACAACAGAGACCGGACACGATTGTTATAGATAGCCTTCATGAAAGACTTCCTAAAGGCAAGGCCTTTGTGCTCGTTGGCCTTATGGAGTGCTGAGGTTGTTGATGCGGTGTGGAGAGTACTGGATTCTACCTGTGATTGGAAGTTGGAAGGATAAAAGCTCTAGTCCTAATTGAGCATAGTGCCATTCACCAACCAATGCAGCCCTGCAGCCCTAGAGGAACCATTTCGCATTTCGTCACCGGCCAACCTTCCCCCTCCTAAATGGCTCGAAGAGAAGCATAGCTCCTTTCACTTTAATCAATATTCTTTTCTATCCACAAATATATGCTATTAGAAGTTTCTTATCCTGTCAGTGGCTGGCGAGGAGCTGCCTCTCGCTCCACGGCTGCTGAGACAAGGAATTGCTGTGGCGTTTCAGCCTTCGTGCACATCTATCAAATAAGTTTCATCTCTTCTTTACAATTATTGTCTTTCTTACTAGATTTTCGTCCCAACGTATCCGCTACTCGGTGTACATATCCATTATTCTTCTTACTCGACCCCTAGATTCGGCCATGATTCTTGCAGCCATAGTCCGGAGAAACCCCCTAGAGGGTCTTGCAGTTCCTTTTCCATGGCTCATTCAACTTGTGCTGTGGCTTGCAGAAGCATTGTGATTCTACTGCATGCTGTGGCGTACCACAGAACATAACACTTGAGAAGCTGATATATCTAACCCTATTGCTCGAATCATGGGTGGGTACCATGAGGAGACAAACGCCTGTCCCATAGATCTGACGCAGTCATGTCTACGTCTTATGCACCACTTGACGGTGCCTCAGGCTGGGTAGCACAGCAGACTGGTCAGCGGCCCCTCTTTCCAACCTGCCTCGCGCTTGGCCTTCTGAAGTCCCGTGGTTGATTGTCCCCCAAGCCACTTGATAGACATTGGCTATACCACTGTCCGTATGCGGCTTAGCGCGTTAGATGGCACACCAGGCTGAGCAAAGAACTGCAGCTACTTCGCGATTTTTTGCGATCCGTAGCGATGCGGCTAATGAGGCGTTTACAACGGGAGAGTGTTGGGTACAAGCCACAGTCCTCACTGGAGACTTGAAACTTAAGTGCAGGCGTGCCGGGCCTGGTGGAGCCTTTTTGTTGTTTCTTTACTCTGTCTTCGAATAACCCTGTCGAGCTTCGAGACCAGCCACAATGATCGTGCCTTTACTGACGGCCCTCTTCTTTCTAATTTCTCCGTCAGCGCAGCAACACGATCCTCTGCAAGACTTTTGTCGCATTTTCGGCCACCAAACGACTCTGGTAGATCGCAAAATCTACATTGATGGAGGGCTTGTTAATTGGGATTCGTCGGCTGGAGCTCAGAATTACAGCAGTAAGCTATCTAGCTTTGAAGGCCGATTTGTTCCGTATAGATGAAAATAAACTAATACTTGTACCAGGTCGATGGCTTAGGCAAAGCGATTTAGACCGCAATAATTCCGGATTCCCTCAAGAATTCAACCTCGGCGAAAAAAACAGCTCCGTTCCTTCCGTTCATGGAGGAGTGCTCTGGCCGGATACTGCCAACAAGATCGTGTATTTGTATGGCGGCGAACACGCAGATGGTCCCCCAGCCCCGTTTTCTCTTTGGTATTACGATATTGTCTATAATTCCTGGAACAAATCAAATGCAAGCGTAACAGATACTAAACCGGACACAGTTCGGGCTTCTTGGGGTAAGTGGACCTTGCTATGGAAGGTGCATCGCTCACACCAATAGGTGCGGGTGCCGTTGCGCAAGATAGAGCGGTTGGGTACTACTACGGAGGTTGGCTATCCAGCAATTCGGTTCCCGGCTATATTGCTCAGACGCCGCTAAATTCTATGCTCATATATAACATGAAGAAGAACTCATTTCGAAATCGAACTGGTCCGGACGATACTCCTCGCGCCGAAGGTGTGATGGTATATATACCTGCAGGAGATGCAGGAATGCTCGTATACTTTGGAGGAATCGAGTTTCCGTACGGAAATTCTACGAGAGAAGGAGTGAGCATGTATTTGAACGAGGTGCGAACAATAGCTAACATGCTTAGGTCCCTATGAGTGTTCGTTATCTTTTAATATGCTACGAAGACCTGCTCATCCTTTGCCAGAAAATATTTCTTTATGATATTGGGAACGATAAGTGGTAAGTTATATTTACTTGAGCAAAATGGAGAGCCAAATCTTACTTAGATTGAAACCCAGGTACACCCAGAACGCAACCGGCGATGTCCCCGAAATGCGTCGCAGGTTTTGTGCAGGCGCTGCGTGGGCTAATGACAGATCCTCGTATAATATGTTGAGATACCTATTCCCGTTTTAGTCTTGCTGTATCCTGACGGCATTCTAGATACTTCTTCGGTGGCGCCTCTGTAAAGGAGGGTGTTGGATTTGGAGATGTATATGTGTTAAGTTTACCATCGTTCAGATGGATAAAGGTAATATCCACCCAAGCTCTGAATGTTTTGATTCATAAGCCCTTCCGACATCAGAACTAGACTGGGAATTCAATCTCATCAGCAAGAATCTAACTGTGTATGATTAGTTCTGGCCGAGACCGGAGGATAATGTCGGGCAAACCTTCCCACATCATTCACTCACCTGTGATGTTATAGAGAACTCACAAATGATCATAATGGGGGGTACTTTTCCGAACTTGACCCTGTGCGATGTTCCAGAAATTCAAGGTCAGCATGGCCTCGATCTTGGGAAGGCGAACAAGGACCATGCTAAATGGGCGATGTTCAACCCTATTATTACAACATACCAAGTCCCAGATGAAATTTTTGCGACGATTGGAGGGGGCCCAACAGGGGGCGCTACTCTATTGGCTCCGACTAGCGGATGGGGAGAGAGAGATGTGAGCGTGGAGTTTGGGAGAGCATATACGCCGACTACAAGAACTCCGACTCGGTACATACCACCATCCTCGACAGAGGCCCCGAAGCCTCCGCCTACCACATCTGCGCCGCTACCAAAACCAAGCAACAAGAAGGTTGTGATCGGAGCCGCTGCTGGTGGTGTTGGTGGTCTAATTCTAGTCGCACTCCTCGGTGGCGGTATACTTTTCTGCATAAAGAAGAGCAAAAAGGACAAAACCAACTCGCGGCCTCCCTCAGAACTCCCGGGACAAAGTCTCACCAACGCAAAGTCTCCTACAATCTCCCAGCAGCTCTCCTACAATAACCCCAGCCTAAGTCAATTCACACCCCAAGGCTCCCCCCCACCTCTCTCTGATCGAGCCATCTCGCACCATAGCAATCCGGCTCATAGGTACTCTGGCCCACCAGCTCAAGAAACAAATATATATGACCCCCGACAGCCACAATCTTCGCAGCAATGCCGCATCCCAAATGACAATTCGCATGGCAGCTACTACCACCCGTTGCAATCGTCGCCAGTACAAGCAGGCTACCCAGGGCATCAATCCCCGCACCACTCTCAGCATTCCCCTCACCACTCTCAGAATTCTCCTCATTACTCTCAGCAGACGTCTCAGTCACCCACTACCACCGCCCACGAGCTGCCGTTAGTCCGATCACCTCCTACACAGCAAAAAAATATGCAACCTCTGAAGGTGCAAGGTATAGACCCATACTTTGCACAGCATCCACCTAGCTACCAGTAAGAGGCGAAGGAGAGTTTTTTTGTGGCGGTTTGCTGCGAACATGAGTCAATCTGCGCGTGGGGTTCAGGAGATAGAGAAATGATAAGTAGAGGAGCCTATCCACACCTATCTCACTTGCCACAGAAATGCTCTTCCCACATGTTCATCTCCGCCTCCCCTGTCTCCTTCTGGAGTTTCAAGGATAAGTTAGTGTATAGAATGCTAAGATAATTTTTCGTTGTAAATTGTTCTCGTATTTGGACTAGTCTAGGATATTATGTAAGACTAAGCATGTGAGATTTAGGAGGCAAGAATTACTTTTATTTGTCAGTGAAGACGTGTGTCTTACCTATACTACCATAACCTGAGATTCTTAGCTCTGATCACGACACTGTGAGTCGAGCGAGAAACTTCGGGTTGGAAGACGGGATATTGAATGTTTTGCATTCACAACCCCGGACAGCAGTTGAGCCCCATATTAGCATTTGAAAAGCCGATTACGCCGAGTAATGTATCCCCTTCAAGTATAAAGAGAACCCCCACAATCCGTCATGTACGAAACCAGATAGTTTAACACATTGATGAGTGCCAGGGGAGTATGCTACCATTCCGCATGGTCACCAAATTGCAGCCCACAGCCGGCCCCAAACAACATGAGCCGTGGTCGCCAACGACGCCTTGCCCCTCTCCACATATTTCTGGCTCGATCTACAAGAACAACGTTAGATCCCTTCTCCGGTAAGGATGAAAAGTGTGTGGAGTACCTTGCAAACGGCAACACCAGCGTGTACACGGGAGGGGTGAATTCAGGCGCCTCTTGACCTCCATCTCGTTGCTTGCCTCGCGAGGGTCGATAGGGGCGCCGGCTATGACACGTTCGACATGAGCTGACCCCGATTCATATTAGTGTGTTTCGAGAGAACATGAGTAGAAGGTATACTGACTTTCCGGGTTTGCCCAAGTTACGGCAACCCCACTAACCGTCACGAGCGCTCTGTGGAAGTCCGAAGTAGCTGGAGAAAGTTATTGAAGTATTCGAGAAAATATGCCGAAGACGAGATAGATCGCACCTTTGTAGTGATCCAGCACTGTTCTTTGACGATATTTTTCTTGGTCTCTCTGGCGCTGCTGGGGAACTTCGAGGTCCTCGAGGTCCGCCGCAACATTAACAAGTTGAATCCCATGAGATTCGTCGTTGTGGGAGTTTTGATTTACTTCGTTCCTAGCCCATTCAACTTTATCTATACTCGGGTTTCTGACGGTAAAAACCTGTAGCGGAATGGATCCACTCGGCTCCTCAAGAATGCTACACCTCGATGGCGAGCCTTCGGGTGTGGTTGTCCCCCTACGTGGATGGGAAAAGTTGACATTTGATTTTACCTTTAGCAAAGGGGGTGTAGGTAGTCGCTCTTCCACGGGGCTATTAAAAGAGAAGTTGAAATTGAATTTTACCTTTGGCGATGGAGGGGCAGGTATCCTCTCTTCCCCAGGATCATTGAATGGATTGTTAGAATCGTCGATTTCAGAATATTGAGTATCATTTCTCGGTTGCAAAGAAGTTCCCCCAGCTGAGTGGTCTACATTCTCCACTTTCGGGTCCGAGGCGGGCTGTTCAATCCGCGGCGGCGCCAGTACGGGACTTGGAGGTAGCTGAATAAAAGAATGGCTATGATCATCTCCTTTAATGTTAACGGTCTCGATCTCGTCCAAAAGACTTTCAAAGCTAGAGCAATCGGCAACTGGTAGTTTGCCAATTGCTTTATGTGGATACGGAGAGGAACCTCGCCGATGGGAGGTTGACCGAAAAAGGGTGCGTGATAGCGGAGGAGGTGTGGCCCATCGCACGTGTTTTTCCACCGAAGGAGACGACACTCCAATGGTCGTACTCTCACCTTCGTCTGCTTGTGCTATAGAAGGCAACCCTAAATTGATGAAGGGCTCCTCATACGGCGTTGAGAGAATATCCTTCTCGCAAGTTTGTACTGGATCCGAAGACAAGGAAGGATCAGATGTGTCTCCGATACGTGTACTCCCCTTCTTGCCCACTTGTGCCAGGGACAGCACCACTGCCTCGGTGGCAGTTTCTTCCTGCTTCGTTGTTGGAGTATCCTTTTCGCAAGCTTGTACTGGAGTCAAATGCAAAGAGGGATCTGGCCCATTTCCAGTGGCTGCACTCTCATCGTCACCCGCTTGTGCTAGAGACAGCTCTACATTGGCGAGAGCTTCTTCATGCTGTGTTGTTGGAGTACCGTTCTCGCATGGTTCTGTTGGAGCCACAGGAAATGAGGAATCAGCTGTCTCTCCGATCACTGTGCGCTTCTCGTCACCCGCTTGTGATGGAGACAGCCCTAAATTGACGAGTGCTTCTTCCCGCTGCGTCGTTGGAGTATCTTCTTCACAGGCTTCCGCTAGAGTTGGAGGAAAGGGGGAATCAGATGCTCCCCCAGGTTCAGAGACTTTGTTTTCGTAATGCCATTCCTGGAATCCCCTTGACTTCCCAGTCATATCAGGGCTTTGCGCTTCCATACCTGAATCAATTTCCCCTTCATTCACAGGCACTAGGGTGGCTTTTCGACTCTCATGTCGAAGTTTCGGATCTTCGGTTCCAGTGTCGCTTCGCTTCGCAGTCCTATTGTGAGGAGAAGGCTTGGCTGGTCCGGGTTTGCTTCCCAAGGGCTTCACCTGGTTTGCGTCAGCTTGTAAATTGACTAAGCGAAATTTATCTACAAGGCTCCGCGTATCGGAGTTAATTGTACTGTATCCTGATGAGGCAGTGGGCTGGGATGTTGGCTGTGGTGTATTTGAGCTCTCGGCGCCCCCAAGCAGGTATCTAGCTTGCGGGGATGAAAACAGCGGTAAATCTGGCGGTAGCGATGGGGGATTTGAGCTCGATCCAATAGATCTACTATCGAAGGCTAGGTCATGCAGTTGATGCGAGCGAATTTCTGCGGCCCTTGGTGGCTGCGAAGATAAAGCCGTAGCTTCCGGGCTGTCGCGGCTGATGAGGCCAAACACATGGCATTCAGCGTTCATGATGAGTAGCTTAAAGTATGGCTAGTGGGGGATCAGCAGGTAAAGATGTGATAAGTGTTGAGCGAGAGAGTAACGAATAATGATCGGTAAGTGATATAGACAAACGATAGTGTGATGAATACTGTGAGTGAGTTGAGAAGAAGGACCTGCATAACGGAAGATTTATACATATTGGTAGGTGGTGCTCCCACTCGCTGATTGTTCTTACTGCCATTCCCACTGTTCTACTGATCAGGGAGGAACTTCTTTCCCATCCCAGTCCCAGCACCTCCCTCGCCCATTAACCCCTACTTTCTTAACCACATCAATCAATCTGTCGGCGACCCAGTCACTCTCAAACAGCTTTTCTTTCTTTACGCTCCCCCAGAACTCTTTGCTCAAGCCTGTTTTTACTGTACCAGGGTGCAGGGCCATGGCGATAGCATTCTCACCAGAAGTAGTCAGCAAATAGTTGTCGAATGTTTTCGCGAGCTGATTAACGCCAGCCTTGGAAATGCGGTAGCTATACCAGCCTCCGAGATGGTTATCAGTTATGCTGCCAATGCGAGCAGACATCACCGCCGTTGTTGAGACCTCGGGTAATGTCTCTATAGTTCCGTCGTTCGGGTCCACGGCGGTCCCTTTCTTTGGAAGAAACGGGGTAAAATGTTTCAACATTAACATCGGTCCGATAGTGTTTGTACGAAAAGTCAGCAACGCATCATCAGCGTTGATCTGTGCCGGTGACTTCTCTGGAAAGAGCACCCCAGGCACAATGAAGGCGAGATGCAAGTGATGGGTCCTAGATGGAAACATCTCCTTGCAAGAAGCAGCAGCCCGGGAGATCGTGGACTCATCTACATATCAACGTCAGCAGGATAAAGGTTCCGGAACTGTATTCAAGATTGGGATAATCACTCACCCAATACATCAACGTGTAAGACTGTGAGCTTTCCTTCGTCGATATTAAGACCATCTAGAAGTTCATGTCGCGTCTTCGTCGGATCTTTACGTGCAGTTGCAACAATTGGTACATCCGTTGTCTGTAGAATCCTTCTTGCCAGCGCGAAACCGATACCTCTCGAAGCCGGCGACACTAAGGACCAAGGGGGCATCTTTTAAGAGTGTCATTGAGGTAGAAGCAGTCAGAGGCGGAAATTCAAATGATTGAGACATGGTGTATTTATTAGGTGGGCATGCGTAGGCAAGGTGAACTTTCATGTGAACCTAGGAGAGATGATGGAGCCGGCGATGACATCGTGATCTGTTTCCTCGATCGGCTTACCCAAGATGGCTAGTGTATGATCTAGCGTGTCGCCCATTTGCGATTGCATAGGCATAGAAATCGCCTATCTGTTCGAGGCTTGTGACTTTTAAGCTCATCAATAATCACCATCCGGCGGCGAACGGAATTATATGCACCCTGCTTCGGAATTCTTCAATACGATATCTATGGACTGGACTCAACAACTTCGAAGATAGCCACTAAGCACCCCTCTTGCGATTGGCACAATTACATCACCCTAGAATACACATGTTCGAAAACACCACGTATCATTTTTATTCTAAGTCTTGGTACTAACCCGCACCTGAGATCCCAAGCATTCTAGATTCGCCGAACCCTGTAGGGCACAGGAGGAACTATGCAATCTTGGTTCATCAAAATTTACCCCTGGTCATATTGATTACGAGTCTTCGTTCACCTTTATTTTGTAAACTTGTCTTTCTGGTTCTGAACCCTCCTAAACTTTGCTTCTTGGACGGGCTGTCCGATCACCAAGTCCGTTTGGTTCTATTTCCGCTTTCTATTCTCTTCAGTTCTTGGTGCACCCCAGGCCCCAATGCTAAGCAGCTCTGCTTCTTCCTCTGCCCTAGCCTAAGCAGAGTCTTCTGCCTTACTGTAATCACAGCTTCTAATAAATTGGACGCTGATTGCGATACTGCTCGCTCCCGTCCTCTGAACTCGATATTCGGAATGCAGTTGCACACGGCTATATCGACATTGACCTGAGGCTCTTCGAAAGCCTGGCTAAGCCTGCTCCCGTGCCCATCGAAGAAAGTTTGGAATGGAGCCACTGTGTTTTCGGTACATCTTCGAGATCTTTGTATTCTTGGCAGAGCTGTTCCGTCGTTGCCAGGTGGGCAGGAGGACCTCATACTCAGTCTATCAAATATTCTATATCAGAGGCGATATGCCTACATTTCTCTTCGCATAGCTCGTAGAACTGAGCCCGGTGACAACTTTGCAAACTATACTTTCGACGGTCGCAATACCCAGGACCATCCGCACGCCGTGTGACCCAGGCACCGGCAAGAAAGAAGTCTGGTACATGGTGTGGAGGAATCCTACCAAAACGACGCAGGGTCACATAGCTGGTCGATTGGAGTTTTGCGAGTGTGGTTGCATATGTAGTGGACTTACTGAGGACACTTGGATCTGAGGTGGGGAGTTGGGAGAGGTTGGAAGAATTGACTATGATGAATCGGCGTACGGTAGGCGCTAGAATTGAAAGAATAGAGCCACAGTGTCACGGTGTACTCTGACAACCTAGGCTAGAGTCTTATCCCATCTCTCTGCACAATGTGGTAGGCCTATGTCTAATTCCATATTCCACTTCATTAAACTTGATAATGTATTACCCGTAGGTGCGTTTGGGTCACTTACGGATGTATTGCAAATTTTCCACGTGGTGATGGAACTCCAAGACACATGTAAGTTCATACCATGCCTCTCTGAATGTGTGGCTAAAGAGTGTAGATTCTATGGTAATGATACTATTATGCTGATTGATTCAAGGATCTTCCACTATTTCAGTCCGCGACCCAAGAAGTTTTTTAGGTCACGTCTTCAACAGCCACGACATTTATAAGACTACATATCAACCGGACGAGCGAATTAGTTGTGACTTTACTCAGCAAAACTGAGCGTATCCTCAGATTCGTCCATAAGGTGGAAAATATCTGTTTCCACCTCTTTCAAACTATCCGTCCGTATCGTCTCCACAGAGGGTAGAGTTTTGACGTCTGAGTCGCTTTCACAAGATGATATTCTGCAACGCAGCGGATGGATCAACCTACTCTGCATAGCATTAACCAACGTCCATCGGTCTTTCTCATCCTCAAGTAATTCCTGTGAAATGGTACCCATACACGCTAAAATAGGATTATATCCCATGTTCGGCAAGTCGCGATAGACTTCTCAGTCTACCGTTTGGAACAACCACTCTAGATGAACGAGATCTGGGTTTGGCGGCTCGTCAACCCAGCCCTCATCATTGACGTGGTAGGCTATGTATTGGACAGAAACGTCACCTGTGGTTTGCTTGCTCGGAATATCTAGCCATGAAGCTTGAACGCAGCATCCAGCTTACTATCAGTACTCAGCCTCTGCGTGTCCATCGCTCTACGTACCGTGGTATCCCCATCTTGTATATCTCTTCCGGGATCAAGAAAAGATCCTCCAGCTTGAATATCTCGTGAGCCAATTGATCACCATCATACTGCCGAGTTTCATTACTATTACAGACCGATTTGAAATGCTTGACCTGCTGATCATAGCCCGAAAGCTTCTCTTGCATCTTGGCGAACCTTTGCTCTAGTGGGGCGAACGCTTGCACCTGCCGACGTGGCAGTCCACCTCTACTGCGTCCGCAATCTTAGATTCCGAAGCATATCAGCGAGATTGTGGCCCAAGAACCGTTGGTCGCGGATGGCGCAACATGTAGGGCTCCACTTTGCCACACTGGCTGTGTGGTTTTTGGAGTGATGCCCGAGACAGGAAAAACACACTTCCACTTTCTTGAAACCTGTTGTGTTGAAATGTGCTATCCTGTTTTTCAAGAAACTGACTTAATCTAATTAGCTAGCTCTTTGCTTGCGTTTCCTGTTAAGAAGATTGTGGAAATTGGTTATAAAAGAAGTGTATTAGGGTAGAGTACTTTATATAGTTAAGCTGTGATCACGCTACGGCGAAGACACCATGGTGTGTCTGGCTGCTATTTGGGAACAGTAATATTCTCCCTGGTGCTTACTCCCTTCAGCTGTAGAGCATGAATAGTTAGATATGATACAGAATAGAGGCACGTGCGGGAATGGCCTAATTTCGGGAGGGGGCGAGCAAACTCGAAATAAGGTCAATTTATACGATGCTCACCGATATAAGGTACATCTAGGATCTTAGTAGACGGCAACAGAAGAAAGGAAGAATGAAAAACTAGGAATGCATTTGATGTTAGAAAAACCGTAGCTTAACTAATAACTAAAGAAATTAAAGGGTATCGTCCACTTTCTCCCTCCTCAAATCCATCTCTCATTCATCCATTCGCACGTCCCTCAATAACAAACATCCACCTCTGTTACCTCTGTACACCCATCCTTCCCTAACTGCCAACTATCACACAGCTGATTACATGCAACTCCAGGCTTTACAAAAACCCTACCCTGCTGACTTGCCCATGGCAACCTCACCTGCACACTCTTATCATTCCCCGCATACCCGCTCGCCCTGAACCCATGTCTACAGGCACACATATGCTGACCGATACCCGCTTTCGATGCTCCATCCAGCGTGATACAAGACGTTGTGATATCGCAGCCATTGAACCCGGGTCGTGGATCACAGGTCTGCACGCCGCATTGCGGGACTTCTTTTTTGCAGTTGGCGCTGCAGCCGTCCCCTGAGATGTTGTTGCCGTCGTCACATTCTTCGCCGTTGTTGGGGGATAGGATGCCGTCACCACAGACACCCCTGCAGGACTCCCAGTAGATATCACACACTCTCCTCGCATCCGTCAGAGTGGGGAAGGAGTGCGGGAGGGGTGATGGGATTCCGGGAAGGGGTTGTAGGGTTGGTAGCCCGTTTTTAGAGAACTCATACATGGAGTAATGCATGATGGAGAGCACGTCGTAGGCTCCAGCCCAGTCAGACTCAGTGATAGAATTCATACGGAAGTTGCAGCCAAGGCCTTGGCAGGCTGATCCACAGACGGGGGCCACACCGTTGGTATCGGTTCGAACGTTTTCGCAGTGGAGTGTCATGTAGGCGTCGCGGTCAGGGCGTTGCTGTTCATGGATGAGGCCTAGAGCTGGTGGAGGTTAGTATGGGTCGGAAAACATGGCGGAGCCTTTGGATACGTGAAAAAGAGGCAATTTTTGGGGTTATTGAGGCTTTGAATACAGTATTTGGTTGAATGAGTCGACAACTTCGAATAAAAAAAAGCATTTCGAAGAAAATTGTGTGGAAAGAAAAGGGCAAGGACAAGGGTCCCCAAAGAATGCAGGAAATAGGAAGAGACTTACTGTGACCAATTTCGTGAGCATAACCCCCGGGTCCACAATCATCCAACTTAATGTAATTAAACGCCACACTACCCGACATCCCAACCGGACTAGTACAGCTCCCCGTATTCGTCACGCTTCTTAATGTGATAACATTAGCTACCAGCGTCGGACTAATGCCGACCTCGACGAACTTCAAGAATGGCAGTCTGTCAGTCCATCGCTTCATACCCTCAGTCCAGTCCACGAGTCGGGCATTCTTGGAAGCCTGCGAGTCCCACTTGTAGGTCACTACACCGCCGGGCCACCTGTTGCCGGCGTAGGGGAAGATGGAGAGGGAGCGCTTGTTGTGCTCGCGGGAGTCGTCTCGACGTTGGGGGTTTCCTGCCGCGAGGGATAGGAGTTCAGCTTCGGTGGCGAGCATTACGTCACCATCGATGATGGCTATTCCATTCTCGACGTCTGCCGAAGCATTATTAGTATGCAAAAGAACAATAAACAGGTTGTAGGATTAGTTCCAGGGAGAGAAGATACTATGTTAACTACCTCCTTAATCCTGGTAACAGAACACAAGATACCAGGAAGCGGAAGGATGACCGACTTACAGTATGATACGCGTTGCGTTACAGGGGCAATTGTAAAGTTATTGCTACTAGACTCGTTGAGATATAAGGTACCTGGCGATAGTTGGATCTCTATCGTCGTAAGGTTGAGCACAGGGTTGGCATAGGTCGTGTTCGTGGAATTCGATGCAATGAGAGAGGCACTGGCTAGGATAGGTAGAAAGGCAACAGCAATGGCAGAGGGGAAAATCATGCTTAATTAATGATGTGAAGGGGACAAGGGACGGGAAAGAGAAACAGTTGGATAGGAATCCCTCCAGTCCGGGACAACGCTAGGGGAATAGGAAGCTGATGAAGGTTGGGAAAATAGCTCTGGGGAGATAGGTAGATTCAAGGCTCGCTCTACCGGACAAAGAGAAGTGGAGTTGCCTTATATTCAAATAGAGGCAGTTGTTGTAGAGTTGAAGGGTCAGCTTGACAGTCTTGGCAAGGAAGGCGCAGCGAACTCACTACCCACGCGATTGTTCGAGGTCGGGTCATCTTCCTTCAACAACTCAGTAAATACGACTAAAAGACTCCACATTCCAGAGTTGTTGCGAGACTCGGATAATCATGAGAGTGAATTTCTGCTGCATGGATGGAGAGAGCTCGGAATAATCCACATCCAGCCAATCAAGTCGCTGCCACAGCCACACGCACGCGACTTGGCGTGAAGCCATTGGCATCACCCAAGAAGGGGAAATAAGATCTCGCCAACCACATCAAGCTGTATCCGAGAGTACCAAGCAAAGGCTTGATGTGACGCTAAACTTAGAAAAGATGGCTGGAAGTACGGTCTGGAGAGGGACTTCAGCCTCTCCAGCTCAGAAACGTCTCGTGAGGAGAGTGAAAGCAGTTGTCTCAGAGCACAGCCCTGACGCCTACCTTTGCCCTCGTTTTGCATTTATTTTGAGCAGAGCCCCGGAGTCATGGGTTCAGGTCGTGACAGATTGTGGATATATCTGCCTTCAAGGAATAGGTCTTCCTTCTTGTGCATTCGAAACCCTCCCTAAGATCTCATCATCAATTTTCATCCGTCCCCATTCTGCCGTGCACAATGGCGCGAAAAATTAAGACCCAACCCACGTCGTATCCTAAGGGAGCCTTCTACATAGCTCGGGTATGCCAAGCTGTGGCATCGTTGATCGTTGCGGGCGAGATGTTCTACTTCGTCTACCAGTTGAAGCATGGAGGTTTCCGAGTCCCTTGGATGTTCTTCTTCGTACGTACTCCCTCGTCCTGTTTAGGCAATCCTAGTTTTTCAATGGAAGAGAAGTTGTCGCACAAGCCCGCTACCTATGGTATTTGGGAGATCGAAGACTGGCCGGGCTCCTAGGCTATCGTGACTCTCAAGGGGCTTCTAGGTAACTGTCTGCAAGGAACAAAACATGTCGCCGTTGGGTCTCGATTGCACATGTTTTCAGTCCTGCTCGCGTAACCTCATGGGGGTTTTTTTTTTAAGTTCATGGAACTCAATTTACCAGTCAACAGGCTTCATTTTTATTTTCATTTTTACCGTTCCGTCTGATTTGGGTTTGCGCTGATTTGGAACCAGTTGCACGCTGCGGCACTCTACACTCTCATCACTTTAGTCGTCACTGGACTCCTTCATTGGCGTCATCGTCTCTCTGCCCTCTTCAACGGCAGTTTGAACGTGGTGGCATGCGGTCTATGGGTGGGAGGGTTCGGAATGCTTGCCGATGCCGAGAGCGAGACTATTCTGGATGCCTGTACCTTCACCTATTGGGGTAACAACACTGGTGTCAAGATCTGTCGCTTGTATAAGCTTTTGTTCGCAGCGAGCCTGTTCGGCGCGTAAGTAGATGGTCGAGGGTATAAGAAGTTGATATAGAATTTGCTGACGTACGATGACAGAGTTAGTACCATGTCAGCATTCGTGCTGGATGTCGTCGTTTACGCCCGAGTGCACCCGGCCGCTCAATACTCAAGGGCAAATCCGCTGCTAGAGAAAGAGGACACAACGTACGCTGCTGGCTCGTATGAGGATCTTTATGATCCACATAGGGCTCGTAGTGCGCCCGGCATCACCCAACCGGGACCGTCTGCAGCGCAGCTGCCCGTGTATCAGCCATATTGCAAGAGCGGAAAGGATTCGAACGCGAAGGGCGGAATCGGTGCTTAAGGAGGCTACTGAGATAATTAGGAGGTAGGGTGAGGATTAGCGAGACCCAAGGAGAGCATCTGTCGATGGTGGGATGGACGGGGGGGCGGCTCGGATGGCCATCTGATAAGGCGTACGAAGGCCGGCTACGACGGGTAGTGGTTTCTTTTTCTGGCGCGGCTGTCACTGCACGCCACACCTGTGATGGAGGATCCAATGTTGACGAACTGAAGTGATAGCCGAAATGTCAAGTTCTATGTTCCGTTGATCCTTGAGGCTTCCGACGATCTGCGATGAGACCGTGACGATCCGCTTCAGCTCCAAGCACCTTGGCAGGCAAAGAGTGGTCCTTCTGGTGCCGGGACAATCGGCCGCGCTCGGACGAGTGGCCGGTTGTGCGATGGAACCTTGGAACAGGCGCTGGGGGGATTCCAGCTCGTGCCAAAGGTTTTCTTAACCTCGAGTTGAGGAACGACATGCGTACAAGGGTGCAGGCCGGGGCGACTGACGTTAAATGACCATGTCGTGCCAGCAGATCGGGCACACCGAGAAGCGTTGCTGCACCCCACGCTGGTGACTCGCTCGGGTGCCACTAGTGCTGTCCACCGACAAGGGCTGGACCGGGGGCATGTCGATGGTGTTGAGGCCTGAGCAGTCTCCACTTTGGACACAACATCATTGCCTGGCCTGCAACCCGCAAATAACGTCCCCAATCGAGCTCAAGAGGCTCTAGACGCCCCGCGCAGCGACTGTTCTACTCGCACTCTCCAGGCTGGCGTGCGAGCACGCTGCGAAGACTACTGCCCGCCGCCCGCCGCATATGGCGGAGACCATCACCGTCCCGACTCCCTCGCTCTTTCTCAACTCGCAGGACCCGAGTCCTGCCCCGTCGCCCGTCAAGAAAACACCACACCGCCCGTCGCAGCCAGCTTCCAGGGACGTGTCCAAGGCCTCGGACGCTAATGGCATAACCAAGAGGAAGCAGTCCAAGAGCCGCAATGGTATGTCGCTGCGAGCCATCTAGTGCTTATCTCTGAATGATAAGGTTTTTGCAAATCTTCAGTCGCGTGCGGATCGAGACGTGCTGACGCTGTGGTTTTGGTGCAGGCTGCATTACATGCAAAGCGAAGCGGCTCAAATGTGACGAGACGAAGCCCAGCTGCCAGCAGTGCGCGCGGCGAAGCGTCACATGCGGGGGCTACAAGAAGGACTTCAAATGGCGGCCGTTCGAGGAGGCGAGCTTCACTGGCAAACCCCCCCCGGCGAAGCCGAAGAAGGGTTGGTCGAACTCACTCAGTATACACACGTTGCCGATGGGTGCTCTCGCACCTGCATCGCCCACAACCTCTGCTCCCGCGCCCTTGCTAGCCACAAGTCCTGCTGCGTCCGACGACTCCCACCGGACCATCGTCAACACCACGACGCTGCACAATGCATATTTCCCTCCGCTAAGCTCTCCTGGGCCCATGGTGTCGCGGCTCCCCCCCACTTCCCCCTTCATCGAGTCGCCCCATCCTCCTCTGGGGGATCTGTACGCAATCCCCCACCCCTCGCCGTACGTGATGTGCCCCTCCCTCCCTCCAGTTGATCCGTTTGAGCCTGGCTCGGTCGAAAGCTCAAATAGCATGTTCGATGTGGATAGCATAGACACACGGCCCACTAAGACGACTGCACCGTCGAGCATCTCATCCGGCCAATCACCCCGGCTCGTAGACCTTCTCCTGCCGGGCACTGACCTCAGTGCCCCGCCTGAGGAATACATGTCGTTCCGCTCACAGTACCCCGAGTCCTTCTACCAACCCGTCATGTATAATTCGGCCGCTGAGCCGATGGACGAAGATGGCGTGGAGGAGATTCCCCGTCCCTTCTTCAACCCCGACCACGAAGCTTGGGTGATGCGGCTGCCATCTCCGGCCCCATCGAGCTCGTCAAGCTCGTCGTCGGACTCCAGCAATTTCCCTCTACTAACCCAACCTCAATTCTCCCTCAGCTCACCTGAATTACTCACTCTTCGTTTCGATCGAGATACGTGTGGTATTCTCTCTGTCAAAGACGGTCCAACGGAAAACCCCTGGCGCACGCTCGTCTGGCCGCTTGCCCGGGATTGCCCTGCGCTTTACCACGCCATCGCTTCCATGACATCCTTCCATCAGTCGAGGGACACGCCCCCAATGCGAATACAAGGTATCGACCACATGCGCACCTCGGTCCACGCGCTTGCATCGAGCCTCGAAAACATGCGAGTCGATGCAGCCATCTCAACAACGCTCGTCCTGGCATTCTCCGAGTCTTGGGACCAGCACATCAGCACAGGAATAAACCACATCAAGGGCGCAAAAATACTCATCGATAGGGCGCTAACGCGACACAACCAGGTTCCCCTGCTAGGCGAGGAGTTTAGCAGACTGAAATTCCTCTGCAATGCCTGGATTTACATGGACGTTATCGCGCGATTAACCTCTGCCGACGAGGACGAGTCTAATGATTTCGATATTGTTTCGGACGCTATCTACTTGAATGGACAGACAGATGCCCAGCTTGACCCGTTGATGGGTTGTGCCAGTACGCTCTTTCCTATCATTGGTCGTGTGGCAAATCTGGTCAGGAAGGTACGTCGCACCGAGAGCAATGGACCCAGTATCATTTCGCAAGCGATGCAACTCAAGTCGCAACTGGAGGAGTGGGTCCCACCAGCATTTATCGAAGACCCAGAGGATGAGACAACAAGCCCCCATGACTCCATCAAGACCGCTACTGCTTATCAATATGCCACTCTTCTCTATCTGCACCAAGCTGTTCCCGAGATTCCGTCGCTCCCTTCTGCTGCCCTGGCCAAGAAAGCACTGTGCGAAATGGCAACGGTTGAACCTCGGTCCCGATCTGTGATTGTTCACATCTATCCTCTAATGGCTGCTGGGTGCGAAGTATTGGATCTGGATGATCGAGAGTGGGTTCAGAATCGATGGAATGTGATGGGTCAAAGGATGAAGCTTGGCCTGATTGAAAAGTGCTTGGAAGTTACCAAGGAAGTTTGGGCCCGGCGCGATTTTTACGAGGCGGAGAAGCTAGCTGGTAACCGGAGCCGTAACAACAGTCTTTCTTCAACAGCGTCATCACTCAAGCGTGAGTTCAGCGCCATTTCCGAGGAACTCGATATGGAGGACCCGTTCACATGGCTCGATACTACAAACAAGCGAAGAGCGATCATTGGGCCCGGGTCCTTCGACACCCCGCGACCTGTGACGGTCAAATCAGAACGGAGCGAGGGAAAGCGGTGGTCCGAGGTGGGAACAGAATCACTAGAGCCTAAACTTACCGTAAAGGGGGACCTCCATTGGCTGGGTGTTATGAAGGATTGGGGATGGGAGGGTAAGTTGCAGAATCTCACTATGGACAACAAATGTTAACAACTCTAGTCTTATTAGGATGAAGGATCCCATGTGTATTTCATTTCTAGCGGCGTCGACGATCATATCCCATTGCGTCCTTCAAAAGCCATTCTCAGCAAGTGAAACGACTCACCACCACCTACCTCACAGCTTTCTGCGTGGTCCCCACTATTTTACGGCCATCTGCGGACCCATTTGACGTTTCTGTCGCTTACGAATTAGCGTATTAATCACAACCGCACTTCGCTTCGCTTTTCCCCCTTTTATCATGGGGGTTTTTTTATTCGGCTTTCCAGGACTTTTCCACCTACGATTTTCGATCTCTTAGAGCGTGGCGTTGGCAACGGGCAACGCCTTGGGCAACCGGCTGAATTTGGACCTACCTGGACCTTGGACAAGACCGGTTACATTGGGCTATGGGATGGAAAGGTTACGTATTTTGGAGTTTCGGAATTTGGGTCTATTCGGTTGGAAGGATACGGGATCGGTGAATGGGCTTGGATGATTCCGTGAGAGGGCTAGACGGGGTTTGGTGTCCTTCATTCGTTCCTCACCGGAGGTATTGACAGTGTGCTAGAACCCCTGAGTATTTTGGAGTTTGGAACGAGGGCATCTAGATGGGGTTGCGGTTCATTAAGCGTTCGAGGTAACGTGGGCGTCCTATCGTTGCCGTGCTCGCACAACCTTGCGGCTCTGCATAGGGTTATGTATGACCTTGAGCAGAGACACGTTATGGGTCCAACTGTGGCTCTCGATAGTCAGCTGTCAGGTTGTCGCCACCTTTACACAGCGCAGCAGGGAATTTGAACTGTCATTGATTTTGGTTGCTGTCCTTGTTCTTACATTTCCTAGTGGCACTACTTGTCCTTTCGAACATGAGCTTTCATCATGCCTTTCCCTCTTTGTTATGATTTTTCATAGCACGATGGATGTAGATTACCCCGGGATCCTTGCATCACCTTCTTCCTTCATCCGCGTTGTACCACCTACAACCTAGACAACACACCAACGACTGAGCCTAGTCAAGGCCCTTGACACGGATCCACCAAGTTCCGATCTCTCTCGCCATCCTGCATCTATCATCGCTCCACTTCCCCTAGTCCGGTCACAAACCGGTCAACCTGTCGCTGTCCCTAATGTAACCTATCATGCAGATGCAGATACAGCCCCTAGCGCATGGTCCCGTGATATATCAATATCTGGGAGAACTGGATTAGTGGCTCTGGAGAGGGAAGGGAAGGAGTATTGATGTACTCCGGATGGGTTGGATTGGTCTTAAGATGCATGGGATGGTTACTATGACGTGTGGGCTAAGCAGATGCTTGTACGAGTATTGTGGCTGTTGCTAACAACCCAGAGTGGGCGGTACGAGTGCACTCGATTTCTGGACCAGCGAAGATGTACGATATGGGCAAGGGGTTGTGAGTGCAAAGACGCGGCTGGATGGTGATGAAGCGTAGCCGGGTGGAGGGCGGATGTGGGGTTTGCCCACCGTTGTGTGCCTTGTGCTGTGTGATTGTGATTGTGAGTAGGATGGGCTTGGTGGAGATTGAGGGAACCTTGGAGCAGCTTGGCTGTCACGGGGCTCGGTGTGGAGGACTCGGTACATGGGGAGGCTGTGGTTATGTCTCTGGATTGGCATAGACGTTGGATGAAGGAGATATAGGACAAGACGAAAGTTGAGTGGGGTCCGGATGAGGAATTGAGGCTGGTTACTCGCTGTGCTAGTACGTGCATGGCATCTATGTTCGATCTACATATGAATCTGCGGATATTTTGCGGATATTTCTAGGTCTAGCAACGATCTCTCTCAGAGCACCAAGAAACTAATCTCTCCCGAGATTTGCTGTAGCTGGCGAAGGATACCCCTGTCGCTTCAAAAGGACGGAGAGCTTGTGTCTGTTGAACTTGTCACCACTGCAGTGTGAGCATCGCGGGTGTAACGAGGAGCGTTGAGTGTAACCGGACACAACAAATATTGTGCTTGGATCGAAGAGAGTTGATTTGATGGAGGAAATATCGGCCGGCTAGATATCTGTCTGATGATGGCATGACCTGTGAAGTAGGTTTGCGAAAGGTGAGATTGGCTAAACCATGGGGGAGGTGGGCTTTTAGTTGTGTGGAAGGTATATGCATATGAAGTAAGTCTACGATAGGACATTGAGCTCTCCACTTTGAGATATGGCAATTGTTTAAGGGTTGAGCTATCAATCACGTGATAACCTCTACAGGGCAGTATCGGAGATACCACACCTATACTAACACAGAAAGAGGTAATGGATCTGCTTCTTTCTGTCATCTCAACCCTCTACATACGGATTATTTTTTTCCCTTTACGAAGTGGGTTGAAGTCACTCTGATTAGCTAACCCCGAAACTGGGGGGGCCAAAACCCCGTCCAAAATAACCATGTTAATCGCAGGGTTCTGATCCTGCCACGCACCTTTCAACGCCATCTCTCACGTATTGCGTTTCAGGCAACCAATTCCCAATTATCTCAGCGGCTGGAGACATGACTGTTGTCGCGGCAAGGCGAGCCATAAGGCAACGTTAGTTCTTTTATCCTCGAAGGTGGCTAACATGTGGGTCATTCCCCGTCCGCTCTGAAGCTTGATATAAACTTAAATGATCCCTCCCGACATTGGGGTTCCCGGGATCATAAATTATAATGTCGCATTCTATTTCTTCTATTTCTCGTGAGGGGAGACCTGCCTTATTTCCTTATCGCGAGCTGGGATCACGATCTGGCTCACGATCTGGCTCACAAAAAGCGCATTGCGATGAGGACGACATCAAATTGGAACAAATCAGACAAGAGGGTTCGCCCATAATAGATTCGCAAGACATCTCGGGCCCAACAGGGCATCAACAAGGAGGCGCTAGATGGGTACTCCCGGCCCTTATTCTATCTCTTTATCTAGTGGGCGAGTATCGACTTCAAACGCTGACTGCGGATTTCGCATTGCTGATTATACCTTAGCTTTCTTATCAGCACTCGGGCATCTATTCTTCTTTTGCCATCTGGACGGCCGCCGCGTAGACGTTGACACGAATATCCCCCAAAGCTTCGTTGCGCCAATCTCATTTGCATTTGCCCTGCTCTTTCAAACGGCATTGCGCGGATGCTTACACCTTTCCTACTCTCAGCACTTGTGGCTCATAGTTCGCTCGTCTGCCCATAGTGTCCAGGACATCGATCGTTTGCATCGGCTACGCGATAATTTGTTCGCTCTGCTGAGCTTTCGAGACCTCTCCACCTCTCCGTTATTATTCCTTCTAGCTTCGCTTTACTGGCTAACACCAATCCCTGTAATCTTCCCTTCTGGCGCTGTCGTCGTGACAGGCCGCACGTTTAACGAACCCGCTTCTCTTTCGGTGCCCACATTTAACTCGACATTTTTGGGAAATGGGTCAAATGCCGATGTCATACGGCATTCGTTAGTCCCCAACATTCCGCTTACTGAAGACACCCTCAATCGGGATATGTGAGTAGAAAAATCACAGAGTACTTAGATTGGGCAGCTTACACTAATTTCTCTCGTCGCAGTCGAGCTCAAAACAAGCTTCTCAACTCCGCTACTATCTCTCTCATTTCAGACGACATCTTCAGCGCGCCGTCTACATGTGGATCTAACTGCACATACAAGATTGAATTCGACGGCCCGTTCGCGCAATGCGACAAGACCGTCTTCAACTCCACTGAAGACGGGAACGAACTACTCTCGAAGCTATTCATTCAAAGAGGAGATGCAGATGAGCCAGATCTTGTCTTCTACAACGGCATGTGGTTCGGTTCCGCCAACGGTTGGGCAGCAAACAAGTCGACCATCTTTCGCTTCGATACCGTTTCCCCGTTCGCATATTCTGTAAATTCTTCGAACGGGACGGAGTTCTGGCAATTCGAGGTCACAAGACAGGATTGTAAGCCTTGTCGAGCAAGATACGATGTTACAGTTAAGTATACTAGGGATACCCCCGAATACGGCATTTCGACGAAGTTTGTGGACTGTGTCGAGGACTTCTGGCACCCGGTCAATACCTCCGACGTTGATCTGAACGCACCGTTCGTTGCTTCGCCAGAGAACCTCGACGACTTACGGGCAGAGAATTTGATAGTCCTGATCGATTCACTTGTAACTCCGCTTACGGGATCTGTCATCTGCATCCTCGACCCACCTTCCGGACCGACGATAACACTTCGCAACGTCACAACCCCAACCGGTGAGAATCTAGAAACCGCCCAGGCCCGTGTACAAAATTGCGGCGTGGAATTCAACAGCACCAACAATCTCATCCAACAAACGCAATTCAACACCAACCGCGAAAAGCAAAACTCTACCGTCTCAGACATCCAGATCTCGGAGGACATGCTCAACAATGCCCTTGTGAATATCACGCTCTCCGCCATGAACCGCTTAAATCAGTACAGCACACGTGCTGATGTCATGCAGCAGGTGTTTCAGAATGTTTTTGACTTTGAGAATAAGCTGAGGCTTATTTTGCCGTACTTCTTGACTTTTGGTGTCGCGTTGCCGTTTATGGTTGTTGGGTTGGTTAGTTTGTCGAAGAATGGGGGGCCGGCGCCGGATGAGGGATTCCTGGGAACAATCGTTGGAACTGCGGGTAGTGGGAAGCTTGGGGGAGCGGCGGAAAGGGTGTTCTATGGTTTTGGGGCTCGTGAGGGCGTGGCGGAACGACGATTGAAGGATTTGCGGATTCAGTATGGGGGGTTGGACGGGGGAAATGGGAGATTAAGACCTGCGTATGGGGCTGAGGATGAGGTTCAGCCGTTGATGAGAAGACCGTAGTACTTATGGAAATTACAAACCCGTCGCTATTTTTCCTTCTGATTCGGACTCTGTTCTCTAGGTATTGTTCACAGTCATCGCACATCAAGAACTTCTTATATTTCCTTCAGGAACCTATTGACCGACATTGCGCCAAAGCAATGCGAGCAACCATGCTATATAAATCTGCGCGGGGCTTCTAACGGGCCGTACTACGGTTCGTACAAAGTGAACCGTAACGGTCACGTGTTCAGTACGAACATACCGAGTTCGTGAGCCGCACTGTACGTTTAATGATGCCCTAGGTATAGTACTTAGTACAGATTGTATTACCCTTTAGGAAGTTTGTATAGTAATTTTAGAGAAATATTTAGAAGTGCTTTAGTAAGCAGTAGGCCTGTAGAGAGTGTCTAGGAGTTTTTTTAGAGCTCTAATTAGCTAAAAGTTTTGTAAGAACTCCGTTGTAAAGCAATTACACACTATTAAAAGTGTAGGCTTATAGCGCAGGTTTAACGCTCTAAGAGGAACAAAGTAAGGTAATCTGCCCTAGCTCTACTGTTAGTGTTATAAGTAAGGCTTTTAAGGCGCTGCAAAGGTAGTAGATCTAAGGGAGCATAAGGTTAGCTTTAATAGAGAGCTCTTACCTAATAGCTTACAGCCACTACAGCAGCCTTGTCGTAGGGGTGATATTATACATTATAGTAGGAGGGTCCTCTGCGCAGTGTAAGGCCAAGCTGGTCCCTACGCGCGATGGGTATATATACTATTCTGCACGCAGAATCAACTGTTGGTTGATCATTCACACCTTTGTATTGTATTGGCGGAATGTACAGAGCCCTGTCTTTACACGCAGTGTCTTACTATAGTTAACTACTAAAGGCAAAGTAGCCTATCTTATTCTCTTTAAGCTTGCTTTTAATTTCCTTACTATCTTAGCTACTATTTATAAGTGTAAGAGGCGTTTAGCAATACTAGTTATATAGTAACTAATAATTAAGGCTATTTAACTCTAGAAGAACTAACTACTATATAAAGTAGTAAGCAGTAAGCTTTTAAACCTTTTAACTTTTATTACTAAAAAAAATTAGTTATCTTATAGCTAATTAGACATTAATCTTACATTTTTAAAAACTTATAATCTTAGCTGTTTTAACCAGAGTGCAGCGTACGTTAATTAAATTATACTACTTGTACAGATCACAGAAGCTGTAACAGTTACAATACATACACAAAATCTCATCTGTACAGGCCTCAAAATCGCCCAATCGTATAGTACTTCACCTCGTTGGAAGCGCCGAATCCACGCGCAAATGCCCTCCCAATTCGTCACATTTGAGCCGCGACGTATCGCTCTTATTCTGATCTCTCTTTCACCTTGTAGGTGGAGGTTTGCAGAATGGCCTGGGATGAGCACACGGGAAACTACTTGCGAAACAGCTCTTTAGGTTTTAGGTACGTCAGTATTATAATGTTATATAAGTCATAAAAATTTCCTAAGCATGCGGTTACTAGACGTGACTGTTGAAGTGTTGGACTTAATTAGGTAAACCCAGCACTGTCTACTCATTGTCACCTGTGGCGATGCACGGCTAAGCTTTAGCTGTCTCCCCCGCTCTTTTAAACTTCCCGCTTTCGTCCACAAGAGCATGGCTAGTGTGGGTCAGCCACCCTCCCTGCTCCAAGTGATGATATCCAATATCTTAAATTAATATGGCAGTAAAATGTTGTTCAGAAGCCGACGACTAAACCGCTGGCTGCCCTGCGGAGTGTGACCGGTTCTCAGCCCTAAAAGCGCATAGATATAATCCTGCGATTTGGAAGATTCTGCATCTTCAGCCAAGCGCAGAACGTAGCCTAACGAATTCCTGGCGGTACCTTTGTATAGTTTCATGAGCAGCTTCAGTTTCCAGAGTCTTGCGAGATTCTTTTGGTAACGGAGCATGTCGTTCTGGTTCTCTAAAGGAAGTGGTGTATGGCTTAATGAGTGGCTGATGCTCAAGGAACGATCCTAAGTAGTCGTAAAATCCCCTAGATGACATGGAGTCTATCTTGCAAAGAGCGTCCTCTCCCATCCGCGTCAGAAACCGCAAGCTCTTGCAGAATCCCAGACACGCGTCCAATATGCGTTTCCGAAAGCTTTATCCACAGCTGCAATCATACATGGATCGGCAAACACTAAGTCGTGTATTTCTTTAAGGGCATCATTAGAAGTATTAGAGTCGTGTGATCTTAGGACGCGTTGCAACGATTCCATCTCTCTTGTTGACTCCACATTACCAGGCCCGAGCCACAGAATGGTCTGCAGCGCATCGGCATGGGTTTGGCACATGCCCTCAATTTGGCTGGCCTTCTCTTCATCCCCGTCTTTTTGCTGGATACGTAAGGCACCCACCCACCACCAGCCATCCCAGTCTGTCGGATCTTCAGTCTGCTTCTGAGAGACATGCTTCAGGAAATCGAATAGAGTCTGCTGAACTTCGAATGCATTGTTATCTATCCGGATTAAATGTAAGGGATAGAAGTCATCCCATCTGTAGGAAAGAGCGCGGTATTGTTTGCGTGCGTTCTCTCGATTGATGGATTTGATAGAGAGTTGCAGTAGAGGGCTGGGCTCACTCTCGTCGCAATGCCGACCTTGGATAAGGCGGACATGATTTCTCGCATTCGCGAGAGGCTAGTATTCGAAATAATCGAAATATTTATCATTTTAACCACAGATCTAGCTCATTATAGGGACATGAAAGGGACTAGGAGGCTGGAAATTTGCATGATCTAGGCAGAAGCGCTTGTAGCTCTACAATCGAAGGCAGAAGATGAGCAGTGTTTCGACGAACAAGCTCCGCGCCTTTCAGATTCTTCAAAATAAATAAAAATATATTGCAACTCGAAAATTTGGTTAGGAAAGTTGCGTGGAGGTATTAATGATGAATGAGGAAAGAAGAGCGGTGCTCGATATAAGATCTAGACAGCCTCACCTGCTAACGGAGACTGACTTTTTGGTGTACGCCTTACAGGTGATTAGGCACCGAGACTTTGCCTAGCTACTAGCTTAACATAATATCATGCAGTGCTAAATACTTGGTAGTATTATTTAAGCAATTAAATGTCTTACGTTAATATCTTAGTAAAAATTCCTTCGCACGGAGAAACTCCTAGAGTTTATCTATCTAACCCCTACATGTTGTAAAAACTTAGTTATATCTTTTTTCTAATAGAAATATTGTTATGAACGCCTAAAATATAAAAATACTTTAACTAGTGCCTGTGATAGAGCAGGGGTATAAGGCCAAAGCGGTTCACAATGCTACGAACAGAACAATTAACAGCGTAACTAAGACCACAGTATTTTTCTTAATAGAGGCAGGCTTCCTGATGGTAAATGCCTAAATATTGATATTATATTAACTATAGCTGTAAATACAATAAGAGGACGACTCGAGGGGCCTTAAGCATGTTTCTCCGCACGTAGGGTTTCTCGCTACGTAGGGAGGGACTTTGCATGATAAAATAAAGGAAAGAATATAGGAAATCTAACGTTGTGTTGAAGGGGAAAACGGATCGTCCACCTTGCTTTAGACAAATGTCTGAACCAATGTGGTAACTTTCCGACCGTTAGCTCATTAATGTCGCACTACCCGAACAAAATATGAATAAAATAAAGGAGAATGGGATGCTGGAGGAGAAGTGAACGGCAAGCATTATTGGACCCGACATAGCTTCCCGTTTTCGTTTGGCAGGCCATCCACACTCTCAACTTTCCACCTCTCGCTTCCAACGCTCGTCGTCGCGAAAAAGACATCATAGGGATCCCACTTAGCTTTCAATTTCAGCAATCTCGGGTAGTTGCTACCCCAGAACGCTTGCCCAAAATTTGGCTCTAGCCGATCTGCCTCCGCTAGATAACTTCCGGCACCGGGACTTATATTTCTCCATCTTTGCATATCACCAGTTTGAAACTCCTTTCTAATCTTCAAAGTTTCCTCTGCCGTTCCATTAACAGGCCATCGAACGGCTTGCTGAGAGAAGAGAATATTCTGACGCCATGCAGGATTGACGGAATTGTCAGCGTTTGCGGGGTCGACAGCTTTGATGTTGAAATGGACTTGAACGCGATTATTCTCACTAGATTGCCGTATGTTTTGGAAAAGCTCGTCTCTCTTCCGCTCGGTTTCGAAGTTGGCTCGAGGGAAGAGTCGAGATCCCGTTGTGGCATTGATCTTCTCAACAGATTCGAGAGGGAAGGAACTTTTCCATGCCTCGTACACGGAGTCGAAGTGGGAAATGTTGGGATTGAATTCAATACCAAGCTCGTTTAGGCGAGTGAACCATGGTTCTAGCAGGGTTTGCGTTTCTTCCAATGTCTTGTTCGGTGCAAAGAATGGGGACATATTGAAAGTGAAAATGCCAGTGGAGACATTCGGGATGAGCATGAAATATGCGTAGGTTCCAGCATCTGCATTGGTTACAAAGGAGTCCACGTATGCGCGGATTCCAGCCCAGAAAGTTTCATTGCCCACCTTTTCAGATGTGAAGGAGAAACGAGCGGCAGTGGTTTGCATTTCCGGATGAGCCTTGACAGTGACTGAGGTTACAACCCCAAAAGTGCTACCTCCACCTCCACGAAGTGCCCAAAAGAGATCCGGATACGAGGTAGAGTTAGCTGTAACAAACTTGCCATTGGCAGTAACGACTTCGAATGAAAGAACTTGGTCTGATCCAGTACCGTAACTATGAACTTATGAGAAGTTGAACAACATCCAGAAGATAGCTCCACTCACAGTGAGGTCAGAGGTGAGTGCCCGCCACCTTGTATGTAACCTCCAAAAATACCAACCGTCTGCGGTAGGTTAATTTCCACTCCTCAATGCAAAGACGGAGGGAACTCACTTCACCTTCACCGCCAACCACAGTTCTACCCTTCTCGCTAGCGGCCTTATAGATTTCCAAAGCTTGTACTCCAGCGCCTGCCTTGAATGCTGGACCCGAGTATCCAATTTTCTTGTCCACGAAGTTCTCGATATAGGTGATATCTTTGAAGTAATGCGTCCAAATACTCAAGGAATCTGCCCCACCGGATTTCCCCAAGAAATCATGACCAGTGTTCTTGACGACTAGTCGAACCCCGGTGTTCCTTGCAAAGTTGACTCCAAGTTGGATATGCTTGGGGGTCGTTGCATTGATGACATACATGGGGAAACCTCCTCGAGTGCAGTTGTGGCTGTCGAATATATTGGGGGGTAGACAGGTCATCCCTTGCGCGACAGGACTCATCATCTCGATTGGATCTGGGAAATGTATGTAGGAGCTTGACCATTTCGCCGTGAGTTGAGCGCACTTTGAGGGATCATATTGAGGTCCATTGTAGCAGACGGTCGCCTGGGGTTGAGGTTTGACCAGGAGTCGATTGTCGGTAAGTTCGTTGAGCTGCGCCCATGTCTCGTCAGATGGCCAGGCTGGGTCGCCAGGATAGATTTTACATCGAGAAGTGATTGCATTGGGTGGCTGCGAAGACTCAGGAGAAAAGAGTGAGGCGACATTGGATGGAAGTGCCTTGAGGTTTGAATCCACAAGCTGAATCAATTCCGGCCCGAACAGAATTGGCGTTGCGTTGGAAGAGGCAGCCAGGAACGTGGCTAGCCAGAAGGCAGAGGGGAAACCAGGGGGCCGTCGCCCCATCCTTGAGGGGGCCTGCGTCAAACACCTACTAGAGTCCCGTAGCGGAACTTTCACAATGAGTCCTAACGGGTCTCACTTGTGGGCTGGTAGCTACGCCCGCGGAAAGCAAAGAAAGAGGGAACGACAAGGAGTGGAAATAACAGTTTGCAGTAAAATGAGGTCGCTGAATGATGCTAACTCTCTAAATGTGAAGGACGATCTTTCCTCGATCAGAGAAGAAAGCGGGACAAAGAATCCGCAGGGGGGTAATGACGGAGCGAAACGCCGCTGGGCCGCTGTCTACTTGGCATAGCGTAAGACGCGGTGGTGAATAGGCGACATGCCTTTCAACATGCTTTTCAACATGCTTTTGCGCAGTCGTCTCACCATACAGATCTGTGTGGCAATAAATGATGTGACGGGAAGCTGGCTTGCAACCTCAACGCTGACAAAACTACTGAGAGAAGAGCAACACAAGTGGGTTCACGATAAGTTTCTTGTCAGCGTACTAGCCCCAATGGCGGCTTTGACGCCTAGTCGCAAGCGGTGATGTTTCTCTCTTTTCTGCAGGCTTTGTTTCGAGGTTGGGATTGAAACCTGCTGCAGCCCCAGCATGCCATGAGAGCTGCTAGCCGTAAAATTTCTAGTCAGGGTCTAGCGCTTCACGTGCGAACTCAATTTGGACGAGGGTCCGCGGTCACGACTCGCGACACCACAAACGTCCGTGTTTCCCGACGTCCGTCACACTCGGGTCCCGGTCAGAGCTGCACGATTTCACAACGATCACCGTCTGAATATTCCCAACTGACTCTGGGGATGCCTTACCCATGCGGGTGATTATGCAATATCACCTCCTGATCAGCGACGGCAGTCAGCAGTGCGCCATGCAGAACGAGGATTTGCCGAAATTTCACGATAAAGTTGTCGGGCTTCCCCAACATGCGTTGGTTCGTTTGATAGAATCTTATATCAAATCTCTCAATCGATCTCTTTAGATCTTTGAGTTGTCTCCTTCGCTCGCATGCATTTGTTTCATCCTTCTTCTGTCTCTGACTGTTCATCTATCACAACACTCATCTGCGTGACATGGTGGAGAGCCGGCAGCCAGAGGCACTTGCGTTGATATGCCTTTTTCCGATTCTTGCTACCATTTTCGTGGGCCTCAGGACTTTCTCAAGATATTTGGGTCAGAACTTTGGATGGGATGATTGGCTTATTCATGTTGCTTTGCTTCTTCTTCTCGGAGAAACAATAACTTCTTATCAATGTAATCGTCACTATTTTACATACTCTTTTCCCTACCCGCTAACTGAGAACTAGATGTAATTCTAAGCCACACCGGGTACCACGTATATGATATTCCAAAACAGACAGTCGCCCAGCAAGTGGATACTTTGAAATGGAGCTTCGCGGTACAGTTGTTCTATCATCCGATGATGGGCGCGATTCGAGCATCGATTATTATGTTCCTCTTCCGGGTTAAGGACAAGAGGTGGTTCATTCAGTTCGCTCTCCACATCGTTTTCTGGATCAATATTGGATACATGGTATCGACCACTTTTGTGAATATATTCCAGTGTAATCCAGGTGCGTGTGCTACTCACATTATCCCCTCTTGATCTAATCAGGATGCTAGTACATTACACATACATGCGACCTCAAGAAGACCAAGAACTCAATGCGAACGGAAAAGTGATAAAACATGGAAAGTGTATTGACAGCCTAAGTTTCATCTTAGCCTCCTGCGGACTCAGCATTTTCATGGACCTCATAATTATTCCAATTCCGACTGCTATGGTATGGAAACTTCAGATGCGGAGAAAAACGAAGATCGCAGTGGTGGTGATCATGAGTATGGGATGGATGTAAGTGACCCGTTCCTGTATTTCCAATAGCCTTAGGGTTATTGACTCCACGCCACTTTCATCATTTGTGTCCTGTACTTCCGCCACTTTATACTGACACTTTCGCTTGATTTATAGTGCCACTGCTGTTTCTGTAGGCCGATTCATCGTGTACTACTACCGCTTCTCCCCAACAAATACAGATAGGTCATATAACATAGGCATCGTGATATCGATTGCTGAGCCAGCTGTCGGTATCATCGCGGCGTGCGCACCCGCCATGAAGTGTCTCTTCCGTCACTTGATGCCGCGCTACTTCTCCGACGGCGGATCGGCAGATCCTTCTCGCACGCGATCACAGCCAATATCCAGACACAGAAAGTCTTCAAGCTTTCATGACGCAAGGGATGAGGGCAGCGACTATGGTAGGACGAGAGGTCTAGGAAGAGAAGAAGAGGTGTACGGCATGCGACCACTCGAGAGTCTAGATTCGAGGGACCAAATTGTCAGCGCGATTGGGGGTCCACCTGGTCGGACACGGAGCACGAAGACTGGTTACAGTGAAGTTGAAGAAGCTATACCGAAGAATTTTCTTAATCACAATGAATAGAGCGCTGAGGTCTCACCACTCATTATGTAGTGTGTTGCAGTAAACGAGGAAATGATTTACGCTCAAGCACTGTCTCATCTCTATCGAGTACACGCTAGGTATGATCGCCTCCTAGGGCTTTTACATGGTATATGTTCAGCTGGTTGAATATGAGCAAAACACATTCACTCTTCTACCTAGCTGAGTCTGAATGAAACTCATGGCCTATATCTTTAAGAAGAGTTTCGTGATTTTTGCATCCGGGCATCGTTGTCCCTATCTTTGGGGACACTCAAGCTATTCATGGAGAATCCAACAACTGTAGCTGGTATTTCACCATGTTCATTTACCGTCTAGTTTTACCTGGGGTGTCTAAATTCGGAAGAATTTCCCTACCAGTGCGATCCTGCGGCATCAAGCTGAACGCCAAGTCTCAACACGTGAACTTGCTTGTCTCACAATTCAATCTCCCAACCTGAAATTTCTCCCCTGAATAGCTTCGCCCCGTATCCAAAATACCCATAACCAGGCATCGTCCTAAATATCATTGCAATGCCCTAATTCCGGACTTCCTTTGATATGAACCCCACAAACGAAGCGATCAATCACCAGCCGCGACGCTTACGACGAAAGACCAAGAGACCGACAAACGATGATTTCGAAGTGTTTGAAGGTTTTTAGAAAAGCGACGAAGAATCGACATAGCGAAATGTGATGGGAAGTGTGGTCTCAGCCCCAATTTTCGTTGAGGAAGTGGAACTCATTGACTTTCTCTGGGAATATTCACGGTTCTCATATTTTATAAACTCTGCGGACGTAGAATACGACCCTGCACTGCAGGTGATGATGAAAAGATTTGAAGTCGGGTGGGATAGTATAACTGACACCTTACTACAAGTTCTCCATTCAGACTGCGAAGAAAAAGGCGTTGCCGGAACTATGGACTGAGTGGGGAAGGAACAAATGTTGAAATGAATGGGATGGTGGTAAGATGTTAACATATTTTCTTTCCCTAAGGCCAGTTCTTAATGAGAAAATTCTTTATCAGTACTTACAAAATTTACGGTAGTTATGAGAATGATACTCTGCAGCTGTTGGTTAAGAAATCTCTAACAAAGGATGTAGTTTCTTACAAACCTTACTAACTAAAGAAATTTGCTTGCTTTCAGAGATTTCCAAAAAAAAAACCGAAACTTGCAAGACGATAAATTTATTGAGACTGTGTTGTCAGAAATAATTCATATGCGCGACATGCCAACAGAGTCTGGGGTAGCAATTAAATACTGGCTGTATGGAAAGCTGGATATTATTTTGTACGAATTGATACTGTCGACAAGTCTTTGAACGGGGAGTTGCATCTGTAAACCCAAGGGCTCTACAATAAGCTAGCTACCTAATCAGGCTTAGGATTGGCGTTCCGCAATACTATATAAATCATATTGCTCCCCAGACCTTCAGACCACTACACATGATTTCTCTTATAACTCATGCTCCCTGCAAGGCTACAGCATTCACCAAAGTTCATACTTGTGGTTGTCAGATCTGTTGCCACCAGCGCGGGCTTCTTTTGTGGAATTTGCCATAGATTGCCATCGGACACGAAAGTGAATGTAAGAGAAATATTTTCATGCACCTAAGGACGATAATTGCATAACAATGTCTTAATCTCTTAAGCATTATTCCTTGTGCTGTGATACAAATTCCACCCCGGCCCCTCATCTTCATTTGCTTACTGAATGACGCAAGCTGAGTAGACGCTAGTCTCGCTTATCTTATCGCCCAATCCCTGCACAAAATTTCCATCGCACCTTGGGCAAATCCTCCAACCGCGTCTCAATCACCAAACATTGCCAAAGATGGCCGAACAAACTTCAGAAGAAGACATTTTGCTCGCAAAGCGCATCATATCAGCGGCTGAGCGACATGATATTGGTGCTCTCAAGATTCTCCTCAAGGAAGGCTCAGCAAACGTTCAGGATCCCACTGCAACAGCCGCAATATCACCATTGCATGCTGCGATTGCCGCATGCGGTAAAGTTGATGAAAGAAAAGAGGCCGATGAGAATGCTGTCAAGACTGTGGAGTTGTTACTGGAGAATGGAGCAATCTGGAATGATTTGAATAAAGAGGACGAGACACCAGGATGCATTGCGCTAAAACTAGGTCAGAAGAAGATTTATGATATTATGGTTGAAGCTGGTGTGCGAGCCGAACTCCTTTTCTCTAAAATGGCGGAACTTGGGCTCGACCGGGACGAAGAAGAGGTAGAAGAAGACAAATCACTTGAAAGTCAGCCTGCAGTCAAAAAACAGAAGGTGTCTGAAGACAATGTGAAAGCGATTCAAGAGGCAGTTGAGGAGAAGGTACTAGACGACGTATCGCTAGACAATCAGGCGTATCTAAAGAGTCAGTTACGGTACAAGCCTGGGATTTTACTGGACGAAAGCAACAACGCGGTGATGATGGACTGGGAAACGCAGATCATGCAGCGACATGCAGAAACCCTTATCCCGAAAACTGGGCTTCGAGCCATGAATGTGGGGCATGGTATGGGAATTGTGGATACTGCCATCCAGACACACGATCCTTCAGAACATCACATCGTCGAGGCGCATCCGCAAGTGTTGCAGCGGTTAAGAGACCAGGGCTGGTTCGACAAGCCGAACGTCATAATTCATGAGGGGCGGTGGCAAGACGTTTTGCCGAAGCTTGTTGAGAAGGGTGTTGTGCTTGATGCGATCTATTACGACACTTTTGCGGAGGACTACAAAGCACTCAAAGAATTTTTCTCGGAATATGTCACTCGGCTGCTTGACTCGAATGGGAAGTTCGGGTGGTACAATGGCCTTGGAGCCGATAGACAGATCTGCTATGATGTTTACACTAAGGTATGTTTAGCCATTCGTTCCGGTCAAAGAACATCACGACTCATGCTTCTAGGTGGCCGAAATGGATCTCTATGAGGCAGGCTTTCGTACAGAGTGGGAAGATATTGCGGTTCCGTCGGACCTGCATGGTTCTGACCAGTGGACCGGGACGAGGAGGCCGTACTGGACGATTGATGTATATCGCCTCCCAGTCAATACTTTCGTTAAATAAAGCTACACACCTTGGAGTCTCCGCCTACAAATTTGGAGAAAGTGCGAAAGCCTCTGCTGCTCACGTGCGCAGAAATTTCAAAAGACTTTTATTATGTGTTGCATCGTGAGATAGTCTGCTACAGTGGTTGGCTGAATGACTGAACCCAGAAATCCCAGACATTCGGTCGTATGATATCCCGGCTCCAGCACATCGCATAAACTAACGGGGCGAAGAGATAATGCTTCCCCACTCCAACGTAAACTTTTGCCTTCAGTAACTTTCCTGTAGCATCATGTCGACATCTTGCAACTACAATTGTTCCGTATTTCCTAGAAAAATTACCAGATTACCCTGATTTGTCAGGTATTGGAGTGAGGGAATCTGTTCACGCGGGCGTTGCACGCCATGATTCGCTGACTGTTCCTACATCACTATAGGCCTCTTCATCCCGCCGCTTGTCGCTATGTTCTTTACTTTCGGTTACTTTGGTTTAGTCTACAACCTCGAATTGAGGCGAGAGCGTGTGGGCCAAGAGGATCTGGGCAACCGTTGTATCGAACCAGAAAAAGCGTATTATCATAATCTAGTGGATGTTTGGTTCACTAAACGCCAACAAATTATCAATAAGACAGTAAGGTTTAAGTGCATACAAAGAGAAAGAACAAATTTGGGATGCAATGGAAGAGGCTACAGTACCCAAAGTAGCTTGGACATTCATTCACCAAAGTACAGCATCCTCCTCCACTCCAGTGGCACTGTTAGGAGACTGACTCGAGGTAGTTTCTACTTGGAATGAGCAACATTCAACTCACGGCTAGCCTTTCGCTCTTCGCCAGTGGTTACTCCCAGCTCCCCTGCAGGCTCTCCATCTATCATTAGCGATTGCTGATTTACTCGGCGTGGCTTCCACGATTCACCAATCTCTGTGTCATCGTGGTTTTTGAAGAAATATCTGAGGCTCTACACTCAAGGGCGTTTCTGGCAACTATGGGTATGTCGATTTTCTATGCAATGTTAGTCTTTGGAATCGTTCCTACCGGCAACATATTTACCTATACTAGCACTCTTGAAGAGTATATGCCTTTGAGTAGCTTGGCGGCCTGCTTTTTCTTTGTACCAGTGAACCGTAGGTCGTCTCGCCCTCTAATTGTGGTTTCAGTCCTGCTTCTCGGCTTTATATTCATATCAAAGATATTGTCGTTCTTTTGATCCCCGGTAACTATATTTCTACGGCTTAGAGGTTGGGTGACCATATTTGCGCAGTGGGCGCTCGTAAGGGTCTATAACTGGAGTTCTATTCACGAATGCTCAAGAGGGATGAGAAGGACCTGGATCTATCGGCCCGCCCTAGTACTCTTTCCAGTGGTTCGGCTGGGCTGCAACATGGTGACCTCAATTCTACTTCAGGTAGGATTGCACCATCTTTATCTTCTATCCACTGCCAGGCACCAACTGTGAATTAGATAATATTACTATGGGCATTGTTCGTCTAGATTGCTATAGTGCTTTCGACTATGATGACGGATTCCCATCAGATCAACAAACGAGACTGGGACTTTGGTCAGTAGTGGCCATCATTCTCCCAGCCGGCCCAATCACTATTATATTGGAATTCATTTCCTCAAGTAAGCCTATAGGGGGTAGTATCTTAGGTGTCATCACATCTGAATCAGTCTGTAGAGCTAGATGTGCCTGAGAGCGAATCTATGAACTCCACAAACGACCGGACTGTCGAGGAATTTGACCCGTTTAGGATAGAGACATCACCGGGTGAGGGGGCATTACACTCCTTCCACTTTCCTTAGTTCATGACGGCGTAATGACAGGCTACTACCAGCAATCAATGCTCATGGGCAATCTTATCGCCTACTTCTAACTCTCTACTATTTTCTGTAGTATCGAGCTATACTTTTTCCTAAGGTCAGGGGGAGATTAGTCAGCAGTCCATTCGAGATGGTGAGTATATACCTTACAGGTGTGCGGTGTGCTGGGTTGCTACTGTACCATTGGACGCGGTATTTGTCCGTGCGCTATTGTCTTCCTTTTCTACGTGAGGATGTTGAGACAGCAAGGTTAGAACTCTCGTGTGTTGTGATATAAGGAAACCTTTGTTCTTAAAGAAAAAAAATCTAGCATCTTACTACTAGCTCTCACCAGCTCTGAACCTTACCGACTCACTAGACCCCCACTCTATCGAGCTCTCGCTAACACCCTTTCAATTTCCGAAACTAGAAAGGATGCCAAACAGAGGGGTTGTGCTAGGTTCGGGTTCGAAATAAAGGATTTGGGATTTAGAAGCTTTTCAATGAAATGGCGCAGATAGATTCGCCGAATCCTAGCCACTCTAGGAATAGGGATTGTCAACCAGTCGTGATAGAGACCCATTGCCATACAAAGAATATGCAACTGGGTGATATAGGCGGGAAGAATCTATAGTCCACATGGTAATTTTGGGCTGTCTAGTTTCGCAAGAATGTTGAGCATATCTTTGAAGCCGGCACGTCTCCCGGCTACGTGTTCACAAAGCTGTTCAAATGGGCTACCAAAATATCCCAGGATGCCACCCTACTATGGTTCTTGAAGACACTGAGCAGCATCTGTCTCATGTATTCTGCGCGAGTTTACCTGCATCGCCAGAAGTTGAACACGTGGGTGATTTCAGTCCCTGAGTTCTTCCATCAAAAAGTCAGTGATTGTCCAGCCCATGAGGGAATAAACTTGAACTTGGACTTGAAAGATGAAATTACGGTGACCTCTGCTGACCTACAGCCAAGAACGCATTCCTTACAACTTCGCACCGTCCAACGCACCCCCAATCCTTACCCGCAACCCCTCCGCCTGCACAAGCGGCACCCCATCCCCATCCCTCATCACCCCTCTCATTCTCATCTTATGCCCCTTCTTCTCCACCATCTCGACCTCAATCCCCACCACGCCGGGACACAGTACTGGCTTGAGAAACTTCATATCCAGCTTCGCGGTAACCATATATCCCTTCAACACCTCTGTCAACGGCCGGCCCGTTTCATGTAACTCCTTCAATTTCAGATCTACGCCAACCCAAGCACCTCGACTCTCTGTCTCGTTGGCCACCATGGCGAATGCGAGCGCTTCGTCCATGAGTGTCATTACAGCACCGCCATGACAGATTCCGGGGAACCCACTGAGACCGGTGCCGTATTTGCATAGCGAGAGCGTTTTCATTACTGTTTTTGTTTCGGCAGCAGGTTTCTGATATAGTTCTAGCCATTGCTGTGTACCGTCGTAGCTGCGTATGGTGTCGCGGCAGAAACGGTCGGCGTTGTCATCGGGCTCCGTGTCGCGGCCGCGGGGTCGCGATATCCAGCCGGGAGACTTGAGGATGGGGATTGCCCATTTGATCGGCGCGAAGGCTTCGAGGTATTCTGCGGTTACCGGCATTGGGATTGTGACGGTCGTGAGGGTTTTACTGAGTACAGTCGCGATTGGAGGATTGGAGACGGTGAAGCGATTAGCAGTGAGGGTGTAGCTGTCATGATGGTGCGACAATAAGGGGATTTATGTTGCCGGTATCTGGAATCGCGGGATGACAAGGAGTCTTGCTGATGTTCGGAGCTGATGGTTGAGCTTTTTGTTAGTGGGTCCGAATTTTTTATTTTGATTGGCTAGTTGTTCGGCATTTGCCTCTTTAGGAATTTGTTCAGCGTGAGCAGCCTCGCAGAATAGATATCTTTTCAGCCTTGAAGAACTGTGGATGAGAATTGGACGGGAAGCCAATTGAGCGCAAGTGGCGTCTCAATCACAATTCCGTGATTCCTCTTGACCAGCATCTTCGCAGGCAGCATCTTGTCCAAGGATTCAGGCGCAATAGTAATCTGAAGATTGCCACTTTCCCGTCATCGAATTCGCTCAATATGAATTTTGCCATCAGGCATCAAACGACGCTTGCTGGCAGAATCACGTGATTGCGCGCCACACCCGCGCTACCGCGACTGCCTGCGCTTGTCTCGCGTCAGTCAGGCTGCCACCGTCTGACATGACATCTGTGCCTCAGGATTCCAACCCTACAAAAACCCGCCAATTCCGTTCAATTTTTTTTCGCAATCCCTCTCTTCATCCTGATTCCACTTCACTTCAGTCAATTGCACATTCCGCAACTCTCTTTTCTTTGGTACATTTTTCGCTTTCGCACGGTCCACATTCTGCGAACTAATTGCTGCAATGGCCAAAAAGGAAGCTCCGGCCGCCATTCCTGTCAAGCGCAATGCGCTGAAGGGCACATCTATCATCATTACGGGGGATATCGAGGGCCAGACGCGCTCTTCTGCTAGTCAAGTGCTTATTAATGCCGGTGCGACGATTGAAAAGAGTTTGAACAAGAAGGTGCAGCTTGTGGTGCTGGGTGAGGGTGCTGGTCCTAAGAAGCTCGAGAAGATTGAGGAGCTAGGACTTGAAACTAGAGAGTGGGATGACTTGATTGAGGAGATCAGGGCCGATGGTGGTGAGGCGGCCGGTGGTGGTGAAGATGAGGACGAGGAGCTAGATGAGGAAGAGGTTGAAGAGGTGAGTCGAATATTTGCGCGACGCTACCATTGGAGTGGCGACTCTGCGCGGCACCTGTTCATGGAGTCTGAGCTAAGGGACCGTCGTAGAAACCGAAGCCGACAAAAGGCAAGGCAAAAGCTAACACCAAGGCTAAAGCCGCTCCTACTCCCAAAGTGAAGCCCAGCACCTCAGGCGACTTCTCTCTCGCGGGAAAGACTGTGCTCATCACCGGCGCTATTCCCGGTCATGACCGTAAGTCTGCTGCCGCCATCGTTGAAGAAGCTGGTGGTGAGGTCGCCAAATCACTGAACAAGAACGTTGACCTTGTCATTCTCGGCACCAAGCCCGGCCCAGACAAATTAGCTAAGATCGAAGAGGCAGGCATCGAGACTATGCAATGGAATGACATGGCTGGGAAGCTGGGTCTTGAGGTCACGCCCGAGAAGGAGGTCGCCAACGTAGAGACGGGTGGGGCTCCAGATTCCATCGATGGCAAAACGGTCATCATTTCTGGCACAGTCGAAGGACATACCCGTTCTGGAGCCCAGAAGATGCTTGAGAGTGCCGGAGCGAAATATGCGAAATCCCTTAACAAGCAGGTCCAGCTTGTGGTGCTTGGTGCGAATGCTGGCCCGGACAAGCTCAACAAGATTGCCGAGATGGGCATCGAGACCTGCTCCTTCGAGGACTTGGTCACGAAGCTAGGATTGGAAGCTGAGGCTAGCGAGCCGCCAAAGAAGAAGGCGAAGAAGGCTTAGTCTCTCATTTCCAGATCAGGTGGAGGTCGTTGCACGACCCCCATGGCACAGCAAAAACGGTTTCACTAGTTACGGTATATTTTCGGGTTATGATGGACTTGACGATGTGTGCGCTATGGGCACATAATTACGAATCCTATGGCATGACAATATTTCTTTAATCTGTCCTTTCCGATGAGATTCGTTTATGAGAATTTATTCATCTACACATCTTCCTCATTGAATGTTCTCACATCCTACGATTAGTTCTGACGGAGGGAGAGACGCTTACACCCTTCCTGCGATCATTTTTTTCGTTGTCATTCTTCCTTTGTCTTTCATTGCACTTCATCCCACTGGTTCATCTACTAGTTCCTCCTTTCTCGTCAGCCTCCTTGGATTTCACTTAACTCCATTCATTTCTCTCTTATACCTACTAAGCTGCAGTGAGGACCAATCAACCTCGCGACGGGGTGAAAGTGAAGGTGAAAATGAGAGTGAATTCGAGGTCCTACCTAAGGCCAAAGTGAAAGTCTTTCACTTGTAGACCGCTTCTTGCGCTGATATCTCTATATAAGCCTGCTTATCTCCCCGTTAGATCTCGCTCAATACGATTCACCTTTTTCCTCACCCGGCATAGTTCCACGGCGTCACCGTGACTCGAACCTTGTTCCTCCTCCCGAATCCCCAGAACAACGTTGTTCGAAACGATTCAAGGTCACCAAAATGGCTAAGTCACTTCGAATTTTCCTCAATCTTCCCACTGAGCTTCGAGCAAAGATATGGATGCACTCTCTGCCCGAGGATCAAATGCACAGCCGCGTCATAGAGGATTACGATCCTAATTTCAAGCAAAACACCCCGAAGATATACATGGAATAGTAAATTCCCAATTCACTTCAGCATCAGCCAAGAAGCTCGCGCCGGAGCTGCTAGATTGATGAATGGGGCTTTCGTCCCGCTTCTCCAGCAACAGATGCTACCTAGATTACCTCGTCGTAGCAGAAGTACATCTCCATCCAATGGTCCTGTCAGACTAAAGCTAACACCGTAAGCCCGGTACGCTCATCTCTAGATCCGACCAAAGCTTGACAACCTTCCCATATCCCCGCACTTCTATACAGAGCTTGGCTACGGATGCTTGCGCCTCTTGCCAGAACTATTCCCAGCGGCGTTTCTCGCGGATCTCAGGTCCTTGGTCATCTCATCCCAACAACTCGGCCATAAGGTCTACCCCAGCTCTTCTGAAAGCCTTTGGACGCCCTTTTTTCACATGGATATTCCGCGATGATTCCACAAAATCTCGTTCACAGGCCAAATCGCCGATCCGCTGGACAAACGATCCACATCCATGGTCGACAATCTGCAGCATCAGCTTGCGCCATTTGAGATTTTGCAGCATACTGTAGTGCTTGGATATCGGCTGTACAACACCAGTATCCGACGCAACTTTGGGAGATGAGCGGGCAGATAGTGTGGGCGAAAGGAATTGAGATGACTTCGAATTCCAAATCGGTTGGATGAAGGAGGAAGAGACGGTGCTGAAGTTGCATAAGTGGGTGAGACAGGATGCGAGTATGGAGGCAAATATCATTACCATTCCGGGCTGGAAGAATGAAATGCTTGTGGAATGAGAGAGATGAATATCCTAGAGGCAAGTCAAAAGATGATAAAGGTGAAGATTCGAATGGGCGCTTTGAAACCATTTACGGGAATACAGGGGAGGGGGTGACGCTGTGTCTTTCTAGCCTCAGTGAAGATAGACCACTTCTTCATCTTGGCACTTGATAATACTCAAATTAGTAGGTCTGGCTTAACTTCTTTAAAATCACCTTGCGTAGTTCCGCCCTCACATAGTACAATTCAGTTTCCTCGTACTATATATTCATTCAAGTTCGCTTTCTTACACCTCCACCAACTCATTTTTCGCCCACCAACTTCCCCCCCAGAGCCTTTTCAATACTCTCCTCAAATCCCTCCTTCTCCAACCCCAGCCTCTCATCCCACAGTCCTGCAGGTCTACTATCCCCCAACCCCTCTTTCCCCCATGCCACTGCCTTAATCAAATCGCCAATCCCACTGAAGTCTTTGTTCTTCAGCTTCTCATTACCAATCTCTATCAACTCCTTGCTCGTAACATGCTTGACGGTCCACTTCTCACCTGAGAGCTTCTCAACGGCGGCGAGGATGTCAGATTGAGTGGTTGTGAAAGAGGAGACATAGATGTACTTGTTTTTTGTTTCGGATGGGTTTTGCAAGATTTTGATGAGGGAGAGGCCGATTTGGTGGAGGTTAGTGGTGCTGAAAGGGGCAGTGCCTGAGTCGATGAGGGTGGCAGTTTTGGACGGGATGTGGAAGCCCAGGAAGCCGACTTTGAGACCCTGAGGATTGTTAAAATGGATAGGTGGATGGATTAGAGTGGTGGAAGGCCACTTAAGAAAAGGTAGAGATCTTACCCAGTCGAAGAACGGCCCAGTAATGACACTGCTCCAACTAATCTCACTTTCCTTGCTCTTCAGATAAGCAACTGTTCCTGTCTTAGCTGAAAAGATGGGTACAATGGCGCGGACTTTCGGATCGACAGTGTTGCTTCCAAACTCGGAAGGAATGAAGCGCTTGACACCGGCTTTGATGGCTCCATTGATGAGATTTTCCTGATCGCCTATCGCCGCGCCGCCGACGAGTGAGATGACGGCATCCTGGCCTTGGAATGCGACAGCTAGGGAGTCGATGGAGTTGTAGTCTGCCCGGACTACTTTAACTCCAGAGGGGAAGGTGGATTTGGATCCTTCACGCGAGAGAACTGTCACATTGAAGGGAGAGGCGTCGAGGAAGGCGTTGAGGATGGATGGCCCAAGATTACCACCGGCCTGAGAAACGTCAGAATCGTGCACTCACCAACAGAATCGTATTTGCGATAGGGTAGGAAGAAGGCTGAGATGAGCCAGTCAATGTGGGGCAAGATACTACAACGTACCCCAATAATAACAATGTTCTTGATTTCTGACGACATCGTGAAGGCTCCAAAGTATGAAGTTAAGATCAAGACAATTGGGAGAAAGATGGCCAAATAAGTAAGATGACTTCTGATTCTGGATTGCTGTTGCTGTGGAATGATGCGATCGGTCGTCATTTCGTCGCAACCCAATTGGTATATATACCTTACCCCACGTCGGAAGTTGTCTTTCCAATGCCCCACCTCCCCGTACCTAGTTGCTTCACGCAACAGCTGCAATTCGGAACGTAACGGCGTTTCTCTGTAATGCGCTTAGAAATTCATGCTCATCGGCGAAGAACACGGTCCGAGTGCGCACCAACATGAGGCGGTTCTACGACCGCTGTGGATATGGAGAAGGACAAGAAGGATGGCACTTCGCTAATTAGAACAAGGAACGAGTTGTTTGTCCGGGTAAGTTGACGCAAGATCTCGCTTCTGCATGACGGGTATTATTAAGAGTGCGGAATTGGTGGGTTTGCCGATTACTCAACTCGTGATTGGCTTACGGAAAGGTTTCTTTGAACGTCAACACCACGCAACCGCCGACTTTTTCCCTCGCGCACGTTTCGATTGTAATGCGGACTAATCCTTGTATGCTGTGAGGCTGAACATCGCCGTCACTGATGCTCCGTACCTTCACACCTATGCCCGTTGTCGGACAGTTTTGCACCCTATTGCACCGATGCGCCGATGTGTGCCCGTATCGTGGTCCGCGACAAGGCGGCTGATACGAGATTCGCGGCGCCGATTATCATGTCCGATCATCATCCGTAGCTTCTCCGAGTATCGTCAGGTTGGAGGTTGCGAGTCATGACGCAGATTTGACTGTAAGTGCATCAGGGCTGAGATGCAGAATCCTTTAGTTGCATCCTTTGATTTACGACAAGGCTGATGCGGGGATCGCGGCTTTTTCCATGTCCGACTCCTCGTCCGCGTCTTCTGGCTTAACGGGTCAAATGTCATAAGACAACAAGCGTATTCTCCGCGAAGCTATTAGGAACTAATTAGGACTGAGATGCGAACGACTTCACTAGCATCTCCTAGCTTGCGGAGGAACCGCGCAGTCGGGCTAACCATTGTATCTGACTCACCAGGCTGTAGGCTGCCAGGATGAATCCGCCGAAAATTCTCAGACACTAAGGGTAATCCCCTAAGGGCACTATGCTATTGTATTGATCATAAATAGGATTATCGGACATGAAATCTCGGCCGTCATTGACTCCCGCACTCAACAAAGAACCTCGTTTCTTAGGCAAGAAAGTCAAAGACTTTTCCAGGTATCTTCACTTCTCCCATCAATACCTACACCACAAGTCAGGGTTTTCCAGAAAGGTTGGCTAACCCTCATCCACACTAAACTTCTTCTCAATAATCCTCCATCTCTCCAACCACAACCACTAACCCAAACGGATCCCTCTCACTCCAAACACTAATCTCCCACCTCCCCACCCCTCTCCCAAAAACACCCCTATAAACACACATAATCTCCCCCAACGTTCAAAAAGCCCTTCCCCCACGTTTACTAACATCCTTGAGATAGTCCAACACGTCGTGAATAGCATACTTCGACCCTAACCTCCGAGATTGTTGAAAGAGCGATATGCAGTACGGACTGCGGTGATTTACCCTGAATTTACAGTGGCGGGGGATCTTCTAGATTCTAGAGACAGGTTCAGAGTACAACAAATGAGATAGGCCGAGTTGTGCCATTTCAGGGTTGTGGGGTGGATGGATGGGATGGCGGAAGGCGAATCAGGTGATGGGCAATCAAAAACCATGTACCTCGTTGCGGAATGAGACTTGGATGTCCTCTCCTTATATTGTGCTACCAAATTCGTATTGGGGCACGCCACCGTACGCATTACCAGGAGTGCTGACCACTACGTCACCTAGACAGATATCATGCTTTTGACTTAGCACACCGGTACTGGTCCCGACTATCAGTTTAATTCTGACGTTAGGAAAGCTGTGCATCATGTATCTTGCAACGCTTGTCGCAGCAGATAGGCCGCATTCTCCTTAGGGCAACACCGCAATGAACACATTGTGTTGGCCAACCTTGCCTAATGTGTAGACATTGTTGTCGGTGCGAGACACACACCCCGGTCCTTCATGCCGTTCGTTGAGAAAAGCTTGGGCAGCAACGTACTCCGTAGTTATCGCGCAGGTTTAGACGACTATAGCCCTCTAAATTCGACATGCTCGCTTGTAGGTGAGACGGAGGCTGGTCAGACGTCGAAAATAAGAACAAGGAGGCTCAGCAGAAGAACGAAGAAGCTGAAGCTGAAGATACCTACTTCTTAAAGGAACTACTAAATTAAAAACAGCTAGATCCTTGCTTAATCACAAGGATTTTATATACAAAGCGAGCAAAGGCATGAGTGGGAGTCGGTACGCGGAATATGTTCTTAATAACCACTTATTTCTGTGAACCATCTGGTGAAGCTTTTGGTAGGCGCAGGGAGATGAGGAACTGGGTTGATTGCTAAAAGAGTGTTCTTAAGAGTTTATATATGCATAGGGGTGGAATAGGCCACAAGTGACTAAGCAGTGTATCAGGTGGCGGAGGACGTCATCATGTGACTAGAGTTCGGAGATCCCGCTGCACGCGACCACAGCCCTGCTGCCAAAGCCTATCTAGTACAGGATACTCTATATCTTCATGGATTAGGATTCTGTTACTGCCATCCAGAGATTAATGAGTTTGGCATCAAGTGTGCACCGCATCCGCAAAATCCTCCTAATCTACGCCCAACTGAGCCCTGTTTTAGCAGGCTGGAGGGCTTCTTGAAGGACTACAAGGCCTCTCCAAGCAGCCAGGAATCTAGGTAGAAAAGTGACGAGTTTATCAAGGGTATATGGCAGCATAACAAGGATATGAGGCATTATATGGCAGACAAGCTCCATCCAACGTACTTCAAAAGGGTTGCAGAGCTCTGCATTGGTCGCGATGGGGATAACAACCTCAAAGCGTAAATCTAGAACTAGCTTTAAGCTGAATTGCTGCGGAATTAACCTTTGTTTGACTAATACACCATGGCTGGAGATTTTGGTATTCGTACCCCTGTAGACACGTGATTTCCCGAATACTTCAGCTTCAAGATGAAAAGCTCAGCCTCTCAACACACAGTTCAAAATAACATTCTTAGATCTACAAATAAGCACATGCCATCTGTTCTCATCAGGAAAGCCCCTACACGCGTCAGACCTTTATCTTCACTCTTAGGAATTCTACGCTATTAATGTGTGGTGACAAATCTATCCAGCCTCTGCTCTCAGCCTTGACGCATTGAAGCTGATACGTAAAACCTTTCTTTCGCAGAACTTATGGATATTTTCAAACACGAACCGATCGATCTTGAGGGGCCTGCTTTTCGGCTGCTACGACTTTTCAAAGGCAGCGAGGCCGATATTGAGTGCGAGCTCTTTCAAGCCTGGCTCCACGGCGACAGCGCTATTTCGTACGAGGCTTTATCATATACATGGGGTGGCACTGAAATGTCTGCATCTGTGAAGATAAATGGCAGAACGCTTCATGTCACTGAAAACCTGTACTTGGCGCTTCAATACCTCCGTTCGCAAGAAACAGATCGAATTCTTTGGGTGGATGCTATTTGCATTGACCAATGTAACCATCGAGAACGGGGACACCAGGTTCAACAAATGGGGAATATATATTCTCAAGCTGATCGGGTTGTTATCTGGCTCGGCCCGGCGACACACGATATCAACGTTCTTATGAACTCTCTAAAGCAACTAGAGGAAGAGAGCATTAAGTATGCTTGTAAGGACTGGAGCCTCACGGACAAGCGCTGGGTGGATCTTTGGTCATCATTGCACCCTTTCCTAATGAGTCAGCATTGGGGTCTAGAAGTCCGGCAGCGTGCAGGCCTCGAGTTGCTCTTAGGACGGCCTTGGTTCAAGAGAGTATGGATCTTGCAAGAAGTCGCCAACGCGAAGAGGGCTGTAGTTTGCAGCGGCACCAAATCTGTGTCAGCACGGATCTTTGCCCTTGCCCCGTTGCTAATGAACACCACCCCAGAGCCCCATTGTCAAGCAGTCTTGGATATCATGCCCGGCCCATCAAGGAAATATTCTTGGTGGAGCCAAAAGCGGGATCTTTATACTCTTCTACGGAAGTTCAAGAGCAGCAAAGCAAGTGACCCACGGGACATGATTTATGCCTTACTTGGCATATCTTCAGATGCACATAGCACCAATAGACTTCGTGCAGATTATACCAAGGACCTCCAGCAAGTGGTTGTCGATACCGCATCATTCTTCTTCGGTCGGTCTGACTTCACTTTCCATACCGTGCCGGAACTCTTACAGCATGGTACTTCCTTAAACAATAAATACCTCATCAAGGTTGCAAAATCACAAAATGCGAGCAATGTAGCGCACTTCCTCATGTGGCGAGGAGACGAAGTCAAGGTCACAGCGGAGGTGGTCCGGGCCGCAGCAGAGAATACAGAGAATGGAAGAGAGGTAATGGACTTTCTTCTCCAGAAGCGAGGAAGCGAAGTCAAGGTCACAGAGAGGATAGTCAAAGCCGCAGCAAGGAACACGGGGAGCGGGAAAGAAGTGATGAACTTTCTTCATAAGCAGCGAGGAGAAGAGGTGGTTAGAGCCGCAGCACAGAGCGGAAAAGAAGCGATGGAATTTCTTCTTCAGCAGCGAGGGAGCAAAGTTAAGATTACAGAGGAGGTGGTCAAGGCTGCAGCAAGGAGTTTAGTGGAAGGACAAGAAGTAATAGACCTTCTTCTTCAGCAGCAACCAAAAGCTTGGGAGATTACAGAAGGGCTTGTTACAGAACTAACAAAATCATTTAATACTAGCTCTATAGAAATTCTTCTTCGGAAGCGAGGAAGCGAAATTAGGGTTACAGAGGAGGTAGTCAAGGCCGCAGCAGGGAACACACAGAGCGGAAAAGAAATAATGGACCTTCTTCTTCAGCAGCGAGGAAGCGAAATAAAGGTTACAGAGGAGGTGGT